TGGACTGTGTGTGACTTCCGACCTGCGCGTTTTCACGGCTATAAGCTTCATCACGGCCATCACGACGGTTACGCCACAGCTCATGCTGCCGCTGGTGGGCGACCTGGCGCCGCCGAATCGCCGTGCGGCAGCGCTTTCTATCGTCGTGTCGGGACTGATGCTCGGTGTGCTGGTCGCGCGCGTGCTATCCGGCACGATGGCTAACTTCGTCACCTGGCGCGCCGTCTACTGGATGTCACTCGCGCTGCAGTACCTGATCTTCATCCTACTCTGGCTATTCATGCCCGACTACCCCGCCACCAGCCCGGGGATGAACTACTTCCGCATCCTCTTCGACATCCTGAAGATGCTATTCCGGCACCCAGTGCTCGTACAAGCCTGTCTAGCAGGCATGTTCTGCTCCGCGCCCTTCACCAGTTTCTGGACAACACTCACCTTCCTGCTCGCGGGCGATCCATACCACTACTCCTCACTTATCATTGGACTGTTCGGCCTTATCGGCATCGCAGGCATGCTGATCAGCCCGTTCTACGCGCGCACAGTGACGGACCACTTCGTCCCGCATTTCTCCGTCTTCTTCGGCCTGTCGTGCTCGCTGCTCGGCGTGTGTCTGGGGACGTATATCGGCCCGTTTAGCGTCGCGGGCCCCGTGCTGCAGGCGCTACTTATGGATTTCGGGAACCAGACTGCGCAGATAGCGCAGCGGTCTAGTATTTATGCCGTTGAGCCGAAGCGGCGGAACGGCGTGAATACGGCGTTTATGGTGAGCACGTTTTGTGGACAGTTGATTGGTACGGCGGCCGGGAACCATATTTATGCTAGAGCGGGCTGGATCGGCTCGGGCAGTACGAGTGTGGGGTTTACGAGTGCGGCGATTCTGGTCATGCTTGCGAGGGGGCCGTGGGAGCGGAGGTGGGTTGGTTGGAGCGGCGGGTGGGGGATGCGGAAGAAGGATCCGAATAGTGCGGATGGGAAGACGGCGGAGGGGTTTGAGCAGACGGGGAAGCAGGATGAGGAAATGGGTGCGCAGGAGAAGGTTTTGAAGGAGATTGCTGCTGAGCCGGGGCATGAGAGTCCGCTGAGTGGAAGCAGTGAGAAGGAGAGTGTGAGGAGTAGCAAGGAAGATGTGATACGTTCTGTCAAGGATTGACCCCATACAAAAGAGGCGGCTCAAAGCATATAGACGCTTTCCACGTTTTGCATACTTGCATGAGCAGGCGTTCTTGGTATAGATCTGCTTCAGGCTACTCATAGAATGTCAACAATCTTCTCGTCCTCATCCTCCTCCTCGTCATTCTTCAGAGCCATCATCTTACCGCTATCCCCAGCATAAGCACTTGCTTGTGGCATCTCCGACTCCTCGCCCTCCTCATCTCGCATGATAACCTGCACCACGCGATCGCAAGCCTCGCGCACATCCTCGTTCTCGACTTGTATGTGGCATTCCCGGACAATCGGATATACTTTTACTTTCCTCAGAACTTGGCGTCCCTCTTTCGTTGTGCTCAGTAGTAACAGCGTCTCCAAGTGTGCTTTCATGATCTCGACATCCTTCTCGCGCTCCTTGTCTGGTTCGAGGAGTTGTAGTTCGTCGAGCATGCCCTCTGTGTCGTCGTCTGCGTACTCTTCTGGGCCCATGAGCGGGAGGAGTATGTAAGGGAGGAGGTTCGCGCCGATGTGGGGTGGAGGTAAAGTCGGGTCGGGGGACAAATTCGAGAGTAGGACTGGATGGGCGGGGACGAGGAATGCGACGTTCTTGATTGCAGAGGCTACGCCGAGGCGTCGAATATGCGAAGCGTGGTCTGTGAAGACTTGGATCTTGGTTATGGGGATGATGTCGCCATCGTGCTCTTGTGGGGTGGTGAGGTATTCGCGTCCTTTTGGAAACTGAAGCACTGGTTAGTTCTCGCTCTTGTTTCGCGCAACTCAACACTCGCGTACCTTGGCCAAGTCGGCGAAAAAGTACGACAGGTAGTCGAAGTCTGCGTGCTTGTTGTATGCGCCCTCAGCACCCTTGACAAAGCAGTCCATGAGCTGATCCATGGCCCATTTCGACTTGGAGAGCTCCTTGGGTACGTCGCGCTTCAATTCGAGCACCCGTTGGAGTGAGTCATCTTTGGCCAGGTTGGCGAGGAGCATAGCAATTTCGTTCGCATTTCGTTCTTTCGGATTCTATACGCCGCATCAGAGTCCGATGTAGATATCCCATATATTGGGGAACTGACATACGGTTATCCGCGACAAAAGCGTCTCTAGGAAAGCATCGTCCTTCGCGAGGGTCTTTGTAATCTCCGTATCTGAGGAGATATTGATGAGGATGGTGAAGGCATTTTTCGCGATCGGCGCGTAATCTTTGACAAGAAGTTTCAAGTCCTTAACAGGCTCGAGTTGGTTGCGCTTGAAGAGTGGGACGTCGGTCTGCGAGTATCCGACGAGGTGTTCCACAGCTGTTTGATGTGAATAGCCGTCGCATGGTGGGGTGGAGGGGCAGTGTTCTAACCTGCTTGTCGGATCTGTGTGTTGCCATGATGCAGGAACTCAACCAACTAGCCAATAATTCTCAGTATTCTCACTTTGAGGTGCTTGGAGGAATCGCATACGTCTTCTAGTTCTGTCGGCATTTTGAATGTTGTTTGGAAATGCTCTGCTGTGCGATGACGGACTTTTCGAAAAACTTAAGCTTATCGATAAGTTTCACGCGCTAACAAACACCAGCGCGATTCGTCCTCTGTTGATTCCATCCTGCGCCAACAAGCAGCTTACGTCCATCCAGGAAGACCTTGATCGTTGTCTTTCCACTCATAAATAATTTTCGATCTACAACGTGCTTACATGGGTCATCTGGGGTGGATGCTGTAGTTTACCCCACCCCCCCGGTGAAAACACACCGTGAAGATAGCAACTCTGGACAAGACGGCGAGGACATCGGACGAAGCAACTGCCGATACCAGGGGAATTCAAAGCAAGCCATGTACAAAAGCACAGTGTGCCTGAGCTCGATGTCGTTGCATGAGGAGCTAGCCGAATTGGGGGCGAAGGGCGGCTAAATTCAACCTGCAGCTTTGAACACCTCCAACCGCCAGGGCTTCAAGCCGTGTCAACTATATGCGCGCCTTTTTGTCTTACATATGTATTAGCTCAGCAGTTCGAGTTCGCTCGAAGCTTGGGATGCTGGACTTTACCTAGGCAACCGGTGTGAATAATCCTTCCCGCATCTACACTCATATCAGACAGTGTATGCACGATTCAACGACCAAGTTGAGCCGCATTCGGTGAGGAGCACGACAAGTCTTTGTTGGCCCATGCACGCCCAAAATAAACTCGTCGGCGATCGCACCGTCCCGTCACATACATTGATGCTCTGTGCGTTGAACAACACTCGAGCAGCGACGAATCAACGCGACATGCAGGTATCGTGAGATCCTGGTAAGCGTGGGTGGAAGTGTAGCGAGTCTAGGGCGTTGGCGCTTAGAGCAAAGGACAGCCAACCACCAACATTATTACCGCCCTCCCGTCAACTGATCGAAGCGCTGGGGGTTATGCACGTCTTGATTGGATGTGTCTGCCAACCACAATGCTCAGAGTGGTCTCTTCTGCAAGGAAAGCGATTTTTGACCGCTACCAGAGTTAATACTCTCGTGCTAGCTTAGTAGGCGCGAAAGCATGTCCGTCTTATACTCGATATCCCCAGATTGCCCGTCATTCTAGGCAAATCTACCTTCTTCGTACTCCCAGTGTTGCTGCCCCGAGCCTTCTATTCGTCTCCCAAAAGTCGGTCCCTGTGCTAGCTGTAGTTGTCTAAACGGGCTCACATCAAAAGAGGAGGTGTTGCAAATTCAACATGGCCGGGCCAGCTTTTCAGTTGTTTCCTCCTCCACCTCGTGCTCCGCGGCAAACAAGTCCGCTCAGGAGACCCTCACCACATGTGAAACCTGTAACGCCAGAACCGGTAGTAGAGAGAGTGGATAGCGCAAAGAGCGACATGCCACCGACGGACTTCCACGAGCTTATCATTCAGGTCAACTCAGTTCCCGTATCGCCATCCAATTTAGTGGGCTCCCCGTCCACAATAACAGCTCCTCCACGGATACATGTACACAACCCGCAGGCCACCAGGACGCCGCCGCCAGTCAGTCGACCAGTGTTTGAGTCCCCTTCTCGACACCAATCACCCCATCCGAATACTACGTCGCAAGAAGATTATTATAGACCCCAAGATCCTCGAGCTCCATCGCCGTCCTTCTCAGTAGCAGGCGATCAAAGTCGATATCGACAGTTCAACGCAAGTCCAGATCTGAATCGAACGGTATCGCCCGCGTTCTCTACAAGTCCGACTCTTGTGCGAGCGAATAGCTCAGCGACTCAAGGGCGGAGTATGTCACCGCAGGAGAACATTCCAATGCGATCCATGTTCCCAGTCTACGACCCAACCGTTCCTCTCACACGACAAGCATACAAGCCCACAGAAACATCGCCAACTCACATTCCTCGAACTCAGATCAGCAGATTACCGTACGCTCCCGATAACTACGTTCCGTATGGCAACCTCAACACCAATGGAAGAACGGTGCCTACAGCACCGAAAACGTTCTTCACGCCATCGGGCTTGCTGGACAACCTGTGGCTAGCGACTAACGGTCAAGAAGAGCCCGTCGTTCAGATTTACACCCTCAAGATGCATCGAGCGACAGCTGCGAATCCCACTATCACGTTTGGGACAACACCATCTCTTCCCTTCTACAGCCTCGCACAATCTAATCTAGCCGGCGGAGGCGAAGTACCCAGCATTATGAATGAACTGCTCATTCAGCGCCATCACCCTACTCAGCCACGAGTCCTGCCAATCGCTCACCTCGATCTCATTGCTCCACCGTCTCTAGATAACGTGACTTTTGATCCGCAAGAGCAAGCATCTACAACTCTCCTTACGAACATCTACCCTAAGCTCGCTGCTCTTCAAGCACTCGACGCTGCAGCCAACTCTCCGGCAGCTTCGCATATTGCCATTACGGATCCTGGTGCTCAATCGCCCGCTGCACAACAGCTGGCTGAAGATGTCCTGGCGGGTGCTGCACAACGCGAATGCTGCGTGCTTGCATGGACACGAGACGCTCCTGAGCAACAGACGAATCCTTGGGCGCACCACATGCCCTCTGAAGGCTCGTATCAACTGCACCATCCCACACTTGGTACATTTCCGATCCAGATGGAAGGTGACTGTTCCGTAATCAACAAGCCCTCGACCCGTCCGATCACAGCAATATACGGTCACAACATGCGTGCGACTCCACAGTCTCCGGGACGGACTGCTTCGATTACTCTTCTGAACCCTTTCATCTTGTCGCCAACCTCGCCTCGAGCCAACGATTTCTCTCCACTTGCACCACCACCTCGACTAGACAGCCAAAATCGTCCCATTTCGATCACTCCGTCTGAGATGTCTGTTGGACAACTTCCTACAACGACCGATGCTACCGCAGACGACGCCATGCTCGCTCGCCTTGACTTTGCCAACGATGCCCTCACCCTGAACCTTGGAGCTCTGGCGCACTTCGGGAACCCTTTTCTCGTCGACGTCGTCGCCTCCACTCTCCTTGCCGTTGCCGTCGCAGAAGCCACACGGGGACGACGAAGTAGAAACAACAGCCGGGACGACTTCGAGCCCCCACCTCCAAGCTACCTTCTGACGCACAAAAAAGAGGACACAGCAGGCGCGTTCAAACAATCTTTCGTTGAAGGCTTTCAAGGGTTTGGCGGCAAGGCAAAGGGTCCAGTGTCTGGCAGTGGATTTAGGAAGTTCGCTTCAAGCCTGAAAAGCTCGACGACGAGTACGACTACGAGTACCACCTGTGATAAGGACATTGAGCTGGGAGAGTGGTACGGGCAGGCCAAGACGAAAATAAAGGAGAAGAGAGATAATAAGAAGGCGGATGGTGCGAGCAAGTTGCCGTTCGTTGCCAGAGCCATTATCGGCATTATAACCTTCTCGTTCAAGGCGGTGATTTGGATACTCAGGATTGCGATCAAAATTGTTGCGGGTGTCTTTGTAATGATTACACGGAACTTTGGTAAATTGTAGGGGCGGCACTCTTTTCCGATGCCCGACTTTGGACTTTTTGCGTTTCTATTCTTTCATTCTTTTCCGATATTTTTGGGGGTATTTTCTGGGAGTTCTTTTCTGCACGATACCATTTCCTTCTACCCGAGCTGGGTATAACTTCTATTCTACTACGACTTGAAATGGATGCTACTAGTGTAGCAGATCTAATTGGAAAATTATCATGATCCTCTATTGCTCTATTCTAGTGCTCGTTGACAACTGCATTATTCGCCATCTTTCTTCTTCCTCTCTGTCAAGGTCCCGAACCTCATCACTTCTTCTCATGCGTATCTGTACTCGTCACATAACAAGACAACCAGTCTATAAGCTTGTAAAGCTCAGCCAACTCCCAACCCCTCGCCCTTCCGAATCTCATAACGTACACTTTCATCATCCCACTTCCCAGCCCCCGGCTTCACCGCGCGCTCATCCAGAACTTGCGCCACCACACCGTCTCCGCATCCAGAAACCACGGCCGTGTACCCTCGATGAACTCTTCTGGCGAGGGCATGCCCCGTGCATCTAGATAGCCGAGCGTCATGACCAAGACATCGCAGGTCGTCAGGCTTGTGCGGGCGAAAGCGCAGTGGGATATGTAATGCGGCATTGTTTTGAGAAGATGCGATGCAGTGCCGGATTGTATGACTCAGGGATGCTGGCTGGAGAAAAAGGGGTGTGTATAACAGGAACAGGCGTATTGTGGTTAATGTTGTCTCGGTTTGTGGTGCGGTTGTACAGCTTTCATGGAGAGTGCATGGGTAAGCTTGCGTGGAGGCGATGGGATGTCGTTTTCCTTCTTGCTTTCCCGATAATCAACTCTTCTTCTCGCAGCTCTTGGTAAATATGCTTCTTCCCTTGCAAGTTTCTTCTCCTGTCGCTCTCTTTCGATAACCAGCAATGCGGGGCTGGTGTTATGTTGTTGTAGCTTTGCCAGCAAACTGATGTTCAGGGGCCTCGGGTGACCGCTGACGGCAACTTATCGACAATGACAACTCAGCGGTACCGAATAATGGCAATGCAGTTGATGTTGCACAAACGGAAGGGCAGGCGCGTGCTGAGTGGGGCGAGCGAGTTGCCGCAGTAAGCTTGAGATAGCGACGTAAGCACTGAGCTGACAGCGTCGCAATGCTAAAGATGTTTCAAGGTAATACAAGTGTATCAGATGTTGTAGCAATACACGGGGACATATATATCTATGCTGGTCTTGTTGTAAAAGTTCAAAGGCCACCTACCTGTGTCCACAATCATGCAGGAGTCTAGCCATCCCATCTCCACGCAGCCCAATCGCCAAACCTTGAGAAAGGAGAGAATGAACAATAGGAAATGGTGTAATACGACAATTCCCTTTTAGGGATACTATCAAGATTCGTTAGAGGCAGCGAATACGCTGAGTCGCGATGCGCAATGCCATTGGGGGTTGGTCGTGGTAGCGCAAATTACGCCCAGCAAATGAGAGGTTGAATCCGGGGTAAGACGAGATGTGGTTCCTTGTCGCAATAGGAAAGCGGGAGCGGCAGGAGGCGCGTACGCGGAACGATGGGAATCCGAAAAAACTGTAAGCGTGGGAGAAGATCGAGATGAATGCGAGATAAGGTTCCTTTTTCTACGAGTGCGGAGCGGCACGATGAAGCTCGATCCAACAACAACGGAGAATCCAAACCGACAAATCGGGAGACCCTCCAATATTCGTTGTAATTCAGGGACAGGCACTTTCGATATCAGCTATCAAGTGTGAGATGACATCAATACGTCCACACACAGTTGATTAGAGCAGCTCTACACCCTACTAGACTCTGCGACACATCCTACGTGTATCGCAATCCTTCACGATAGTCCAGGCTCGAACCTGACAACGAATTGCATGCTGTCCGTCTCGAAATCCACATCCTCTCCCAATCTGAAACCACACGGTTTTTTGCCTAAGGCTCGTCGTAGTTCTAATGTTAGATGGTGTCCTCTATCCAGCTTTGAGAAATTGATTCCACAATATACACATGACAACTGACACAAGACGGCCGGTGAGTGTGAGCTTGAACTGCCACAGCATGATTGTGCCTGATGTGGTGTAAGATAAGTTGTAGAGCTCACAAGACTCCACGACAGCCATCACCCGCACCGGAAACTACTACTATACTCATCGTCTCCAGAGGCTTCGGCTACCCTATCTTCTCTTGCTCGACAGACAGTGTTAGGGGATCGCGCGAAAGAATGCGAACCAGAGGAGAAGCCAAAACCAGGCCCTACGATCTGTACTAGGGATGCCTTGCAGGATGTGACGCGCAGTCTCTCGGGCTTGGTGTAAGGAGACACACTATGCTGCCGTGTCGTGATAGGCAAAGATTATTGGAGAAGAGTGTGATTTGTGGTCTTGCTGACATCTTGTACACTGAGGCTAGATTTCTGTACCAACCGCACGTCTCGAACGTTCAATGAATAGGGGCCGTCTTGACGTAATCACTACATGGCAATCTTCATAGGCGATGGCGGGTAGAATCCCTAAAGAAGCACACGGCGCGCTCTTCTACTCTGTGTTACCGTAGCCAAGAAAAGCCATGATCCTGCCGTCTGGGCAGCTCGTTGAATGTTGTGTTGTCTGTGTGGTGAGGCCACCGCGGCGCAAAGGGAACCGAGGCGTGGTACCTAAGGCTATTTGGGTTAGGCGCCGTTTTACTACCGAACGTCGTCGACCTTGGCCGTTTCCGACATCATGCATCCGTGACAGTAAAATGGGATACTTTCTGGCTCAGACGAGCATAAGAAAGACGATCAACAACCTGGTGAGTTCCGTTACTGTTTGAATCAACTGGAGGTGCTCACTCCATCTTGATCGAGATGATCATGGAATGTGCACGTGAACAGCTTGGAAGTGCCGAGTGCCCAGACGGAGGTATCGTATAGAGAGCCCTTTTGGTATATCTTTGCTGATCAAGAGCCATGGTAACTTCATTCATGGCAGCCTCGCGTGATTTCTGCCTGGAAAACAATCACTGACAAGTTTGCTGGGTGTTTAGACGCTGAGTGGTGAACTTGACTCGAGACTGGCATTCCTTGTTAGCAGATTGCTTTGATTCTTCCATTCAGAACGTAGAATAGATGTTGGCTATACGGACCGTCTCTACGTAGATTGCGGGGCTCCGCCTTGTTCGTAAGGGGGTCGTTGCACAACGTCGTGCCGTTCTTCACTGTAGCCTCTACGTCTCGAAGTGTAACCCAAACAGATGGGACAACCGCGTGTCAGACTCGAAAATAGCACCTCAAGTTCAGTCTTATTGGCAGGTAGTCATGCCGATTGGAATTAGTCTCCCATCCTCTTGCGTCACCCCAGCCTAGCAATTCTTTCGTACAATTTGTCCGCTTGTTTGCGGGGTTGTAGTCTTGGGTTGAACGCCTTCGCAAGGGAGACTGACAGGGATTCTTACAGAGAAAACCTGGGAGTGAAAGCCGTGCGCACGGACAAACGGTCACACGAACCACTGACTACTTAAATAAGATGCCTCACCTAGCTCTCCCCCGCATCTGCATTACTCAGAGTTTCCATCAACCCAGGTATCATTCACGGCAAGATGAAGGTACGACTATGCCCACAGCTTCGGACAGATGGATAATGCTCACTGATGATGGCTAGACTTTCTACAACATATATGCGATCTGCGGTTTCGCCGCCATTGGCGGTGGACTGTTCGGTTTCGATATCTCTTCCATGTCCGGTGTCCTTGGTACGGCCGCCTACAAGAACTACTTCAACGGCCCCAGTGGCACTCGTCAAGGTGGTATCACTGCCTCTATGCCTGCAGGCTCCCTCGTTGGCGCCCTGTGCTCTTCCTTCATTGCCGACCGCCTGTCTCGTAAGATCGCCATCCAGATCGCTGCTCTCATTTGGATCCTTGGTGCAATCCTGCAGGCCTCATCCAACGGTATCCCGCTTCTCTGCGTCGGCCGTGTCGTCGGTGGCTTCGCGATCGGTATCTGTTCCGCCATTGTCCCCGTCTATCAGTCTGAGATTGCACCCAAGGAGATCCGTGGTCGTGTTGTCTCTCTTCAGCAATGGGCTATCACTTGTGAGTTATTTATTCCTCATCTCGACTGTGGCGTCTACAGAGGATGCTCCCACACCATATCGAAGAATGATAGATCACTGGCTAACTCCAGCTAGGGGGTATCCTCATCCAATACTTCATCCAGTACGGCTGTTCCTTCATGGGCGGAGGCGCCAAGAACCCAACCCAAGGCACTGCTGCTTTCCGCATTCCATGGGGTATCCAGGCCGTCCCCGGTCTGATCCTATTCATCGGCATGTTCTTCTTTCCCAAATCCCCTCGATGGCTCGCCTCGAAAGATCGCTGGGAGGAGGCTCTCCAAGTTCTGGGTCACCTCCATGGTGGTGGGGATATGAACCATCCTAAGGTGCTTGCCGAATACAAGGGGATCGAAGACGCTCTCCGCTTTGAACGCGAGCAGGCCGAGACTAGCTTCGGTGCTCTGATGAAGCCTCGCATTGTCAAGCGTGTTGTTCTTGGCATGTCCATTCAGGTTAGTGAAAATTCCGAGTTTTACCCTTTTTTGGTCCTTTTTTGTCACCACACTCAAAACACACACTAACTCAACCACCTCCAGGCTTGGTCGCAGCTCTGTGGCATGAATATTATGATGTACTATGTAGTTTAGTATTCCCCTCCTCGTCGGCCTGGTCATAAAAACTAATCTGGGGCAGGTTTTCATCATGCGAGGAGCTGGCATCGCGGACGAGCTCCTGACAGCCTCAGTCCAATACATAATCAACGTAGCCATGACCCTCCCCGCAATCCTCTACCTCGACAAGTTTGGCCGGCGCCCGGCTCTCCTAATTGGCAGCTTTTTAATGATGACCTGGCTCTTCACCACCGGCGCCCTCCAAGCCACCTACGGAAACCCCAACCCCGACAAAACCGACAGGGACATCTCATGGGTCGTCCCTAAAGAACACAGCAGTGTTTCCAAGGCGATTGTCGCGTGCTCATACCTCTTCGTAGCCACCTTCGCCACCACCTGGGGCCCAACATCGTGGACCTACCCATCTGAGATCTTCCCTGCAAAAGTCCGCGCTAAGGCCGTCTCGCTCGCGACCGCGGCGAACTGGACATGGAACTGCATCCTCGCCTTCGCCGTGCCGCCGCTCCTTTGGAGCATAAACTGGAAGATGTACATGGTAAGTCCTATGCCCCTTTTCCCCCCAGCAAACACATCATATGACTGACTGATACTGCAGATCTTCGGAACTTTCAACGGCCTGGCGTTTATCCATATGTTCCTCGCTGCTCCCGAGACAAAGGGCAGGACGCTCGAGGAAATGGACGATATCTTCGACCGGGGCGTGCCTGCTTGGCGGTCTGGGAAGGGCGTTTCGCGCCTCGATCGGCTTGCGGATGATATTGAGAAGGGGGATGTTGAGGTGAAGACTGATGCTCGGGACCATGCGGAGCAGATTGGTGTGCAGCCTAAGGCTGTTTAGACATGGGTGGTTTGGTGTGTGTGAGGTATGCATGCTCTGGTATAGAGATATGCTAATATATAGGCCAGCAAAGCAAAGTCTACATGTATATATTAGCAGAAAAACAGGGTGGAAGGCAAATGTAGATTAGTAATTAGCAGTAAAAATTACCTGCATACATTTTACACTAAGAAATTAAGATTTTACAGACTAAAAAAGACCCTAAAATACCCCTAGAATCTAAATCTAGGATATATAAACTATAGTAATAACTGTAAAACTACCTATTTATATCTATAAACTATATCTCTATAAAATTATCCTTAAGAGAATTAAGTACCTTCTTAGTAGTACGCAGGTACTTATAGACCTTACAGATCCTCCTATATATACCTAGATAATTAACTATAAACTTTACAACCTTTATAGACTTCTTTACAGAGGCCTTAACCTCCTTAACGCTATTATCTTTAATTACTACTAGTTCTGTATAGGCCTACTTATAGCTAGGTTTCTTCTTAGGCGTCTCTTTCTTAATAGGCAGAAGAATATAATCCTTTATAAAATAGTTAGTAAACAGCTATATTAAAAAGAAAATATCTATAAAATAAACCTTAGAATAAGTAGTACTTACCCTTAGACTTATAATAGTAAGCAGTATACTTATCTTTATATACCCTATTAAGTAAAATATAGCTACTAAACAGCCTATAATAGCTTTTACACTTTCTATAGGACTTAGCTACTATCTTTTTAACTATCTAAAGTAAGGTAGCTTTAATATTTACAGCCTATTCTAGAAGATAAAATAGTTAGTAAATAGTTATAAAGAAAGAGAAATTAAGTATAAACTTACTATTAAGAGTAATAATATAACTAGTATAAACTATAATTTCCTATTTTATAGGTAGTTTATAAAGTATAGTAATTTACTTAGATATTAATTTAGACTATATTACCTATTCTTTAAGTAATATAAAGGCCTTATTATTATCTATAACTTTATTTTTAGGTAAATTATAGATATTTTTAGGTAAATTATAGCTATTTTTAGGTATATCCTAGTTAATATTATCTAAATTACAGACTGTATTATACTTCTTATACTCTTTTAGAGCAGGTTTATAGGTAGAATTAATAGAATTATAGGTAGACTTAATAGTATTATAGACTAGTAGAGCAGATTTACAGTTTAATATAGTAGGGTTAAGAGGTAGAATAGAAGGTTTATAGGTTAAAACTAAAGATTTACTAGTTAAAACTATAGATTTACTAGTTAAAACTAGAGGTTTACTAGTTATAACTATAGGTTTATAGGTTAAAACTTTAGGTTTATAGGTTAAAACTTTAGGTAATTTAGTAGTCTTACTAATAGAATTAGTAGTATTATAGGTAGAATTAATAGTCTTATAGGCGTATTTAAGGCACTTACAGTTCTCTCTAAATATATTATAATTAGTATTAAGTATATTATAGTTATCTATAAACAAATTAGGAAGGAAATTAAAATAACTTAGTCTATTAAATAAACTAGTTACTAAGCTGCTACAGTGTTATATAGACCTATTAGGCTTAGTCTATAGATAGATTACAGATATATCTAGTTTACTATAGGTACTGTTATTAGATATAGTAGCTATAAAGAGTTAGAAACAGCTAGTAATATAGGATAAAACTTATAGTAATAGGTTATAAACTTATAGTTAAAGTAGTACTAGTAGTAGTACTAACTATAAATAAATTAGTAAGTATCTATAAAATGCCTATAAAACTTAGTAACTTACTAGGGTAGTAGAGTAGTAAAAGAGAGAAGGAGGAAGTTAAAGAAGAAGTAATAGAGTAATTAGGTAGAAGGCAGCTCTTATATAGATATCTACCTAGCTATAGAAGGCACTAGAACTAGTAGTAAAGGTAAGATAAGTAAGTAAAAGTAAAAGTAAGTAAGTTAAAGTAAATTATAATTATATAAACTAAGTAGTAAATACAGTAAGTTATAAATAGCTAGAAAATATATATTTAAATAAAATCTACGCTAATAAGACCTCTAAATATATAATATTTATAACTAAATAAGTCTCTCTTATAACTATAGATATAGGAGGTAATAAGATAGAAAGGCCTATAATAGTAGTTACGCATAATAAAGTAACGTAAAGCTAACTATACATAAAGACTATATAGCAGAGGTTAATACCTATAATAGATAGTAATTAACTCTAAGACTTATTAATAGTAATTATAAAAAAAAAATAGACTAGAAACTAAACCTATATAATAATAAATAGCAGCTTACTGTCTATAAATATAAGCTTAATATATAATATTAACTAAAGCTAATCTATAAATTTACCTAAAAGAATATATACCTTAATAACTTAAGTATTAATATATATAATAGTTAAGTAAGTACTGTTATATAGACTCTACTTAGGATATAAGTTCTATAAAAGTATAACTAGGATACTAACCTTTAGTAATAGGTATAAAGGCAGTAGACTTAGAGGCTTAAAAGACTATAAAACTTCTATAGAAAGTATATTCTATATAGTATTATCTTTTATAGCTGTAGAATCTATTATAATTAGCTTAACAGAGTTACTAGAAAAAGCTATAAGTATTAAACTATTAATAGTAGCTACGTTATTATTCTATATAGCTAAAATAGCTTAACTACTTAAAGCCTAATAGTTAGTAATAGTAGCTATAACTATCTATAAAGAGTATATATAAGACAGAAACTTATCTAAACTATAAAATACTCTTATTTAAGTAAGTAATAAAACTAGACTATTAGTTTACAGAGTAGCTAATATATAAGTCTAGTCTATAAAATAAGTATTTTTAAGCCTAGAGAGTACCTATATATTCTAATAAAGGTATAAAATAGTTAAATACAGCTATATAATAGTTAATTATTAGAGATATATATTAATAATAGTAGGCTACTAACTCTAGTAAATAACTAGAAGAATCTACACAAAATTACTACTAGTAATAATAGAAAGGCTGCTAAATAGATTAGTTAAGTTATAGATATTCTAAAGTATATAGTAGACTACTTTAAAGTAGTAATAGTACTATATAGGTACCTTATCCTATATAATAAGTACTACTTACTTTAGTAACTGCCCTAAATTAGAGGCTAGTAGAACTAGATAAATAGAGTTATTATAGATATCTAGAGAAATCTAGAAATAGAAGTATATAGTTTATCTACCTAGCAGTAATATAGCTATAATACTAAATAAGGCTATATAAAGAACTATATAGCCCTATAAATAGTAGTAGGCGTAGATATAGTACTAGAGATATGTCTTACTAGTATCTACAGAACCTTATATAAAGAAATATACAGTTTACAGAGCTATAGTAATAGCTATAGTAACTATATTAAAAACTACAAGCTAATTAGTATTAAGACCTATATATATATCCTAAAAAGTAGTATCTTCTATATCTATATTATAGGCAAGCTTAGCAGTAATTATTTAATTTCTAACCTATATTCTCTAGTTATACTTATAAGTTAGTAGAAAGAAGTTTAAAAGATACTTACTAGACTTAATAAGAAGAGTATTAATTAAGTATAAGCTATAATTAAGGTATATATTATTTATAAAAGATATAAGTAGAGCTGCTATAGGTACCTATAGGTTATTATAAGAATTAGTATAGAAAGTAGTCTAAATAGTAAGCAGGTCTATAACTAGACTATTTAAGAGTATAAAAATAAAAAAGGTCTATAATATACTACCTATAGTAAAGAAAGCAGCCTTATAAAAGTAAGTAATTTAGTTACTATTATCTAGTAAAAGTCTATAGGCAATAGCTATAGCCTAAAAAGTTAGATATTTAATACTATTAATAGTTTATAGGTCCTTAAAGCTCCTTAGACCCTATATAACTATTAGGAGTAGCTGTATATAATAGCGTTTACCTTATAACAGACTATAGAAATATATATAGCTAATTATAACCCCTTACTTATATAAAGTCTATATCTTATAGGGTAAGTTCTATATAAAGAAACCTAGATAGTCCTAATATAATAAGTAATAGCCTATAGGAAAATCTATATTATACTAAAAGAAAGTAGTTAAAGTAGTTATAGATTATTTAAGGTATAAAGTAAGATCTATAGGTATTACGTTAGCTAAAAATATAATAGTTTACTAATTAAGTAGATAAACTATAAAAGCTATAATAGAAGAAAATTTCTTATATACTAGAAACTTAAAAAGCTGCTAAGTAGCTTTAGATAGACTAATATACTGCCTATTTAAGTACTATTACACCTTATTATTATTAGAAATATTTAATACAGCTTAATTAGTGCCCTTATAGATATACTTATAAATATACTTAATAGCGTATATAGTCCTATAAACCTTAATATTAATATAAGCCTAGTATTTATAGAAGAACTGTAGGTAATATAGGACTACCTACTAGTTATCTAGATATATAGTACAGCTGTAGTACTTTACTAGTAAGGTTTAACTATTATTACAGTACTAATATTTAGGGTAACTATCCTTATAGATAACTATAGTAAGATAGTAATACTTTAGAAAATTCTTTAAATACTATAGTTATAGACTACTAAACTATATAACTATATAAGGCGTATAGATATTAAACTTACTATAAGGTCTATAAAGTATAAAATAGTAAATAGTAACTATAAGTACTCTATCTAGATTATCCTTAATAAGGGGTATCTCTATATAAATAGCTATATTAATAGTATCTAGATCTATAAATACCTTATAGTTAGAAGGGGGTAAAAAGAGTAAAAGGTAAATATAAGGTAAACCCTATTTCTAGTACTTAATAGTATATATATAACCTAAGTATATACTAAAATAACTATTTTTTATATCTCTAAGTAACTCTTATACCTTTAAATAAAAGGTATAGTAAACTAGATTAGGCTAGTTTAAACCTATCTCTCTATTATAAAGCTTATAGTTAACTTTAGGCTAATAAAGACTTATAGTAAATATAATAAATAAGGTTAGATAGCTATAATAATAGATAATTACTATTAAATCCTAGTAATACTAACTTATAAAGTATAAACTACCTAGATATAATAAAGGTAGAATAATATAATACTTAATAGGGATATTAGAGCTATTATCTTATATAATAGTATCTATAATACTACTATATAGGTTAGTATAGAGAGTTAACTAGTTATAGTAGACCTAGGCTAAATAGGCCTAGTTATAAATAGCTTAGATATTAATTAGGAACTACTAAAATAACTAATAGTAAAGAAAAGGCTATAAAGTATATCTAGAATAGGTATATAAATAGTACTAAAAGTAAATCTACTACGTAAGTAAATCTTATATATAAGATCTATCTATATTATAAAGCTTTATACCTAGTTTCTACCTATAATTACTATATAGAAATATTAAAATATAGTATAATAGTATATAAGATAAATAAGCTATATTAATATAGTATAGCGTACCTAAGTTACAGGCTATAAGAATAATAGAGTAGACTATTTTAGTAGCTATAGTATTTAAAAAGATTAAGCTAACCTTATTACTAGTAGGTATATTTTTATAGTAGTAGTTTATACCTATTTCTATAGCTAAAGTAAGACTACTAGTTAGAATAATATAGGTATCTATACCTACTTACTAGAGCCTCTTATAAGCTATATTATAGATATTAATATATAGGTTATTAATTTTATAAAGTATAGCTATTAACTGCTATAAGATATATAATTATAAATAGGAATTACATTAGTAGTATATTATAGTAATATACTATAAATTATAGAAATATAGCTAGGTATACTAAAGTAATATTCTATTAAGCTCCTCTAATAGGCTACTTTAGTAGTAAAGAGCTCTATAGATCTAAAATACCTAGATACCTAAACTACTAGCTTTGTAATTAGTCTATATATAATTAAGTAATATAAATATAAATACTATATTATATATATAAAGCTCTTTATAGAAGTAATAGGCCTTAGGTATAGTAGAATATAGCAGCTAATAAAGGTAGAATAGTAGTAAAGTAAATTCTAGAAGCTATACTTAGCTATTAATATAGTAGAGCGTAAATTCTAGTTAGCTACTAAAAGAAGAAGGCTTATATTTAGTAAGCTAGTAAAAAGTACTATAATAGGTATAAGTAAACTATAAAGGACTAAGATTATAGTAGTCTTAGTTTAGTAAGTTAGGAAAAGAGGAAACTACTAGCTACTTAAGGGCAGTAAATATAGTTATAAGAAGGTCCTAGAGGAAATCTTTACTATAAATAAACTTTATAGAACTACTAGAATATAATAGAATAAGTTTATAAGTAAGAGTAAGCTAAGGGAATAGATTATAGGCTAATATAGGCTAAGGTAATACTATTTAGGCCTATTATAGAGGTAGTCCTTCTATAGTAGTAAGGAAAGAAGAGTATAACTAGTAGCTATACTCTATACGCAGGTTCTATATATATATTAATAATAGGTAAATACAGAATAAGAGAGTTTTACTTAGGTATACTTTATATATAGCTAATATAAAGCTTTAAGGTAATTAGTATAGAAAGCTGTAATTCCTTTATAAACTTTATAGCTATTATAGAAGATTATAGATAACTCCTAGCTAACTATAAGAAAGAAATTAGGCTGTATTATTATAGGAAAAAAACGCCTTAGGTAAACTATAATAAACCTATAAATCTTATTTATAGGTATTACTATCTAAGATTTAATTAAGAAAAGAAGAAAATACACTTAAAGTAGTAAAACTATTAGCTATAAGGTAGTATAGACAAGGAAAACACTGCTACGTAGGTAGTATAAATAGAAAATAATAACTTTATACAGTAATAGTAAGAGCTACAAAGGCCCTATAGGCGTAAAAATTAGTTAGATAAGTAGTAGTAAGTTTTACTATTGTTCTAACACGTTTTCTAGGCCTTGCAGGCCCCTAGGTAGTAAGTTAAATGTTGTCTGATTATATATTAGATAGCGAGTCTGTGCGGGTGTTAGGTGGATGGCATACATTGGGTATTTTACACGGAGATGATAGCGTACATGGTAGCTGGGATATATTTGCGGATACACCTGGTCGAAGTATGATTTTTCTCATGGACTGCTTCATACAGTGCAGTCTACTCAATACCAAACACACACATTTCGGGCGTGAATTTCTTCCTTACTCCTTCCATAGCATTCTGATTGTATTCCTTAGCATTACTCTCGTCTCGTTTTTGGCCCACAAGGTGGACGATAAGGAGCACATGAGCCACGACGCTTTGGCCAAAGAAAAGACCCACAAGCGCAGTGACAATTTACAAAGGAGCTCGTGTTTTGTTGTTATGTGTCCACATTGATCATGTCATGTCATGCCACACGCAAGACTATTGCACTTTAGCAAAGACAACTACAAGTACACATTCTACCATCTCAAAGGGCACTTGAGTACAGTGTTAGAAACTTCAGTTACACTAGAGTGTTTCCAAGTACGATGTTATACTGTCATGAAGTTGGTAATTGCAGAAGTAATGTTCTGCCATCCGGCTATGCGAAGACGTGAGCTACTCTATACAATCAGCTTAGTCGTCGTGGATATATAAGAAGCTGGTAGATGTGTGGGTTTACACTTGATGTTCAACAATCTCATCACATTACTATATTGTGTGCAGGATCGGCTAGGTGTGTGCACTTGTTTTTTGTACTCATTGCTTACATATGGACTATGGGGCGTCGCAGTGTGTGAGGATATGTAATTGGGTAAGTCAGGGGACGGGGAGATCATCAGAGAAGATTGGATAGGAAAAGAAGAAAGCAGTGTCTAGCCATGATGCAACCCCCATGGAGAGAGTGTAATGGAGATTAAAACGATCTATCTTATAGCGCTTACTTTGAATAAAAAAAACAGTGTGTGGGGAAAAGATGCCGCTCAGCATCGCGATGAATGGATCCAACGCCTTAACTAATGCATTCTGCTGTGATCCCAGAATGCCAAATTAGAGTGATGTGAAAGTGGAGAGTTCGACTAGGCGGGTGTCGAAACAGCACCGTCACCCAACACCCTCGCGACCAGGATGTATACCATCATAGCCCCAAAGACAAGCTTCCACTTGTTCTTGCTCAGCCAGCCCTGTCCCGCATCCCGCGCTATCTGTGCATCCTGAACCACTGTCGCGCTGGCTCCTGGTCGCCGCCTCAAGCCCGCAACATCGAGCGAGCAGGGCGGTTGTGTTGCAGATTGAACTGCTCGCGGTAGTCCCGTCATGGGGTCAATGCGCTTCTCCTTCATCCACGTGGCATTCTCCTCGTCGATTTCCGGCCACTCGAGTTTGAACTTGGCGCCGCCATCGCCAGCCTTGATCCCTCCAATACCACGAGAATTGCTCGAAGGCGCTGCTGTGGATTTCGACCCGCCACCAGTGCTATTCCACCACCGTGTCCGCTCCGCAAACAGTTTCCTCTCAGCCTCGCTCGCCCGCACACTACCCGTTGTCATCTCCTCGCTCGTCATGAAACTCAGCAGCCCTGTTAGGATGGTGCTGACCTCCCACGCGGGGTTGAAGCTCTTGGGGTGGAAGTCGCTGATGCTGAGGCATAGTCGCGTGCTAGGCTGGAAGCGGCCGCTTGGGGAGTGCATACGGATGGCGGGCGGGGCGAAGGGGTAGTCGGGCGGGAACATGAGGGTGCCCCAGTACTGGCCGCCGTCGTAGGGGGTGTCCGGGGGCCCAGTGATGATGTAGTGCCATTCAAGGATGTTCTTCTCCGAGGGATGCGCGATAATGTAGGGTGGCGGGGACTTTGCGATGGCGGCGTACTCCTTTGTGAGGCGTTTTGTTGCTGCGGGGGTGGCCATGTTGAGCGGTTGAGCAGCGGGTGCAGTGGAGTGGAAGTGGAAGTGTATGGTAGATGCTGACGTTGAGCGCAAAGGCGAAATGGGTATAAGTAAGTGGCAGGAGATAAAGGAATCAGACGAATGTGAAAGGAAACAACGTGACTGCTGCACTGATAAGTGAAAGAGAGGGTCCCACGGCAGGCGCAGAAGAAAAGAGGAGATGTAGAGGCAGTGAGAGTGGAGCGCACCGATAACCCTCCCGAATACACCGACACGGTTGGGCTTAGTCAGATATGACGATGCAACTTTCGCTCGGAGCTCGGGGGTTGAGTTGATCAAGGTTTCCAGCGCCAGACCCCAGCCCGACGACTCCAACCGCCTCAATGGCCTCGCCGATAGAAGACGATGTGAGGGGAGACGCTCCTCCAGAGTGAAAGGCTGCTAATGGGGTGCGCAGGTCTTCGAAAGGCTGAAGAACAAGACGGACCCCGCCGAGCAAAAACGGCAGCAGGATGAGCTCAACGCGCGCTTGTCGGCGCAGCAGCACAAGTCGCAGGAGCGGCTGGTCGAGTTGGTACGCACTCTGAAAAATACGCAATTGGCTTCGCGAGGGCTATTACTAATGCGTATATAGATTGACGACAACACCGGCCTCCCAGTCACAATATCGTCGGTCCGCGTTCTCCATGCGAACCGCACGAGACGCGGTTTCCTCGAGCGGGTAGTCAACCCATTGCTGAGCGCCCAACGCGATGAGCCCTACACACTGGAGGCGGCCTTGAAGGAAGTTGGACACGCTACAGACAAGCTGAATCGTTTTGGTAGGATGGCATGCGACGATGAACTCGTATAGAACACGATTAACACCGGGCAGGCATCTTCAAGTCCCCCATATCAGTCTTCCTGGACCGCCCGGACTCCACAAATGCCTCTTCCTCCCCCACCGACATCGATGTCTACATTTCTGCACACGAGCGCGGCAACTACACCATCAAGACGGGAACAGAGGCTGGTGCCTCCGAGGCAGACGCCTACGTCCATGCTGAGCTGCGCAATGTGCTTGGTGGCGCAGAAACCATCAACGCACACGGATCGCTAGGAACGCGAACACGATCCGCCTATTCCCTTGCCTTCGACACGCCAATACTGAGCAACCCGGATCTCAAGTTCCAGGTCAACGGATTCGCAAGTTCGACGCTGAAGAGCTGGGCAAGTCACGAGGAGGTGCTGAAGGGCGGAAACTCAAAGCTGCTGTGGAGATCGAAGAATGGCCACCAACACGAACTCGGCTACTCAGGCATCTGGCGACAAGTGACCAGCCTGGCGGAGAAAGCATCTCCCTCTGTCCGTGCAGATGCTGGCGATTCCTTCAAATCAAGCCTCACGCACACATGGATCAACGACAAGCGCGATTACCCCCTTCTCCCCAGCAGCGGCTACCTCATGAAGTCTGTTTCCGAGCTTGCTGGTTTCGGGCCCCTCCAAGGCGACGTAGCGTTCTTCAAGTCAGAAGCCGAGTCGCAAATTGCTCTCCCTTTTGGAAACACCGGCATCACTCTGACTGCTGGCCTGCGCGGAGGTCTTCTCTACCCCCTAACTTCCTCTGACAACACCTCCCCCCAAGCATCCCGCATTAACGACCGCTTCCAACTCGGCGGCCCCAACAGCGTGCGCGGTTTCCGCCTCGGAGGTATTGGTCCCCACGACGGCCCTGACGCTATCGGTGGCGATGTATACGCAGCAGGAGGCGCCAGCCTTCTCCTCCCACTGCCCCGCGTCGGCAAAGAAACCCCCCTGCGCCTGCAAGCCTTCATCAACGGCGGCCGTTCACTCGCACTCCGGGGCCAGAGCAAAAATGGCGATCTCGGCGATGTAGGCGCCAGCATGAAGAAGACGCTTCAGAGCCTCACGGATGAGCTGCCCAGTGCGGCTGCGGGGCTCGGACTCGTGTATGCGCACCCTGTTGCGAGGTTTGAGATCAACTTCTCGCTGCCGCTTGTCACGAGGAAGGAAGAGGCTGCTAGGAAGGGGTTGAGCTTTGGCGTGGGCATTGAGTTCTTGTAGGTGTGGCGTGGTTGTGTAATAGTATTTTAGACGCATAGCAAGCAAGCAAGCGAGAGGATTCACTTTTCTCCTTGTTGCTGTTCATTCTACATATGTTGTCACTTCTTACTCTTCGTTGTTCATCTTTTCGTTTTTTTCATGGTTGAGCATCTTCGAGTGCAACCATTGTACTCAGTAGTGTTTGTCACGAAACACGAGGGTTTCATGTTGAGAACAAGCAAGTAGGAATGATAACGAGGCTGAGGGTGTTGTTCTTTGATTTCCTTGTTCCGAAATAGTCTGTGCAGGGCTGGCCTTCACTCGTCGGCATTTCATGATGTCCAGGTTGGTCCAAGTCTGCGTCGAACAAGTGGAGGTCAAACTCAGTCAATACAACGTTGATGGAAAACTTGCACATGAGGTTTTCAACCGTCAGATGATGGAAACAGCAATCGCAATTGGAGGTGATGATCAATCTCATGGCAAGCAGCTCGTCGCCACCAGCAAGCACAAGTTCTTCAGTGGTATATCTAGAGGGTTTCTGCACTTACAAGATGTTTACAGCCCATCTGATTCCAATCCTCGGTTCCAAGTTACAATCGTCACATAGCAACCACAATGGCACAGACAGTAAACGTTCAGTACGTCAACGACTTCGCGGCCCTTCCGTCAACAGCTCCTCCTGATCACGCCCATGTCGTCGACATCGCCACGTTCAGGCCCTCTGATGGCAACGTCAAATCCAACGTCAAGCTCCAGGATGCCGTCGTCACCATGCTCTACCAAATCTCCCCCGATACTCTCAGCAAGTTCTTGAATTCTGGCACTAGATCTTTCAGGCTAGTTAATCAGAGCGCTCATAACATTGCGGAGAAACTGGTCATCATCAAGAAAGGCAACGAAGTTCTGGCAAGTGAATCAGTACACCAAAACTCGAAACCAAATGGCTTACAAGTAAATTTCTAGGTCGGACAGTATACTGATCATACCGGACCTCCGCTCAGGGTATTTGAGTTCGACAATCTCGCTCGTATGAGAGTCGATCAGAGCGGTAAGTGGACAATCACTTATGGATCATACGGCGAGTACGTACGACGTGACTGGGACCAATTGTGGAATGGACAGTTTGTGGATGTGGGCATGTCGATGAGGACCATGGTTGCCAGCAATGATCGGGACAAGGCACACTTCGCATTCTCCGTCGCCGATTATATCCTCGCCAACTCTCTGTGGGATGCCTCGTCCTTTAACTGGACCATCACAGGTGTCTGATTGATATGTCGGTGGTGCGCCTGGAGGATTAGGTGTAGGTGGGTTTGTAGCATTATCTGGGTGACTTCGTAGATGCGTTTACATGGAGGGTTTCATATCACAAGGTAGAGGGTGGGAGTAGATGTCTCACATAACCACGGTCTTTACCGTCGAATCACATCAACTATGAGTAGATCTCATTGCATACGTCACCTTTAGATTGTGCTTCAGTGTTTGCACTATCCTCCTACTGGTTTATATGCTGTGATGGTTTGTAAACGTGTTTGCGGGTTTCATCATCTTTCCATCGCACCTGCCTCCAACTCTCACCTCTTCCGTCACCAAAACCGATACCGCAGCACTAGCGTGGGATTTACTACTACATAAGCCAGCAAACGACGTCCGAGTTTCTTCACGTTCTTTTCGCTCTACTCCGACGCTCATCCTTCACGTTCACTTCAACACTGTCAAGCCTCATCACTCATCGAGGGCCTGTGCGCCCACTGTTGTATGTATATATATCAACCTCTTTGTCTGTTCACGTTTGCTTCCATCTCAGTGTCGTCTCCTCACCGACACGCTACTGTTCTCGCTTGCTAGCCATCCGATCAATCTCACAATGACCATGCAGCTCGAACCAATACCTATGGAGATCGATTGTGTTGAACCCCCTTCTCCTGGGAGTGATGAAAGCCAAATCTCGTTTACCAACGACTATGAGAGCCTACCATCGAGTGGTCCACCCAAGCATGCCCATATCATCGACCTCGCCGGCTACGACGAGTGCGCCGAACTGGGAGGTACGATCAGTCTCCAAGATGCTATTGTCACAACGCTCTTCAATGTCTCACCAGAGACACTGTGTTCTTTCCTCAGCCCGACGGTTCACACTTTCAAAGCCATCTTCAAAGGCAACAAACAGCTGGTCATCTGGCGAAAGGGTCTCGAGGTCTTTGTAAGTGACCATTCTTCAACTCAGAATAACTCACTAATATGTATCCGCAGATTGGCTTGTTCGAGCATCACCAGTCTCTCAAAGTATATGGCTTCGAACACATCGCAGGCCTACTGATCGGATATGACGGCTCCTGGCACCTGAAGGTCACGGCCGGCGACGCCTACTCGAACCCCAAGTGGCCGGATGTATGGGCAGGCAAGTTCGAGAGCTATGGAGGCATTTCGAAGATGGTTGTCGAGCTTGACGAGGTGGGTATGGAGAGGCGTGCTTCGGTCATGGGAGAGTCGATACTCAGGGGCCGGTATTGGGGCTGCAAGAAGGATATCAAATCGACTTGATGCGGATAATGAACAGAGCAGGCACGAAGTCGAATATGTGCGATGGAAATCTGCGATCTTTTGATATCGTTGGGAAATTTAGTTGGGAAATTTGGTTGTAAAGACGGCGGAAGGCAGTTTTGATGCATGATTAGATCAGAGGAGTCGCTCTGTAAAGTCTTTGCGAAACCAGTTCTTGTGTATCTGGAACATGAATCTACACAATCATCACAACAGCCCAATCACAGCGAGATTTTCGTTTCTGGTCTGGAGCAAGCACAAGAACAGCTCATACACAGAAAAAAATATGATTGATCGACTTGATTAGTGTGTGTTTACGCCAACAAGCCCCCTCTCCTCAAAACGCCCAATCTCGTCCAGACCCACACCAAGGGAGAAAGAAACAAACGAAATACCGTCAGTCAGTCAATCAGTCACAAAGAACATTACCAAACCCAAGACTTATAATTCCCGCTCTTCCTTCCCTTTTTTCCAGTCATCCTCTCACTCTCACTGTCTGTCTGTCTTCCCACGCACACGCGCTAAACTCTTGAAGAAAAAAAAAATAAAAGTGTTTTGTCAAGAACCCATTCCATTTCCATTTCCATGTCCATCCCAATCCCATCTGTTCATTCATGAATTCATGCCACCTCCCCTTGCCCTGCCCACACACAGACACACAGACACATAAAAACACACACGCACACACACAGCAACTCATAATCAAAGCCCAAGCCCAAGCCAGAAACCACCCCACCCACCCACAATTCATCGCACCATCACACCATCTACCTCGTCTTCTTAATCTCCGTCGCCCACCCCTCAATCGCCTCCCCCTTACTCCCGACCTCAATCCCCAAATCCACACCCTCCATCCCCTTCGTATCCCTCAAAAACGCATGCCCCGCCATCCCCCCCGCATTCGCGCGATCGACCGGCAAAAGCTGCAACATGGGGCCCAAAAAGTCAGCGACCTGCTTCGCCTCATCAGCCGCAAAGTGGTATTTCTCATGCAGAACATCCGCAAGCGCCCAATGGCGTAACCGGTGAATATTGCGCAGTTCGCCCTTGCGATTGAAAATCTCCTGGCTCCATTTTCCCGAGAGGCAGAGGGATTTGGGGAAGATGCCGAGGAGCTCGATGATCTGGGCGATGTGGTCGTCGTCTTTGCCGTATTTTGTGCCGGATTGGGGGTCGAAGAGGTAGTCGCCTGTTATTAGCTCAAAGGTCTGTTTTCAGATATGTAAGTATAAGTGGTATTTTTTAGGGGGTTTAAGGTTGTGCGCACCATTGCGGCCATGCTCCAGACGTCGGTACTGGCGCCCCATTTGCTGCCGAGGATGACTTCTGGCGACCGGTACTGCCTCGTCTGGATGTCGTTGGTGAAGTGGTGCCCGACCCAGCACGCGTTTCCGAGATCGGCGATTTTGACGGAAATGGTTTCGAAGCCTAGTTCGGCCTGCTGCTCGCCTTCTGTCTTGGACGAGCCGCTGGACTTGTCGAGGCTGATGCCGGAGACTTCTTTGGTGAGGAGGTCGCTGGACGTCGTTAGAGATAGTTTACTATACTTGATCATCCGACCTACGCTGTCTTCTCGCGCTGTTTCTGCACGTCTTCTTCGTTGGCGTGCTTGATGCCGAGTCGTTCTGCCATGGAGAGATTTGCTCCCAACGACGAAGTGCCTAGAGTGTTACGCGTTACAAAATTGCCTGGGGAAGAAGGGCTCGCGGGGGAGTCTTACCTGTGCCCTCGTTGACGACCTTGTTCAGGCTCTGGGTGCCGGGGAAGTTTGCGAGCTCGGCGTGGTTGAAGCTCGCGTTCAGCGGACTGGGCAACGGCTGGCTGCCTGTGATGAGGGTGCGCCGTCGCCGCCTGCCGTTCCGGTCGGCGCTGTCGGCGGCGTCCTTTTTCTTGGGGGCGTCGTTGACGCACGTCTTGACAATCTGCTCGACGTCGCCAATCTCGATGAGGACGTTCTCGGGCTTCAGGTCGGTGTGGATGATGCCGCACTCGCGGTGCAGGTAGTCGAGGCCCAGCAGGACCTGCTTGGTGATCTGCTTGACCAGCGGCATGGGGATGCCGCGGTGGTTCCAGCGCTTGATCAGGCCCAGCAGGTTCTCGCCCAGCACCTCGAAGACCATGCACACGTGGACGCCGTTGGGGCCCTTGTGGTTGAACGAGTCGAGCAGGCTGACGACGTGCTTGCGGCCGGGGTGGTCCATCTTGGCGTCGACGACCTTCTTCAGCAGCTTGATCTCGTCGAGGGCCGTCTCGGTGTAGTGGGCGGCGGAGCGCACGACCTTGAGGGCGACGTGCTTGCCGGCCGTGTTGTCGCGCGACAGCCAGACGGTGGAGAAGTGGCCCCAGCCCAGCTTGCGCACAATCGTGTACTTGCCGTCCTTGTACTCCTCGCCGACCTGGACGGGGTGGTAGCCGCCCTTGCAGTAGTCCTCCGAGTCCTCCTCGTCGGCCGTGTTGTCGGCCTCGTCGGCGGACGAGCCCGAGTCGTCGGGCGAGTGGCTCATGGTGCCGGCGTAGGCCTTGTGCTGGCTGGCGGGCGACGCGGCCTTTTGCACGCTGCGGGGGGGAGGGGGTTAGCATGGGCGGGTGGGGTGCGTTGGGCGGGCGGGCGGGCGACTTACTTGTACTGGAACGCCGCGCCGCTCGCGTCCTGCTGCTGCTGCTGCTGCTGCTCGGTAGTAATAATAGGCTTCAGGTCCTGGCCCTTCCGCCGCTTCTTGCCGCCGCTCCCGTTCGCGGCCGACGCGACCTGCTTCGCCTTGTTGATGGCCGCCTTCTTGATGTCGGCGCCATTCATGCTGGGCTTCCCCGCCGCGCGCTGGCTGGCCTGCGGTGAGAGGGTCAGACGCTCCACACTCGACGGGCCGCGCTCATCGGCCGCTCGCTGGCGGGCAGAGGGGTCGGGGGCTGCGATTTCTTCAATTGCTGCTGCTTAGCGCTCCCCTCGCTGGGCCCGTCACGTCGCTGATTGGCGCACTGCGGGGTCCTGGGCCTGGCACGGCTGCGTCGAGGCGGCTGTCGAGGGCGGCGCGGCGATGCTGCTGTGCGGAGAGGCTGCTGTGCGGATGGCGATGGGGATGAGGATGCGGGTTGCTGGGCTCCTGGGTCCCGGTGGGCAATGCGAAATGGGACGGGGACTGGGACTGGGACTGGGACATGGGGCTTCGGCGAAGGCGGTAAGAAGCTGCCATGACATCAACGCCCACCACCCACGCACACACGCACACAACAGGGACCACGGCACTCCATCACAGCACTCGCACCACCCTTCTGCCAGGGCAAGCGCCCGAAATACCGCCTTGCTCTGCGCCCACTCACGCCCACCGCCAATCCGCTGCAGAGTCTGCGCACGCTGCCCGTCCGCCCACTGGTCTTGCAGTGTCCTGACATCGCGGCCAATCTCGATGCCCAACACGCCTAGTGAGCAACCATAGCGCATAGTCGGGGAGCAGAACATTCACAACCCTGTCCCATTACCCGTCGTCGTAGTAGGTACATAATACACACATGATATCCAAACCCAGACACCCGTCGCTATGCAAATAAACACCCTCCATCCACCCCGCTACCTCGCTGACACTGCCGCCATCCACTTCTGTTCGTCCTGCTTGTCAAAGTGCAGCAGCATCCCCAGCACCGGGATGAGCTGCTGCTGGTACTTCTTCTCCTTCTTCTCCAAAAACTGCAGCAGCACGTTCTTCAAATACACGTAGTCGATATCGCCTGTAGACGCCGCCGACGCACCCGCTTTGGGCGGAGGCGAGGCGAGGCGAGAGCGTGAGGACTCCATCGAGGACCGGGACGTCTGCGCGTTGGAGTCGTGCAGACGCGGCTTGAGAGAGCGAAGCTCCTCTGTCATTGTCTGCATTGTATCAGTGTCTGAACTTCTCACTGTACCAACACCTCTCACCTTGCTCGACTTTTGCAGCTTCTCCAGACGACTCTGTGTCTCGTCAAACGCACGTCTCAAGTCGCCCTTTTCCTTTTCCAGATCTCGCGCTTGCTTCTCGCTCTCGTCCAGAGCATCCCTCAGCTGGCCCATGGCAAGCCTGACTTCGTTCGCCTCCTCAGTCGCTTGCGCAGCTCGCTTTTCCAGCTCGTCCTTTTGTTTGCGAAGCTCTTGGTCTGCAGAGGCAACATCGTCCTTGTCTTCCACCGCCCTTGTCATCGCACGCTCAGCATCGCGAACCTTCTGCTTCAGCTCTTCCAGCTCTCTTGCCCGGCGACGACTAAATGTGCTAGCTTGTTCTTCGGCGCGTTCGCGCTCTTCGATTGCGAGGTCGAGACGTTCTTGCATGTCTCTCACCCGCCCATCGGCCCTGCCTTGTGCATCCGCCAACAGTCTCCTCATCGTGTCTGCTTCACGGCCGCGTTCGCTGAGCAGTCGATGCGCATCGGCAAGCTCTTCCTCCAAACTCTCGCTCTTTGCCCGGATCTCTTTCACCTGCGTGCCCATCTCTTGTGTCTGATCCTGCATGCTGTTCATGAGGTCCTGCGCACTTGCATACTGTGCTGACTTGAGCTGGATCTCTTCGCGCAAGCTTCCAGCGTCACGCTTGAGTTTTGTAACTTCTTCTTCTAGGTCGCGACCTGTGCTTCGAGCCGCCTTCAGCTCTTCAGTAGCCTTTGCCAGATCCTTTGTCAGTTTGTCGCGGGTCTCGATGACATCCTTCCTATCCGTCTCAGAATTCTGGAGATCTCTCTGAATCTTCTTGTTCGTTTCTTCGAGCGCCAGCCTCTGTGTTGTCTCCTGCTTGATCTTGTCGTTGAGCGCCTTGATGTTGCTCTCCTTGTCAGAAAGCTGGGAGCGGTACTCAGTAATTTCAGACTTGAGATCCCTTTCGCGGCCTTCGAGTCGTCGTAGCTCTGTACTCTTCGTGGCGAGATCATCTTTGGTAGTGCGCAACTCCGCGACCTCTTTCCGCAGAGAGCTCAACTCGGGCTGTGCCTTTTGTAGTATCTCTCTCATGTCTGTGAGGTCTTTGAATCGCGTCGCGGCAAGTTGTTCGGCAACGGAAAGATCGGTCTGCAGCGAGCCCGCCTTGGTTTTTAGGCCTTCGATTTCGGCCGTCAATGCCTTCTTGTCTTTCTCCGAAGAGTCATGAGTAGCTTTGCCGGTTTTCAGCTCGGCAACCTCCTTTTCAAGTTTAGAAAGACTCTCTTGGAGGGTCGCCTTTGCCGCCTGCAACTCCTTCACTTTGTCCTTTGCCTCTGTATGCTCTACACCGAAGTCAAGAAGATCTTGCCGTAGTGTCTCAATCTCTTCCTGCATATCCTCTTGATCCTTCATCTTTTTGTTGAGCATGTCGATAGAAGACGCTTTCCTCGTAACCTCGCTCTCGAGCGTTTCGATTGCCGCGATCTTAGTCTCCAATTCAGATTTGAGCTGGGCGACAGTCTCTTGGGCTTCCTCCAACTGAGATATCGAAAATTCCGCATCATGGGGACTGAGGAGCCCATTGGACTCCCCGGCTTCACTCGGTGTCGCTTCAGGAGTCGCAGTAGCGCCTGCATCGGGTCCCTTTCCACCCTTCTTATTCTTCTTCCTGTTCTTCTTCTTGGACGATGAAGTGTCGTTGTTTTGCGCTGGCGTAGCCTGAGGTTGCGGAGACGGTTCAGGTTTGCTTGTCGTGTTCTTCTTAGCCGCCGTCTCAATGTCCTTCTTTGCCTGCTCTAGATCCGCCAGAGCTTTGTCGCGGTTCGACATGGTATCTTTGAGTTGGGTGCGCAGGGTACTCATAAGGCCGTCCAGCGTCTCATTTCGCTTTTCAGCCTTCGCGTGAGTTTCGCGCAGTTGCGACAGATCGGCTTCAAGCGTCTCTACTTGGCTACGCAGTGTGTCCACCTGATCATTTTGCCCCACAGCTTTCGAGTCTGCGTTATGCAACTCGTCCAATTCCTGCCTGATCGAGTCGAGGTTCGTCTTCAATTGGTTGATGATCTCCTCGTCTACCTTGTGGTCTTCCTCATGCTTGGACAGATCCTGCTCCGAACTTTCCACTCTGGACTTCAGATCCACAATGATGCTGTCCAGCTCGGTCTGGCGTTCATCAGCATCTCTCTGCAAGCGCTGGTGGGTGTCCCTGAAGGTGTTCAGGTCGTTTGTGGTCGTTTCGAGATTCTTCATAAACGACTCGGCCGATTCTTGCGCCACGGAGAGCTCGTTCTTTAGAGACTTGTTCTCCTCCTCGAGCTTGACAGCTTTTTCTTCACTTTCCTGGAGTCGTGACTGTAGGCGTGGGAGCTCGCTGTCGTATGAAAAGAAGTCCTCCGTGTCGTCGGTAGTCTCAGTATGCTTGGTTGCTCTTGACGGCGAGGACGGCGCTTCGGATTCAGCCTGTGTGGTTGAATCGTCCTTTGCTGCCTCTGCGTTGGTCACAGCCTTGGCCTTCAGCGTCTCTGCCTCTTCTGCAGCATCTTTTGCACGCTTCTCGGCGTCCTCGAGCTTTTTGTTGAGCCCGTCACGCTCCTTCGAAATGCGCTTGAGCTCCTCCATGAGCATGTCACTCTTCACGTTCAATTGGCCGAGGTATTCGACAAAGGCTGCGGAGTCGTTGATGGAGGTCAAGGGGGTGTATTCGCGTAGAGAGCCTTCGAAGGCTTCGATTGCGCCGATGCGAGCGTGTGCGATGCGATACGAGCGAAGCAGCTCTGCGGGCAGTGTCAGTGGTGTGCACGTGCATGTCCAGTCGTCTCACCCACCAGAGTACTTGGGCTCGAGCTTGTCCAGCTTGCGCAGCCGTGTCTGCACCTCGGGCGGGAGTTCGGGCGCCGTGTCTGGCTTCTCGTCGGCTTCGGCGGGCTGCGCATCGTCTTTCTTGTCAAGGCCAGGCTCGGCTGCGGGGTCGAGCGGTTGCGCCTTCTCTTTGGGTCGCGGGGTCCCGGCTCTGCTCAGCTGCTCCTCTTCTTCCCTAGTGACAAACTCGGGGTCGAATTCGGAGGGGTCGGGCCCCTTCCCCGTGGGCGCTGCCTTGCTGCTGTCTCCATCCTTTGATCTCGCCGCCCGCGTCGAAGGAGACAGGTTCCGCGAGCTCGATCGCTTGGGCGTCGAGTTGGAGCGCGAGGGCGTCGACGGCGTCGTGGTTTTCTGCTTTGCCTGTTCTTCCGCGATGCGCGCGTCGATGGCGCCTTTGATGCGCTGCGGGCGCGGTTGTCAGCTTCGCACGGCGACTGGTCTTGCAGAAGACGGTACCTGAAGGCCCTGGAACATGTTTGCGGAAGACTATGCGACTAGGGGGTAGGAATGGGAGCAAGCACGGCGATCAAGGTCGCATGGTCACCAATGTACACCTGTAACCATGAGAGAGGCACGCTACGCTGCGGCGATCTGGGGACGACCGGCCTTAACGTTATGGGACGACAGGGATCATCGTTCGCCAACCACTAGGGCGCTTTGCCTTTTCTCACCACCACAAAGTTTTCCCTCGCCCACCACCAAGACACTGCAAAATGGCGAACGTCGAGATTGCACTACCGCTGCCCGTCCTGCCCGAGGGCTGGGCCGGCGAGAAGGACTTCAAGGCTGCCAGCCCCCTCAGCCAGTCCACCGACCGCAACATTGAGCCCGTGGGCCCGCACTTCCTGGCGTATGCCCGCCGAGTACGTCACCCGATATGCTGGCTGCACAATGCCATGCTGATTGTGACTTGCAGACACGCCACAAGCGCACCTTCTCCGAGGATGACCGCATCCAGGCTCAAATGAACGTCAAAAAGGTCGAGGAGGAGGACCCAGATGATGTTGACGAGCCAGAGACCCCGCTCTTGCTGCAGAGCCAGGCCAAGGACTGGAAAGTGAGCATGGCAGCAATCACCCCAGCGCGCACACATACTCACGTTCTCCCAGTCGCAAGACCACTACGCCGTGCTCGGCATAACCCGCCTGCGATACCGTGCCACCGAGGACCAGATCAAGCGCGCCCACCGCAAGAAGGTGCTCAAGCACCACCCCGACAAGAAGGCTGCTGTGGGCGGTTCCGAGGACGACCAGTTCTTCAAGTGCATCCAGAAGGCGACAGAAGTGCTCTCCGACCCTGTCAAGAGGAGGCAGTTCGACTCCGTCGACGAGAACGCCGAGGTCGAGCCACCGTCGAAGAAACAGACCCAGAAGGGCAACTTCTTCAAGCTTTGGAGCAAGGTGTTCGAGGCCGAGGGCCGTTTCTCCAACAACCAGCCAGTCCCCAAGCTCGGCAACGACAAGAGTTCCAAGGAGGATGTCGAGCACTTTTACAACTTCTGGTACAACTTTGACAGCTGGCGCACCTTCGAGTACCTTGATGAGGACGTTCCGGATGACAACGAGAACCGCGACCAGAAGCGTCACGTGGAGCGCAAGAACCAGGCTACTCGTCGCAAGAAGAAGACCGAGGACACTGCTCGCCTGAGGCATCTCGTCGACGACGCTCTGGCTCTCGACGAGCGTATCAAGAAGTTCCGCCAAGCGGAGAGCGCACAGAAGAACAAGAAGCGTTTCGAGAAAGAGGCTGCTGAGAAAGCGGCCAAAGAAGAGGCGGCCAAGAAGAAGGAGGAGGAGGCCAAGGCTGCCGCAGAGAAAGAGGCTGCCGACAAGGCTGCAAAGGCCGACAACAAGAAGACAAAGGAGGCCGCTAAGAACGCTGCGAAGAAGAACAAGCGAGTTGTCCGTGGTGCGGCCAAAGACGCCAACTACTTCCATGCTTCTGGAGACGCTCCTGCGGCTCAGGTTGAGAACGCCTTGAACGACGTCGATCTCGTCATCACGAAGATTGACAACGAGGAGCTGGCCACGCTGACCAGCAAGCTCAACAACGAGAAGGACGCCAGCAAGATCAAACAGATCTTCCAGGATGAGGTCCAGCGTCTCGTTGGTGCTGGCAAGCTGAGTGCGGGTGAGACAAAGTCTCTGGCTTAGAAAAGTCGACCATTTGGCGTTGGCATCTTCTCTAGACTTTTAGATTTTGCGATTCTCATGGTGATAATGACATTATGCTTGCTCTTTATGAGATCGCGCAAGCCCAACTTATCTGACTGCAACACGACCAAACCCGTCGCTGCTCATCCCAAGCTGATCAGAGATGCCCATTTTCACGTGTCGTCGTTTCGCGATCTAATCACAGGTGACGTTTGCACTAAAATGTTACAGGTCGGGCAGGGTCTGAAATCGTCACCAAGGCGCGACTTCCCGAACAGCCAAGCTCGACGATTCTGATTGAGGCAGTGCACTCGCCTCGCCTTCACTTGTCATGCAATCTCCACTTCCCATCTACACTTACATTCACATTAACATCCACGTAAGAATCGTACGGTTCCCCTGACTCTCATTGCGCTCGCGTGCCCCGCCATTTCTATTCCCCGCGCCAAGATCGTTCCTTCAGCACGCGACGGCACTCGACCCTCAGCGCCGGCAAGTTAGCCGTAGACGGGCCTCTCTGACGTGTTAAATCGCCGACGATTGCTTTCACTGGCAATCTCCGTGTTTTCGCTCACTCACTAAATTCACAATGAGCACTTCACCAAAGTCAAGAGGACTGCGCTATGCGCCTCCACCAACCCGCAAGACTGGGTCCGCGATGAACCCACTACTGGTCCCGAACAGCGGGCAAAACGAGCCACGGCGATCTTCTATCCAGTTTTTAGCACACAGAAATGCGTCGCTTCCTCGGGGAAGTCCAAAGCCTCGCGAGCGACGACGTTTATCATCACCTCCACCTCCTCCGTAAGTCTAGCTCCATATACACGTGCATTCGCAGCGGCCCTGGATAGTTCTGTGTCTTCTATTTCACCTTTTCTTGTGTTGCGCTGCTATCCTTCCTGAAGTACATGGCAAGCGACCCATATTGGTCGCGCCGTGCAGGTCGCGAGAAGCTCCCAGAGCGAGCGATACGTCTGACCGCCTCACCGAGGATCACATTCAATTGGAGCTAAGGTCAGAGACTAAACCTCGATTATAGTGCTTTCCAACCTCGTGTATCCTTCGATACATTCGACAAGCCCGCAGACTTCATCGAGGAGAGTTCGTTCACGCTGATAACGAAACACAAAGATTACGAGTACACCAAGCGGTCGAGAACGTTTTTGTGCGGGTTCGACGAGAACGAATACTCTTCCTATGCGCTCCAATGGCTCATCAACGAGCTCGTCGATGATGGCGACGAGATTGTGTGCCTCAGAGTGGTTGAGAAAGAAGACGCTATCGCTGGAGATCGTAGCGTAGAGACAGGGCGCTATCGCACAGAAGCTGAGACGATGATGAGGGACATACAAAACCGAAATCTCGACAACAAGGCCATCAACGTGATTCTGGAGTTCTCGATTGGGAAAGTGAATAAAATTATCGACGATATGGTAGGCTTTGTGGACATGGAAAAACAAATGGTGGTAGCTGACACCTAGCAGATCAATCTATACGAGCCGGCGATTTTGGTAGTTGGTACAAGAGGCAAGAGCTTAGGCGGATTCCAGGGCCTACTCCCTGGTAGCGTCTCGAAGTATTGTCTGCAGCACTCACCTGTGCCCGTCATCGTTGTGCGTCCATCATCAAAGCGCGACAAGGCGAGGCACAAGCGAGCCAACGACCCAGATCGACAAAGTTACAGTCACATGCTTGCCAAAAGCGAGAGTCTTATCGAGATTGATAGTCCTCGCAATAACATCATTACGGGTGAGGAGGCGGAGGTTGCAGCAGCCCCAACGGTGGTTGGATTCAAACAGGCTGTTGTCGATCGTAGTCCACTGGCACAAGTCTCCCACGCAGAGTATAGCGACGATGAGAGAGAGACGGGTGCCAACACTGCTGGCTATGACCTACGGAGCCCGGCGGTGCTGATGAAGAGCCCTGAGCTGCAAAATCTCGACAGTCCTGATCTTAGCGAAGATTCTAGCAGCAGCGACGATGAGGGACAGGGCAGCATACCTACGGATACTGCAGCTTCAAGGCCAGGCGGATTACCACAAATGAGTGGATTCAGCTTCGATACTGCAGAGACATCTGCCACCGAGGGGACTGGGTCCAGAAAACAATCGGGAACATTTCTCAACTATGGATAGGCAGTCGAAGCGTCAGCAGGGCAGAGGGAGTATGGGTGCACTTGGGCGGGTTGATACGGGCGTTTTCTGCAGGACATCATATCATAGCCTGGAGTTTCATGCTTGAGTAACACGCTGTTTGAACAAGTGACGGACAACGAATATCCTTGTTCATTTCACTATGCGGAACGCCAATAGTGTGGTACATCCAATACAAATTTGGAGCACGGATTAAAGATCGGGTCAATCTAGTTTGAAGAACAAACGTGAAATGTCGAGTGTCAGATTCGTGGTATATTCTCGTGTAAACTTGCCCAATCAATGTGACGACCCCGGATGACGTTACACGACGACGCGTACCTGGACATCTCTCACGGCGCCATTTACACAACACGATACATTACACCTTGATGCGCCACACAATCTCACTTTACCGCTGTCTCCATGGACGTGCACGCATCGCCCATAACTTGAACAAAGCGGTTTAAAGATATTCACCCTATTGTTTTCAAAGCGTCGTCGATGCTATGATTCCGTCGCTCAAGGACGACTGCGATGAGTGCGTTCCGGATTACATGGCTCACCGAGAGCCGATGTCCATGGCCATATCAGCACTTCCGTTTATACTGACGTTCTTGGTCGTCGCGTTTGTGGTATCAACCCGGCTGTTCCCAATCCTATCCGGCCACGCGGAGCGCAAGGCGCACCATGACAACGCGCATCTACCAGGTGTCGTCTCGCGCGAGAGACCTTCCATATTCAAGAGTCTGCGGCCCAATGCACGATCACTCGCTAGCGTGATCTTCTCGACAAATATCGCCCTCTCCACAGTCCTGGCTGAACTCATCCTCTGCGAGATATCGAACACCGTCAATCGTGCAACACGAACTCTCGCCCTCAAGATCACACTGCCGTTGCTCCTCTTCCTTCTCATTATCGCCACACCTGCGCTTGAGATACACTCGGTTGTGTCGGGAACTGGACTTGATGTTGGCGGAGCACGAAGGGGACAGCGGAGGTTAGCCTGGGTTCTGGAACTCTGTGGGCTGGCAGCATGGTTGGCGGGATTTTGGTATATTGGGAGGGGGATCCTGGGATCATATTTGCATCAGAACTTGGATGTGCATCGGCACACGTTCAGCGAGGGTTGCTTGGAGAGAATTGGTGTGATTGGGATTAGCCTCATGGCTTCGCTTGCTGGGTTTGCGGCTATCTCGTCTTTGTGGCAGACGTTTGGGGTGAAGTACCGGCAGGTGTCGGAATCAGACATTTCTCGAAAGCAGGCTGGCCTGTATGCGACAAACGACATGCTTCTGGCCAAGGAGAGCCGACTTCGCGCAGTCGAACGAAAGCTCTCCGACAACCCACAAGAAGGCTTCATGACCCGTGTGGTCGGTACCATCAGAGGGAACCCGGACGTCCAAGAGCGAAACACACTTCAGTTGGAGATACAGGGCCTCGAGGCTATGCGCCATACACTTCAGAACTCTCTCACCGTCCTCCATAGTCGTCGACAAGGCCAGCTTCGCTCGAACACTGCATACGGCCGCTTTCTCAACATGTGCTCGTTCGTCTTCGCACTCTACTGCGCGTACCGTATCGCAGCCACCACACTTACAACTCTCCGCCGCTTCTCTTCGCCAAATACCAGTTTCTCCAACAGTGACCCGATCAATAACTTCCTTGCTCTCTTCGCAAAGCACTGGGATCCCACTATCGATCGCGTAGCCTGGAGCCGAACAATCTCCTTCCTGCTCTCAGGCGTCATGCTGCTTCTTTCCTTCAACAGCGTGCTACAGACCTTCTACCTTTTCGCGCGCGCGTTTCCATCTATTCTCAACTACACCAAGTCCAACTTCGCACTACTCATCTCGCAGATAGCGGCGACGTATGTTATCAGCTCGGCCCTGCTGCTGAGGAGTAACTTGCCCGTCGAGATGAAGGGGAAGATTGGCGATGCATTGGGCGCTCCACTGGAGCCAGGGTTCACCGAGAGGTGGTTCGAGGGGTGGTTCTTGCTGGCTAGTGCAGCCACAGGCGTGGGGCTTTGGGCCGGGAGAAGGTTCAAGAGCAGTGGGTGGGAAGATGACGAGGACGTGGGCGAGGGGGATGTGGAGATGGGTAAGATGAGTTAGGACAATGCTTGTCAAAGCTCGATGGACGGAAGAATTGTCGCATGAATGTATGCATTATGAACATCGAACACTGATCATCTCGTCTGAGATGCACACTTCCATTGAGACAAGACGCGTCGCCCAAAACCTTCACTCGCATTGTGGTATTGGAGAGGTGCGCCGGAGATGTACCTCCGCGCAGTTCACTCAATCTCCATCAATAAGCACGCATGTCACCAAACACGGCCCAATCCTCGACAAAAACCTGACGTTATCCATTTACCCGATTACAGGCGCGATTCAGGCGCGTCAAGCTGACCGGCCGTGACGTCAGACGGAAGTGGGGCAGCAACTCACTGAAAAGCGACGTGGGGCAGAGCAGCACCGCATCTTCACACACACACACGCTCTACGAACCTCTCACCAAGCCCAAACACTTTCAAGTGCGTCTCCCCGCCACCACCAACTCCAAGCCAGTCCCAACAGCCAAAGCTAACCTCCCACCAGCCCCTACACACACACATCGTACGCCCTTCCCCCTCCCATCCCGTCCCTCCTTACCCCCCTCCTCACACTCCACCAGATGTCTGCCCCCAACCAAGGCCGCGAGTCCCCCGAGCCCGAGCGCCAGTCGGAAGCGCAGTCGGGCGCGACGTCGACGGACACGAACGACCAGGGCGGCGCGCCCAAGCAGGGCAACGCCCAGGAGAACAGCGATGACACCAAGAACTCGCTGCCTAGCAACCCTGAGCATGTCCTTGCGAAGCACTCGGAGGAGACGACTAGCAAGACGGTGAAATAGAGGAAGGGTAACGAAAGAATGGCTTGGGGCTTGGGCCTCGGGTGGCATGGAATACAATGAGATGAAATGAAATGAAATGAATTCAATTGAAATGAACTGAAATGAATTGAGTCGAACTGCGTTCAATTGATGGCTTGTGATGTTGATGTTTGTCTTGGGTGCGTGATTGACCCGATGAGTTGTTCACGGAACGGGTCCTTGATTGTCGCTTTGGTGAATACTATGTTTGCCTGACTGACTACCCTCAACTTGACTGATGTACCACGACTCGTTCGATTCATACTTGCATGTCACGGATCGAATACTTGCGTTTGTTCTCCGCTCCGGATAGCAAACACCGTGAACACTCAAACCCCATCTTTTGAGCATACGGTCATATACCAGCTAGTTTCTGAACTTAGTAGAATCATGCTGTCTAAGCAATTTTGCCCAATTTTTTTTTTTTTCAAAAAACATTTTTGCTCAAACTCAGCATTCTTTCATCAGAAAAAAAACAGCTGGTGGGGCGCTTGGTCTAGGGGTATGATTTTCGCTTCGCATTAACCAAAATGTCTGTGAAAGGTCGTGGGTTCAATTCCCACAGCGTCCAGATCTCTTTTTGCTCGACCTTTTGCCGCCATTCTACAGCCTTTTTGTCCACCGTCCCGTCTTTCTCTGTCCGGATTCGGTTAGACGTCTCCTCACGTGACGGGGTCTACACAATATGCGGGTGCAATTCCCACAATGTCCACTTTTTGCTTGCGCAGTTTTTTTTTCACTCTTTTGTCACATGCGATAGATAGTATGGGTACTGCGTCAGTCAAGCGGAAAAAGGAGCACGGAGCTGTTGTCGGAATCATGGAATCTATTGTTTGCATTACATTATACATTATCGTTACCACTGCATACCCAGCAGCACTGTTGATGCAAACATCGCGACATACTGCCACCCAGGCATGGCAAATCCCCGACCGCCACCCGATGTCATTTGCGCCATCTGCGCTGGGACATCCGTTGTTGACCGCGCACCCAACGCTGTGCTAGTCTTCGTACTTGATGCTTTGCTCGCAACTGACGACGAGGACGCCTTTCCAACCGTGATACTATCGTAACTGCCCGTCGTATCGCTGTAGGTGTAACTGGCGCCTGGGTTGTAGTTTTCGACCTCAATCTTCTCGAGATACATTGTGAACGGGCCTTGGGTGTAGTCTGTCGCGCCGCCCGCCCACTCGATCGTGCCTTCGCTGTTGCTTGAGTCGCCGCCTGCCCAGCTGCCGATGCGGATATCCATGGGTGTTTGGGGGTAGTTCCGCCCGCTGACGGCGTCGGCGTAGTTCAGGGTGCGAGTTGCGACGCCATCAATGTACCATGTCGTTGCGCTCTGCGTCCACTGAATGGTGTAGTTGTGGCTTGTTGTTTGTGTATCAGAAGTAGCGGACCAGGCGGCGCGATCGTATGTCGTCGTGTTCCCCTTGCCGAAGTAGTTTGTCTGCGCCTTGTCTGCGCTGCCGCCAATCCACTCCCAGTCCACCTCATCCAGGTCGTCGGATTGCAGGATCGCGGAGCTAACGATGCCGGTGCCCGAAGCCGCTTTCATAACAAAGGATACGCGGCCGAAGAAAATGTACCAGTTGGATCTTATGGTTGGGCTGTCGCCGGATTTGCTGACTGTAAACGCCGCGCCTTTGCTGCTGTAGGTGACGCTTCCAGATGTGACATTCCAGGCTAAGTCGTCGGCGCCGTCGGCGGTAAAGTCGTGTGTGTATGAGCTAACTGAGAGACCAATGTCGGCGGAACATGCTGAGAGCGTGTTAGTTGTGCAACCCAGAGTAATGTGTGCGATTTTGTGCGCACACATGGAAGGGGATAACATACTCTTTTCGGTGGGGTTACATGATGTTGTCGTTTGAGCGAGTGTGTGAGCACTGTAGAGGAGAGTGATACCGGGTATCCACTTTAGGAGCATGATGGCAAATATGGTATATTATGTTGTTGACCAATCAAGGGAAATTAGAGAGCGATGCGATGAAAAGAAATAATGATGACTGGGAAATGATACTTCAAAAACAATATGAGGCGATATTAAGAGGATATTATATGCACTTGTCATGAGGCGTCGTTGGACTTACGCAATGTCTTATGCGTCCTCTCCATGGCTGCTAGCGCTGAAAACAGGCTAGCGATTAAGAACATGTCTATCGCAACATGTCTGAAGATCTTTAGAGCCGACAAAAGGTCTGGGTTAAAGGCTTGACCAGGCGCGATATCAGGTACCGGAGTGATGTGAGTGGTCAGGATTGTCTGGAAAGCGCCAGTGTTCGTTGGATGTGGTGGGGTGGCGTTGTCGACCAGATTGCGCAGTGTTCAACAACCAACCTCCCGAGTTTCTTGACCTTGTGCTGCGTGCGCACGATCGCTACCCAACCTTCCACCCAGCCCTCCGCTCAGCCTTCCAATTCATCATCGGACCGCGCGGCGATTTTCAGGATTGTTTAACGGCAGATCAGTTCTGATAATCGCCGCGCAATCTGGTAGGAGGCCGTCTCGGATTGTGATCTGTGCTCCTCTCCGCAACTCCGAATAATAACATCCTATTCTTCCTTCGCGAGACATAGGAATGCGATGCTAGCTGGTTAGCGATCGTGTGCTATAATATGTGATCGAGATGCAATTTAAGCATCATTTGTTGTTACCTTTCAGAACGCGCACAGACTGACCAGACGCACCGCGTTCGCAGCTTTGGTGACTCGGTCAACTGCAAAAGCGGGAAGTAAGCTGCATTCTTTGTGGCTCCTACAAGCTGCAAAACTACACAAGTAAAATACAAAAATGTATACGTAAGGCGCATACAGTTACAAACCTAGGCGCAAGATTTTTACACTAAACACAGTTGCAGTTGTCAAGCTGTTGCGTGATTTTGCTGCACCTTGGTTCCTGGTATTTCGATTGACCGAGAGGGTGAATAAAGCTGTCTTGTCAGGCATGTGGTTACTTTCTCCACATCAATGTCTGATGCCCACGATACGGACGACGATCGACAGGAGTAAGGCTGAAGAGGATATGGGAAAGTGTACAAAGAAAAAGGCAAGTAGAAAAAGTAAACAATACCACTTTTTGAGTGCTGAGCAGCTTTTGAAATGTTGTGCAGTCAGACACAGCCGACGAAGTGATATTGTTTTTGAGGAGAACAAACCGTATCGCTCATCTTACCTACGTGCAATGCACTACCCCAGGCGATTTTCAGCTTTAAAGTAGTCCCTAGACTATCGTGTTCATTTGTTCCGCTCCATGTTTTGTAACGAACGACTTGGTACGAGATGGGTCGTAGAGAATATGTGAATGTCGATCAATGCTCAACACTGTAAAAGAGCAAACAGATACATAATTTCGCCGTATGCTTCTCTATTAGTTACTCTGACCAAGGTTGGGGAGATTGTTCGACTGAATTTGACATCTCGACCGATGGTCAGATGTGTTCGCCCAGAAGAGCGTGGGTCATCATCAAGCAGGCAGTCGTGTTAACGTCAGACTATCGATTCTATTCATGATGCTAGACGTAGCCGCGAAGGGTGACACTGGGACGTTTCCAGGCAGCCTCGATATTTACGTTATGATAGGTCCGAATTCTGCTGCCTTGAGACAGTGACGACGACACCAAAGAAATCTAGAGGCAACGGGTTTCGACCAGGAGACACGCATGAGAACAGCTGAGGGATTTACGTACTCCGATACGCTACATCTTCAAAACGAAGTATGGCCATATGTTCGATTTATCGTGTGACTAGACTTTCGTGGAGTCTCGCAGGCAGACGCATTTGGCACGGAACTGTTCTGGGTAATAAAGCAGTTACCTGGGGTAATCAAGTGATCCGGCCTCCGACACACAAAGATCGTCGGAACTTAGAGTCTGGAATGTCCAGTGAAACTAGGCCCAAGAACCCAAGGACCGAGTGTCCCATATTACACCGGAAGTGCTGTAACGAGCGCACGGTCTTGCTATATCACGAAACGTTAGGATTCCGTGCTGCTTCATTCGTGCTTCGAAGGCAGTAATCCTATCCCAGGCCACGCAAATCTTCCGGTGGTGTCTTAATATGGGTAGAGAGGATGTGTAGCGGCATATCGTGGGGTTGTCAAGGGTGAGCCCGTTAGCGGCCCAGGGAATAGATGAACGCCGGATGCTTCCAGAAGGTACCTTTTCAGCGGCGCCTTGATTTGCAAAAAAGCACTCGATATTGCGCGCGGTGGTGGCAATATCAGGAGGAATACGTAGATACATGTGGAGAGGCCGAAAGGGGCAGCTGACTCTGGTGCTCCGAAGACGCTGATAGGAAGCTGACGGCATCCTACGACACACAGCTGTGTTTCGTGTCGCCACTGAGCTGTGGAGTGTCACGGCGGGCCAGCGATTCAGGTCCTCACCGTAATACGCCTCGAGTCTGTAGATGCAGATGGATACTCTCCCACATGCAGGACTTATGGGCAGGCTTCACAACGACTACCAGCACAGAGGCGAGCTGCACGGCAGGATAAATGAGCCGTTGGACGTGGGACACGTTATTGGAGTCGCAACGTCCCCCCTGACTCTGCTCGGACGGACTCCGAAAAGGGTTGGTGAAACAGGCGGCCCGGCGGGCGGAGTGTCGAAAGTAGGGGACCAAGGAACCTGGTATCCTACGCTAAATTAAGCAAGTACGTAACCCTTGGCGCCTCCCACATGCAGGCAAGCGTCGATGACAGGGGCGCAGTCGACCCTTTCCATAAAGCACGCCTTGAGGCCACCTGTTAAGTTCTTTCGTAGCCCACTCATATTCAACCACTCCCTTCACCCTTCCAGATGCACGCAACTCCGCATCGACACTTACAGGAATTATGGGGATGGACCAAATTTTCGACACTTGCTTCTCACAAACAATAAATACGCCCACCATGATGGCATCACGACCTCTTACCCCACCTATGACTGACGCTGTTCCTACCACAATCAAAATGGAGGACCTTCAGGTACCATTTGACGTACCATCACCAACGCCATCTGCCTTCACTTCGGCGTCACAACCGGGCGGAACAACACCTACACCGTCCGGAAGCGAGTCCAAGGCAGTCAAGAAGCGGAAATCATGGGGCCAGGTGCTCCCCGAACCAAAGACTGCCCTGCCTCCACGAAAGCGAGCAAAGACCGATGACGAAAAGGAACAACGACGCATCGAACGAGTAAAACGTAACCGTCTCGCTGCCCACAACTCCCGCGAGCGTAAGCGTCAAGAATACGAACTCCTCCAAGAAGAGAAGGACAAGATGGACGCCGACCTCCAGTACTGCAAACAACAGCTGGCTCAAATGAAGGCCGAGCTCGAATTCTTTCGTACCAAGTATCCTGGCGAAGCAGTAGAGTCGTCTGTCGTATTCGACCCTACCACCTCATTCACCACAGAGGCGCCTGACACCATCTGCCCTGCGCAGACATCGACGTCCTTCCCTAGCCCCGAGTCCATGGACTCTATGGATTCACCCTGTGATTCCCTCTCGCCAGAGACGCCAGTCTCCTTTGAGGCCACTCTCGACTCCGACTTGACACAATATCCTGCCGTGGTATTGTGCGACCTGCAGTGTCAGTCGGTTTCGAGCATGGCCTCCCAGTCTCTGGCGGCGATCTTGGCCTACCTTACTCTTTTTCACCTCTACCTCCAGTCGACGAAAAACCTCAAATGGAGAACCTCTTCGACTTCGACCAGTTCCCTGAAGCACCTGCTTCAATGGAACCCTCTACTGGCCTTCCTGATTCCGTCGACTTCTTCGGATCAGCCTTCACTGGCCACAACTCAAACCCATTCCCTTATGGTTTTTCTGATGGCTTTGATGCAAAGTTCTCTGACTTGCAGAGTGCCTCTGGCGCAACTTTTGTTAGCGACGAGGCTCTCGCAGCGGACTACTAGCGTCAAAGACGTTACGAAACCCAGTGAGGGGATGATGCGAGCTGGGTTTGTTGATGGCGTCCTTCGAAAACGATTGATGAGGGCAGGGCACGGGCAATTTGGTCGGCGTAAGGGGGTAACATCATTGAAAAGAGACATTAAGCGCTCCATAGGGTCACAGGGAAGGGAACGGATAGGGTGTGGTATCACAAGGCGTCGGCAGGAGTCATGAAAGGCGGTTACACTGTATCAATAGCTTCAATCTTCTGGCCATATTTTTGGTACAATCTTCCTGGGTACATTCCTTGGGGGTTGATCATGGCGGAAAAGATAGCACACCAAGGGCTGGTGCCTTTCGTATGAAGCCAGTTTATCGCGTTCAACTACCTTACTTCTTCACTATGTCTGACGATGTGATGCCTTCTCTCTTCACTGACGATCGCATTACTCCACCTTCCTTTCAGCTCTATGCGACTCGGCCTTCGTAACGCTCCACTTCGCCCACCTAGTTGACGCCAGCACATCGTATGCATGCTGACACCATCACCGCTCATTGCTATCACAGTCTCACCGACCAAGTTTTGCAGCACGACCAGGGCCATGCATAGGTCTTCATGCATGCAAGTTCGCTAAGCTAGGCGGCCACAGAAGCAAGCCCACATGCAGGGTCTAGAGTTACATTCAGGTCTATTCAGCAAAAGCAGACATGGCACTGCCGATCACGAAGCACCGCACACACAAAGGCAATCTGTGGAGATAATTTCTCATTCATGATCTCGTCATCTCGTAGCTGTGTAGCACTATAAGAAGTATCACTCGATATTGCTCCTTACGCCCCGTCGTAGTAAGCTACCCCGTTGATGCATGCGTGCATGCAAGCTTACTTAGACTCCTTCTTCTCGTCTTCAACGACCTGCTCGCCAGTAGCGGTCTGCGATGCAGCACCGCCGGCGCCGAGTCCCTCGATGGCTGCACGGTGTTAGCTTTGCATCTGGCGACTAGGTCGGATCCACGGCTGACGTACCGTCACCCTTCTCGATCTCGGGCATGGGAGCGACTTTTTGGGTGTGCTTAAGCGTGGTCTGGGGATTGCCGGTTAGTACCTGCGCGATATGATTGAGGTGTGTGATAGGGTGGCACATACATCCCCAGAGCTACCGTGGACGATGTTCTGGCCCTCGATAGGGCCGTTGTCGGAAGATCCGTCACCGTTGCGAGGCATGTTGTTGATGGTTGGTTAGGGAGTTGGTGGTTGATTGAAGGAGAAAATGTGCTTGAGTGCTTGTGTTCTTGTTGAAGTGGCCCTTCAAGTCCTTTTTAAACGCGAAATTCTGATGATCGTCGTTTGTGGACGAGGGTCGATGAGTGATGTCATGGACGTCATTTCGACCCAGTGACCCACCAAGCCCTGACGATCTCATCTGTAATAGAGGGGCATCTTGCGCTGGCCATCGCGGATTCGTGCCTGAAGATCAGGTTTCGTGGGTCGTAGGGGTCGTACAGTATGATCTGGAAGCTTCGAGTGCAAGTGATCATCTTGGTAGACATAATGTATTGTTACTGAACAATAGATGGGATGGGTATTTCAAAATCAAAAACTCCTACTCTAGAGCTCATCAAGGCAATTGTAAAGCCTCAATTTTCGCACTCGTTTGTCGTCCCTCAATCAACTCCGTCAGCACGAGTCCTGTTCCTGGCGCATGCGATATCCCCCAGGCACCATGCCCTGCAGCGATAAACACTCCCCCCTCCTCCCCACCCCTAGTCATCAAACCTCCGAGCCTCTCGTCAGGTATGCGAGACACGATAGGGCGACCACTCGATGTTACGGGACGAAAACACTACCATAAACGTTAGCATGAAGCTCCAAGTCGACGCTGAGTAGAGTGACATACCAGGCCCTCCCTCAAAACCTTAATCTCTTTCCCCGTAACCGTCGACATGACAGCTCTCGCGCACTGCTTCAACTGCTCTATCGCCTTCTCATCAGCCTTCACGTCTGTAGCCACATCCGGCAGTGGAATCATTGTGGTATTCAAGCCCGCAAGATACAACTCCCCGCCTAGCCTCGCAAATAACTCTGGCGAGAAGCCGAGCGTATCTGTCGCGAAGACAGCATGGCAGACTTCTTTCTCAGGGTCTTGAGACCTGAAGTGTGGGTTCCGCACGAGCAGCGAGTGCCCGGCTAGAGGCGATATGGGGATGCGAACTGTAGCGGAGGGAAAGAGGGAGTTGAAGATACGAGGGGTCCAGGCACCGGCGGTGATGACAAGCCGAGTGCACGGCACTGAAAAAGGTCAGCTGTAGTCTGTACGATGTAGAGATTGAGGGCTTACGGTACGCATCTTCTCCCTCGTTGCTTATCCGTACGCCATTCAGGACACCACTCTCATCCTGCATGAGTCCCACGGCCTTCGCAGGATTCCATACATGCACACCCCTCTCCTTTACCCTCTCCAACAACCATCGACAAAACCTCAGAGGATCAATCTGCGCCGTTGTGCCGCCCCGTGATATGATCTCTACTCCGCCATCCTGCACGCATCGCAGCCATTCTGGTCCGGCGAGCCCCTCTTCCCACGGCCGATTGTGACCAACAAGATTCACTCGACTCGTTCCGTTCTCCAGCCAGTCTTCTCCACTACCGCTGACCGCTGCGTCGTTGTCGTTCTGATTGAGGGATATCCCGGTGCTTTGGGCGTATCCCCATGTTGCGCGACCCGCGTATGCGGATGCAAGGTCGCTGTGGAGTTTGAAAGAGAGGGCACCGAGGGAAGAGACAGAGGGCGCAAACCCTAACAGCCACAAGTCAGCATATGTGTGTGTGGATGAAGACTAACAAGAGGGGTGGAGGACATACAATCTTGCGCCAGAAACCCGCCTGCAAGTCCCGACGCGCAGCGGAAGAGCTCAGGACTCGAATCAACGAGGCAGATACTTTCCGGCTGTGTATTCCCGCTCCCACTCAAATAATACGCGGTGCACAAGCCAATGATGCCGCTCCCCAAAATCACAGTTGTAGTGTCAGACTTTGTGTTTGGGCTCATCGTGTGTTTACGCGCGGGGCAACGTGGGGGTAACCAGATCGAATAACTACCGGCATCATCTCACATTCACACACACACCCCCTCGATCCTTATACCTGCGCGCATACTGATGAGCGCGGCGCATGCATCCGACGTGCGAGAAATCGTTGGGCAGCGTAGCCCGAGGTCCAGGAAATATCATACGAGACGTTGCGAATGACATGCCAAGCTGCATCTTTGTGAGTCGACATGGCCTGATTATATGGGCAGATGAGGAAGATGCCGTACTTGACCCATGTGGATTTATATGGGGAAGCTACTAGCATCTATGCAAACCTCGGATCATTTAACACGTTACACAGAAACTGCAAGTCATGCGATTGGACAAGTCATGGTGGTGGTCGATCGTAGTGGCACGATCCACAGGAATGAGCGAAATAGGCGTGGGGATCGTGTGCGCGACGATCCCAGGAATGAATGAACGACGAAGAGCCGAACACCTGGAGACAAAACGGGGACAGGGATCGGCACACCATAGCTGCAGAGTCGTGAAATAATGTCTTTTGTTGCTGCTGCCGTGAATCTATGAAGTAAAGTCTGCTTAGAAAGAATGATCAAATCCACCTGCATGATCGTACTCCATATCCAACTTATACCATCTTTGGATACCATGTGAGGGAACTCGGCACGGAGACCGTCAGATCCCTACCACCTACACACATGAGCTGCGCACTTTCTCGCCGGCATCTGCCACGAGATCGCTATCTACCAGCTCTATGTCGTGGAATATAGCTTGGCTCTTGCGTTGAAGGGTGGTATAGGCTTGCATGACTTCCTCTAGGCTCTCGTCCTCAGCTCGAGGATGAGCAGCCTCCAAAACAACTTCCTCGATTCGGACCGGCTCGACATCCACTTCGACATTCTGATTCAAGTGGTTGTGGGCGAATTCGACCGATGTTGGTCCAGACTCATTGATATGCATTGAAGTGTTGATCATGTTCTCACGAGTCTCACCGTAGCCGGTGCCGTCGTACAGGCCGTTATGATTGCCCCAGATGTTCTGCCGCGGGCCCAAGTCGACAGAAGTCAATGAAGGTGAGGCGGATTTTTCCCAGACGATATGCGTGATGTTCATGCGATGCTCAAGATGCTCAACACTATGAGCCGGAGAATCGTTCTCATTCGGTGCGCAACTGTCTGCGCTACGGTGGGTGGTTGTTCCGGAAGTCTTATCCTGGTCATCGAGACGAAGAGGACGTCGTCCATGGATCTCCTGGTCGGAGTGGCGTCTGTCAACTACATAAGAACCTTGGGTAGTTTCGACATGCTCAGTGGTATCTCCGTTATTCACCAGAGGAAAGTAGTCCGAAGATTCCTGCGCATGACGATTGTCAGAGTAGCACACGGTATGGTTAGTTGGGATGTCCTCGAAAGTGAGGTTCGTTCCAGGCATGGGCGTAGGAAGTAGATCACACGGTGCCGGACTCAAGGGTGGGGAAAGAGACGTGTCAACTGAATCCAACTCGAAAGCCCTCTGCATCGGGCCTGGCGAGATTGGAATCGTCCCGGCGAGTAGGTTTGATGAATGAGAAGGCTCTAGCGTGGCTGTGTTTGGAATTGGCATGGGCGACGAACACTGAACCTCCAGACTGGAAGTTGTCAGTATACTCAATCGGGAAGGGAAAATGAGTCGGAGATCGTAGGCCGCAGGCCCACAAGTAGCTCATGTTGTTACAGGTATGCCCCAAAAGTCAAACTACTCCAGACTAAGGCACACATCATCTTGTGAATGTAACTCACGAATCTGAGCGGTCACGCGAAAGAATCTCGAACATAGGACGGCCTGGTGGAGATTCTTCGAAGTTGAGCGCAAGCGACTGTCTCATGCCTCGAACTGGGGTACGAGGGCTCTGCAAAACGCGTTAGCAGAGCCTGTGAACATACGATAGGAGCTTGGTACCTCAGGCTCAGTTAGGATATCACTTCGATCTTTGGTCTTGCTGGGAGGCGATTGCATGTTTCGCAGTGAGCCGATGCGTCGTAGCGATCCCATCAATCTCTTACGCCTCGAGGGACTGTCCCTACTCGGGGAAGATTTGTGAACGTCAGGACTGGCAGAGGATACGTTGGACGTGCACAAGCCGAACTCCTCGAGATTGATGGGATCGTCCGCTTTGATCTCATCAGATGGAGGCTTGGTATTTTCGTTGCTTGTGATTGTCAGGACACACCCATCGTGGACAACATTTTGGTGTAACACTCACGAGGAAGGGTTCTGTGTGTCGCCGAAAGAATAAAGTCCCGAGAGACTTTGTTTCGCCCGAAGTGTGAGGCGTTGAAGACTCATGATTGATCACTGGTGCTGTCCTGTGGAGACAGTGCTGGCTTTGGCGCGGTGTAGAAGCTGTGTAGTCAATGGGATGATGACAAGAAGCGAAGCCGAACTACTCTTGGGACTCGTTCCTGCACTACTATCTCTGGAAGTTTGTTTGTTGACATAGAAACAGGCCGTGTCTTGGTTGGCAAGAAGCATGTACATGCTGATTGCAGATTCCAGATTTGTGGCCGAGAGGGAGATATCGGGTAGTTGATTCCATGATTACGGGAAAGCAGGGAAAACGATTGCGACCAGTAGGTGCAAAGGGTAGTTATGAGAAAGAAGAGGAGTAAAGAAAGGTACCTGCGATGTGAAAACACGTATTCAAGATTGACTGTTAGTTCAACTGACCACTGCAACAACTACTGTGCCGGTAATCTCCTAAACGTTAGATTTCACTTCAAACCGAACAGCAGTTTTTGACTCCTTGATTGTAGCATATTCGGCGTCAATACACCTTCCAGAGCGCATTTTTTGTTTTAGTAGACCAGTGAGTTTTGCAGGCTACGTAGCCCTATGATAAGACTGCAAATGGGACAATTCATCGACTGTATGCACGATAGGGTTTCCAAGCACTACACCAATGTTGTAGCCCGTTGCATCATTTGCTCTTTGCCACCAGTTGGGCGACAAAAGAAGCCTCATTGGTAAGTGAGTGAATGAGGAAAGGTGGTGTCCAAGATGTGATGACTTGGAGATGCAGTCACGTGATGTGGTACGTGCAACCCCTGCTCGACACGTCCAGGAAGTCGCGAAGCTCACTACAGCTCTTCCACAGCTTCAGTCGCTGTTCTCACCGATTGCTCCTGCTACTACCAAACCATTTCAACACCTTTTCGTCTGACCTGGCATAGACTTTGGTCTAGATCTGCGCACCGACCAAAGTTCTCCCGCCCATTTGCAATGGCGCGTGGCCGACCTTCGCGAGCGGCAGCTCTTCGCAGCACGCCTGCCCGTAGCGCAACTCCACAACAATACAGCGACGACGACATGATGGATGTGGACGCCCCTGAATCGCGCGCAGAAACGCCCAAGGAGGAGGAGGAAGATGGCGACAGTGTCGCGCAAGAGAGCGACGAGGAAAAGGCGCCCTCTGAGCGCTCGCCGTCGCCAGCAGTCGTGCAACCCTTCCCGCGCAAGAAGCGACTTGGTCGACCGCCTAAGAATCGGCCACCGGACTGGAATGCGCCCGAGCCTGAAGTCTCCGAGGGAGGCACGCCCATCAAGCGCAAGCGAGGGCGCCCTTCCATGCGAGGACGCCCGCCCAAGGGAGGGCCGTCGCAGGCCAGTCGCGTCGCCATTGACAAGGAAGGTACCATGATGGACGTGGTTAATGATGAGGTCGATATGCCCGAGGATGCAGAGGGCGAGGAGAAGGTGGACAAGTCGGGAAACCTATTAGGTGGCCGAGACTATCGCGTACGAGTCTTCACCATCAAGGGCAGAGGCGATCGCAAGTACATGTTGTCGACAGAGCCAGCCCGTTGTTGCGGTTTCAGAGACAGTTATCTATTCTTCACCAAGCACATGAAGCTATTCAAAGTCATCATCGACGATGCGGGAAAGAGAGACCTGATAGATCGTGAGATCATTCCACATTCGTACAAAGGTCGCGCTATCGGCGTCGTCACTGCACGTTCAGTCTTTAGGGAATTCGGCGCACGCATCATCATTGGCGGCAAGAAGATCATCGACGATTACTACGTGACGGATGCGAGGGAGCGAGGCGAGGTTGAGGGCGAGCTCGCAGACCCAAATGATAGACTGCCACCTCCAGGAGAACCATACAACAAAAACCAGTACGTTGCTTGGCATGGAGCGAGTAGTGTATACCACACCGGTGTCCCAAGCGTCCCGACAGCAAACGGCAAACCAGTACCTGGAAAGCGGAAGGTCAACATCACATCTGCGAACTGGCAGTTCGAACATGGCCGAGCAGCAAGGTGGGTGATAAAAGCAAAATTTATACTAAGCTTGTTTACTAACATGTTACAGTCGCTTCAACTCGAATCTGTCTGCATTGCGAAAGGCAAATCTCGAGGGCGTTTACGACCCGCATACCAACCTAATGTGCTATCCCAAGATTACACAACCCACACACGCCCGATGGGAAGAAGTCTCCACCCAAGAGACCGATGTACCCCAATTGGTGCGCCGCAAGTACCTCGTGGTAGACGCAATCTTCCAACAACCACCTTTCGCTGGCTTAGGCCTACCTGGACCCGATGCCAATTTCCTTGATGTTGGTACTAACGGTCTGCCTGAATTGACTGATGAGGACATCGAGCAAATGAAGCCTGAAGAGCGAGAGGTCTTCACGCAAGCGAAACAGGAAGAACAAGAGTGGCGCAGTCAATGGGGCGGCGAAACTACTGACGGCGCACGATCGAAGCCGAGAATAGGATTCGTTGGCGTTCCGGTGTAATAGGTTTGCCAAGACGTGGAATTTCAGGATTATAAGGGCACATGATACCAAGGTAATTGTTTGACAGCACGTTTAGAACTACAAACGCAAGAAGAGTTTAGGCCTAAAGTTACACATTGATTCAACTCTCATCTTGCCTTGTTCGTTCCTCACTCCAATCATGTCTGCCTCGTACGTTACTTTTTCCGATTCTCGTTTATTGATCGTTCTGTGCTGCAATCACACTTACAGCAATGCCTACGCTCCAATGATGCTTCTCAAGTGGGACCATCGTCACCATACATGTGTTGTCACAAAGTAGCCTTCCTTGGCAGATTGGCTTTACAAACAATCTAGAGGTCCGTTTGAGAACATGGAACCGGCAATGCAAGCGGACACATACTTATCACAAGGCCTCAAGCAGCGGCGAACTCGACGAGATACCTCACGTCAGCCGTATAGAGCGCCTCATACATATTGGACTGAAAGGACTCCTGGAAGCAGCGGAAATGCGAGGGGTGCGGAAGGACTGACCGAGAGTGGTTTGATGTAAATGAGGCACACGCGGTGAATGTCTTCCAGAAGTGGCAGAAGTGGATCATTCAGAAGCCGTATGCACTTGACCCCAAATCAGGGGAGTGGACCATCAGACCCGAGATGTTGGATACACTTGCGCAGGTTTGTGAGCCTGTGTCTATGCCTGTGGAGGCGAAGCAGCAGTTGCCATCATGGAGGAATAGAGGTGCAAGAACCAAGTCAATGCGACGGCCTATACGACAAACGATCTAGCACAGTTACAGATCTTTTTTTGGAGGTAACCATGTGTAGAAGGCTTCAAACTTTGACCCACACAAGTCAGTTGTAACGAAAATTCATTCCACAGATTTCATGACATGTATAAATAACCTACTGTACCGTCTCACACACATAGCTCATAGCTTAGATAGCACACGCTCTCTTTCGTTCCCCTGTTTACATTACAGACACCTGATAGACTGCAGATAGATCGTTTGAATTCACCTCTCTCTTATCCAGGTCATACGAAACGAATACTTTTATCCAACCAAGAGCTGAACGTTAACAAAAGCAGGCTAGTGATTGTTAACCCCATCACTTACCGGCGGCGACCCCAACAACGATACTGCAGGCTCTTTCTTAAAGTATTCTCGCAACAACCATTGCTTCATATCGACCATATTGGCAATTCTGTTCTCAAAGACACCGTGTAGTTGATTCCCTCGCATTTCATCTCTGTTGCGTCGCTTTCGGTCAAAGTTCTATCTTCATGGGTTCGGTGCAGAATGAACGCTTCCAGTCAAACATGGTGAGAAGGACCCAGGTCGATAGGTAGTGTTATCATGGCTTATTGATGTAATTTATCTACCTGCTATTCCAGGGCTCTCAGTGTTTGAAACTTCAACCCGTTCTTCACCACAACGACCTTATCATACAGACAGAAAGCAAAGTCGCCGTCGACCGTTTGTATAGGATGTACACTGCTGTGTAGGGAACCATACTCTTCTGGAACAAAGAAGTGCTGCACATACTGTCGTGCCTCGAGGTCCTTGAGATCGACAGAACACACCCATAAATCCGGACGCAGGAGCACCATTCGCTTGCTGGCCTGATTGACGCCTAGGAACTGAGCACATAGTTCTGAGGGAAACATGCTAGTCGATACTGTTGCAGATTCATGTACCAGAGAGCTCCAGGGCGGCAGTGCGAAGATGGAAGTCAATGCGTGTGCTTGGGAACGCGGTGTCTCGACGACTATGCTTAGGGTATCTGGTATATGTGTAACAGAGTCAATTTTCTTTCCCATGGATTCATCTGAAACTCTGCAGATCTCTCTTGAGATAAGAGGAAAGTCCTTTGCAGAATATGCTGTTATGGTGTGGTCTGCTATGAGCAGAAAGTGCTCATTATACTCCCGCTCTGGTACGATGAACCACTTCCAGGCCGATTGGTCGCGTATTGGAGAATCCATCGATCCAACATGGCTTCCGTGTTCCATAGAGTATACATGATCAGATTCGTTAGTCGAGATTATTAGGTATTTCCCGGAAGCGTCGAACAACAGTTGAGAAACTGGCGCAGAGAAGTGTGCCTGAAGCACTACATCCTTGAGCTCTATATATTTAGTTTGCGATACATCGAACCGCCAAACTTGCACATTGGCATGCAAGTCAGCCGAGGCGATAAGATCATGGTTGTTTGCGGCAAGGCATTGGACAATGACACCTTTATGAGAGTAAAGGAGGGACGGTTCATAATTGTTGTTGGTCCGATACACCTCAACATCTCCATTGTAGTTTCCAGCAAATAGCATTGACCTCGATGGATGTGCAATTAGCGTGTTAATCTTCGATGTCTGGAACTTTTCGAAATTACCCTCAGTCACAGCCAGGACGAGCTTCTGATCACTTGAGCCGGTCTCTTCTTCGACTGTCTTTCTTATTAAAGCTGATGGGGCCCAGATCTTCATCTCGTGATCACTCACATCAACGAGACCAAGACCATCGGAGGTATAATGCAGTAGACTAAAAGAGCGACTGGGAGTAAGAACGTGGTAAAGCAACGTGAGCGACTCGAAATCCCATATTCGTAAGTGACCAAGAATATCCATGGTGGCAAAAGTACGACCATCCGGCGAGGAGGTGACCGAAGTTAAGATGGCGTGTTCTTCGGCTTCTGCACTCTCTACTAAGGTTCCAGACCAGGAGTCGTAAAGGGAGAGATGTGATTCGTTATATGTGACCAACAGACAACCTACGTCTGGATTGGGGTTGAAAAAGAGATGTTCAGGAGCGCGATTACGATCATCGACTGCCCATCCAATCAAGCTGCCGCTGCCGAATTCGAAGATACAAACAGGACTATCACGATATGCTAAGGCAAGCAGCTCAAACCCAGGCGAAAGGGACGCATACAAAGGTGCTTTTCCAATGCTTTTCTGAGAAAGAGTATCCGAATCCGGAGCTTGGTAGATATGCAATTGCTCCTGTACAAGTTCACCAGTGTCGATATTCCACTGGAAGGAGCGACCTTCGTGTGTGACCCCTATCAGCATATCTTGTGAAGATGAAAGCAGTATACAGCGGCTTCTGATGCGTGTCTTCCAACGCAAGGTGTTGTCGACGTTCCATACTTGCACGAACTTTCGACTGCATGTCGCTATGAAACATCCAAAGGGATCAACCCGTATTAGCTCCACCGGGAACTCGGAATGAATAGTTTGTTCTTTCTGGAAAGTCCGTGAACTGTACATATCGAGTTTGCCGGATTCCGTACCTATGGCGATATGGCTAGTACCACATCCAATGGCGGCGGCTATTTCATCCTCGAACTGAATACTTGCAACACAATCGCTCCAATCAGACGGACGGTACCCGGATAAAACCAGGCTATCGTGGGGTTGACCGAATTGTCGAAACACAGCAGATTGTGTCGGACAAAGCGGTGGGACAAGGAAGTACACTGACTGTGGGCTACTAATCATAGCCCGACCGAAGCTAGACTCTACGCGACTGAGATCAATAGTCCATGTCTCAATATTACTGACATGGCAGTTCACCGACGAATGGTATATTGCTCGCCGGGCTAGATATGCTTGGAGGTTCCTTGCCGTTCGAGTCAAGCCATGAGCTTCTTTCTTATCCATGACCTTCTCAATCCATGTGAGAACTGTCGTTCTGAAAAATCTATCGATTACTGGAAAAAGTTGATCACTTTCAGTCGAGGCGCTGAATACATGCTCTGAGAATTGCGTGATAGCATAGTCTGCAAATCCGGATATTGATCGTGTGGCTCGCTTTTGAGCAAGTAAGTGCCTGTGTCGGGGTGGCTGCATCTCCGGGCCAACAAGAAGCCGGAGGCACGTTAGTGCTATCCTTTCATGGCCCTGTACCTTCGAGATTCGGAACTCTCCTGCCTCTTCGGATAGGACGAACTCCCTTGCTGTAGCATGAATTGGTTGTACTACACCAGTGTGTACGTCGACAGAAACAAGTTGCCCGCAGAGGCCTTCTATGGCAGATTTGGCACTGGGAAGATGGACGTTGATATCCAGCTGCAGTGCGTGAGATAGTTCCGAGACAGATAGCGGTCGTGTAGTCAGCATTACCCATAGCAGGATTGCCTTAGCAATGTGAAGCTCTCTTTTCTTCCCACTCATTTCCGTAACTGCTCGTTCATAGTACGAGAACATGCCCGCCGGAATTTCTTGAAGAACTTGCATGATGCTATCATATCCATACACGCCCTCAAGCTCGTCCAAGACTAATCGGACCCAAAGGAAAGAAGTGTCCGCTTTGGCCAGTATCTGTCGTGCGAGTTCTTGACGTTCTTCTTCTTCGTCAATGGGAAGGTCCGCGATCCTGTTGCGGATATAGAGTTCGATGTCCTTCATAGTGTCATTAATAGGTATTTGGATGACTGCAGTGTCACAACCTTCCAACAGGCGAGTCAATCGAGACATATCGGGCAATTTACGACTAGTCATGAATATGCGGATAGGAAAGCGAGATTTCTGTGCTTTCAGAAATGTGAAGAGTTCGAAGTAGTCGATACATTCGTCGATGGCGTCAATGACCCAATATTGAGGTGTAGACATAGATACCTACGTTCCATGTGAGTCATGGTTTGGTGTCACAAGTCGAGTAAACGATTACATACTTGAAAGAGCCCTCCCATAAAGATCCTCGTCCAGATTGCACGCGCATCATCTTGATCGAACGAAGCCCCAATCGCGTGGATTTGAGCGAGTTTTGTCCGTATCGTTGCATTAGTGTTCGCCATTTGGAAAGCAAGTGACTTCAACAAGCCTGCCAGCGACTGGGCTGATTTCTCCCCGAGGTGGAAAAAGTATGATGCATAGGCCAGTCGGGAGTGTTCAAGTTGTGAGATGACATGTGCTGCAAGTACTGTTTTCCCAGCACCGGGGTTGGCCTGTACCCAAAAGATGGACGGACGATAAAGTCGTGAGCTAACGTCTCTGCTCTCCATCCCAATCCATGTTCGAAAATCATCCCTATCTTCGATCCACTGGCACGATCCTTCGAGCTTGTCATGATGTTCCTCTGAAATGTATGTAACGCGCAATAGGTCTTGAATCTCACCCATTGGGTCTTTTGACACTTTGTCGTTTATTATGGGGATTACTGTTCCCCGTTAGACGTGGAAAACAACATGTTCTCGTGGTGGTTACCGTTTCTGATTGAATCCTCCACCGCCACAGCAAGGGCATTCTTTATGATTATGTAGTTCGAGTCGTTCTTGCTGCGGAACTTACAAATATCACGATGATTGGCATGTAGATATTGGACGTGCTCGTTTCTGGGGTTGAGCCCTACAGCTATCAGCCATACTTCTCTGGGTATATCACAGCAGTAACGACAACCTCCAATGATACGGTCTCAGCAGGAACGTGCATACCTAGAGTTGCTGAAGTTTTGTCAACGATCAAGCCTGATGAACCCTTGATTGTTGGCAATGTCTCGCAAAACGAGTATATGGTCAAATCCTCCACATATCTTGCAAAGTCGTTGTTGATGAGTTGAGTTGAGGTTGATCCTGTCGTGATGTCTCTAATGTATTCTCTCGACGAGGTCAGACCAGTCATTCCACAGTACTTCAATATACCGTTCAATAACGCGGCGTAATCAGAACCTCGATGGGGCGTTGCGAGAAAAAAGATGCTACGGATTCGCTCAGATAATTCTGGATGGGCCCGGTCTTGTTGGGCAAGAATGTACGCCTACCGAGTAAGTAACTTCATAAGATACGAAAACATAGACCAGACTGAGTACTTACTTTCTTGATGACAAGTCCACCCATAGAATGCCCAACCAGGATGATTGGACTTGTCTATGCCAGTTAGTAGGTTCATAGTAAAAGCAGAAGCAGCAGCTTTACCCTTGGTTTATGCCGTAGCGAGGGCGACGTGCGAAGCTCCTCGTACAGCGATTGCCCAAAATCGTGCACGTTGAGAATACTCGGCTTTGTGCTCCCCCAATCACTATCGTAACCAAAGGTGTGGATAGAAGCGTTGACAAGTTCAGGCTCCTTTGGTAGCCAATACTGAGGCCAAAAGAATTGTTGATCTTCTTCTAAACGCCATGTCTTCATCGAACCACCACGTAGGCCGTGCACAAACACGATGTCTATGAGAGATTCCGGTGCACAGAACACAGGCCGTAGACCAAGTGGCCCAATCTTTCCATCATCCTCAGTCGCTTGAGGTCGCTTAGGTCCGAAATGACGTCCGATGAAAGAGTTCCTCTTGCGAACATCGAGTCTCAATTGCTCTTCACGTCCAAAGGTAGGGCTTTTTTCGTTAGGCGATAGCGTAGCAGGTTCCGAAATACGAGAAGAGAAGATATTGACTTGGGAACACTGTGTGCACTGTGTGCACTGATGAAAAGGAAGATCAGACTATGTGAAACTAGTATCAGCGCATAGGCTATGTGCTAACATAAAGACAAACTCACCGCCATCGCTGCGTCAAAGAACGCTCAAAAAGTCGCTCGCATCTCCATCAAAGAATTACAATCGCAAACCTCGAGGCCTCCATCCAATCTGAGAATGCCAAGTTAGCGAGGCTGTGCGTTCTCCTCTGCGGCGTGGTCATGTTAAGCGCCCACATGCACATGCACGCGAAGCCCTGCAGCGAATACCGACCACCCACACAAGGCTCTTCAAGACTTGCTTAATTCGCAGGTAACGTGTCAAATACACCCGAAATTCCTTAGAGTGTGGTGTGCTGCCAGACAATCCACAAAGATCTCTCCCTATTCCCTGACTACTTTGGGCGGAAAGGACGTCAGTTTTTTGTAGTAGGCTGGCTAATTTGAGAAAGCCTTGGTAATTGTGAGTTTTGTTGAAGGCAAACCGACCTATACTAAACAAATTTCTCTGTGCCTGTCTCACCGCGTGTCTCATAAGCATTTCTCGCGAATTCTCTTCCGGTACTCTTACAGGTCGCCAGCATTTGAGTTGGCTTATCACCGCAATAGAGACACTAACGGCGCATGTCTGCGCTTTGAGCAAATGCTTGGTTGTGCATGAACTCAACGTTGGAAAGCGGCCGGCTTGAAGCAGACGCTGCAAGCCTGTCGCACTGGAGCCGCTGGTCGTTCGTTACCTCTCCGAAAAGGACACTGGTTAGGAAAATAAGAGTGAACGCATTCTTTGCACCAATCTGCTGTGCTGTTATCCATCATGAGTTACCTTTCAACGCGTTGTGTCGCGTTAAGTCTGGCGGCTGACCAACTTTTGCGGAGCTTGCGAACGTTGTGCAGCTAGCCCCATTTCATCGTTCCCGAACATGAAACATGGTGTCGATCCGATCCGAATCACGATTGCCGCTTATCACTCCTTCGGTACTCGCAGTAGGTAGTTTACAAAGCGACCTGTACATGAGACACGAGAACAGGCAAGGCGGTTCACCAGCCGGATGACCTTAAAACTTCGCCGTTCTGAAAAACAGCTAGCAGAGGCATTTGGGGGCGGAGACCTAGCCTAGCAACTGGCATGCCACGCAGGGCGTGTTCGCCGATCAAAACTGCCATCGTTACCTTCAAAGTCGGCGATCACTGCAACGGAGCGATTATAGTATGTGTTATGACACGTGCTCATCGGCTGGGGGCTAAAACATCATTCGGAGGTATCTATTGGAGGGTCTAATTAGTACACTTACTACCCCTACTAGCTATCTCCCAGAGGAACAGGGTGATACCTACGGTGATCTGCATACAATGTGTGACACTTGACAAAATCCGTCGCGCATCCAGGTTTGCAAAGCTCACACATAAAGATTAGCAGAAAAGGTTAAACCAGGGTAGTCAAAAACGTAAATTCTAGCTTCTACTTATTGACTTGTTTGAATCGCCGAAGTTTACTGCGGGACGCCTAAACGGAGCTGAGTGAAGGGGAATCTCAGCCGCAACTCGGGTACTACAGCGTCGGAGTTGTGACAGTCTAGAGAACGCCTCTCTCTTGGCAGCTGCCTTTTCTTCTCAATATATGGATGGTGGAACTACCAGCCTTTCCCGATCCCACCTTTTCTCAAGTCAAAACTACCACGGCGTCGTAACTCAGTGACTGACGACCTTCCAACAACCATGGTTTCCACGGGCTATGCTCCGATGTCACCGCAGGGCAATTCCACTCAATCCCACAATCACGAGTACCTTCCGATGGGAACTCTTCCACAAACAAATAGATCGAACCAGTCACACAACTTCCGGAATAATGACCCCAGTACTGAAGTATTGATGAACGACCATTCAGCCTTGTATCCAGAGGAGGGCAGACCGGATCTCAACAGAGACCATTCTGGTACAGATTTTACTGAGGCAGAAGAGCTCGCAAAGTATCCAATCTCTACAACTGTGCCACGGCAGTATAGTTCAGGACACCTTTCTGATCCGCCCAAAAACCACAAGGTCTTCGACTTCAGAGACTGGCAATGGGAATTTGCAGCCGCCGCCCTCAGCCTGGCCTGTTTCGCCGCTGTAGTCGTAGTGTTGATTTCGTACCAGCACAAATCCCTCGCCAGCTGGAATTTTGTGTACGACATTACCCTTAACACGCTGATTGCGGTGCTTTCCACCCTGTCACGAACTGCGCTTCTGGTTCCCATTGCATCGTGCATCAGCCAGCTGAAATGGATACACCTCGTAGGTGCCCCACGCTCTCTGCGTGAGGCCCAGGTCTTTGACGATGCCAGCCGTGGCCCCTGGGGCTCTTTGGTACTCATCTGGAGCCTAAACTTCAAGACAAAACTCGCTTCGTGGGGCTCCATCATTACGGTATTAACTCTGACTATGGGGCCTTTTGCACAACAGCTACTTTCGTATCCTTCAAGAGCACATGTCTCAACTGGAGCGACCTTCTCTACAAGCCAAATATACGACTCTGGTACATCGAGGGCCACTACTTCATCGTGGATACGAGGTATGTTCTCATGGATAGGTCCTGGGTTCTTCAAATGGATATTATACTGATACGTTGATCAGAACGAAAGATGGATCCCAAGTTGCAAGGTGCTATACTAAATGGACTCTACAACCTGAGTGCACCTGTTCAATTCACCTGCCCTAGTGGTAATTGTCGGTGGAACGAGTTCTCAACCTTGGCCGTAACGAGCAGCTGCAAGAACGTCACAGCTGACACTGAAATACTTTGCGATGATGAGTCACGCAGCATGTCATGCAATTATACGACTCCCTCTGGCTTCTTCATCAGCTCTAATACCCACCAGAGCTCAGGGGGCGGATCTTTCACCTATTTCAACACTTCCGCTCGCACGAATACCCTGTCGAATAGCAACGATATATATAACAGCTCACTAGTAAGCTTCGCAATGGCCAACATGTACAACTCCATGAACTTGGAGCTGCCAGACGTGACAGAGTGCAACATCCGCTGGTGCGCTCGAATTAACCGGGATGTCAATGTAGTGAACGGCACATTCAACCCTGGCGTTACCGAAGACGTCGAACTCATTGGAATCGAGAATCCTTATCAGGTCCGCGGAACTACTCGACAATGGGACAGTTTCAACACCACCGATGAGTATACCTCTTTCCCAGGAAACCGCAGTTTCAGCGTTAGCCCCAATGATAATATACAGATCAAGGACTTTCTCCAAACCGTCTTCTCGTCTACGATAGATGACCCCTTCGGCCTGGCTTTGCTAAACACTACGAACCTCACAGACACCATGGCCTCGATTAGCGTGAGCATGACGTATGCGTTCGGGCAGAGTCCGAGCGGCACAAAGTTGGAAGGCGAATCTATTACTTCCGAGCAGTACATTCTTGTCCACTGGCCGTGGATAAGCCTCCCCTTGGCGGAGATCGTCATGGGCATCGCGTTTTTGATTTGTACGTTAGCACACACCCGGCGGAAAGGAGTGGTTGCTTGGAAGTCTTCGGGCATAGTGCCGATGCTTACGGTGATGGACGGGTGGGATACCAAGGATCTTAGAGCTGCCTCTTGGAGGGAGGTTGAGAAGCGCTCGGAGCATATGCGTGGCCTCCTGGAGACGAGCAGAGAAGACGTGCAATATTTCAAACGTATGGATTCGTAGCGGTAGGCCTGTGAAGACCAATCAATCACTGCCTTTGCAAACAACTGGTTAGGACAATGCAACGTACTGTTTGTGCCGTTGGGCACCCGTATGTCAGCCTGCGATTTTGCACTGAATAGACTCGTCGCAATACCATCGGCGTCCCATCATCCAACCAAGCTCCTGACCTTCTCTTTCAATGAAATTTCCCCATCCTTGCCATTCCACACATGCGACTGAGCCTCTTCATTTGATTGCTGTGAGTCGACAGCTGTCACAGACACTTTTAGTTCACCTCCGTGCAACTCAACCATGACATCTTTTGACAGAGTAGAGCCTTTCTTGCTACTCGAGCTGGAGATAGTAAGCCTAGACTCTTTTCCCTTGACAATCGCTCTCGCCGAATATTCATTCTTGAGCAGTCTACCAGACAGGTGGAGAGATAGAATCCAATCCAAATACGACTTTACTTCGTCGACGGATGAGAATTTCAGCTGCTGGAACAGTCCGAGGTCCGAAACTAGCAGTGAGGGGATCGTCAGTTTGTGCTCTGTGCCAAAAGTAGGCTGGCCTATGATGGTGCGTGTCACGACGACAATGTTTTCTGATTGGGTCCCATTCAAGGATGGGAGCGTCAGAGTAGCCTTTCCGTCAAATGGCTTTGTGAAAATCTCTAGAAGCTGATCTGTTGCAGAGAGGTCCTTGTTTGATGACTCCTTGAGAGTTTCGGTTAGCTTCGTCCAGGACAATTCGCGTGTGGTGTCCAGAGCAACATCCAGACCAGCACTTTTCATCGTTCTTGCTGTGGTCTCAAGGTAGGCATATAGGGAGTCGACACTTTCTACATGACGCAACATTGCAAGCAGCGTTCGAAGAATTGGCGCAGGTGGCTTTTCTCGTTTTCGTGCTGTTAGTGGAGGTGGAAGTTGGGTTCTCCGGTAAAGACGCATGTTATGTTCGTGGCCCAGCAGCAGACGCAGTCCTTCAGCAATGTGTTGAGCAAGCCAATCGAGCGAGTGGTCTTGGCTGCCGGTGATGTTCTCGTCTCGTGGTATACAGTCGATCATCAATCTTCGATGTGTTGGGACAGTGCCCATCGTAGGTGCATCAAACGAGATGACCGAATCCCGAAACTCGACTCCATATGATACCAGTTGTCGCGTCTCCATGGTCATCTCGTGGAACAGTTCTTCTTCGAACAAAGAATCTCGAGCTAACTGTATGGACTTCTCGATTGCAAGCTCCTTCGCTTCCCCTTGTACAGGGAGGTATGATGTTCCTGCAGTCTTTCCATTTTCGCTGACCCTCACACGGAGCGTCTTTGGCTTCAAAGTAAGCGCGGGATCAAGAATGATACTGCCGTCTTCGTCCATGCGCAGAGGAGCAAATCCGCGAGCCTTGAAGTGGTCACTTGCTATATGAAAATCAGTGTGAGACACCTAGATGCGGTGTTTGAGAGAACAGACCTTCAGGAAGCCCATAACGCACACCGAAGGGGACATGGCGCGCATTCTGGCGGAGACGCTGAATTGGCCATCCCTTATTGGAGATAGAAACGATTTCCTCCCAGTATTTCGTCTCCCTTCGTGCCTCCTTCTCAAAGTTCTTTGCAGCCTTAAGTATGTCATCTACCGCGGACTCGAGCGCCTCCATTCTCGAACCCTTTGCCACGAGTTCTTGTCGCAACTCTAGGTCCTGCATCCTCGCCTCTTCTTCAGGCCTGCGAACATGCTGTTCGTGGTTTTCCCTGCTGACGCCAAACGATCCGAACGGAAGTCCCTGGTCCAGGCCTGATTGACGGAACCCCGCGCTGAACAATTGGGCGGAACGTTTGTTTGGATCGACCGAGAGGATGAGGGAGCAGATGTCGAGGAGATTGTTTGTAGCAAATCTAGCCCATCTAGGTCCTGTCAGCCACCATATCTTGAGCCAGAGCGGGATTCAAGCTTACTCCAAGTGGCCTATCATCTCCATGCGCACACGGTAGATCTCCTCAAGCCGTTCGTTTGTGGATGGTGCTTCCTTCCCCTCCTCCACACCCTCCTTGATACCGTCTGGAGCATCTTCTCCCCCATCTATTTGCTCTTGTAACGACTTTTCGGTAATCTCGCGCAAATGTCCTCGTTCACTCGTGAGTTGCGTCACCTGCAGAAGGAGCTCCTGTTGTCCCAGCTCCTCCTTCACCGGCGTTGGCCATGGTCGTAATGTAACCTCTCTCAGCGATTCGGACCCAGACATGACGCGTTTAATCTCATAAACTCATAAGGTAGGCACTCTTGCTTGTCGTCGACTCGGGTGTGGTGTTTTGGTGACCGCGCTGGACCCTTGCATAAAGCTCGGAGCTCAGTAGCGCCCGCTTGCAGATCTGGCACTATCGATACGAACCAGAAGCTCTCTTTCGATTGGGACTGTTCCCGATCGTTGATTCGACGTATGCGTGTTCGGATGCGTAAGATGATTGAACCTGCAGTGGTACCTTCCATGGCGCAGAGCTACAGTCTCACACGTGCCCATAATCTTTCCTTGTATGGTTAGAGGTAGCGGAGTGCCCCGATACGCATGCATAAACCTCTCGAGCACAGCTCACCGTCTCTCTCCGCCATACTTTCACTTCTTCATACTTTCACTTCTTTTGCTTCGCTGACTTCCGAACCTTCAAGATGACGACGAGATACCGTGTAGAATGTATGTGAAGCTACCACCGCAAGAATTGGGTTTTATGATGCCTTTAGCATGCTGAAGTTGTAAGCTAACGTGGCTTTGTCTAGATGCTCTCAAGGTGTGTTTGATGTAGTAGGCGTAGAACGACTGAACACTGCTAATCTCCCCCCAAGACTCACCGTAGAGATCAACTCGTATGTATGCATGTGTCTTGTTCCCATAGTCATTTGCTGACGTATGCTTCTAGATTGAATGGATAAAGGTACTGTTTACTTACCAGCTTCCTGATTAAGGGTCTAACATCGATCAGGGTCTTCTGGCAGTTCCATTCGTTCTGCACTCCCACCCAACAGCGGTTTTTGAGCCAGATGGCGAATCCGTGGATCTGCAAGCCAGCGTCTCTCAGCGGCGATATGCGGAGATTATGCGGGACGTCGAAGAGATCATCAATGATCACAGTAAGTCGAGTTCGAAGCTGAGCAACCTTTAATGCGTAAATATATTTTATATACTGACCTCTTACAACAGTCGCACATCAAAAGGTTGGCAAGCCTGACCGTTCAAAGCTTAAACTTCTGGTCCCGACAGTAGGCAACTTCTTCACATCTCTGGCATTGCATGATGCCTTCATCTGGCAAGACCAACGTCGTTTCATCAGCTACCGACGCTTTGTTCCTCCATCATTCAACGACATCCGCCTGGTACTGAACACAGCACAGGTGATGAGTCTTGTGCGCAGTGGACCGCTGGAGCTCATCACTTTTGACGGAGATGTCACTCTGTATGATGACGGAAACAATTTGACGCCTGACAACCCGGTCATTGCTAAAATCCTGCATCTTATGCGGCGAGGATCCAAGATTGGTATTGTCACAGCGGCAGGTTACACCGAGGCAAAGCGATACTACGAGAGACTCTTCGGCCTCCTGAATGCTCTCCAGACATCTAATCTACCGCTAGAATCCAAGCAGAACCTTATCATAATGGGAGGGGAGAGCAGCTACTGCTTCAAGTTCGATGGGAATAGTCCTGACATGCTGAGGCTTGTACCAAGAGAAGACTGGTTGCTGAAGGAGATGTTGCTGTGGACAGATTCTGATATCAAAGAGCTGCTCGACATTGCGGAGGCGTCTCTCAAGGATACGCTGAGGAGCATGCGCATGGAGGGAATTATTGTCAGGAAAGAACGGGCAGTTGGAATCATACCGAAAGAAGGTCACAAATTCTGTCGAGAGACGCTGGAAGAGACGGTCCTGATTGTGCAAAAGATACTGGTATGTTTCTCAATTATGTTGTGTTACTCTGGCTGATGACAAGTGTAGGACATATCTGAAGTTGGCCAGCGACTGCCATTCTGCGCTTTCAACGGTGAGTTTAGACCCAACCTCGCTGAGTATCGTCTGACATGTGTACTAGGTGGTAACGACGTATTTGTCGATATTGGTGACAAGTCTTGGGGTGTTTTGGCCTGCCAACGAATCTTTGGGGGAATCGAAGGTGGGAAGACACTGCATGTCGGTGACCAGTTCCTGAGTGCTGGGGCCAATGACTTCAAGGCGCGGCTGGCGTGTACGACAGCATGGATCGCAAACCCGCTGGAGACATGCCAATTGCTGGATGAGATTGCCGAATTGGACGAGATGCAGCAACGCAAGACGCGGTAGAGTCAAGCTGCATCCGGCGATGACATCACCGTCTTTGAGCAAGGGATCTACTTTCAATGAAGATACTCCTCTTTGTGAAGATGACTATTTTCTGTGAAAGGCTGTTCATTGTGAGGATGCTACCCTTTGTGTGGATAGATGAGCTGGCTGTATACATATATAAAGACATATTGCCAACATGCCGAAGATGACATCAACACGAGCTTCCAACGAATTACCTTATTCTACTGGTACTCGGACCCTTGCCTAGCTCGGACGGCGGATCCTCGCGCTTTCCGCAAACGTGGTCTTGCACCAGGCACACCTGCCGCCATAACGGCCGTAGTCTTTCCTGCCACGGGCGTTTGTTTTGACGTGGACGGGTGCGCCTTCACAGCCCACGATCAAAGCGTCGTGGCGACTATATTTCACGTGCCGCTTGTCGTGGCTAAATCAGACTGCCCAGGTGCACAGTATCCATCAACCCTGCGAGAGTTTCCGTTTTGGTCAAGGCTTCGGACCATCTCGCGCGCTCGTACCCATCCGCCGTCGCACGCTCTCTTTTGTCGCTCTCTGCAAGCAATTGCTCTCCGACTACCAGCCTCTTCTCGATTGACTGCCGCGGGACAATTCGTCCTGCAACCACGACCACGATGCCCGTTGGAAATTACAGACCGCTGACGCTGACGCCCATCAACTTCTCCCTTACTGATGGCACTTCAATTCCTGCACCGCCCGACTCGCCGCCCGACTCACCACGTCCGCCTACACCAGGCGCGGGACCGCTTTCGTCGCATCCCACGCCAAAATCAGCCGTCTTTCCCCAACATAGGGACTCGCCACCGCGCGCGCGCTCGGAAGATTCGGTACCAGAGCAAGAAGAGGAGGAAGAAGAGGAAGATCAGGACCTTCGCCAGGTGCGAACGAACGGTGCGGCCAGCAGCATGCTATCGCCCGTGAGCCCACCAAGTCGGCGTCCGTCTCCTCCCAGGCGTCCGTCATCTGTGCGGAATTTCTGGGGCATGCGCACGCTGTCGTCATCAGAAAATGCCAAGTCAGAGAGACCAGGCTCTTCGGCTACAATACAAAGTCAGGCGCCCAGTCTGTCGCGGAGAAAGAGCGGAAACTGGTTCGGCAAGAAGAAAGTGTTTGCACCTGGCAATGGCGGCATGCCAGAACAGGAGAAGGTCACGGCTCCAGCAAACGGGTACGTGGCTCCACGACCTGTGCCAGCGCCAGTCGTGCAAACTCCGCAGCCTACGCCAATCACCCAGCCTAAGAGGAGGGACCCGCCGCCTCCGGCACTACCTGAACTTCGGTCTTTTGGGGTCAGCGAAGACTCGCTCAGCTTGGGCGCTGATGACATGTTCAAAGACATCAAATGAATGGTGGATTCACACGTTTGAGACGGCGGCACATTTATGACGCGACGCTGAGAGAAAGTTTTGGTTTAATGATGGTGGTCCCATCTCTCTCTATGGGCCACGGATGGGGACTTGTAAGATCGCGGTACTTTCTTTTGCTTGCACATGCATATGATACCCCCAACCAAGACAGGATGGCGACGGAGGCTGCACGGTTGGAACTGCATCTTGGGTCTTGGGACAGGGCAGCAATTTGGGTGAGAGGGCTGAGGAGGATAGGCAGATTGCAGCATTTTTTCCTATCATTGCTTCATGTTACGGGCAGGACTATTGCTGCTCATAAATTTTAAATCATTGTTCTCTTCGCTGTCGTTGGTTTGCGTGACCCATGCCTGTCTACGACGCGTCAAACACGCCAGCAAGAGAGCAAAAAGCATGCCACAAGGCGCTGGCCAATGAGCATGCATGAAGCGGTTATGGTGTTGCCATGGACCCTGTCCCTCACAACAAAACAAACTGCGGGCAGTGTGCGCATAAACACGGCCGGTACAGCCCTATCGCTATCGCGCATGACATACTGAACCTTCACTGCGAACCGTCGGCGCCTGCACCGCTCTACCGCATTGTAATCGTCTTGGATCACATCTGAACATGTCCCAAGAGTCGGGCATGTTCTCGGTCCGCCGTCCGCGCGAGGTACATCTCCTCTCGCGCACCTTCCCGTCGCACCCCACCTACGCGACGCCCTCTCTAACAACACGCGCAGACCCTAGGCCCCGTCACCACAAACACGTCGGCGATCCCGATGCCGTCGTCGGCCATGAAGCGCTCGAGCTCGATATCGAACATGCCGCAGCCCCAGTTCCCACCCAACAATGCGCGCTCCCAGTCAGGCAGTAGGATGTCGCTGGCCCCAGGCCGCCCGAGCCAGCCCCTCTTCCCGCGCTCGTCTTCCGGCACAAACCTCGCCGAGACGGGCTTCCAGTCTGTGCATCGCAACTCGACCAGCAATGTTTTCGGCGGCGCGAGCAGCGGGAGGAAGAGTTTTGCGCCAGGCGCGTCCATGTTCCAAACACCAGCACCGCCGTCGTCAGGTTCCGCGTTCGAGCAAAGCGCACAACGACGCAGCAGTGTGTTCAAATCGCGACAGTCACATGGCCCTGGTCAGTCGGGCATCAAGCAGTCGTTTTTCCAGACGGCCCCTCTTCCAGCTGTGCCCCCCCCAGACCCACGACGACTGAAAGATGCGAGCACGCGATCGCACCTGGCACAGGAGCTCCTCGAGTACCTGACGCATAATAACTTCGAGATGGAGTCCAAGCATGTGCTCTCCAACAAAGCCATGACATCGCCAACCCAAAAAGACTTCAACACCATGTTCCAGTGGCTGTACAACCGCATCGACCCCAGCTATCGGTTCCAGAAGTCAATCGACCAGGAAGTCCCCATACTTCTGAAGCAGATGCGCTATCCTTTCGAAAAGTCCATCATGAAGTCGCAGATTGCAGCTGTGGGTGGAAACAACTGGTCAACCTTCCTTGGACTGCTCCACTGGATGATGCAGCTTGCGCGTCTCATGCAAGCGTATGAGGCTGGGTCGTACGATGACGCTTGCTTCGAGGCTGGCTACGATGTCTCTGGCGACCGAATCATCTTCGACTTCCTGACAGACGCCTATAGCACCTGGTTATCAGCCGAAGACGACGATGACGATGCAGATGCTCAAGCCCGCCACATTCAGCCACACGTTGACGCCATGGCTTTGAAGTTCGAGTCAGCGAATTCTCAGCACCATGAACAAGTCAAATTGCTCGAAGCTGAGCACAAGTACCTCCAAGACCAGATCGAAGAGCTTGGAAAGTCTGGCCCCAGGATCCAAAAACTCGAGGAGCAGATCAAGATTCTCGAGGAAGACCGCATCAAGTTCGAAAATTACAACAACTCGATGGATGCCAAGGTCAAAAAGTACAATGATCGATGCTCGTTCCTCGAGAAGAACATTGAGGAGATCGAAGCTGAGCTCGAAGCGTCGGAGAAGGAACAGCAAGAGCTTCAGGCTATTATTGATGGCCGGGGCATGACTGTCGCAGACATCGACCGTATGGCTGCAGAAAAGGAGCGACTAGACTCCGCCCTCCAAGCAACCTCAACCCGCCTCGAAGAGTCCAAGAAACGCGTCGCAGAAAAGGAACTTGGCGCATCTCGAAAGCTTGACGAGCTCGAGCAAACCATCGAACGCTACAACAACCTAGGGTACCAAATCGGCGTCATACCCTCGACAGCCGTCAACGCAAAGGGTCAGGACTACGAGCTCGTCCTCACAGTGACCGATGGCCCCAACTTCTCCAGCTCACAAATGGGCGGTTCCTCACAAGAACCATCAGACCGTCTGCTCCACGACTCAGGCACAGGCTACTCACCCCACCACCTGCTGAACCTCGATCTCCGCGGCAACGTGAAATCCAACATCCTCAGCCTCCGCAAAGAGATCGCCGAGCGCAGAAACTCGGCGCTGGAAGCAGACATGAACAACCACGACCTGCTCGACAAGATCAAAGAAGCAATGGACGACAAGCAAGCCGAAGTCGAAGCCCTTGGCCACCGCGTCGCACAGGCAGAAGAAGAGCTGGAGAAACTCCGCGAAATCACAAACACGCAGAAGAGCCAGAGCGACGCCCAAATCGAACGCATGGAAAAAGAACTCTCGCGCATGCGCAGCGGCCTCGGCGAGTCCGTCCAGCTGATGGTCCAGAGAGAAATGGCTGTTAATATCGAGTACGTTTTCCCCCTACATAACAGTCCATAATGAAGATCGAAATACTAACCGCACAATCTAGGTACGAACAACTCCAGCTCCGCGCAAACTCGCTGCGCGAAGAACTGCACACGGAAATCGAGCGCATGCTCGACGACATCGTGCGCTTCAAACTCCATGTCCAGCGCAGTTTGGAGGAGTACGAGCAGTTCATTGCGGACGAAGTCGAGCGCAGCTGCGAAGAGCAGGATGAACTTGCTGACGGTGACGAGGAGGAGGAGGGCGAGACGGAGGAGATGGACGAGGAGTGAAAAGTGCCTATCTGACGATCTGCTTTAATGAAGTCATGATGGTGTTTTGGAAGGGCCTGGCTCGGTTCGGTTTTTGAGGGTCTTTGTCTTGGTGAATGGCGCTTGGCTTGGCTTGACTTGACTTGGGTGTTGGAGTTGGAGTTGGAGTTGGAGTTGAACAGGGGATGATGATCTCTAAGATACCTATCGTTGCGTTCTGGATAGCTTTGAATTTTGCACATTCGCATTCTACTATTATTTTTCCTTACCTTGCTATACCCCCGACGCCACATGGCAGCGTTCATGCTGTCTCGTCTCCTTAATTACGACCTCAGTGTAACATTCACCCACATGTCGCGTATCTCCCACAGCCCCAGCGAGTTGAACGCCTGCCACGGCTCATGCGGATTGACGAGCGTAAAGTCAAAATGCCTAAACAATTCAAAGACACACTTGTAGATCTCAAGCAGCGCAATCGTCCTACCGAGACACACCCACCTCCCGTAGCCAAAGATCATGTCATTCGTCTTGGTCATGCGTGCGAGGCGGTCTTTTTCCCCAGGGAGGCTTTCGTCGACGAACCAGCGCTCGGGACGGAAAGCAGCAGCGTCTGCGCCGTAGAGATCGCGGTTGTTGCGGTGCATGCTCCAGGCTGAGTAGCCGACCATAGTGCCGCCTGGGATGAAGTACTCTTTACCGGAGACGGTGACTAGATCGCCCTGCTCGGGTGTTACGCGGGAGAATAAGTTGACGACGGGTGGATGCACCCGCATTCCTTCGCGGACCACGGCGTTGAGATAAGGTAGGCGACGTGCTTCTGCATCTGGGATGACGTCTGGTGAAGACGGAGCAGTACCGGCTTGGACTGTTGCATCAATTTCGGCCTGTAGTTTGGTGTACACGCGAGGATGGGTCATGATGTAGAGTAGGATGATTCGGATAGAAGCAGCCGTAGTGTCCGATCCAGCGAGGATCTGTTCAAACGCTTCTTGGAATAAGTCTTCACCGGCAACGCCATTTCGTATGAACGAAGCAATCATGTCCGACTTGCCCTCGGTCGATCTCGATCGTCGCTCATTGATGATCTTTCGCGCTTCTGCCATCATCCTTCCGAAGCCAGAGACATCCTTCTCGGAGGGACTGAGTACAGGCCCGATGATTGGCACTTCGCGCAGCCAGGACAGACCAAGCGCGAAAGCTGTGTTACCAATCTTGAGGCCTTCTTCGGAGGATTTGAGATAATCGTTCACGTCCTCGTCAGCTCGGAGATCGCCGAATGCCTTTCCGAGACCGACGTGGCTGATAACATCGAGGGTGAAGAATGGGATTTTCTTGGCCATGTCCATTGGCCTTGAAACGTCGGTTGATGCGGCCGGCAAAGCATATTTCCTGACTAGGGTGACAAGCTCCTGGACGTGGCCATCGATGGAGGACTCCAAGGCCGGGTTTTCTTTACCGGCGTACTGTGGCTTGTTAGCCAGCGATTACTCGAAAATTGTTTGCGTTGCTTTGCAACCCAAAATGTTCGGTGCACGAGTCATTGGACCCCTCCCAGGTACGACGTTACTTACCCCAGATGCCATTTTCTTTCGTCTCGCATCATGGCGGTCGGTATTACAATCGGTAAAGACATTGTCCTTTCCCGGCTCAAAACGTGCAGCATGGTAATACCAAGGCGCTCTTTGATAAGGCGACCGCACCCCATTGATGTACGCCCACAATTCAGGCGACGATGTGATGAGATGCTCAGGCGAGACCCTCGCAATCGGTCCTTCACGTCGTCAGCATTCCATATCGTCCTATGCACGATCCTGCGCTTTTTTTTCCCCCATTTCTGCCACATCACCGCCGTCACATACCATATTTCTCCGTCACATCTCCGTAGTACCGGTGAGCCTGGCCGCTGAGGACGGCCTTGGAGTGCCACCACCATGAGATGCCCGTCGTCGCGGGACCCTTGAAGTGGCTCAAGCGCCAGTACTGTCGTAATCGCCCGACAGCAAAGTAAGCGGTGAGAACAAAGGTGATTAAGTACAGATGCTGCGAGACGAATCCCAGCGCACCCAGTCCATCGGGATTCATGGCTTGAGGAGAGCCAGCGACTGACGCGAAAGGATTTGGTCAGGACCACGACTGGTGGGGTGCCTCGAGGTTGATGAGCAACGGCGAACAGGGGCAACGCTGTTGTCGGCATGACACTCTGCGTGCCGCATGCACTAGAGGGTTCAGGCCTAGCATTGTGTAGTTTTCTAGGTTGAGGCGAATTGTTGCCCAAGGAAGGTGCAATGTCCGTGATTGTCACCTACGCAGCTGTCGTCTTCACCCGTAACAGCGGGGAAGGCGGGATCGGCCAGTCAGGCGACTGGAGGGTGTCGGTCAACACTCCGCATCTCTGGACACCTTTTTCGTTCTAGTTTTTCGCTTCGAATCAGACAACGCGGACTGAGGGTGCCGGGGGTTGAATGCATTGCATATTCTAGCGTATTCGCGTCGTTCTTTCCAGACACCAACTGCCGTCACCCGTCATGTACCACTTGGCGGAAGCTGTTCTCAGTCAGCCTCGAACCACTCGCGATGACGGAATACACCTAGGCTCCTCTGCTATACTCAAACGGCTCAAGCCTGCAGAACGGTACAAGGTATCGACCACGTTTTCACCCGCCGATACGTTCAGGGCATGGACAATCGCGGATCAGGATGCAGAGTCAGTCGCCGGGTCGTTCGTACGTTACCAAGTCGAGGTCTTGCCGGCAATATAGTCCAGCGAGACCCTAGATTTCGGGACATGTACCTCTTTGTCGTCTGTCCCTCTTCTCTCCTTCAGACACCTGATCTTTGAGGACGTTACGTTAAGGATTCACGGTTCTCCACTTGTCTGCACCCCACGCCCCGGGCCGATCGTGCAAGAAAGCGGCGCAGTTGCGTAGATCCTTGCTGAGAGTTTGAAGCCTCCACACGCGAGATGTCAGCAGCAAATAAGGAAGCTGTGCCGACGTCGTTGGCAGATGTCAATTCTTCAGGTTCTCAAAGCAATACTACACATGAGACTGGAACGGTGGATAAATCTGTACCTGCGCCGTCTTTAGAAGCAACATCTGCAGAAGTTCCAAATGCGGTTGCTTCTACATCCGAGGCACCCATACCGGGTCCACCAACAGCACAACAGGCCGAAATAGTCGCAGTTGTAAGTATTTCAATATACAATAAATCCATCGTGATATGAAGCAGAAATCATTGCATGAGAACGGACAAGTGCCAACTGCATATGCATAACCCTTGCTAATCATCAAGCAGGACGACAACGCCAACCCAGACGATTTGGACTCTGCGTACGGGGATGACGACGACCACCTGAGTGACACGACATCCATCCCATCCACCATCTGGAAACACCGCTACGAAAATGGCCGCCGATATCACAAGTTCAGGGAAGGCGAGTACTGGGGACCCAACGACGAAGTGCAAAACGACCAACTCGACATCGCTCACCACATGTTCCTGATCCTTCTCAACAACAGACTCCACCTAGCACCCATTCAATCACCCCAGAAAATTCTTGACCTCGGCTGTGGAACGGGAATCTGGTGCATGGACATGTCGGATGGTATGTACTCCAACCCACAACCCACAATCCACGCTTTCTAACCACCCACCCCCAGAACACCCCGGCGCCGAAATAACTGGCATAGACCTCTCCCCCATCCAGCCCTCCTTCACACCACCAAACTGCAAATTCGAAATCGACGACATAACATCGCCCTGGACCTACCCGCCCTCGTCCTTCGACCTAATCAACATCCGCAGCCTCTACGGCTCCATCGCCAACTGGCCCGCCCTATATGCAGAAATATACGACCACCTCCAGCCCGGCGGCTACCTGCACCAACTCGAAATGAGCATCCAGTTCAAGTCCGACGACGGCACCCTGACTCCGGACCACGTGCTGTCGCAGTGGAGCGACGTCTTCCACGAGGCCAGCGACAAGTTCGGCAAGAGCTTCTTCGAGGTCTGGAACCTCAGCACGTATGTTCGGAATCAGGGCTTTGTTGATGTCGTCGAGGAGGTGTACAAGGTGCCTGTAAATGGATGGCCTGCGGACCCGCATATGAAGGAGCTCGGGAGGTGGAATTTCTTGCATTGCTCGCAGGGCGCTGAAGGCTGGGGCTTGTTTCTGCTGACCAGGGTCATGGGCTGGAGTCCGACCGAGGCGCAGGTCTTCATCGCAAAGTTCAGGAATGGACTCAAGGAGAGGAAGGTGCATGCGTATTTTGAGGTTGTTACGTTTCATGCGCGGAAGCCTGGGGCATAGATGGTGCTGGTGTGATATACAAATGCAAAGTAGACGATAAACGTAATAGAGTCATGTTAATGTACAATATTTTCAGTTGCATGTCTTATCGTCGTGACTCGTCAAAAGGAGAATCCAAACATAGGGAAAGAATTACAGGGTATACGCTAACGAAATCTCAATCTGAACCGTGGTAATCTCATCAATCTCCTCCTCTCACTTGCTTACCGGGACCTTCTCTGCGTTTGGGTCAGGCAAATGCGAGACACTAGGCAGGTCGTTCACTGTAGCGGGCTTCTCCCTCTCCTCTCTCCCATCGTTGATGATGAGGGGAGACGTCGGTCGTTCTGCATCTTGCTCTACAGCTCTTGTGGCGGGCTTCTTATCACCGAAGATGGAATCGTTGTCGTCGTCGATGGAGGCCATGCTGCTGCCAGCTGCAGAGTCTGCGCCTTCGGCTGAAACACGCTCTTTCTCGAGACGGACCTCGCGACCACGCTTGTGGCAGTACCAGAAGACGAAGAGGAGTACTGGTTGCTGTTAGTATTGATATCCAAGAAGAGAGGTGAGGAGGAAACTTACAAAACACAGCCAAGCTCATGATGAGATTCGTTCCCATTGCCAAAGTGGGGAAGCGTAGTTTGAGGAAATTGAGAATACTCTTCAGTGCTGTCGCTACAGCGCCTTGCGCAGATATGAGCTGCTTCAGACTCGGAATCGTAGGTAACCCGGGGATTCTTGACTTCTTGCTCTTGGTCTTACTGCCCTCAGCGTACTGCTGCTTTGCGTCGAAACCTGGCTTCGCTGCCTGTGCAGCAAGTATTTCGGGGCCGAGTGTTGCTGTGAGCTTGGCGGGCAGGCTCTTGACCATGTTTTGCAGGAACGGAGGCAGATTGCCGTACATCTTCTTGAGCTGGGCGTCATAGTCGGTGAACAGCTTCTCGAGGTCGTTGTAGGCTGTAGGAGCGCCATTGATGATGTCCTTGAGGACGAGGACAAACTTGTTGAGGAGCTCCTCAGATTCCTTGCTGAAGGAGAAGACGCGGTTGTTGACTGCGGAGAGGTTGAGTTGATCCAGTACCAGGGTGAGCTCCTTGTTCTCCCTCTGCGTCTCGGTAAGATCAGCAGCCCTGGAGACTTCGACTGCCTCACGCAGATCATCGGCAAATTGCGCTTTATCCTTCTCCGTGACCGCGCCCTTCTTGGCCTTGGGCGCTGTGTCCTTCTCCTTGTCGGTTTTCTTAAACCTGTCCATGGAGAAGTAGGACATGACGGTCTTCTTGCCTTTACCCTTGTCTAGGTTCTCAGCGTTAGCCTCGGATGGGCTCGTCGGCAACGGAATCTTGTTCGCACCGTCCATCAGGGCCTCCTGTGCGTCCCTGCCAAGCTTCTTCTCGCCCTTGTTGTCGACGGCCTCCATGGGCCGGGTGGGCAGAGGGGGCGGCGTGCCCTCAGGCTCCGAGGCAATAGCAGTGAGGCGCTCGAGGAACATCTCATCTTCCTCGTTCGTCATGGGCTCTGAGATTGGTTCTTCGACTGGGGTGGTGGCTTTTGGTGCGGGCAGTGCTTGTGCAGGCTCGCTAGGTCCTGCGAGTACAGGCTCCTGAGTTTTGGACGGCTCTGGGGATTTCTGCTCCACGTGAGCTTCGGGCTGCTTTGACAGCCGTCGCAGCTGCTTGTTCAGGTATGTCTGCATTGTCGATGTCGTGTTTGGGTATATGCTGTGAGTAGACTGTGCGCGTAGAATCAAGGTCAGATAAGAAAAACTTTAGGGAGAGCCCTTGTATAAGTTCAGATTTTGAGGGGCGATCTTCTGTTCGCTGCGGCAGGCATATCGTCCTGATTGCTCGTCGTGCGTCATCGCGGGGATCGTGTTCTAGAATCGCGCTACAGCCACACAGCCACACCATCATCGTTTGACATGTGAAATCTGCGACGTCGTTGTGTCTGGCGGAAATCATACGCGTCGTCTTTTAATTCCTCCGTCTGTTGTATCTAATAGATTTCGAGAATATCCACGTCAACATCTCTGTTCTGAGCCATGCTACCCTGAGAAAGCTAAGCAAACTGTGTGCGCCCAAGCGTAGTCAAGCTTGTACAAAGACTGCTTCTCAGTCAAATCTGTTCGAGTTAACACGTCTGATCAGTTTCTTCAGTTCGTGGTCATGATCACATCTGGGGCAGATGGTGAACGGCGTAAAGTATTCAACCGACAACCAATCTCATTGGAGTGATGTTGTCCTTGTATCCAACTTCTTCAAGTCTCAATATACTTAAATGACATGGTGCATCTCGCACCATATCACCTCCTGATTTCCCTCACTCAGGCAGTCTGATCAGAACAGTATCAAGTCGCGAGAATGATGCCCGCATACATCTTCCATACTCTTTCTCTCTCCCTTCTCTCATCCTTTACCTCCAGCAGTATGCTAGCAATTTCTCTTTCATTATCTCTTCAGACATTCGCAAGCTCACTCGAAGCCAGTCAGTGAATTTTCTGAGCCACTTCCTTCTATCACCTTTCCCTCCAGGCTACTACAGATCGCCCCACTCACCACTGCGCGCGTGGCATATAAATTGGCCATAGTATACTTCAAGTGCCTGTCACAACCCTATCCAGTACACGACAACACCAAGGTCTACTTTAAACTGTTCAACCAATTCAACTACTACAAACTACACCACGACCGAAGCCAACACTATGGCCGACGAAGCTTTCATTCTCGATGGTAAGTGTGTCTGCCCCCTTCATATATCTTTCACTGACATGATATGACAGGTAACGAGCTCATCGATCAGTTCAACATCGAGGACAACGATGTGGACATGAACTCCGGCGGCGACCAAGATGATTACATAGACGGAGCAGATGCTCCTGCAGACGATGTAGGTATCTCCTCAGCTTTCAATTGCAGTCTAACGCGTTACAGGACAACGACGAGGGCTTCAAGCTTGACGGCTACAGTGACCTTGGCGATGACAACGACAACGACGAAAACTACGAAAACGACGACAACGAGGCCAAGGACGACGACTCCGAGTACGACGACAACACCACCACCGGTCAGAAACGCAAGCGTGCCCGCCCTGCGTTCTCCCCCAGCACTCAAACCACCGACGGCGAAGCATTCATCATCGAAGAGGGCACCAACTTCCTCAGCACCGTGACTCCCCATGTGCCCGGCACTTTTGGCCGCCGCAATCGCGGGCCGGGTGAGAGTCTGCCTGCGTACCACAGAAAAGTCTCTGCAACCTTGGACTCGGACGACGAGCTCATGATGAAGATGCGTGAGAAGGGCTTCAGTGACCGCCAGATTGCTGATAAACTGGCCAAGGATGGTCGTGTTCGTTACGATCAAAAGTCCATCTCCACGCGCATCATGCGTATCCGTCTTGCGCAGGCCGGTAACGTGGACTTCCTCCTCAAAGAAGGATACAAGGAGTGGGAGTTCAAAGACGTGAGTTCTATATCACCCCCTTCCCATCACAAAAATACTCAAATACTGACATCCCCTCCAGGACTGCCTCCTCATGCAAGCCTACGCCCTCGCTGACATAGAAGTCAGCTACGAACTAGAGCGTATCCGCGCATGGCGCTTCCGCAAAGTATCCGAGTACATGCGACGTCTGAACAAGGCCACGCTCTTCTCCGAAACCGCCTGTCGCGAGCGCTACAACGCCCTCGTCGAAGGCACAGCCCGCATTCCCACAGACCTAGACGACGACCCGGATACCCGCCGCGCGGAGATGGAAGCCTTCCGCGAGGCCCGCGAGGAAATCCGCTTCAAAGAACAGCAAGAAAAGGAAATGCAGGAGGCGCGGGACCGCATAGCCAAAGACCAGACCAAGGAGAAGAACGCGCAAAAGGCCCAGGAAGCAGCAGATAAGCGCGCCGCGAAGGAAACAGGCAAAGCCCAGCGCGCCATGCAGCGTGCTGCCAAAGCACAGCTAAGAGCCCAACGCGCGGCGGAGAATCAGCAGGCGAAGACACAGCGCAACGCGCAGATCAAGCGGCAGAAAGACGAGGCTGAGAAGAGGAAGAAGAAGGTAGCTAAGGTCGATCCCAAGCCTAAGCTAACTCCCAAATCGAAAGCTAAAGGTAAAGAGGCTGCGACGCCTGTTACTGCCAAATCCAAGACTGCCGCCGAAAGACCAGATCCACGCAGTTTCCTTTCTCTCCGAGACCTGGCCAAACTGTGTGCTGACCGCGGTATCTCCACCGACGAAAAGACCAAAGCGCAGCTCCTCGGCGAGGTGCGAGATGCTGATGATGAGTGGACAGCCGTGGAGCTGAAGAAGATGTGCAAGTCGAAGGGCCTGAGCATGCAGGGGAGTAAGTCGGTGATGCGGCACCAGTTGGCGCTGGCGGCTGCGCAGCTGTTTCCGTCGTTTGAGAAGGTTGCGGATGTTGGAGAGAGCGCGGAGGATATGGGGAGTGGTGTGGAGTGAATGACTTCGGGTGGTTTGGTGAGTACGGGATATGTCAAAAAGGGGTTTAAGCATATTGGGTATGCTATGCGGTCCAAAGTAGTCGTTGCGGGACGATATGTGTGTATCTCTCGATACTACGATCCTGGATTGAAGGTACACACATCAATAAAATCGTACTCAGGATGGAAAACGTCCGTGAGAAGAAAACTTCATCTTGTATGCTGTGTGAGAAGTAAATTCGAAAGCTTGTAGATCGCATCCCGGACAAAAAGGAGGCTTAAGGATCAATCATGTGTCGCCTTGCCGGTCGCCCGCTCGAAGAGAGACGGCTAAGAACAATCTTTGAAGAGGACTGTAGTGAGACTATTGGTGCTAAGATTGCCACAAGGTCTCTTGTTGGACTTCTGAACGTCGATGCATCCGGCTTGAACGCGATGAGTGACAGTAGGAGATGCATCTCGAACTTCAGCTGGGACCGTTTGGCAACTTGTGAATAGTATGGGAAGATACATCAGTCTTAACAAGATATACTTGGACCGCCAGAGAAGACGATTAGAAAGAATTCTGACATTTCTACAGTGATCAATCCTTTTTGAGAAAGAACGCCTCGCGATAGAATCTCGCCTCCTCGATGCTCTCGAGAATGTCTGCTCGCGCTTCATGTAGCATTTTCTTTCTTGGAATCTTCTTCAGGGTTTCCTTAGGCGCCCATCGCCTTGCAGCTTCTTTGATACTGCTGACGTCCATGATGCGGTAATGGAGATGATCAGTGACAATCTTGTATGGTGGCTTAACAAGAAACGATTTATCCGCATGTACAGAATTTCCAGCAAGGAGCCCGGTACGACGTTCCGGTACGTATTTCTTTATGTACCCCAATAGACCCTCTGCAGCCTCTTCTGGGGTAGTCGTGGAGTCGAGGCATGCTTGAGTTAGTCCTGATTGGCCATGATGTCTAGTGCACCATTCCCCCATGCGGTCGAGCTCTTCTTTGGTATGATGGATGATAGCCTCGTATCCTTCTTCGTCGAGAACAGTAAGGTCAGAATCAGTGACGAAAACGGCCAAAGACATGATGGTGTCATTGTCGGTGTCCAAGCCGGTCATCTGAATCGATCAGCAAGATGTCGTTGCCTCGTAGGAGTCAAGTTACTTCGCAATCTATCCACACCAAGGGAACCCTCGATATAGAAGCCATGCTGATGGGTGCGTGTTGGCAATGTTCGAATGGCAGAAAAGCGATGGTCATCCGTTATGGCAAACGAGTGACTAAGCATATCCTTAATTGGCTTGGCAATCGCGTCGCGTGTTTTAGCGCGTTATTCTTACCGTTAATGGGCAACCCAGGCGTCCCTCCAGCTCTCCTCCCACGCGCATGACAACATCATAGCCCGTTGGTCAAGCCTTCAACTTTTTCACTTTCTTGCTCAAATCTATTACATATTCTAATACACCATGTCTCGCGCAGCAAAATTGGCCGAGCTGCGGGCTCTGCGCGCTGCTGGCAAGACGCGCATGTCCACGTACGAAGTAGCCGAAGAGGAGGATCTGTACGATGAGGTCGATGAAGACGGGTACAAGAAGATTGTGCGTAACAGACTGGACCAGGACGACTTCATTGTCGACGACAATGGCGAGGGTTACGTCGATGACGGCCGGGAAGAGTGGGAGGATGGACAGGGCCGGTACCGTTATGCTGCCACTGATAGTGAGGGAGAAGACGACCGGCCCGCCAAAGGAAAAGCTGGTATGCACCTGGCTGTACTTCTTCGCCGCTTGCAAGAGTGCTGACGTATGATAGCCAAGCGGAAACGGGAGGAAGACAAGGAGAAGCAGGAGAAGATAGACAACGGTATCAGCAAATACTTCAGCGGGAAGGCTGCGGCAAAAGCACCAAAACCCAAGGCAAGCATGATCTGCAGCCGATACATGTCAAGACTTGGACTAACATACTCAGCCTGTTGCGACGGCCGCCGACAAAGACTTCATGCAGGACCTACTAGGCGAAATCGACACAATTCCCATCCGCCACTCTGCGTCCCGCACACGATCCGTTAAGACTGAGACACGACGAAAGATACGTGTGTTATCACCTACCATATCCGAGATGCGACCAGCTATAAAGAAACGGCGCAGTGATGACTCGGACGCACAAATGCCAGATACCCCGCCAGCAGCGAATGCCTATGCAGATGACGACGACCTTCCTACGTTCGATGATGATGCGCCCATGAGCGATCTTCCTCTACCATCCTCGCCTGTTACCAAGGCTGTTGAGAGAAAATCGCAACCCGTTGTCAAATTCGAGGAAGAAGAGGAAGATCTGATGGAGGTAGCTCAGCCCATTGGGCATCATGGTGTGCCTGCTGTTAGTGTGAACATGGCCGGAAAACGGCCGATCGCCAGGATCAGGAAAGCGGACTATCCTACACCAGTCGGGTCCTCTCCAGTAGGACCTTCTGCCACTTCTGTAGATGCCTCTTCCTGGAGCGATGTAACCAGCAAACTTAACGTCGTGAGCAGCCCCGCACCACAAACTACTGGTGTTGGCAAGATGAAGCCGGAACACGCCCTGGAAGAGGACGGTAGCTTACGGATGTTCTGGATGGATTACACTGAGATCAATGGTAGCTTGTGCCTTTTTGGCAAGGTCAAAGACAAGAGCACAGGAAATTATGCGAGTTGCTTCATGAAGGTTGACAACATCTTTCGAAAGTTGTTCTTCTTGCCTCGAGAACATCGTCATGTAAGAGGATCGGCCACAGACCAAGAGGTTGAGATGACCGATGTGTACGACGAGGTGGACGCGATCATGACTAGGCACCGCGTTAGCATGCACAAGATCAAGCCATGCATAAGAAAGTATGCATTTGAACTGCCAGATATACCCAAGGAAGGCGATTATCTCAAGCTGCTCTACGGTTATGACAAGCTGCCGCTTTCTACCGACCTGGCCGGAGAGACATTCTCGCATGTTTTCGGAACCAACACTTCGTTATTCGAGCAGTTTGTTCTCTGGAAAAATGTCATGGGTCCTTGTTGGCTCAAGATCGACGCTCCGGATTTTGGCGCTATTAGCAATGCCTCATGGTGCAAATTGGAGCTCCAGGTGAACAAACCTGCGAACATTTCCGTACTGAGTAACTCGGATAATCTGGATGCACCCCCTATGACTCTCATGAGTCTCTCGCTACGCACGACTTTCAACGCGAAAGACAACAAGCAGGAAATTCTCATGGTAAGCGCCATGGTGTACGACAATTTCTCCTTAACGGATACCACCCCCGTCGATGAAATGCAATGTAAGAGTTTCACGATTATGCGGCCAAACGGCACATCCTACCCGACCGGATTCCAGACCGAAGCACAGAAGCTGAAGGGCAATTTTATGTTTATGAAGACAGAGAAAGAACTTCTCAGCCTGCTTATGGCCATGTTCCAGCGACACGACCCAGATTGTCTCGTTGGCCATCGTCTGGATGATGTGGATTACAGCACGCTGCTCAATCGTCTGCGTGAGAACAAGACTCCTGGCTGGCACCGCATTGGACGTGTCAAGAGGAGCGACTGGCCTAAGAACATGGGCAAGGGCGGTGGTAGCTTCTTTGCCGAAAAACAGTTAGCTTCTGGCCGCTTGCTTTGCGACTTGGCCAACGATCTCGGAAAGTCTCTCATGACTAAATGCCAATCTTGGAGTTTGGAAGAGATGTGCCAGCTTGTTCTCAACAAACGACGCGAGGAACTCGACAACGAGGCTGCCCTGAAAAGTTGGGCAACGACTAAAGAAGGCCTACTTAATTATGTCAAGCATTGCCAAGCTGACGCGTACTTCATCGCCGCAATCTCCATGAAGGTGCAGATGCTTCCTCTCACTAAGGTTCTGACCAATCTTGCTGGTAATTCTTGGGCTCGAACATTGAGTGGTACACGTGCCGAGCGCAACGAGTACATTCTGCTCCACGAATTTCACAAGAACAAGTACATTTGTCCAGACAAGCAATGGGGCAAAAGCAAAATCAAGGTTGAAGAAGAAGCAGCCGAAGGTGAAGAAGGTGCAGATGCAAAGAAGAAGGACAAGTTCAAGGGTGGTCTGGTTTTCGAGCCTGAGAAAGGCTTGTACGACAAGTTTATCCTAGTCATGGACTTCAACTCTCTGTATCCCAGTATCATCCAGGAGTTCAACATTTGCTTCACGACAGTCGAACGAGCCGATCTTTCCGAAGAGGACGACAAGGTACCTGAGGTTCCGGATACGAACCAGGATCAAGGCATTCTGCCTCGTCTGATTGCTACACTTGTTTCTCGTCGTAAAGAAGTGAAGAAACTAATGAAGACGCCGAACGCTACCCCAGATCAGCTGGCTACTTGGGACATCAAGCAGCTTGCCTTAAAGCTTACAGCCAACTCTATGTACGGATGTTTAGGATACACGAAGTCACGTTTCTACGCCCGGCCACTCGCCATGCTTACCACGTACAAGGGTCGAGAGATTCTTCGACGGACGAAGGATATGGCTGAGGAGAAGATGTTACGTGTCATCTATGGTGATACAGACTCCGTTATGATCAATACAAACGTGGACAACATCCAGGATGCGCTGAAACTAGGAAATGAGTTCAAGAAGGATGTCAATAATAGCTACAAGCTTCTGGAGATCGACATTGACAACGTGTTCCGTCGCATTTTACTTCATGCGAAGAAGAAGTATGCAGCTATCAACATGGTACCTGTTGATGGCAAGTACATCGAAAAGCTCGAAGTCAAGGGTCTGGATATGAGGCGCAGAGAATATTGTGCCTTGTCGAAAGAAACGTCAACGTATGTCTTACCATGTTCGATGTTCAACTGTCTTGATATATACTAACATGTTCATAGCGAGCTTCTCAACTTCCTCCTCAGCGGCGAAGACCCCGAAATCGTAGTCGAAAAGATTCACAACCATCTCCGTGAACTCTCGAAACAGATGCGCGAGTACACTATCCCGACTCGCAAATACACAATTTATACGCAACTCGGCAAGAACCCCAAGGACTATCCTAACGGCAACAGCATGCCATCCGTCCAAGTTGCCCTGCGTCTTGAGGCAAAGGGGAAGATGGTCAAAGCCAAGGACGTCATGAGCTTCATCATCACAGGCGACTCGTCAGGCTCTGCAGAAAACGCTGCGAAGAACGCATACCCTGTGGATGAGGTACTCAAGAGTGACAATGAATTGAAACCGGATGTGGAGTACTACCTGCACAAGCAGATCCTTCCGCCAGTAGAAAGATTATGTGCACCTATTGGTGGGACGAATATCACTCTCCTCGCCGCATGCCTAGGTCTCGATACATCAAAGTACCGTGTCTCAACAGCCTCCGGAGCCGCGCAACAAGACACCGAGGTACATCCCTTGGAATCTCAAATCCCGGATTCGGTGCGTTTCCAGGCTTGTACACCATTGTGGCTGCGCTGCCGGGCGTGTACCACTGTATTCCCCTTCGGTGGTGTCTCCTCCTCCTCCTCAGCGGTCACACATGGTGGCATCCAATGTCCAGACTCATCCTGCGCCACCGTCCTCCAAACACTCTCTGTCGTCGCGCAGCTAGAAAGCGCGATTCGCCAACTCCTTGCTACATACTACGCCGGCTACCTCGTCTGCGATGATCCCGCATGCAGCAATCGCACACGCAGCATGTCAGTTTACGGATCGCGCTGCCTGGGTCCGAAGGGGCTGGCCAAGGAATGTTTGGGTAAAATGCATTATGAGTTCAGAGAAAAGGATGTTTGGAATCAGTTACTGTATTTCCAGTCCCTTTTCGATGTTGACCGTGTGGGGAAAGGTGATGGCGGCGGCGTCGGGACAGTTGTTCTTGAGGGTGAGAAGAAGGAGAAGATGAAGGTCCTTGCTGAAATCAACCGTGAGAGACTTGGCACATTGAAGAGTGTTGTGGACAAGTGGCTGGAGAGAAATGGAAGGCAGTGGGTGCAAATGGATAGCCTGTTTTCCTTTGCGCTGAAGGCGTAGTGTTTGGGATATAGATCATGTTGTCATGATTGCGTGGTTCTGGGTGCTCGTGGTCCGCTTTTGGATAAGGTGTTTCGCTGCATATTCAACGTCCTCCTTGAATTAGTGTGGCTCGAAATATTATTCCGTCGTTCTTGTTTCCAAATAATAAAAACACACTTCACCCGATCCATATACCTTGAACTGACATGCCAACCTCTTGGACTCGATCACGACAGAACGACCTAGCGGTACATACAGCAAGTGAGCTTACATGGTATCGTAGATTTGGTGGTATTGTATCTTATTGTGTCTCGTTGTATTCTCTTAGAACTTGACGCTCCACACGTATGGTGACATTCAAGATGAGACCATGTTACGTGAATTTATATAATACAGGAAGTCGATAAGCTGACTAGAAAATCTCGAGAACAAGAGTTCCCTACACATTCAATCCTCTATATCAGATCAAGTTCTCAGCGTTTTAGGTCAAAACTCTGTGATACAAGGGGCAATGGCGCTCACGTAGCAGCGATTGTTTCTGCTGCTGTATCCGTCTTATGGCGAGGTTGAGTGTCGACAGGAGAGGAAACAGCTGATTTGCATGCTTCATGAAAGATAGTGACGAAGCAATGAATGTCGTGAAAAGAATTGTACAGCGGAGCTGGAGCAATCCTCAACACGTCGGGCTTCCGCTCATCAACTACAACACCCCGCTCCTCGATGTACTTCAAGACGTTGTCCAAAAGGCCTGGCTGTAGGAGTACACTCAGCTGTGCACCACGCTCTGCCGGGTTTGAGGGCGTGATGATCGTATATGGGGGTTGTCCTCCACCAGGGTAGTACAGTATCCGTGCCTCTAAATATCCTGTTAAACGTAAACTGCGTTGACGCAGGGCATCCATGTTTGTGAGGGCGAAGACGTCTAAGCTTGCCATAACGGAAGTCATGTCCAAGGCACTTGGGTTGCTAAGCTGGAAGCCGCTTGCTCCAACGATCGGGACAAACTTGTTCTCCATACGGAACCTGCTGCTCTTATCGCTTCCCCACCAACCGCTCAGTCTTGGTCGGTAGACAAGCTCAATGTCATTTTTTCCCTTGGATTTGCTGCTTGCTGCATCGGTAGCGCTTGCCTTGGCCACCGGTACTTCTTCGACTCTTCCATGTTTCTCATGGACGAATGCTCCTCCGATAACCCCTGGTCCGCCGTTCATGTACTTATAGTTACACCAAGCGGCGAAGTCGACGTTCCAGTCATGTAATTTCAGTGGCACATTTCCGGCTGCGTGTGCAAGATCCCAGCCAATGGTTATGTCCAGGGCATGGCAGTGTCGTGTTATCAATTCGATGTCGAAGAATTGGCCAGAATAGAATTGGATGCCTGGTAGCAGAACGAGGGCGGTTGTTGCAGCGTGTCGTGATATTACGGAAAGGATGTGTTCAGTTGAGAGATATGGAGAAGAGGATGAGGCGGGTTCTATGGTGACAAGAGCGGAAGGATCGAGGTCATGATGAGCGATTTGTGAGAGCGCAGCGTACTAGGCCAGGTCAGGTCCCGAGTATTGTGTAATGAGTCGGAGAGCTTACATGATCGCTTGGAAATGCCTTTCCCTCGATGATAATCTTCCACTTGTCTTTTGTTGGTCTATAGAAGCTGGATAGTAGGAGGTGGAGGTTTGCTGTCAGCGTCTCCATGATCACCACCTCACTCGGGAGTGCCCCAACGATTTTCGCTGTTTGCTCCTTGATGGAATCATCTATATGTAACCAGGGCGGCAGACCTCCATTGTAGTTGGTGAAGTGACCAAGCACACCTTTCGAAGCCCATGTGTCCAGGTATCGATTGACATATTCCTTCGTTCTTCTAGGTTGTAAACCGAGCGAATTGCCACAGAAATACAGTGACCCCTCGTCGTCATCTGCTGCACCACTGGACGATGCTCCTTCTTTCTTTTCTTGGAAACCGTACTTGCTGTTCTTCAGGTCGCCCTTGGTTGGTATCACAAATTGTTCTCTCAGCTTGCTCAACTCGTCTTTCTCGTCTTCTCTCTTTGCGAACTCTTCAGAGCATAGCTCTGCCTCAGACAGCAACAGGTAGTGGGTTGGCATTTCGACTGAGCTGAAGTGAAGTATCTGGCCGGAAGGGCTGTCAATATGATAAAGAGGGTTGAAATGTGGCAAAAACGTAGAACAAGCCGTTGCTTAATTTAATTAAATCTACAGAGTAGGCAAGTGTGAATGGTTTAGGGTGGGGCTGATAGCGGATAAGGGTGGGGTCAACAGGCAGTGTGATTGGTTAAGACAGTTTGACATTTGGCGATGACCTCAGGCGGATGAATGCTTACACACATCCAACACCACTCCCTAACATCTATCGATATGGCTTCTACACCGACGTTGTGCACTTCCTGTCTGCGCGCTGTGAGGAGAGCGGCCACAAGAGTCAATACCAAGCCTGCGAGCAGCGTACCCAACTCTTCACGAGCGTACACCAAAGCGGCCGCCACATCGCAGCCATTGTATCTCGACTTTCTTGCGCCATCTGCGTTCAGACCAGAGTTGAGGTCAACTCGGCCCTACAAGATACGCCCACCGATCTTCGCACAAGCGCAACACTCGCGACGAGGCCTCGCCACCACCAGCGACCCCTCCGCCGCGAAACCTGCCCACGCCATCCAGAACCCACGCAACGATGACTCCGGCTCTCCTATGACGATCTCTATTTCCCCACGTGCATCCAACCGTCTGCACAAAATCTCCGCCACCGACGCGAACCCCAACCTCGCATTGCGCGTTGCCATCGAAAGTGGTGGCTGTCACGGCTTCCAGTACCTCATGTCCTTGATCGACCTTTCGAAAGTCCCAGCAACCGAGGAAGATACAATATTTGAGGGGCATCAGGGGGAGAAGGTCATAGTTGATGAGAGCAGTTTGGAGCTGCTCAGTGGGAGTACGGTGGACTATACGATGGAGTTGATTGGGAGTCAATTTAAAATCACGGGGATTCCGGGCGCAACCAGTAGTTGTGGATGTGGGACAAGTTTCGATATCAAGTTGTGACAGCATCGGGATCAGAACTTGAAAGTGATGAAGAAGTAAATACCCTGACAGAGGCAATCGCTGTTAGATAGCTAGATACTCATGCCACCTTCATAATAACTTCCAACTCCTGCTTGCGCAACTTACCCACAAAATACTTGAACGGTCTTTTGGGACGCTTTGAAGGTTAAACCCGATGCCTATCCGACGACAAACCAAGTCAACGAGGTCACGTTAACCTTTGCGAATTCACTATGCCCTAGGTCATCATTGACTCCTTCAACGTCGATGGATGGATGACATATTCATCAAAACGCATGTTTATGGTTGTCATCGGAAATGCTTTACTCAACATATTGTCCACTCAGCAAAGCTGGGGCGCCAAGATCTTATGCAAGCTGGACATCATACTACCACGAGGGTACACGATGACTACCCCTATCAAATGATGTGGGTCCAACAATTTAGTATGACGGGCGTCATGTCATGTCATGGGGATAGTCATCGTGTGCCCTGGCAGTGTATGCGGCTGAACCCTCGCACCACTGTGAGCTAGGGGTAAACGCGCGCCTACAGACACTCAAACAAGCTACCGGACGTGAACAAAGGAGTAAAAACAGCGATATGTACGCGAGACGGCGATGTGCACGTCAGACGGCGAGGAAACGGCGAGGTGAGGCGCGGTTGCGGAAGGAAGTGCATAAGCGAATAAGCGCGCGGAGCAACGCCCGGCCAGTAACAGACTTGAGTCACATCCATCTCATCTTTACAAAGTCTCAATGCACTGCATAACATCAGACCCAACTCTTTCTATTTACTCATGTGATTAAAATCACCCTGTATGTACTCAATGCTCTCAAGTATACGTGCTTGCGTCGTTTAGACAGTCCACAACTGGATCTAAACGCGAAGCACCAGGGTCTTGCCCCCAAGCTATCCTGTTTATGATATCACTCTCCTGCGCAAGGGCGGCGACCTAATATAAGCGATCGGTCTGTGATTCGCCCCATCGCCTACGCCGCAAGACACGCCATCATCATCCCCATCCTCCGCCGAAACGGGGGGTGAATTCTGTCAACCCAAGAGATTATTGTGAACGAGTCTAGCATATCTATGGTAGCCGAACCTCGTGTGCTCAGTTTCAAGAAACACTAAATACCCAGCAGTATGGAAACGCCAGTGGATAGCTCCAGGATGCGCCGAAACTACGGTTACTCAATCTCAGCTCTTGTGCCATAAAGCAGGACGATGGTCGTTGCTAGAGACTGCTTGTTAACAGCTTTCTACTCTTCACAAATATGAGTGTAAACATTTTGAACAACTTTGGGGTCGAATATGCAATCGGTACTTGCATCTTTGTTTTACGATGGTTCTCTCGCTGGAAGACAGCTGGATTCAAACACTTTGGTTGGGAAGAATTCTTCGCTCTATCTGCGTGGTTCTTCTTTAGCCTCGGGTTTGCGATCAGGGAATATTCGCTATGTTAGTATCCGAACACATATTTGTAACACAACTGACAGTGAGAATAGCCATTCTCAATCCACAACACACACTATCCCTTTGGACGAGACAACCAATACCGCAAGAAACTAAGTCGGTCCTTGCCAGCTCATTCTTCACGACATTCTCTTTTTGGAGCTTAAAAGGCTGCCTTGTCTTGCACTTCCTGCGCCTTGACTCTGCCAATCCTGATACAACATCACTGCCACTCACAACACCGCCAGCCGAAGGGATCTCTCCATTGCGCCGATATGTACAATTTGTTGCAGGGCTTTCCGTATTGGCTTGCGTCGTTTGTATCGTCGCACAACTCGCTTATTGCCTCCCACTTAATCGTCATGGGCAGATTCAATCCGACTCTAAAGGTATGCAGTATCTCGAGTTACAGGTATCGACAGTGCTAATGCAAAGTAGAACAGTGCACCCCCAGTATGGGTGTGAATATGTTTGTGACAACAAGTAATGTTTTGTAAGAATATCGTCGAACCAGCTATAATACACCAATTAACACAACAACAGAACCGACGCGTTACTTCTGGTTGTCCCACTATTGGCTCTGTTTGATATGCGCATAAGTATGCGACAGTACGTAGGAATCAATCTGACATGATTATACTATATCTAACACGTTCATCTCTAGGAGGATCAAGATTGGCTTCCTCGTATCATTGGGTCTTGCCGTTATGGTTATCGCTCTTGGTCAAGGTGCTTTGGTCGCCGGCGGTATTGAGTCGATATCCACAACCTGGGTTTGGACGCAAAGAGAAGCCGTAAGTTTCCTGGCAACTCAGACCCTGACCACTTTCTTATAACACCTTACAGATCATTGCAATCTTCACTGTCAATGCTCCTGTCATCAACGAACTTCTCGATGATGCACTACTGCCAAATACTGGATCCCCATATGGATGTCTATGCGGTTGGCGGTATGCACCAGAGAAAGCCCTGATTCCAACCGATAGCAATCCTTGGAGCATACACGTAACGAGACACGAAACTTTTACAGTAGTGGAAGCCGACACAGACAGTGAGCCCGCCGATGCTTCCTGGGTCGTCAGCAAATCAAAAACAACTGTGCCATTTCGGATATCCTGGAGAAATATTGTTCAGGGCGGTCACAATGCCGAGCGTATACTTTAAAGCAAACCAGCTCTGTAGGACTATCTATCGAATTTCTGTCTGGTTTGCGTCTTTCCTCGTATTCTCATTTCATCTCAGGTATAATCTCTCATGATGCGTATACGTTACTTTCCATTTGATTAAGGGTATTTTGAGCGTGTGCTGTTCTCGAGATATCTTCCAAGGGTTGTTTCCTGAGGTACTGGGTGGCGCTTTGCAAGATTTTGCGGGCGACCGTATACGTATCGATGGCATGCACTTGCAACATTACACATCAATTCAATCGTCTTCTTCTTCTTTTTACTCCATTGTTCGTCTTTCAAATTGTACAAGCAAAGCCTTGAGATATACACTGTCTTACTTCAGACTTGACAATTGATTAGGTAGATATTCTACCTCACATGCGGAATTTTGGTGTCAAAAACATGCGTTGGCTTAGACAAGAGCAGCAAGCCTCTGCAAACGAAAGCGAGCAAGTGTGTAGCGTGGGAAATCCTACACCCAGGCATTTCGAACTTCGAATACTCATCATGACGAGCGCCATCAGTATGCATGGAAAGGGGTAGGTTGGAAAGAATTGCCCAGTCGTTTTAGGACCGATAAGATCTCAACCCCTGCCATGCAGTCGATTGCTTGACATATGAGACTAAATGCTTATCTTAGCAGCCGTCCTGGAGACATGAATGCGGTGATGAACTTTTCGTCCGACTCTCCTTCCACCTCTGATCCATATGGTATCTGAAGTTGTTGATGATGATCGAGCTGAGTATGTGGTGGGTACTATCAATCTCGTTTTACAATCCTCCACACGATGGACAGTCGTAACTTTGAAAGGTATCAAATGGGACGAACTGTTCACTACTGTCGCATGGGAATTTACACTCTAGTTTCGCCATGGCGCTGTTGTGCTGTAGGAAAAGCATTAACACTCAGTCTATGCCAACACAGAGACTGTTTTCCCGAAAACGTAGCGCACCCTCGACCTCAATACATCATTTAGCGCTCTTAGGATGCGCAGATAAGTTGGCTTCACAGTCAACTTCACCTCTTGACGTCTAAGAATGTTGAGAGTATGATGGAAGTGGAATTGGCGTGATTCCGTTGGTGAGCGAGTTATCGCCGGCGTCCATCTATTTTCGACTTGATATCGTATTCTAGTGCAGGACTTTACAACAAGGTGCTGTCTTGTTTTAGTTTATATGTGGGTTCGATAGCGTTGTAGAATCCAAGTAGGAAGTGAGTGGTTTTAAATAGTGGGGGTTTTGTGTTGCTGGCGTGCAGAATACGGTGTAGTGCCAAATGTCGGTCAATAGCGAAGTACCCCCATTGTCGAGATTTCCACTTCCCTCACCACAACGAGAACAGGTCCCGACGCAGTAGAGCATTGATTCTGCTTGCATTTGGAGATGCATGCTTCTAGGACAGGTCTGACACGTCATTTTTATCAGCCATAATTTCTGTGGAACTTCGGACATAGTCACGTTATCGACGTACCACTTGTTCACATAGGTAAACGGACCGTTGTTTACTGCCTCCACTGCGACGAGCTGGGACATGCCAAGGCCGCCCGCCACCTCGATCTGATATCGACAGGGTTACATGCTCCACTTGCCGTGACCAGTGACTAGCCGCACTGAGGTACAACGTCTCGATAGACCCTGGGAACAACCCTGCATGGGATACCTGTAACTCCTCTGGGCATCGTCGAATATCTACGGTGAGGCTCGACGGATAGCACGCGCGACTATGTTAGCTATACGAGCAGCCACGGATGTGTAACCGGCCACGATACTTGGAGACAAGGTTTCGGTCCCTGGGACCGATAAAATATGCTCATGTCGATATTTGTGGACATGACGGAGGTTCTCAGTCGATCGAAATTTTGGAGAATAATAACCCCGAAACCAACATTACCATATGGCATGATAGGTACAACACGGTCGAATGTAACTATAAAATTAACATCAATGCGTATCTCGCTATCGCAGTCCTGGAGCAGACACCCCTAGCAACCATGCTTGATGTTGGGTGGTGTTGAGTGCCCATGGAATAGACTCGTTCCCGGTATTTCGACCGATCACGAGTCGTTTCGTGTGGTTTCGATAGGGATTTCAAAAGGGTGCCCGACTTAACATGATTATGCGTCATGCGGAGCATTATCCGAGTATGCGCTAAGTTTCTTGAACGATCGACCTGCCCAAAGTGCAACACAAACCAACTAACGGAACGTCACCTTCTCGTATAGCGTGTAGCCGCGGTACGGAAAAAGCCCAAAACCGGCCATTTTATGGCCGAGCAGCCACACATCGCTGCCGATTTTGCCGAACTAGAGCTATCTACTCCACATAACGAACCGCTTCCGGAATGTCAGGGCTGTTGCAATTTTAAAAATAGCACACTTCAGCCCTGCGTTACATCTCGCGTATGTTTTGTCCGTATACACAGTGGCAAGGGTGCTGGTCACTTGACGTCAGACCTATCGTATCCCGCCTTGGACGGACATACACCAAATGCGCGAACAGTCTTGGGATGTAACACCGATACATATATAAGGACCAGGCTGCACACCCTTCTAAAATCATCAAACAACCACACTTCCACATCTTCCAATCAACCTTCAAACACCTCTACAACCTCACAACAACTTTCAATCTTCAACCAAGATCATCAATATGCAGTTCACCATCGTCGCCGCTTTCCTCGCCGCTGCCGGCATCACTGCCGCTTCTCCCATCGCGGCCCGTCAGGAGCCCGTCGCTACCCCATCCGGCGACTACATCTGGAAGATCAGCGAGTTCTACTCCCGCAAGCTGAACGGCAAGGACATCGACTCCTTGGCCTTCAACATCAAGGCCACCAACAACGGAACCCTTGACTTCACCTGCGAGGCCACCGAGGGTCCCATCGTGCCCACCCAGTTCTACCAGTGCGGAGAGAACAGCCAGATCTACTTCTCCTTCCAGGATGACCGCAGCGGTCTCCTCCTGAGGCAGGATGTCTCCGACGACATCCAGTACGTCGGCACTGCCACCCTTCCCAACTACTGCCGCGCCGGCGGTGCTGGAATCAACGACTTCATCTGCAACGGTGTCAACGACGCCTACCTCACCCTTGTCCAGTACCCTGGCACGCTCGAGTAAATATCGGTTTATGGATTATGATAACCGGTCTTCATGTACATAGCCACTTGTCATTCCTTTGCATAGCGTTGGGTCAAAACTTATAGAATATAATCCACGATCAACTTTGTAACATGCCTCACCTTTTGATCCCAACAGTGAAAATTTCTGCATCCATATGGGTTCACTTCATCTTTCTCCATATTCGTTCTTTTGCATCTGGTACTGTCAAGGTAGTGTGATTGCAAATTGCAGGACTCGTCTACGTCCCGCACGCTTTTCTGTTTGGTAGTCATCCAACAAGCCCAACATCGCTTCTAACGAGCAGCTCCATAGTAACCATTATTTCATGCCCATGCAGCACGGACGGGACCCCACTTATCCCAATCAACCGGTAACCAGTCCGACAGCCCCGTTTAGATTGTTTCACTCGACTAAGCCCGAACAAGCTAGTAAGACAACGATATATAGCGAAGATGTTCACTATTTTATCGATTGGTGACGTAGGTTTCAACGGTATCACCACCCTTCGGTTTCGTATCTTTGTTTTCATTTCCAGTATTTCGGGTGTGGCATCTCTAACCGGTGGTTACCCCCTTCGGCTGTGAGTCCTTGTCTGCTGGGGTAATAATGTCTCACGGAGATGACAGAGTCCCAGTCCAACCCAGCTCTTTTCATGCCGCTTGACCCGTTCATCGTTGGGTTTGGGATCGAGTATTATTTCGAAGGAACGAACGAGTCATGCAGGAAGAGGCTCCGTTATGCTTCTTTCGAAGAGCATAGACCTTGCGCTGTCCTATGTGACTCAAGGTTCAGCAGTTCGGCAACGACAAAGAGACTGCTAGGCAAGACCTCGCTGAAAACCTGCGGCAAGAACCCAGTAACGTTGTTTGTGGATACCCGTGACTGATGCTTGTTGGTAAGGCGAAGGGTGAAAGACAAAATCATGTGAACGGTGCATCATTTCCAGGGTCGTAAAGAAACGCAATCTATGTATTTTGCACAAACACTCCTCAAGGAGCCTCGGAACTATTTCGGTGGTATTTTAACCAAACAAAGTTACGACAATAAAGAGACTCAATGATGATCGTCAGTGGAAGACGAATGTGTTGAGGACGTATAACATTGTCTGATCTTGTAGGGTCTATCACGATGTCCGACACCTTCCTCCAATTGCACAAACCATAGTGTACATCTGCAAGTGTTAGATATGTTGAGAGTCAAAGTCCAAACGTAAATATATCCAAGATGCATGTAAGACAGAAAACACATCACCCAGGAACCTTTCTAAACCACGCTCCGCTCTGCCGCCTTCCCATAACATATGTACTACGCCAGTAAATTTTCAACTTGTAGTCCAAAGTCCCAACCATCTACTCAACCCCTGCCCAAGACACAGCACCGTGGAGAGGAAAACAACCCCAATTCCTACTATCCATGTATACATTTCCAAAAAGGGCGAACACGCACAAATTCTAACCCAAACCCGCCTACATACAGAAATCAACAGTAACAGTAGTACTTCAAACTCACAACCGTGAAACCAAGACGTACAGCTACTAAGAACAGTAAACCCACTTCTTCACACCATACACAGACGAGTCCAGGTCACCCAGCTGAACCCCACTATACGACGAAGACATATTCACTCTTCGCGGCAGCTGTAGAGGGGTAGAATGAACGCGCACGTGCACAAACTCCACGAATACTTACTGGCTCGAGCGAGAGTGTGTTTGTGTATGTCCTTTGCAGTACAGAGCTTTTCAAGAACTTGAAAAAATCATATTACTTTCCCAGCCCCACAGAAGAAGAGAATACATGTCTTCTAAAACATCTTCCCACCCATCGCAGACCCATCTATACGTTCGAACGAAGCGGAACGAAGAGGTGAAATGAACATCTTACCCGCGTGCCGCAAATCTCCATGGTACTCTTCCAAGGCACAGTATAGTACAGCGCAGCTCAGAATTCCTGCCAGTTTGTGTATGAGTTCGATGAAGAGCTTCACTGGAATTACTCGGCGTAAATAATTTACCTGTATATGTAAGTAAGCGGAGACAGGTGGATGTTCAGAGGACGATAGGGAGATCTAGGGTTCAATGGAGGATTTCGAAGTGCTTTAGTTGGGATATGGGGAGTGTTCGGTTCGTGCTCATTGCGGGTGGAAAGTAGGTTGAACGTGAACGTGAGGGATAGGAAGGTTTAGTGTCTGGATACACGGTGACGTGACACGGCATAACAAGAAAAAGTTGACATCAAAACAAGCGCAGAACCCAGAGAAGAGATAAACATACGGAGTAATAACAGTCACCAGCCTCCATCACCAACCCACAGTAGTGAAGAGCACAAAACCACTCACCAAACAACTTCCATAAATTGAGTAGAAAAACGAATAAGCCGAATAAATTACATCTAAGGGTATCTATCTGCATCGATTGATGAGGGAGGAGAGGACAGGACAACCGCAACAGGGTCCAAGTATTGAGAGGAAAAGAAAGAAAGAGAAAAACAAGCCAAAAGAAGCCCGACGACGAAATTCAAAAAAGATGAAACCCAAAAGCACTCCCCGAGCTTTTGTAGTCACGCACACACACCACACACGCCAGACACACCCGATCAAGTCTTACCCGACAACGACTCGTCTACTTCCGCCCCTCCCACCACGCCTTATCCTTCTCCCGCCGATGCGGCATCTCATCTCTAATCACCGTCTCGCGGTCAAACTCCGCACTGCGGGGCCGACTCTTACTGCGCGCACGACTCCTCTTCTCGACCGCAGCACTGCTCCTTCGCGGTTCGCGCCCTTCGAACCCCCTCCCGCCGCCGCCTCCCGTGGGCGTCCCCCCCGCAGCGCTGCGCTCATCCCCCGCGAACGTCGAGCGCGGCGAAAACGTCTCCCTCCTCCTCCGACTCACAGTGCTGCCTAGAACGGCGCTCGGGACCGCCGTGCCAGGCCTCATGCTCTTCCTCTTCTTGCCCGTCGCGGGCGGTCTTTTGACAAAATCATACGTCTCCTTGTCTTTGCGTGCGAGTTCGCGTTCGAGGCGCCATAGCGGGGCTTCGGGGAGGACGCGGACGGCGTCCGAGTCGCGGTATTTTGTTTTCCAGAAGACTTCTGGGTCTGCGGTGCGTGCGCTGTTGAGGCCGTAGTCGACGATGACTTTGTAGTGGTCGGCGAGGGCGCGGCACTCGTAGATGCCTTTGTCTGCTACGCCGGGACCGGAGAGCCGGAAGCGCGTGCGGACTGAGGGGTGGATGTATTCGTTTGTTTGGCGGAGGGGCCGGTCTGTTGTGCGGCCTGTGAAGGGGTCGACGGCGTGGTATTGGCCTGGTGTGCGGATCTGGGGGTTGTTAGTGGGGAGAGTGGTGGGGTAGATGGGGGAGGGGCTTACGGAGCTGCCGCCTATTGCGAAGAGGCCCGTTAGGCTGTTGTAGACCTCGCCGAAACTCCATGGTCGCTCTCGTTGCCCGTCTCGCTTGTACCAGCGATCGTTCTCGTCGTCTTGCTCGAACAGGTAGTCATCCCGCATGTCTAGGAATGGCTCGAGCTGGCTCATCATCCACGCGAGAGTAATGTTGGCGAGCTGTTGGTCATCGTACCCACCGCCGACGTTGGAATGCGCACCCGGAAACCATACTTGACGCAGCGTAGTTCGATTCCCCTCGGGCTTCTCCCATACCGCGGGGGCAAACGACGACCGTCGTTCGTCCAGAGCGAGCGCTTGAAACGCATTCTCAATGCAGTTGCTGAGCTTGGTGTCGTAGAAGGCCATCTCCTTCGACTCCTTGCTCTGCAGGCCGATCCGCTGAAGCTTGCCAATCCGCGGTGCGCCAAGACTCCCCACTGTATCCCAAACCCCGATAGCCTTGATGGGAACGCCCAACCTCGTCAATCCCCTCCTCTCTAGCTCATCCGCATAGCGAGGATCACTAGCGCTAGGTTTCCTCGGAAAGGGCAGATCCGGGTTGTAGGGCTGATAGTTTGGATCACGACGATGCTGCACGTCCCGGAAGACTTCGGGAAGATCGTTCAATCCTTTCTTAGTGAGGAGACCAACCTCACCGATCAGCCCGCCAATGCTGCGTGCGGTGAAGGCGCCCCGCGAGAAACCCAGGAGGAAGATCTCGTCGCCTGGGTGGTAGTTGTTTGCCAGGAACGAGTATGCTTCGCGGACGTTGTCTGCGAGCCCCTCACCTACCGCACCTCCGACAATGCGGCTTATATGGCTTCCCTGCGTGCCGACGCCGAAGGAATAGTTCACAATCTGGGGAATGCCATCCTGGCTGATCGTCTTGATGGCTCTTGAAATGCGAGTAACATTGCTCGGAACAGCCAGTTTCCCATTCAGCATCCCGTTGTCCGAGTTCATCCACGTCCCATCACATGCGACAATCAATCTTTTGAACATGCCTCTACCTCCGCTCAAGCCCGGGTCCACCATCAGCGGGCCTTTCCTGCCGACACTTCTACTCCTCGGGCGGGCAGGAATGTCGATGATGATGGGTGGCTTGGCCGGGACATCCACGATGATGGGCCCAGGCGTCCTCGCCCGCATGCTCGGCGCGCGACTCCTGCTTCGTGCCCGCGACGGCGCAACCGACATGGTGGTGCTGTTCCTCCTCTTACTTCTGGCAGCAAAGGTGGCAGACACGGGCGTCGACGGCGTTGAGGGGTCGTACCCCGAGTCCGCGTCCCAGTCCGAGTTGCTGCTGAGTGAAGCCACGACTATACGATCACGCCACTTTTACAGCGTGGCCCGAGTTTGTGTGGTTTGTGTGGTGGAGGGGTATGGAGATCCGCGAGCGTAAATCAAATGTGGGAGCGTTTCTGCCTGCGACACGTCGGGCGGTGAGATATTTGATGTCTGGCACCAGGCGGTGAACGACGTGCGAACACGTCCAGTCGAGTCCAATCCAACCCACGCGCTACCCGCTCCCCAACCGATTTCCCCAACCGTCCTCGAATAGATAGGTATCCAACTCTTGACTTTTTTGCAATCCTCCTTGGAACTTCCCGTCTGCGGTCCTGGGGTGTGTTTGCGCAAAAAAGGTCCAGCGTTGGTTGACGTGCAGCGTCGGGTCCCCTGCAGGTAGTTTTGTAACACGGCACGCGCGCGCGCGATATTTGGCCCGAGAGCAAGGCTGGCGATATTTTTTTATTTTTCTTGTCCAGACGCGAGAGCGAAGCGAGAACAAATGGCGAAAACGAATCTCAAACGAAACAGCGCAAGCACGCACTTTTACGTGCGTCGTTGGGCTCGTTCCACGTCTTCCCTAGCAATGGGCTGGGGAGAGCCCAAAGTCATTGGACTCGCTTGATGATCTGAGCGGAGATGACCAGCCACCTTTGCGCGCGAGCGAGCGAGGCAAAAGGGCGAGTGCAGAGGCGAGTAAGGTGAGACGAGCGAGTAAGGGGCGAGTACGGGAGGTAGCTGGAGCAAATGAGCAAATCAAGCACAGGTGAGCTGGCACGCAATGCGAGTACATAGTAAGGGAAACCACCATCCCCAGCTCCTACTCCCCCATCCCATCCTCCCATCCATCCTCCGCCAAGCATCTCGACATCCAAATCCAATGCCCTCCAATGCAACCCAGTCCGCTCCGATCCAAGATCGCCCCAGCCAGCCAACCCCGATTCGCCAACACAACGCGACTCCACTACGCGACAGCATGGCTGCCGCCGCCGCGCGCCGGTGAGGCCCCATATTTTGCCTCTGCGATTGCGTTGTCGCTGTCGTTGTCGTTGCTGCTGCATCGCATTGGGGAATAATTGGGTGCCATCGGTTCTAGATGCACGACTGCTTGTGTCGTTTGCTGATCTGTTGAACGGTTGATTGATCTATTGATTGAATGCCTGCTTGATTGATTGGAGTGGGTGGGTTGACGTGCGTGTCTTGCGTGAGACAACCTGACCTGACCCTACCAAATCGTACCACGGCCATGCTGCGACGTGCATGATAGGTATCGCCATAATGTGGTAATACGGGAGTGTTCAACGGGGTGTTCATGGGTGAAATATGCTGTTCATGGGTGAAATATGCAGTAGACGATAATGGCTAAGCAAGGTATAAACTGTTTTTCCATTTCAACATGACTTTTGCGGTTGGTCTGAAATACTGCCGTTCCATCACATCTCATTTCGAGTCGTATGATAAGCCTCTGCGACAACGCAATACATACAAACATCTGCTTGCCAAATCCAATGGGATCCAGATACGCCGAGTTACAACCAGTGCCTCAGGCCGTCCATGATCCATAACGCCCGCCCGTCCATCCATCCATCCATACGCTCAAAACTGGCAGACAGGCAGACACGCAAACGCAACTCTACAAATATCGTACAGAATCCCGTCCTAGACGCCAAATCTCTAGAACTCCGTCCGATATTCCAAACATCCCAGAGTGTATGATGCAGCGCGAGTGACCAAGAGAAAAAGAAAAGCCTCCAATCTAGGATATGCGCCACCCAGGTAGAAGTGAAGAGAGCAAGGAAAGAATACTAAAGATATAGAGTGATAGGTGAGAAACACACGCAGACAAAGAGAGTCGTAGATGTCGTATACTGGATAGGTAGATGGTCCAATTTTGGTGGTGTGTGTCGTCGTTCTAGTATCCGCCGAATAGATCGTCAAGCTCATCAAGCTCGATGTGCTCTGGGCTCTTCATCTCCGACCAGCTCCAGTCGATGTCGTCGATGTCGAGTTTTGCGTCGTTGGGCTTGAACATTGGAGGGGGCATTTCGATGTTGATTGTTGGCTTCATCATGGGACTGATTGGCGCAAAGTGTATTTCAAACGTCGAAACATTGCCCATCTGACCGAACAACATAGCAGCGGTTTCCGAGTTCTTGCGCGCGGCGCTCTCTTCTGTCTCCTCAATCGACAGGGCAACCTCATCCATGACGACGTCGCTAACTTGTGTGGGTTCGATAGGCGCGCTGACAGATCGTTGGCGCTCAGCCTCCTGGCTTCTCCGTCGTTGTTGTAGGGAAGAGGCAGTCTGGGTGAACTCGCGCTCATCCTTTTCTAACGGCGGCGACTGAGCTCGTCGGTTGTGCGCGATGTTTGCGGTCGTGGGTGGATGAGTCTGGCTGGAGAACATGTCGCTGCCATTCTCGTCGTAGTCGGACAGGTCGAGTTCAGGCGAGGGCGACATGCGAGATCGTGATCGCGCATCTGTCTCTTCCTCCTCAGAACCAGCAGACGACAGTGAGGGGGTGATGATGCGCGCCGCGAGCGGACCGTTCCCTACATCAGCTGGGATGGGCTGGTGCGGGCACGTCGTAAGAAAATAGTAGACGCGCTTGGGATGGGTGCCAACAAGCTTCTTGTCAAGAGGACATCTTGACAGTGCCGTCCAGTTGCGCTTCAGATATGTGGCTAGGCGCGACGAGATGATGGCGGCGGGGTTGGCCGAGCTATGGCATGTCAGCATGAGTAATGGAGGCTTGGGGCTGGAACAGTGGGTTTGGTACGCACCTCTCGACTATGGGAATGGTTGGCGACAGAACAAGGGCAAGCTCTTTCAGAAGGTGGGGTCGGTTGCCGGTCTTCTCGAGCTGGTCGATGACGCCGACGACGATTTCATCATCGATGCCTTGGGTGTCGACTTTTGTTTGCCCGGATTCGCCGCCGGGCGACGGTGGCGGCGTGTCTACCGCCCGCCCTGAGCTCTTGGGCCGCTGCTCATCGAAGCGCAGCGACGAAGGGCGGGGTGGCGACGCGAGAGACTGGGAGTGGGAGTGCTTCTGCCTCTTTGCCATGTGCTGACCGTCGAGTGTAGAAGGCGGTGAGCGCGCAGACCGGGGACCTCCAGGCACTGCTATGCCCAGGGACGGCAGGGAGAGGGATTTCCGGCGGGTGTTGTAAGGCATCTTGACGTAGCGGCGTGGTCGTGGACGATGCGCAAGACGGGTAGAGAAAAAGAAGACGAGCGCAAAGGAAGAGAAATAATTATTGAGAGATGGCGGAGGAATGCAATATAATTGTTGCTATCAAGGTGCCAGGCCTGACGATTGGTTCCGGAATGCAGGAGGAATACAGCCTATGCCGGATGGGTAGTGCTGCAGCAGGCGAGGTAGCGTGCGACGCTTCTGCCTAGGTAGGTACACTGGAGAAGGGGCGCCCGCTTTATTGCAGATTGCAGATGGGCGGTTGAAGGTGAAAATCGAAAGCTGAGATGCAGACCGGCGGCCCTCTTTGCTTTGAAGTTGCGCGACTCGCCTCCTGAGGAGTGAATACGTAACCGCGGGACAACGACTGGCTGCTCAAAGCGCAAGCCGGACACAACAACACAGTCAAGGTTGCTGCAACACGACAAAACACGGTGCAAAAGGGAGATCAAGACCGAACAGTTGATGGCGGTCCTGGTAGAGCTCGAGGGGGGGTCTGAGGAGGGAGGGGATGCGAGGGAGGGAAAGAACGGAGGCCGAGTGGAGCATTCATGAAGAAAGCGCGACTAGGCTGGAGCTAGGCGACCGTGCTTTTCGACGTAGGGTGAATGTCTTGAGCATGCCAGGGATCCTGTTTCCGGGTCTTCTTCATGACAGCATTGCTTATTTTAGAGCCAGTGCATTTTGCAGGTCAGCACTTCCCATCAAGGGCTAGGACATGCGACTTTCCTGGTGGCTGTTTGCGTGTCGCACACGGTTTGAAAAGCAACGTTGGGCTCAAAAAGCATGGCCTCGTCAAGGAGCACCCGCTCCAACGTCTTACGCCGGCTTTCCTATTCGACCACTCCCACCAGCCTGGACCCTTTGAAGCTGAGGCCTCTCGACACCCAAAGCTCGACACAGCGGGGTGGAAATACTCTAGTTGTGCCGCAACAAAGAACACGGTATCAAAGCCCACCAGTCTCGTACATGACAGCGCAAGACGTTTGGCCCCATTGAACCCTAGCGCTGCGTCTCTCCCCCAGAAGCAACGGGTGTCGACAGCGACACCACGACGCCCATCCTCACCGCCTCATGTCGCGCGCAGACTGAACATGCACAGCGCAACGCAAGTCGTCGGCATGTTTCGCCATGACCTGAAGCTTGGTGCATATCACTGCGTGGCACTATGCAGGCACCCCCTGCTCTCCGTTTCGCCTAGCTCTGCTTTGGCGTCTAGCCTCGACCATTTGCAGGCATGTCCAAGGCGGTGAAGGCGGTACAATTTCTTCTGACGATTTTTTTTGCTGTTCGGGAAGCGATGTGCGGGACGGGCTCGGCGTTCGTCAGCTCAATTCGCCGGCCAGTGGGTTTCGATTGACCGGGCAACGCCAATCGTCGTTCATGGAAGTGCACCAGTCCGTCCATCGACTTTGTGGTGCTCAAAAAAATTCGTCCTTGGACTACGTATGCACCTGGTCGTCGCCCTCAAACCCAGGCACGCGACATGGTCTCCACCGCCAGTGGCTAGTTAGCACAGAGTATGGGGAGCAACGTCCACTCCTGCCCAATGGGGCAGCACATCGTCATCTTTAGTGGAGAAGGGAAGTGTCGCCGAAACTGGCGGATGCGCGCCGCCGTTCCCCAGACGAAGCGCGAGAATGATTCAGGAAGAAGAGGTGAGGAAGTTTGTTCGCTGGCTGCTCAATGGGGCAAGTCATGCACGTACTTGGGCGGGCGACCGGCGACACGGCGATTACACGACGTGAGATCATTTTGCACCATGTCAGAAGCGAGATGCAAGATGCAAAAAGGTAAAGTCATGGCTGCCATGTGCATATCATATCGTCTGATCTGATATCAGAATCTCGACGCCGCTGAGCAATGCCGGCGGCAGTTGTGTTTATTGCCCGCAATCTCAACTGGGGATCTCGCCTGACCTTCTTTTTATCCCTGGGGTTTGCGATGCTGGGCTGGGACTTGCCCCTCAATTCTCTTGTCTCCCAAGCTTGACGACGGCCTGACGTCGTTGTCCAGATCAACGACGATCCGTCGTGTTGACCGGAAGTTTATTCCAATGCCCAGGCGCCAGATGGTTTAGTGTGTGCTACCCACTTTCACGTCAACGGCTCGCTGCAGCTAGCGATTGCGGCTGTGGAGACGGTGACACGGCGGTACCTATCTTATCTCATCTCACCTCCAGAGCGACCACGACGATGTTTGTGCAACCGGAGAGTTGGCTTGCGGCACACGCAACCGTTCAGATGCTACAGTCTCGGCCAGCGCTTTCCGTAGCCCCTTCCTTGGCTTGAGTTCTAACCACCATGTCGTGCCAAAGTTGTACCTCTTGATGTCCACGACCTCCAGGCCGCTCTCCTCGACGATGGCCCCAATGTCCTTGTTCCACCAACATCCGTGTTCGTCGGCGTGCGCGGGCGCTGTCCTGTCCAGCAGGTCATTTAGCCACCCGTAATGCGACTTGCCGTGTTCAAGAAGCAGGATGTGCCCGTTCTCGTTGGTGCATGCCTCGATATTCTGCAGCAGCTTGACGGGTTCAGGGGTGGAGCAGAGGCCCATGGTCTGTATCACCGTGTCGTAGCCGTCTTGGGCGCCGTAGGGAGGCACAATGGGGTCGACGGCGGACTGGTGCTTGAAGAAGACGCGGCTAAAGTACTCCTTGTGCGTGTCGTTCCACTTGCGCTTTGCGACTGCCAGCATGGGCCCACTGGAGTCGAGCAGTGTGACTGTGGCGCACTGCTTGGTGTTGTAGTAGGAGATGTTTCTGCCCGTCCCCACTGCCACCTCCAGTACGTGTCCCTTTGCTTTTTGCGTGAGCTTCTTGCGCTTGGAAGTGAGCAACAGCAGCGTCTCGGACATGTCGACCTTTTCGTCGTATCCCTCGGCTTCTTTGTCAAAACGATCAGACAGGTCGTCGGGCAGGTCCTTGAAATCCACGTCGCGCGTTAGCGACACATAGAGCATGACGCCGTACATGCCCATGCCAAATGCGACCAGACCAAGTCCAAAGACGGGCCATTGCCTCCATCTCTGCAGCTTTGCCTGGTGGTGGGCTGACCTCATCTCCTCGTCAGACAGTCTTTGCAGATCCGCCAGCTTCGGCCTCGCAGACCAGACCTTCTGCCATGCTTCTCGTGGTGTAGGGTCGGGTGTTTGTGATGGTGGAGCAGCAGCTCGCGGTGCTATCCTCGAGTGTAGAGGAGGTGCAGTCCGTGTGGGTATTGGGGACCTTTTTGGCAACGATATCGGGGGTTTTGGCAGCTTCGCCATGTCTGTGTGGACAAAATGGTCAAAGCATGTGCAATTGGTGAGTCGTGAGCATTTTCCCGACCCGGCGATTCGGAACGTCCAAGCAGCCCTGCAGTGCGGATCCTCGCGACATCGGGGGCCCACTGGCTCCAAGCAGATTTTGGTTGATAAACCACACTTCGGGCAGGTTTGTATGTCTTTTTTTGTGCGTGATTGTGTTTTCTTCTGTCTGTTCTGTTGTTCTTATTGTTATTCAATGGCGTCTTCAGCTTCTCCAGAGATACCCTCGTCTGTTCTAATTGTTGGAAGCGGCGCATTCGGGCTTTCGACTGCATGGGCGCTATGCAGAGATCCTCAGTTTAAGAACACTGCCATCACGGTTGTAGATCGCCAGACATTTCCTACGCCAGACGGCTCGAGTGTGAGTAAAGCCATGTCATAACACTTCCCACATCTACCTTCTACCCAATTCCGCTATCGCTGTAATCACACTGCACAAATGCACCGCGAAACAAAGCTCATCCGTCACTTCTAGATTGACACGTCCCGCATCATCCGTCCCGACTACGCCGCCGCTCCCTACACCAAGCTCGCGACCATCGCCCAGGAACGCTGGCGCACCGACTTCGCAACTGAGCACTACCACCAAGTCGGCCTCTGCATCACTGCCTCAGGCATCGAACAGACCTATGTCTCCAGCTCGCTCCACAACGTCCGCGCAATCGGCACAGACAAGATCGAGGTCCTGGACTCTGGTCCCGAGATAGCACGCGCATGCGGTCTCGAGGGCAAAGATGAATGGGGCAGCGGCAGCACAGGCTACGTGAACTGGAGCTCCGGGTGGGCAGACGCAGAAGGGGCCATGATCTGGCTACGCGAAGAAGTCGAGAAGCTGAACCGCGTCAAATTCATCGTAGCAAGCGTCAAAAAACTTCTCATCAACCACACCACAAACACCGTCTCCGGCGTCCGCCTCGCAGACTCCACCCACCTCACCGCCGACCTCACCATCCTCGCCGCCGGCGCCTGGACAGCCTCGCTCATCGACCTCCGCGGCATCTGCAAAGCAACCGGCCAACCCATCTGCTACATGCCCATCTCCGCCGCCGAAGAAGCCCGCCTCGCACCGCACCCCACACTCCTCAACCTCTCCACCGGCCTCTTCATGATCCCGCCCTCAAACCGGCTCCTCAAACTCGCCCGCCACGGCCACGGCTACCTCAACCCCACCACAATCCCACACCCCGAGTCCGACGACCCGAACAACACAATCACAATCTCCCTCCCACACACCCACATCGACAACCCCGCGCAATCCGTCCCCCGCGAAGCCCAAACACAATGCCGCGCCTTCCTCACCGCCATCCACCCCTCCCTCTCCACGCCAAGCCGGCCCTTCACAAAGACAAAGATATGCTGGTACGCGGATACGCGCGACGGCGACTTCCTCATCTCGTACCACCCCGTGTACAAAAACTTGTTTGTTGCGACGGGTGGGTCGGGCCATGGGTTTAAGTTCTTGCCTGTTATTGGCGAGGCGATAGTGCGGTGTGTGATGGGGCGCACGCCTGAGGAGTTTAGGGGAAGGTGGGAGTGGCCGAGCGAGAGGGTGGGGGAGGAGTTGTGGAGGGGGGATGGGAGTCGGGGGGGTCCCGTGGGTATGGTGCTTTCTGAGGAGGTGGCGAGGGGGGCGGGGAGGCTGTAGAGGGGGATGTGTACTTTTCGCTGGGTGGTGTATGGGTCATGTTGAAATGGAATAAAGCATGCTATTTAATATCGATTTTCTATACGTAAAAACATAATGCGTACATACATTGCCAACTGGTCTTTCTCGCCAGGGCCTATTTGTTCATTCTCATTCTCATTCAGATTCATATCACATCACATTCACTTCATCCACCTCGTCCCAATCGACTTGATCGACCCCAGCAGACCATCATACTCCTTACCAACCCATCCCTGCACCTTACCCTGCCTGCCCACAATGCCAAGTCCGCCCGCCAACCACAGCCCCGCCACAAGCGCAGAGACAAAGTTAATACCGTACCACCTGCGCTTACGAATGAGGTATTTCTGAGGATCCGAGGACCTGACCTGCGCGGGGGAGAAGCCCATCCACTTCGCCGCCCCCCAGACGAAATGCCATGCGCCGATGCCGACGAGTGCGGAGAAGCCAGTGAAGGAGATGTAAGGGTGGATAGCGGAGGCGTGGCTGATGTAGCTCAGATTGATGAGGGACGAGTCGCCGTGCTGGTAGAGCGGGAGGAGGCGCGTGGTCCAGGCGTGGAAGGCGGCGAGCGGGACTAAGGCGTAACCCAGTGCTGAGGTGCCGCTTACGGATGGCCAGGGAATGCGGCGCTTGTCGGTGCGTGTCTCGGCGCCGTACTTGCGCAGGGCTTCGCGGCGGCGGTAGAGGCGTAGGGCGATGCCGGAGGTTATGTGGGCGACGAGGGGGAGGCCGATGACGAGTGGCTCGGCGTAGGCGGACTGGTAGTAGGGGCGGGTTAGGAGGAGGTAGCGGTTTGATTCGAGGGCGGAGCGCGTGGCGAGGGGGATGAGCGATGTGTTTGCGACGTGCAGGCCGACGAAGGCGGTGAAGGCGTAGGACGAGTATTTTTGGATGCGAGTCACTGGTGGAGGGTGGTGTTAGTAGTTGTTGTTGGTGGCGATGGAGGGGGAGAGGAGGGGGGAATGCATACACCACCACACGGTGCCGTGGTCGCCCAGCCTCAGACCCAGGCCGCTTGTCCGCTTGCTCGAGCGGCCCTTCTCTCTGTCGTCGCTGCTGTGTCTGCTCCGGCGCTCCCTCTCGCGGTCCTTGCCCTTGCGGTCGGTGTCGGGGAAGTAGCCTCTGCCCTTGTAGTCGGACGGGGTGTCTTCAAACGGCGACGGGTCGACCTGGGTGAGGCCCATGACGCCCTCTTCAGCGCTGCTCCCCGCCGCGTATCGGGTGCCGCCCTCGCTGACGGTCGAGGCACCCTCACCACCCGAGGCGTCGTCTCTCCTCGACGGCTTCTCCGACTTCTTGCGCGTCCATCCTCCTTTTTTGGGTGCCATGTTGGAGCAGGTGCCGGGCTAGGGCGTCGGGGAAAGGATGTGTGTGAGTCGAGTGCAGAATCGGACTCGAGGCTGGCAGGGCTGGGATGGAGAAGCGGGCTCAGATCGGAATTGCACGCCAGGTGATTCGGCGGTGAGCTGAGCTAGTCCGCGGCGCGTTCGAGACGCGGGCCATTGCAGCACCGTCATCGCCCTCACCATCCACGCGTCTAGACTTTTCAACTCTCATACAAAATACATATTCGCACGTCAAGACACACTTCCACACGTCAATATGCCACCAGTATGCATTATCCCTTCCCATCTTCACTACCACCCCCACTAACCCACCCCCCAGCGAAACAACCCCCTCCCCGCCGCAGTCCGCCTCTTCAACTGCACAATCTGCGACAAAGGCTACCCGCGCCAACTCGACTATGAAAACCACCTGCGCTCCTACGACCACAACCACCGCCAGCGCCTGGCCGACATGAAGAAGCTGACGGCGAGCAACGAGACCGAGTCCGGGCGCCCGAAGCCCGGCGTCGAGATGCGCAGCATTGATGTCGAAGCCGGCAAGGGCAAGATGGGGAAGGGCTTTACGAAGATTGGGGGGCCTGCTGCGGGAGGGGGAGGGAGGTTTAAGAAGGTGGGTGTTGCGGTTGGGGGGGCGGGCGAGAAGAAGGATGTTGTTGTGGAGAAGGTGGAGGTTAAGGTTGTGGAGAGTGAGGAGAAGGTGTTGGTGCCTGATGTAGTGTCTGAGAAGGTGGTTGAGACGAAGAAGGAAGAGGATGCTGTTATGGTGGACGAGGACGAGCAGGAGGACATCACATGGGAAGAATACGATTTCACAAAACCCACTGGATGCTCGCACGGCGACTGCCCTGGACTCAAAACAGATGGCATCAGGGGCAGAGAGTGGATCGCCGTCTGAAGTCATCGCCATATACATGACTCTACACACCCAAAGTGCCTCCACCCCACATCTCCGCCTACTCCACATCATCAACCCCCACCATATCCCATTTCACCCCCGTAATCTGGAACACCTTCTCCACCGTCTCGGTCGAGCATCTGTAACGGTGGGGTTTTAGCCTTTTCCATCAATTGCGGCTGTTCTGCCTCACGTACATTGCGCTGAATCCCTCAGGGCTGCTTTGCTGCAGGGATTCGCAGATTGGGTCGGCTTCTACTATCTCTCGCGCTTTGCGGAGAAGATCCGTCTCTTCACTGGAAACCATGAAGTTTATCCTCTTTTGGGGCGTTAGTTGTGGGTCGATCGGGGGAGGCAGAGGGGAGGGGGAGGGGGGGGGGGGAATAGTAAGGGTACCTTTTTGTCCGACATTGTTGTTGCGGATTGTTGGATTGAAGGGTTTCTTGGAGAATATGTCTAATTATAGTAAACTAATAGATGAGAAGTATAGAATTAGTTTAAAACTCGGAATAAGAGGCCTTTTTGTAAACAATTATGCAGTGATGTCACGCATGACGTCTGATGGATTTGCCTTTTCTAGAAAGGGTTAATAGGTAGGCATAGGTAGTTTTGTTGCTCCGCGATCTACTATTCATGTATGCTACGTAGCTGGTCTAGTATGTAGAGCTACTAGATAGCTGGCATTAGCTCTATATGCATTCTTCTCCACCTCGTAAGTTTCACCACGTCAGTTTTTTTTATCTATCTAACAGGAGATTAATTATAATTGTGTCAAAACATCCAGGCCTGGCGTAGACACGGCAATAGCTGAGCAGTAAGCAGCATGACGAATAAAAACCTTCACCTTAAGCTACGTTTTCTTGGATCAAAGGGCCCACGACGCGACACTGACCCAGCACATCAAAATCCCCGTCTTTGTAGGTAGGTAGGCAGGTAGTCTGTTGCTCCGTGATTTGCTAACGTATGGACTAGTAGAACTACTACTCGATACTAGCGCTATCTCAACCTCTCAAGTTCGTTTATTACACGTCGATCTCTCAACTCTCCCCCCAATCCAGAGCGTATAGATCGCTGTAGGACATCCATGCACCCCTCCCCCCCCTAAGCGTCCTCAGTCTGCAACCTCTTCGATGACATCTCCTCCTCCGCCGTCTCCACCGAGCATCTATCAAGTCATGGAAGATAGGTACCTTTACTTCCCCCAATGCCCCATGGATAATCACCCACGGTCTCTTTTTTGCTCTACACGTACTTTGCTGCTACTAGATTGTTGCATCCGCTCTTTCCCCACGTGTGTGTTGGGTCCTCTTCAATGACGTCGATGAGCTGTGCGAAGAAACCCTTGCTTTCGACTTCGCGTCTGAAGGTTATTGTCTTTTGGGTGGGTTAGCTGGGGCATACACGACTCTACCCGAACCACGCCACGATGCATTGGTCCTTACACGCTGCCTGTCATGCCTGGCAGATTAAACACGAGGACACGCCGCCTTGACGCACATCGAATTCCCCAGCTTTAAACCTTGCACGCAATTCCCCTGGAGTTCGTCGACATAACCACACCAGAACATGCACTCGCAGCTGCAAAAAGAATCTCACATTTACAACCTGGTATTCTGCTCGACTTGCACATACAACTTGGCTATCGCTGTCTGCCGTCGTCCCTTACGTCTTTAGCTTGCCAGCTCAATTGCATCTACATTTCCCCATCTGCGTCGGGGTCTTGCAATGCCCCCATCGAAACACACACACACACACACAAAGTGCCTTCACCTCCCATCTCCGCCTAATTAACCCACACCATATCCTTCTCCATCCCCTGAATCGCCAACACCCTCTCCACCGTTCGGGATGAGCATCTGCAACGGTAGATTGTTAGCCTCTTCCACTTCTATCGATTGCGGGCTGTTTTGCGGGCTGTTCTGCCTCACGTACGCTGCGCTAAAATCCTGGTTGCTGGTTTGCTTTACTTCTCCGCAGAGTGGGTCGCATTCAACTATGTCTAGCGCTGTGCGGATAAGATGCGTGAGTTCGACGGGAACCCTGACGGATAACATCTTTTGGGGCGTTAGTTTTGGGGGGTGAAGTGAGATGGTTGGGGGGTAGTAGTAAGGGGACCTTTTTGTCGGGCATTGTGGATTGCTGGATAGGCGTGCTTGTATGTATGTATGTATGTATGTGTATAAATGCTGCGAGATGGAAGGCGAAGTAGTTGACTGTAACGGTAAAGAATGAGCTGATGTAGGTAGCGCTTCTATACATCAAGGACTCAGGTAGGATAGCACGCATGACCTCACCATGACACTCTTTCCGGCTATCTTTTCTGCATAGCATAGCGTTAATTGCTCACCTGGTTGTAAAACATCGGTGGGGACCGTCTACTGGCTAATTTCTCGTTGGCACACTAGTGCTAGACGGCGTTTTGGAGTAGGCTATGTTTTAGCTACTTGGTGCTAGCAGTAGATCTGTCCCCGCTAGGTACTCATCTCAGCCTCTCGAGTTTGTACACGTTTATGTTTTTACCTGTGTTACTCGCTTGTGCCGATACGGTGTCAGTAAGGATCAACAATATCTTTAGCAATATGTTTTCATTGGTTTCCGGACGCGTGCAGCAGTGCTCCCTCATCATTTACATGAATGAGTCTCAGAACTTAGAGATAGCATGCAGAGGAGATACGTCTTAATAGATAAGCTGTAATCGAGCTACTTCCTCGAGGTAAATCTTGCGTTTGCTATTTCGGTCGGAAGGGACGGTAGTCTTGCAATGAACTGCTTCATAAGAGATGGAGTGAAAATAGAGTTTACTTATAGTTAGTAAATAATCACAGAGTAATGCATTCTTAGAAAGTGTAAAGTCTGGTAATCAGCTAGTAGGTAAGCTTCCAACACTGTGTGCCGAATCGTCCGCCATTAGATCCTTGGATAATATAACAACGTGATGACTATTGTCTCTTTATCGCGAGCCTCAACGTCAGTCATGCTTTCTTCCTCCACGCCCTCGCGTGCCAGGATTTTCTCTACCATCCCCTCCGAGCAACTGTGTAGAAAAGGCTTAGTTTCTGACTCGTCGAATTCTGGCTGGAGTCGTACGGGACCTATAACTTGTTGGACTAATTTTTCATTTTTGCAGGACGCTGAAACTCGGTCAAGCGAGAGGGTACACATGTTAAACTCAAGAGTCAGATGACAGTTCTCAGGATGTGAGGAAAACAGTGTGATCGGCAGCGAGCAATTGCTCGGTGCCATTTACGTATAGTTAATTTATAATCAGAGGGTTGCAGTAGGCTTCAGAAATAGTACAACAGCAAATGGCCGCCCACCCATGATAGAAAAAATAAACAAGGGAAGAACATGATGTAGGTGTCATGTAAGTCCTGTTCCTAGAATATATCTAGATGGCTTGTCACTGAATGAATATGTCCCCAACTCTTCTTACTTCACTTCCTCTGACTAATCGCAGAGCGCAACTTTAGCCTCTGGTGGAAGCATTGTCACCGTCACTCCGTAGGGAGCCCAGATCAAAGTAATCCGGATCCGGTATTTGATTCCTTCTGACGGGGGCATGTTGATCGTCTTCGTCAGCAGCGATACGCGGTGGTACAACACGCTCGTCCACTTCACGGCGCAATGTGCCACCTTCCTCAACGTCTGGCAAGCGACCAGGTTTCGGGTTGTTGGGGATGAAAGAAAGCACCACAGCAGCTAGTGTCACAGACAATGGAAGAACTTCCAGGATTTTGTTGTTATCATCAGACGGGAGCAAGGCGTTCCCAAGAGTTATGGAGAGGGCTGAGAGTACAACGTACTTCAGAGCGTGTAGCTGGGGTTGGATGGCATGAACACAGTCGCGAGCGACATAGTTGAAAGCGAAGACGGTCCAGATCTGAACAATACTAGCAGCTTATCAGTATCGTCCGGAATAACAGAGGCAGTGTTACCTACGTTGTCCGAATATCCAACAGAGATGAGGTATTCACAGCAGCAAGCCAGAGAAAGGCAAACAAAAGCGTGATTACAAACGATGGTTGGGTCGTCCTTGGGCCTATATACCACAGTAGGGCCATAGAAGGAAGCACGCTACCGTAGATAATGTAGTCAAGCAAGGCTGTATCCCGCAGCAAAGGTGTCGGGTTTGACGACGTTGTTGACTCGCTTGCAGAAACCACCTGCAAGTTGGCCATGAACGACATTGCCCCGATGCTGCGGCAACCGCCTTGTCCGATGCTCTTCCCGATACCCAGAATGAAATTTGAGTACCCGGTACCAAACACGGATAGAAATACCTGCCAGAGACGCGAGGAAGGCTTTTCGGCGGCCCGGGAATACCACGTTCGTTTAACATCAGCCCAGGTTTGTCTATCTCTGACATCTTCATCTTCGATAGCTATCCGGTAGCGACCCAAGTCACTATCGGACGCCATGGTCGCGTCAAAACTCGAGGAACGTGTCGGTTCTGGGGATCGCTAGCGACTTTGAACAGGCTAGGAAGTGAGGTAGCCAACCTCTTAGGGTTGGGGCTCGAGATCAGGAACGCAGGTGCGTGTGAACCTGAAGCGGCGACAAACAATACGCAAAAGTTCGGGATATAATCAAGAATGAGAGTTGCGTTGTGGACGCTGTTTGGGAGAGGCACAAGGCGGTCGCAGGTGGTAGAGAGTTGAAGCTCCGTGGACGAGGTTCACACCTTCCAGCCTGACCGGTTCCAAGCTCCAGCACAGCCTGCCCACGTCACCTTGCATCGAACCTTAATCAGGCTGGCTATCAAGCTGACCCTTAGCCTTGCCCTCTGACTTGCCCTCAGCCTGCTCGATCTTCCTAGCTTCACGACTCCCAACTATCGTCACTCGGGTTGCGCATATCTGTCCGGCAAGCATAACAACCATCAAAACCTGCGTGGATAGAACATTATTGGCCCTGAGCCCGCAAACGCTGGGTTCGTTATTCCCTCTGGCACCCGTACGCAGCGCTTGAAACTGACTTTAGAACAATAGAGAATACCAAGCTTTTGAAGAGGCATGGCAGACCCCATATCTATGGTGGCCGGTTTGCTCGCACTTATTTCAGCAACTACTTCGATCATTTCGACCGCGTACGATATTGCACGACACACACGAATGCCCTGCGAAGTAGCAAATGATGGTATGATTGTATTGGAGGAAGTCAACGCGCTGTTGAAGGAGCAAGATAGCCAGCAGCGGAACGGGGGGCATTTATTGCACTGTCTGACAGAGTTGCAAAAGCTCATGTCGGATCGTACCCTCAAGCGTCGACTACGGTTTGGTGACCAAGGGTACGGTGTCGTAGCTCCTGCGCGATGTTCGCAGTTTTTAAGGGACCATTGCCGCAGTAAGTTCGAGCGGGGATCGCAATTCTGGAGGCTACAACGCTATACAACGGTCAGTTCTGTACAATGCATCTCGACTACGCACACTGATGATTGTCACATAGAGTCTTATGGGTCGCCTACCACCTTCGACGCACGATATGCTTGCAAAGCCTTTCAAAAATCCTTCCCCGTTCGTTCTGTTGCTCAGCTGGCTGGTGCTGGCAATTGCAGTAGCAGCGTGGTGCAAGACGCAGACAAGCCATCAACATCGGAGACACTATCTTATCGGGAGCATGCTAATGGCATTTGTCCTCGGTGGAATAGAAGGGTCAGGCATGACGACTACCATCCTGACCAACATACCGTGGTGCCTAACGTTGGGTATGCTGCTGCACTTCATCGTGGGCAGTGTTCGTGTTAGCATATGGACGCATGCGATAGTGCCACCTCACCATGTGAATGAGTTTCAGGACCTGGAGAAGATGGCCTGTACGGGAGATTCATCTCAGAAGACAAGTTGAGAAGGTTTGCAGCGGTAGGCGCTACAAAGGCCGTACGATAAGATGATTAAGCGTTGATGGGTGATCTTGGTTTTGCGGCGAATGGAGTTTTGTGCATTGTATGATTGAGCTAGTTCCTCAAGGCAAATATTACGTTTGCTTTTTGGTTAGAAAGGACAGTAGTCTTGCAACAAACAGCTTTATGCAAATTGAAGCATAAACATAGTTTTATTGCAGGTAGTAATTGTTTAAGAAGTCTTGCAATCTTAAGAGGTGTTTAGTGCAGTGTTTAGCTGGTAGGTAAGCCTACAATACTTAGGGGCCAAATCGACTGCTGATCGGCTGCACTGATCTCCAAGCAGCATTCATAGCAACCCAGCTGAGGAAGCTCACTCTGCTGTCCTGCTACCCCCTTCTCCTCCCGACAATACTACTGGACTAGATCTACAATCTCATCGCCGAGCGCAACAACGAAATGATCCAGCAGCTCAACATCGACACGCAGGCTATCGCAGCAGCGAGCAAGAAGGACTCATTGGCCATAAAATTCGGTAGCTGTTTTGACCATGACCTTTCTGCCTGGAACATTCGTCGCGGTATGTGTGACTTAAATCTGTCCTTCCAACCATGTACATCACTCACTCGATTAATACAGACAATCTTCTCCATGCCCTTCTTCGACTTCTCAAGCGCTCAAGACTAGCAGATGATTCTCCCCCGCATTTGAAACATTGTTGTAGGGGACTAATGGCTGAACACAGTGACTGAGTAAAGCGTGATAGTTTGAAAACCCAGCCATCCTATCAATCGGCAATGATCCGTTCTCAAGTCTTTCGCACATGTCAAGCTTTTTCTTGCACTCCTCTATCCTAGTTATTGATTGGCAATGTCTATGTTCGAATTCAGGAATCAAGAGGAACTTTCCAACAGTCTGGGTTGCCGCATCATGTGTTGCATAACACGCTCTATACTTCCAGACATCTTACCGCTCGAGATCATGGCTTGAAACATATTTCTCGTTGGTAAAAGAGAAGTAATCTACGTCCTCAACTTTGCAAAGAGCACTAGAAGTGTTGTAGTTCGATGTGTAAGAAACTTGTTTGAATATCTATTTGAAGCCCGCGGCTAAGTCCAAGTCTTTGAATACCTGAGAAGGCTGCGTGTTACATAACTCCCAATACTTGATATCCCCAACAGTGATTTTGAGCGAGCTTAATCAGGAATTGTCAAGAATAGAGGCGTGTGAGCCAACGGTGTTTGAACGCGAATGATCTGAACGATCTAAATGCTAGCCCTTTAACTACCCCATCTCTCTGTGAACTGCCACTCTACACGCGCTATGTGCTCTTTAATGTCGATTTGTCTCGTGTTTTCACCCCCTGACTCGACCTCGTTGGCACTAAACCTGCAGAGCATGTGTGCCACTTTACATTGCTCACAGTCACCTGCGCTGGGTCCACTGCATGATAGGCTCAGAATTTTACAGCGCACACATTTTGCTTTCATAAAATCCTAGTTCCTCTGTTAGAAGCAGCCATATGTGTTGAGACAGGTAAGGTCCAGAAAGGAAGAGATACCTTGAATTTCCTCCTCCGGTCGATGACCTACAATAAGTTAGTGTTATCGTGGTTCATGAACTTATGTGAACGGCTTACAAGACTGTTGAATTCGTCTTGTCGCTCTGTGACACACCTCTTGAGGAGGGCATATCGATCGGCTTTGTCGGCTTTATCTCTTTCGTAGAACCTGGCTGCGACACCAAATCCGTCCGTCCATACGTCTCTGCTCTCTTGATAAGAATGGTTCACAACTTCGCCTTCGTTGGGATTAAACGTCAAGATGAAAAACGGGGTGTGGTAACCCGGCTGGCGTTTGAGACAAATCTCCTGCAGGCTTAGTTGGACGGTACGTACGCAAGGAGGTTCATTCGCCACCAAGTTCATATCGAGAATATCGACCCAGAAGGTTGTGTCCTTGAGACAGCCAGCCGATATGCTGTTTGTTATCTGTGCGACGTCAATATCCGATCTGGCGAGTTTGCGGTTTGCCAGATGGATGGAATCCAGCATCGACTGCGCCGCTCTCTGCAAGCACTGTATCGCCGCGACCGCGAAAAGGCACTTGAGGTCAGGTGTTCCAGATTCGTTGATATCGTTCAAGAAGGAGAGATTGATGCTGGTGGAGAGTATTTGTAGGTCCATGTCGAGGTGAATGTGAGCCAGATAATCATCCGCCAGCGCAAGGTCCAGTATGGGCCATTGCGGTATGTGACCACGGAAGACAACCGGAGGTGAAAGTGAATCCACTTGGGTCGCGCAACAATCAGCCACCCAAAACTTGGATGACTCGACGGGATACACGGCATCTAAATCGTGCAACCTATCTAGCACCTGTTTCGCAGTAGGGCGCAGCAATCTATCTCGATGGAGAAGGACGTGATATATGAAGGAAACCAACCACAAGTTTCTCCGGTTGTAACCGTGTTGCGTTTTGGCTTGATTGTCAGTCAGTTTTGCCAACCAAGCGGCATTAGCCTCTGGATTCCGGGCAAAACTGTTCAATCGATTGCCATTTGTGCGCCAGAACTCATGCATTGTACTCAACCGGTAGTTATAAAGCCGAGACAATATCTCAAGGAGTATGCAACCCAAGCCCCAAATATCAGTCAGTCGGTTTCGAGGCTCATACTCAAAGACTTCGGGAGAGGAGTAGCGTTGCGAGCTGTGCATAGGAGCCCCTGTGGTAGTGGATACTGCATCGTCGGAAAAGTCGTGACTGAAGAGGTTAAGAGACATACTCGTTTCCACTGCTGGTCAATGTCATCTTACCAGAAGCCAAAGTCTGTCAAAAGAACGTTTGAGCCATGTATCAAAACATTGTTGGACTTGAGGTCGTCGTGTCTTCTGGTGTCAGCTTGGTGCCATTCTAATTATTGAGAGAATGACACACCTGATGCCTGCTTGGTGGAGATATGCGAGTGCTGACGTGATGCAGCCGACAGCCCGGCGAAGCAAATCGAGCTGAAGGATACCAAGGTCCGCATCTAAGAACTGAGCCAGATTCATGTCGGCAACGGGCGAGGTCAGCAGCACGACCGAGTCTTCATCTGTGCATGTAGCCACCAGGTCCACACAATGACGATGTCGCACTCTTCGCATTCCATCAACTTCCTTCTTGAAGATTTTCATCGTCTCTCGATGTCTCTTCAAGTCCATGGGTCGGTTCATTATTTTCCTAGCGTATGCTTGGTTCGTTCGCTTGTCAACGACATGATGAACGGTACCGAATCCACCGAATCCAAGCGGCTTCACTTCCTCAAAGTCCATACAATCAAAATCCATGAGCGACAGGTGCTGTCCGATGTAATTTATGGGTATTCCATCCTCCAAGATCTTCTCTTGAGCATCCATGAAAGACTTGGTGTTCTCCCCCAGCACCTTCTGCACTACACGTTTGGGGATCGGAAGCCAGAAGTCTGTGACGTGGGCCTCGAGCAACTTCTGGAAAAGATCTTGTCGGTTGACTTGGCTTAATATGGAGTAAAGCTTTGGGTTTTGGCGCCATTCATCTTTCCCGGTCTGATGGAGGGGTGCCAAACTCATGGTTACTGCAGCATCTGACAAGGCTGATCAGGGAACGGTTCGCACGACCTTTGGTCGGAAATAGAAGGCTATGACAAGCTACCTATAGCATGAAATCAACAGGTACAAACCTGTCCTCGAGGATCACGAGGGGCACAAGTGTACTTTACGTCTCAAACGACTGCTATCTTACGGTATCGCTCTCAACCAGAACGAGGCTGAATAGGCAAGCTAACAAGCCGTAATAAGTCTCGCGAGATCGACTTTCCAGATACAAACAGCGATCAAGAAGACAGGAGGCATATATCAAGGCGACATTTGGGTAGTGATGTGTGTTGATGAAACGTCTGAAATTGGAAATGAGGCAAGGTGAGGCTAGAGTCACGAGACGAGAGCAGATGAATGTTATGCGACTGAGCGGCTAGTGATCAAATCAGGCTTTGGTTTGATGTAGACTTACACGTCATTCTAAGTTGAACCAATCACCTTACTTCTTCGAGAGAAAAACAAGTACAAGAACAAAGGGTATTTAACTCCATTTCCGGTGTCACAAAAAAGTTGGATGGCTATCACATATGATGATGAGACACCTACAGATGTGCTTTTGCCCTTATTGGAGAGAATTCCAAGTGTACATTCCGCTATGCCTCTTTTTATGCTGCGGATTGCACAGCCCCATAGTGTGGCGTGGCCCAATATCTTAAAGCCTGCTGAGGCAAATATGTTAGCCCTCGCTTGTGTCTAGTTGTGATATATTACTGACCGGTTGTAAAGACGATAGCGCCTTAATGACTGCCCTCATAAACATCATAAAGTCCATACAACTTTTGTTACTTGCTGTGTTGTACTGCACCTCTTGGCTTTCTCTATAATCGTCATCTTAGGCTCACAAATTAGGCTGAGGACCGTGTGATTAGCCCTGTTTCTTCTACCGGTTATACTATCTCACCTACCAACCCTCTCAATAACGCCTTGCTTGGAAAAAGGATCTCTGTCCTAACAATCGAGTACTACCTACAGTGTTCGACTGCTGAAAGAGCTTGCACGAGAAGAGAAGGTTCATGACAGGTATAGTAGTGTCTTATAAGTTCCTCAACCTTCTTTCTTACTAGTACACGAGTACCAACCCCTAGAGTTGAGTACATCAGTTCGTATCGTTATACTTGGGCGAGGATCTGCCGATGATCCTATCGATTTTAATCTTGTTCATATTGAGCGAGGTAGACAAGACTACGAGGCTTTGTCCTACGAGTGGGGTCTACCCAGTGACGAAGATCCGTTCATCTCTATAGCCGGTTGTCATGTTCAGATCCGGGCGAATTTACATCATGCCCTTCGGCAGATACGGCTTGAAGAGGAGGATAGACACTTGTGGATTGATGCTTTGTGCATTAATCAAAAAAACACTCAAGAGGAAAGTTACCAAGTACAGTCAATGGGGCAGTTATATGCAGAGGCAGAGAATGTTGTTATTTGGCTAGGAATGGCCTGCAACCAAAGTGATCTCGCAATGGACCTCTTCAATGACCCGTCCAAGCTGGAAAAAACACGCAACGGTTCAAACGTTACACAGCTTACGGCAATTTTCGCACTGTGTGAACGCTCCTACTGGCGCCGAGTCTGGACACAACAGGAAGTGTACCTCGCTCGACAATTCACAGCGCACTGTGGTAGCAAATGTATCACAGACACCGAGCTTGATATAGCCGATCCCACCTTTGTACGCTTCATGGAGAAAGTTGATGGTTCCAGCAAGAGATACGGTGAAGGTAGAATGAGCCGTATAATACAAAGGAGAAGAATTGCGTTGATAGGAAACTCGTTGCGTACATGGCTTATTATGTGCATTAAGACAGGGCTCGAGTCGTCGCATCCTCGGGACCTCATCTACGCAATGCTCGGGATCAGTCGTGATCATCAAAACAGCGAAATTGTGCCGGATTACGACAGACCGTTAAGGGAAGTATATTTCGAGACAATACTGTTCTGTGAAGGGAAGGTAGGTGTCTCTCACGATGGTCAACATTTTGCACAGAGATTAGCCGATAAACTTGACTTAACTCTGGATGACGAACTGCGAACTTTTATTTCAAACCGTCAAGTCCGTATTCAAGATTGAGGTGTATATCTCATTCGTCATGTCTATATTTATGTTTTGTCTTTATATGGTAGAATAGGGCCCAACGTACGGGCTGACTGCCGGTTTCCTCGTTACTTTGAAGTTCCTAAGTAATGATAATCATTTCAGCGAGATGAGTCGGATTGAATGTATCTAAATCATGACCCTCACCAAACCAATTAATGGGTTTAAGGCGGACTCCTAACCAACTTTTCCAGCTGAACAACCAGACTGAAGTGAAATTGACGTGATCCAAAGCGCTTTGTGGGTTGAGAGATTCTTCATCCCCACAAAAGGTATTTCTGAGTCTCGAAAGTGAGTGCCCAGGAGACGAGCATCAGGCTGAAGATTGGGATAATCAGATAAGCCATTACTCTCAAGATCTAGTATCATATTAGCGTGACAACTCTGTCTTTTTCCCTTGCATACTTAGCTATTATCATCTCGACGCATCTGGTTCCTTAGAAAATGAATCGACCTATCCTCTTGAAGGTGTTGGCGCGTCCATTGCCCGGTGTCAATATCAACCCCTCTACGCAATCTGTGGTTTCCATGTCCTCATTATCATTGCTATCATCCGAACTGCTGCTACCTAGCGAGATCGTGTCTGCAGTATCTGTATTTGCGTTTTGTTCTTCGTCAACCGTCACTACTGCGTTTGTATCGTTCTTGACCAAATTGTCTATACACCTTTCTAGCGGTGCGACGTGAGAACAATGCTGGCTCACCATAAAAAGATCTTGATACGTTCCTTGCTGATCAAAGTCATCCATGTTGATGACCAGTCCGTATGCCCCAGTATATCCTACGTCATCACTCATTGTGCTATTTGCCAGTGACTTCGATGGCAGCGGGTAAGACCTTACATCCGATTCGCATAGAGGCGTGTTCTAGCTCACCAGACGGCTTGGTTTTGACATCAAGATCGACAACCTCGACCCAGTTTTCATGACTTTGATAACAATTGTTCATGAAACCCACCAGAATTATGGCATGACTACTGGCCCAACTCCAACTTGGAGCTCTCCACCTTGCTGGTTTCTGACATGGAAGACCTCCCTACAAGGTTTTGACCCAGTATAGTTCTTGTGCAATACGGTTGTTCCACAGCCCTGCAACCAGCTGGTCATTGAGAGCTATGCCTAGAACGTCTGCTGTTCCTTGAAGCGCGACCAGCTTGTCTTCGCCTTTGGTAAGTCCGCAGCTGATGTACTGTACAAGAAATGTACGCCAGGCATGGTATAGATCGTCACGATCATCGGTTTGAGCAGGATGAAATGCCAGGTCACTTAAGGCGTGCGTGAGGCAATGAATCATGCAGTGTTGTTCGAGGCGGGTAACATCTTGAGACCAGATTGGAAATGCACAGTATGGCAAAGAGCTAGGATAGTTTTCGCATGCGTCGTTTTTGTGACATTCCCAGAAGAGTTGTGTGTTACAGAAATCAATGACCCGCGGTGACAACTGCCGCTCTTGGCTAACCCATGCTCTCAAGTTCAAAGGGGCCCATTCAACGTCTTGGCCCTTCAAATGATGGATATCACACTAGTAAAGACTGGTTATCCAACGAAAAAGGCCGTCATCTGCTGTTGCATTCGGATATTGATTCTCTGGCATCTTTACAAGTCGAAGTCTCAGTAACATGGGGTTTCGTTCGAAGAAAGGTCCGCCGTCGCTGTCTGCGGCAGCCGTTGCCGCGATCGTGCAAGCGGCCTGGCTATACACAAAACTCATGCGACTCGCCTCAATCGACCAGTCATCTAGATCGTCTTGGAGAATACATCTGTTAGTTTTAGCGAGCTTTGATGCAAATGCGTTGTCTTACAGCGAGTCAATCCAAGAGAAGCGGATGCAGAGTCTGCGTGCGACAAAATCGCGTCCTGGAAATTTCGTGGTAAATTTGATAGACCGATACGTCTGGCAAGAACTCAAAATCGATACAACAATCCTGCAAGGCGTAAGGGTCTTTTTTTGGAGGCTTCGATACACATCCGATCACGAGTGTAACTACAGTAAGAAATATCGTTTGGCTTGAGAGCCAGGATAAGTTTAACGTCAAGTATTTTCCGGCAAAATCAGTACAGAGACCGCTGGTAACCGGACTCTCTGGCGTGGAAAGCACCAAAATGACTTCCTTCAGGAATTGTGTACATTGAAAAGGCCCTTCTTCTAGAAAAAGACTTGATAGGTCTCAAACAGATGCATTCAAGCAGAACCTTTCAGGAGCCTAATCAAAGCCGAATATGAACAGAGTAGAGAGAAGGTTTCAAGTTGCGCGACCGCAGCCGTTATTATCTATTGAGAAGACCTGAACGTCTTCGCTGACACTTCATCGACATTGAACGTTGGACGAAGGAGAACGCCCTCCTACTTAGGGACGAGACCAGGTAGAGCAATGTCAAGATAGCACAATCAAGTCGCAGACACAAGATAACAAGACAGTGGATTCGAAATTGCCAAATCAAATCACAAAACCCTTTTCTGCAAAGAAAGAGAATCAAAATATGAATAGCTCGAGAAATATCCTAATTTAAACATACAATAGTGGCAATAGCTTTGGAAATGTATGTTGACGAGTAACTCGTGAAAAGTGTCTTAGTTACAGTAGGCCAGAGCGTCATGGTCTTAACAACACACCGCGTGTTGTAGTATAGAAACATACTGCTATATCGCTAAGCGAGTAGGTTTAGGTAAAACGTTAAAGGGAGATGTACAAGTAGAGTTACGAAGGGGTTCGAAAGAAAATAGCTACTAGATATATTGTTGTTCGTAGAAAAAGAAACAGACAGAAAATGCTGTCCCATACCGGAATCCTGATACAGATAAATCAACGCCTAATTTCACATAGCATGAGAATACGAAAAGAGTATCAACCATAAACTGGTGGGAATGAAAATATGTAGTAAGTTACAGAAGTTGCTCTACAAGGTGGAGTGGTCAGGCCGCAGTAGTATTGTCCAGTGCCAGTTAGACGAGGTCGAGGCCTAAATCATCTAGCGTAAGTTCATAAGCACTGTGCAGTTCTTGTTCCAAAGGCCTCACGATAGCTTTGTACACCGCTTGTCGAAAATCAGGGTTGTCCAAACTGGGCTCCATCGTGTCCTCGTCGTAGAAGTCGCAGTTAAGACATGCAGAGACTGCTTGTTGATAGTTCACATACAAGTCATCAGACATGTCTTCGAAGAGTCTCAGTGCGGCGAAGTGGTCAGTGTTTATAGTGGGCGTTCCGTCGGCATTGAGATCCTCATCTCCCCGTCTATGTTCAATTGGAGAGTTCAGCTCGATCTCAAGGAGGAGTATTCCTAGTGCTAGAATTGCGGGATTTGGATGTAGCCTGTAGAGTGCATCAGACTCATCTTCGATGCGTATATCCTGGAACCTGGTCGACAAATAGGGCCGTCGAATCTCTAGGTCTCTTTGGCCGGGTGACACAAAAAACGAGATGTGTTCCTTGCTCCACTTCTTACTCAGCCAGGGACTTTCGCAGAAGTGGAGTAGGGAATTTGCCAGTATGACTGATAAAATGCGCTTCTCCTTCAGTCTGAGCTTCCTGTCACCCCGTAACAATGATGCAAGGGAGGCATCCACCTCCTGAGCTTGGATAGTCAAGGTTGGCAAAGAGCTCCGTGGCGACGGCCTACTACTCACGTGCCACAGACAACCTCCATCAAATAGAAGTTTTGGTGAGCACAGGCTACGTTCAGCCTGTAGGAGTGTATGACAGAGCGTTTCTATCCTGTTGCGGGTCGCTGTGGCTCTGGATGGAATTGTGGTCATCTCAACACCAACTCCTGAGTCAACGGACGATGGAGTAGCATCTAAGACAAAGCGAACACCATGCGTTGGTTGCAAAGCCAAATCCCTATGATAGACGTTTAGTATGTACGTTGGGAGATATCAAGCTGAACGACATACTGATGAAGGGCGATGCAGAGTTGACTCTCAAGCCAGCGGCAATATGGCTCATTTCCTTCGTTAGCTAGTGACACAAGCAAGTTGAAGTATACATTGTCGCACCCTCCTGTGTCAGATGTCATGGAATCTCGGCGCCGGTCTCGGTATTGTAGTAAACAGAGGCGAGCTTCATGTCTACCATGGCAATCACATGGCCATGATTCTCCCAGTGCTTCATACAGAGTATGCATCAAGGGACGCAGCTGGATATGAGGACTGCCGATGGTACGACTCTCCTTGGGGGACTCCGGCGTCACGAACAGTGAGTCTGAAGACCAGCCAACAATTTTCTCCAGTCGTGCATTGTTATTCGTAATTCTGTTGAGGATTTGGTTGTACTGTCTCGCTTCAAAGGCGAATCGCAGCCGGGAGTTTAAACTGTTGATAGGTGTTGAATCTCCGTCGCGTATCATGCGCAGTTTCGCATACGTGTGTGGGGCGAGGATCTATGACGTTATCAGCTTGATTCATAACTCAATGTAGTCACACAAAGAACGTACCGTTTCGTCGCTTGACAGAAACAATGGCCTTCTCTCCAGTAATCCATCAAGGCACTCCAAGATAGCTGCGAGTGCAACAAAGAATGTCTCGTGGCCCGGTCCCAGACGCGCATGAAGCGTACGCACCACCTCAGCTGTCTTCCAACTTGCTTCCAGGTCCTGTGTGGGTTGTGGCGATAGCAACTTTTCTCGTAGCCCGTTGGGCAGCTCAGACAGGCTTTTCGCCAGTTTCGTCAAACTCATCTGGAGGAAGGTAATCTCGAATGCCAGGTTTTCCATAAATTCTGCCCTTCTTGGATTTAGTCGCTGTGCCTTGATTTGATCGATTGCAACGACTAGTACTGGTAACACAGCGAGTGCTAGACCAGCTATCTCGACTCCACTCATGATTGAGGATTACCGGTAGCTGTTACTTGGGAAGTGGGAATGGAGTTTTGGTGGAGAGGTTGCGAGGACCAAGGCAACTCATCAAGCTTAATCGCGCAAGGAAGGCTTGAGCTCAGCCTTCACCAGTTCATATGCAGCCTCGTTGCTTCTCAAGCAGCACTGTTGCCTATTCGTTGCATCGTCTGTCACACCCCCTCTTGCAGACATGACCACGTATCAACCCCGCAACTCTGCATTATCAACGATACACCTGTTTCTCATACACTCTTGACTTCTCTACACTCTTCTGAGCAAGTTCTTGGATATTCTCAGTCACATTCGACGTTTGGGAGGATGGATCACAATACAATAGCTGATGTTGCGAAGTCGTGTAATATTGAGTTTTCAGCCTTGCTAGACTCGGATTCATTGAGGCTGCAGGCTGACAAGGCTGAATTGGTTGAAGCGGTGGAGGAAGAACATGCGCGATTCAAGATATGGGCAGCTCATATCGGAACTTTCGCAAAGCACTACGCTTCCTTAGACTATCGGCTAAGAGAAAGCGAGAAAGTGCGATCACTGGTTCTTTCTCAGCTTGAGATTCTTCGAGCAGCTGAGCTGCGACTTTCAAGACTTCTACAACCCAGTATGTCCTTCTTCCTCCATATGGTTGACCAATGTTGACTATCATAAGATGCATGTGTTACTCTTCCGACATGCGATGACGGATTTCTCGAACTCTCGAAGACCTCCACATCAGTAATGAAATTGTCGACCGATTTCGATGTACCGACTGAAGATGAATGTCTCAATGACATACGCAGTGCTATCGATCGGTTACATCGCCTTGCTAAGGCTATAAGGCATCCTGGGATTATATCTCAAGCTTCCAAAGCGGACCATTTCAACCCTAAAGATGAATTTGGCATTGACGAAATTTCTTCATTTGAGGGATACAGCCAGGAAGTTTTACGACAAATTTGTCGCGATGCTCCCGACTATTTGCTTCGCCGTCTAAGCAAAGCCAATGCTTCACGAAGGAGGTTGTTTCTCTTCCGGAAAAAGCACCAGGATATATTGTTTGGCGGAAAAGATAGCTCGCCAGAACGACGTCCGTTGTCGTCTCGCCAGAACGCACATAGTACCAACTCAGTTTTGCCGGAGGCGGAAACCAAAGCAACACCATTTGTCTCAGAGTGCTCAATACCACAAACCAACCCCGGTTCCCAGGCTCGGCCTTCAATCGGAAATGCTACTAGTTTTGTTGAATCACAATTCAAGCTCAGCACCTCTTCCAAGGCAGCTAGCTCCATCGGTGGGACTTCAGTAGCAAGTATGTTCAGCCACTCCCGCTTGCCACCTCCACCAAGGCTTCCCAAAACAAGAACCCAGTTTGAATGTCCATATTGCTGTCAGTTGGTTTCGACAACAGTTCTCGATAAGCGCTTATGGAGGTATGTGAAAATGCCCTATCCAATGAATCGACATATGAACTATAGAGATGGGCATTCATGCCCTACCGATGGCTCATTTAGTGTCACTAGATCTGCAGGTGGCAGCAGCTGACTAGAATGCATTCAGGCAGCATCTTATGAAAGACCTCGAGCCGTACATATGTATCTTCGAAAATTGTTCTCAGCCAGATACCAGATATCGCGATCAAACTGCGTGGGCGACGCACCTACGGTCTCATGTAGTGCGTTGGTCGTGTCGCCTTCCTGGTCATCCGAGAGGCTGCGATACAATGTCTTTTACTTGCGGAGACGAGTACGCGGCGCATCTAAAAGGACATGGCTCTCAGGGAAATCAATTCAATGACGCCCAGATACAGTTGCTGAAACGACAACGTGGACTTCCGGATCCTAGTCCTGTCAAATGTTGCCCACTGTGCAATATCTCCCTGGGGAATCTCAGCCAACCCTACAACGAGGGAACCGCATATTCCAGCCGCAAAGGAACTGAACAGCCTTCTCCAGCTACTCTAGCTTTGAAGATGCAGAAACACATAGCATCACATCTCATGACGATTGCGTCTTATTCCCTACCATGGCTGGACGAAACCGACGGCGATGTAGCGAGCGATAGACCTCTCTCTTTGGCAAGCGAGATTACAAGCAATGAATTGGCGGAAGGTAGTGACAAGCCACGTCATTCCGATAGCCACAGAGATTTCCCAGATGAACTAGGAACCCCTACTTTTGACGACCCCGACAACGAACCAGACGAGTACATTCCAGGTGAATGGGATTTCATCACCGATACCTCGTATGAAGGCCAAGAGTTCGATAGTCTTCTGTCTTCTTTTGTGCGCAAATATCACGTTGACATGGCTTTTACCGGGAGCACCAAAAGGGAGCCTTCGCTTCCATGCAGGTACATGCCACTGGGACCGAACACGGACTTCTTCGGTCGGGAGGATGCCCTTGTATTCCTTGAAAGTCAACTCTGCTCTAAATTTGGAGAGGTCTCAACCCCAAACCAACAAGCAACTGCTCTCAAAACATGTAGCGTTTATGGGCCGGCTGGAATTGGTAAAACTCAGGTCGCAGTTGAGTTTGTATACCGACACATGCAAGAGTTCGACGCAGTATTCTGGGTTCACGCTGACGAAGCCTCAAAGTTGATCGAGGATATCAATCGAATCACAGTTCACTTAGGCTTGGTGGATGAAGCATCGGCTGATTCTGGTGATCAATCCTTAACCAGAGATCTTTTCAAGCGTTGGCTCGGGAATCCTACGATATCATCTAAGTCCGATCTCAGATCTGAGCGAGCGAACTGGCTACTCATACTAGATCATGTTATTGAACCTGCTATACTCGATCAATTCTGGCCCACTGAAAGGGAGTGTGGTTCAATCCTCATAACAAGCCGACGGCCGATGCCGTGGTCTCATGATAGGTATCCTTCTCATACGCTCCATCCCTTCACACCCCTAGAAGGAGCCAATTTCATGTGCAGTCTACTAAACAATGGCGTCTCACCAGAGGAAAAACAATGCGCAAGTATCATCAGCTCGAAGGTCAAAGGTGTACCCTACGCCTTGAGACACTTGACGAAATGGATCACAGGAGAGAATTTGAGTTTCAGCGAATTTCTTACGCAGAATCACACTCGTGAGAACAAAGAACTACAGAAGAAGATGAGAGGAGAGCTGGGTAGGTTCGTCATGGCCGAGGAACACTCGTTTCTCGAAGTCGCGTTTGAGAGCATCAAGCATTCGAGACCGTTGTTAGATGTGTTAGCTATGCTCGATCCAGACAAGATTCCCGAACGGATTCTGATAACGGATTCCCCTCATGTGTTTATTCAGGGGTATCCGGCGACCCAATCAAGCCTGCACGAGGCACTGCAAGAGCTGCTTAAGTATAGTCTCGTAATACGGAGCCCTACATCAGCAACTTACGGCATACATCGGATTGTACAGGATGCAGTGAGGAAACAAATGAGTCCTATATACTCGAGGGATGTTTATAATACCTGCGTTCTTCTCCTCTCTGCGCAATGGTATATGAGCTTCTAACACAACATCTCACGGATACCAAGCTGATAAGTTTTCAGGCCATTTCACACATTCACATGGAGGCATGGCATCTCAAGATGGCCGCAGTGTGAGGAGGTAACGATTTGCACAAGGAAAAGCAGTCTTGGCTAACAGCTAACATACTGAAGTTGTTCCCACATATCATCCGCTTGCGCCGCCATTCCTCAAACATACATACTGACGAGTACCACCTGTACGGGGCTTTCCTATACGCCAGGTTATGGTGCGATTGCGGATGGTAAGTCAGCAATCTTCGTGTAGTTGTAACTTAATTTAAGAGAATAGGTACTGCCATGAGCGCGGAAGAACCAGAGAATCGGATGATTTTAGCGGTATAGCTCAACGTCTCTGTGAGGAGCTAAAGTCTTCGTATCCGCTACTCCTGGTCAATCAACAACCACATCTTCCCAATGAGCGAGATATTGAGAACATTCTCGCTGAGATTCACCATAATCGTGGCGTTATGGCAAACGAGATCAACCGACCCACCGAATCTCTCGAATACCTTTCAAAGTTTCACGCGATGATGATGAATGATTTGGGAAACAGGCGACCTGGCACCGACATGCGTCTCGCGCTGTCATTCAATGAGCTTGGATGTGCTTACATGCTTCGAAATGATTATTCACGTGCGGAAAAGTGCTTTGAAAGGTCGATTAGCAGCATGGAGCAGCTGGACAATTATGAAAGATGGCAGGTTTCTTTACCCGGTGTGAACTTGGGGGTTGTTTATTGGCTTACTGAGCGGTACACCGAAGCACTCGAAGTCCTCTCGCAAGGACTTCGTGACCGGGAGAAGAAATTTGGATCCAACGATCAAGAGTCTTTCATGTGAGTTTCCAATTTCTGTAGTAGCGATATACTTGCTGATAACTTGACCAGTACCGGACGCTTTCTCTATACTCTCGGAAACGTACATGAATCACTCAGCAACTACGACGTCAGTCTAGAGTATCATCAGCGCTCGCTCAATCACTACCGTAATACTCTCGGAAGTGCACATCATCGAACAGCAGATGCATTCGTTCGGATCACGAGACACTTCATGAGACTTGGTCAACTGGCCGAAGCCTTGTAAGTAGAGTTGTCGCGGCGAACATCTTACGAAGCTGACAAATCTATAGAGATCTTGTGGACAAAGCCATTCACATATACCACAATTTTGACTCCGCCTTCGAAGCAGAAACTGCTCGCGCAAAATTCTGCAAAAGTAAAGTACTGCGGCAAGTGGGAGATACCGCCAAAGCAGACAGAGAGTTGGCTGAGAGTGTGAGGTGGTATTACGAACTTAATAGGCAAGATGCGACTGGGGACGGAAAGATTCAGGAAGCTGACTTTGATCGACTGGTTGTGTTCTGGTCGAGATAAGCACATCGTGGGTGTTGCAGCGCCAAAACAAAGCTCTGCTTGCATTCAGATTACATAGTAGATATCACAGTATTTACTTCAAGTCTTGCGACTTTGAGTTATGACAAACCGCCTGGTTCAAGAGCTTGTAGCCTAACCCGATCTAACTTTTGCTCCTTCTCCAGTGACGTCAAATGCGCTCCAGACGCTGTCCCTTCCAGCTGAATTGTTTCGCCTTCTCCAAAGCCGTGCTTCTCGCCAACGGTGACAGGCGTTTTGGGTGGCCAATGCACCCTCCAGGGTTGTGTCTTAGTGGAAGGGGCGGTCTGGTCTTGCTTTTGCTCGGTAGGCATCTCAAGGCTTGTTGTCTGTGGTAGTATTTGGGGTCAGCGGTGGTGATGACGAGAGCTGCGGGGCCGTAGAGCAAGCGTGGTGAGTGAGGTTTGCTGCCTTCCAGCAAAACGGACAGAGCGCTTACATCAAGAACGGTCGTGAAGGGGCTGGTTCACGAGAATAAAAGTGATGGGTTTGAAATGGGTCAGCAGCGATAAGGGTGACCAAGTGGATCTTCCAAGGTTGGGAGAGGGGGCAACGATGCGCTGCAGGCTACTTATAATCGGATATCGCAGAACCAACCGGATGCAAGCTCGCTAGTAAACACGTTGTAGCACCACCCAATCACTAGACTAACATCTGCGAGATTGCTGGAATAAGTCTTTATGCTGCCTGCTCCAGCTTATCAAGATACATGAAAATCGCATTCGGGTCGTGTGGTGGTATGGGTAGGGTTTATCCAATCACTGCATGCACGCCCAACCCCGCCCCCTCACCGGTCTCAACTTCGACTTTAGCCGTCATGGCAGCCTCACTCGCAAGAGGTTCCACCATGATAAGCGAAGAACTTGAAGGTTCCCGCACTACATCTTCAACAAGCATGGCGACAGCAGGCGACGTCCTAACCGACCTCATATTCCTCAAACCTGACCCAAAATACCTTCATGAGAAACCATACCGCTTGCGGTACGATCCTGGCGGCACAATCCCCCGAACAAACTGCGAAACACATGTCCAAAGAAACGTGACTGTGCACGACATCCGCGGCAGAGAGGCTGAGTATACTCTAGACAGAAACGGGTTCCAAATTGTGAATTTGGAGTCTGAGTTGGCGCCGGACGAGTTCCACGATAGGGCGAAAGTGAAGAGTGTATATTATGGCGAGTTGAAGCAGTTGCTGAAACACACGTTCGGGGCGAACAGGGTAGAGATCTTGGAACATGGTGTGAGTCTTTTGTTGTTGTGATCTCTATTATCCTGACAAAATGAGGGAAAGAACGAACGAAGAGGTTAGGTTCAGTATTTCTGATATGGTTAAGCATAGATTCGAAAACGACATGAGGATTTTCCAGTCTCGACAGGGAAGGATTATGAATACTTGCAACCCACGTCTATCATTCACATTGGTATATCTTCGCTACCTTTTCTATGACTCCGAATATAATAGTTGCTAACATCTGAACGTCATTGTGCCAGATTTCACGCCTGATGCTGCCCAAGCTACAAGTTCCCAGATGTTAAACATCGATGCCTCAACTTACAGAAGGATGCAAACACTGAAGTAATGCCAGTTCCCCTAATTGACCCGTGTCTCGTCTTATACCATATCTAATCACCTAACAGTGTTTGGAAGCCTCTCTACGGCCCACTCACAGACTGGCCTCTCTCCGTTTGCGACTCTCGCTCAATCTCCACGTCCCGCGATTGTATAGCTACCGATGTTGTAGAACGCACTGGCTTTACGGAGAACTACCAAGTCTACTATCATGTGGATATGCAATTTTGCTATCTTAGTGAACAATTGGCGAGTGAGGTCATTTTATTTCTACAGACGGATACTGAAGAGGAGTGCAAAACGGGTACGTTGGTAAATCTCACTTTCAATGTATGGAGTACTAGGCAACTTTTTGGAGACATTGTAGTCCAGATTTTGAGTTGACCAGGTATATGATCTAATGTGGAAGATGGCTAATTCGAAAGTATAGGTGTTCCACACGCTGGATTTCGAAATCCAAAGACTGTGCCTGGAGAGAGACCCAGAGAAAGTATCGAAACGAGAGTGTTTCTATACTATTCATGAAGGTAGCCTCTGATATTTCAGTGAATGACCTCACAAGTAACATCGATCTATTTACTGACAACCTTTCGCTCTTTATGCTCCCTCCAATTTCAATACTTCGTTGTACATGTTAAAGTTTTGGCGAATTGACCTAATGGGGGCTGTCTAGAATAGGAGTTGACTATTAGTGGGCACTAGTATCTGTGTATGAATAGATCGTTGTTCGATTGGTCTTATGGTTTTAGTGTCAAGATGGACTACACTGACAATTCCTTCGTAAAAATCAGATATACGTTCCCGCTCATACTGATGCATAGGCTCATATCCAGACAAACTGATTTCTTGTCATAGAGACATATGTACACACCAAATGCACCAACCATAATCATTTAGCCTCACAAACTTCCTCAGAGACCCTCAGGTTCTCTTATCGCGTCCGTGAACGACCACGTTCCTCCTCCTGAGGCTGTACACACTCCCTTTCGTATACCTGCCATAGTCTCAGCTCCTCCTGGAGCAACGAAAACTCAGTATCCTCTGCCTGCTCGCGCCACGACCCTGGGATGACGCCGCGTGGTCCAGTTTCGTTCTTGTACTCAGTAGCCGACCATCTGATCTGGGCACTCATAGGCGCAGGAGCTCGGTCCAAAGGCAAAGGAGATCCAGTTGACAGTGAAGAACTACTATCCTGTTGTTCAGATCGAGGCCTCCTGATTGAGCTGGTCATTCGAAACGAGATTCTCCTAACAATCCCCGTCGGAATCGCGGCTAATAGTCTGGTCCGTTTGAAAAGGAGGCTGGGGGTGATACTTGGTTGCCTCGCCGTTTCACGGAGGTCAAGCGTCCCCTTTTTCTTTTTCAGTGGCACTTCGTTTGTTGCTGGCGAGGATACATGAACATCCCGGGACGATTCACCACTTAATCCAGGAGCAAGCATGTCCACCTGAGCCTGCGATCTGCACACAGGGAGGTTGAGACGAGAAACCAAGGTCCGTGTGGGTGGCACAGTGGGGTTAGGCTGGTCATCATGATTGGTCTTCTTGTTGATCTGATTGCTTGTCAGCGAATGAAGACTGATCGATGAGGCAATCAGTAGTTCGGCGTGGACAATAATTCATGCAAGGACTGACATCTCCTCTTCGAAGTCTGAATGAACATTGCACTGAAAAACGAGTACCGAACAGGAGGGCAGGTTTTTGGCGGCTTGCTAGAGCACCCTAATCGAAGAGGAGGATAAAATAATAACTTACCACATCATCGCCGCCTTCAAAAGACCAGCTGGAGTCGGTGCGGCTCAAGGTCATGTTGTCGTCGTTCATGGTCGTAGAATTCATCATGAGCCAGTGTGATGTAGACAATAAGGTATGTACGAGGAATACTAATCGACTTTTTGCGAAGACCAACTGCGTACTTATATAGTTTTGGGGTTGAGTGATTCTTTGGGTCTCATTATGACTACATTGTTGCGGATTGGTGAGGACAAGTCCATGCTCAACACAACCATGGGTCATGCATCCAAAATTTATTCGACCTGCATTCTTCAATAACTTTCTCGTCTAGATTGCCTAAAAACAGAGAGGTCGTAAGTACCATCTGGGTAGAGAAAATATTCACAACTTGAAAGCCTCGCCTCGGAGACTACAACATCGGTTAATCCAATCTGATCGTCCATCCTAATCTTCCTCTACGTCCAACCCCGCAGACTCCGCAATGCGTTCCAAGACGCGGATTTGGTCGTGAAGTGTCCTTGTCTCCCTCTGGTACCTGCTCCAAGCCTCGTTGCTTCGTCCAACCCTGCGCTCTTGGAGGCGATTGTACTCGTTGTCGAGGAACATGCTGCTTGTCTGCCAGAATCTCATCATTTCTCTGAGCTCATGTATGCCTTCGACCTGTCCACGGCTTTTCATCGTGAGGACAAAGTTGTTCAGAATCCGTTGCTGCTTTGCGGCGTTCTCGCGTAGACGGCCGTGGTACTGGGTCATAATTTCGAAATCTAGTCGGATTGCGGCAACTTCTTGCTGGTATTGTTCCTTGCACGAGACTATGGTGTCTTGGTACTCGCGTATGTTGACTTGTACAAGGCGCGTAAGTTGGATTTGCTCTTGCAGTGCGGCAGCACGTTCTGGCTCAATGCGTTCCTGTCGCATGATAGTCAGCTTCGGGCTTGCTTCCTGTTTCAACGTGACATACAGTCTCCAGCTCCTCCCTCAACTCGCGTAGTGCATCGCTTCGATTGAGACACTCTGTGCGCATACCGTCGGCAATAAGTCCCAGACCCTCTCTGAGCTTCTCCACAAGCTCAAGCTCGATAGAGTTTCCCTGTTTCAGACCTTCCATGATCCTGTCAGGATGCATGACGATCGAGCGTTGGTATTAAGCGGTAAAATGTTACAAGACGTTACGTGTGGTTGAATGTAACAGTGTTGGACAGGTATAGAATTGCAGAAGCGCGAAAATTTCGGGATGGCGGGTGAAGTCAAATGTTTCCTCATCTTCACTGCTTCACCGAACAACAGCGGTTGATAAGCCATTCTTGATATGACCTTGTCTGTCGAACAATCTAAGAGCTTGACGTGCAGACCACGAATCGAATTTGAGCGACGTCATCCCACTCACTTCCTGTACGTCTTTTCAACGATCATATCTTGAGTGTCATGGACCGTTGTTTCTTCGTACTCACCAGTCGTCCAGCCCCATATGCCTTGTTAGCGTTCATATAGCTCTAGTACACCCCTCAGAGATTATATTCGCTTTTGTGTGTCCTCGTTCTACTGCAACATTTTTCGTGTAACGTCCTTTCCCAACCCTGTGCGGCGTTACAGCAAGCGTTGTATTCTCAACATTCAGTATCCTAGCGAGATGCATATCTCTAATGACGTGGATAGCAGGTAAGATGATTGAGTGAAAGCATTGAACGATGGAACTAAATGAGGAAACCGATGAGTAAACTGATGAGTAAACTAATGAGTAACCCAAATCAAGAACCATCACCTCCGTCACTTTCACTAACATGCCCCACTAACTGTCAGACATCTGCTGCTGCCCCGCAGCAGCAGATCAGAAAACACACTCCGTCGATTCTACCAACGTTCCGCCATGTCTATCATCTAATCTTCACGCAAACATCTCTCCAGAGCCTAAACATCCCACAGTCCACAAAAGACCTCATTCCTACTTCTCCTCTCCTCTTGCTGCCATGGATATGTCCCTAACCCCTCCATATCCCCACCCTTGTCCATCAAATCCTCCACCACACACCCTTGAGAGGTGATGTCCAACAACTCAGCCATGAACTCAGGGAGCGGCGCCACACAGGAGACAGTCTGCCATCTCACGGCAAGGCTCAAGACAAGACAATGTGGTGTAATCGCAGAATTACATGGTACACACACATCAGTATGTAATCCTAGTCAAACCCCGCGGGATAATCAGCATGTCTATCTTCATTACACGGATCGGGATAGGTGTCGAAGTCTGGTTGTTTTGTATCGCTGTCCGAAGCTATGAAACAATGTGTTTGTGCATGTAAACCATGGATTGGCCAGGATCGGTGACGGGAAGATGTCGGTGCCGTGGTTCTTTTGAAGGGAGTCGAGTAGTAGGTGGTAAGGTGTGCGCTGGTTCTATACATGGGAAGGGACTGTGGAGAGGAGAGTGGTTTTGCGGGTGTAAACTTTGTGATCGCTGGAAGGTGTTGTTGTTTGAAGGCATGATTGAGTATCAAATGCGCATGACTAAGGATGTTGTATGAGTTGACATGAATGCTTTCTGAGACGGGTTGTCTTGTCATTACATGTGGAGACGCCAGTCCAAGCACAGTACTAAATCGACGCGGTACAAGACTCACCCATGCACACAGCTACACAGTATTGATGTTTATTCACGCTCTATACCAACGCTTCATGCAAGCTTATCCCCAGTGACCTTGAAGATCATGCTCCCGCTCCCTGGCTTACTAACCACAACAGCCTGTGCCAGTTTCTCCTCCGTAATATCGGGAAAGTGCTTTCGGTAATACTTCTCCTCCCACGCCTTCTTGACCGCCTCGACCTTATCCTTGGGTACGAGGTGAACACTGCAGCCACCCCACCCAGCGCCCGTCAACCTGCTTCCGCACGACCCAGCTGCGCGCGCCAACGTGCACAGCTCGTCGAGCTCGGGGCAACTGCAGTCGTAGATGTCGCGACAGCTGGTCTGCGTCTCGTTCATCAGGTCACCAAGTGACTGTAAGTAAGCCCTGTCTTTTGTTTCCGGTGGGGAGGCGAGCAGGGAGCGGAAATGAATGACCCGGAGAGCTTCGCTGAAAACATGTAGGGCGCGCTGGCGGAGCATGAATTTCTCAGCGCGGACAGGGAACTTGGACATGTAGCGCTTGTTCAGGTCGTCTTCCGAGACGCCGAGGAGGCCGCAGATCTCTTCCCGCGAGTATCCTTCTTCATTGGGGAGGTAATCGCCGGTGTGCTGGATGAGCTTTTGCAGTTGTGTTTCGAAGTCGGTGACGGAAGTCTTGGTGTTGTCTGGCACGCCCTCTTTCTCCTCGAAATATGTGTCGTGGAAACCACGCAGGCTGACGCCTAGAGGCGACGAGTCTGTTGGAAGATCCTTCAGGCCGAATGCTTTGGCGAGGAAGACTGCGGCTAGAGTGCATTCTACAACGCGTAGGTTGTAGCACACAGGCGCGGAGACGTGCTTGTCGGCAGCGACGAAAGTCTGGGCGGTCACGAAGGTGAGTTCGGGATCTGTGTCGGGGAACTCGATGGTGGTATAGTCGAGACTGGGCTTGAAAGATACGTAGAGGGCAGAGCCACGGAGGGAGAAGACTGAGGCTGCTTGGTCCATGCTAAAATACTGTTAACTGATTTCGACTTGGATTGACGGGAGAACACTGACCCTCCAGCATTGACACCCACTGCGCGCTCAGAGACAATCGCAAGCTCACAGAGCTCCTTCTTGTCGACCTTCTCTTCGCCATTCGCAGCCAGAACGGCCAGCGCACTGGTGCACACCACAGAGGCCGAGCTAGACAAACCGCCTCCACTGGGTACTGTTCCGTCGCACAAAATATCCATGCCAACCGAGGTGAACTTGCCCCGCTTCTTCTGCAGGAGTTCCGAGACACCTTTAAGACCCGACTTGAAGTAGTTCGTCCACTCATGCTCGGATGCGTCTACCGGAATCTCTCCCTCAGGAATCTCAAACTCTCGCGTAGGAAATTTCTCGGAGTTCAGGTTTGCTATCCGTACTCGTGGCTTCTCGTCTGTAGGTCGCACAGCTACTGCCATGATGAAGTCGGCTGTGATGGCCATAGGAAGCACCTCATACAGAGAGTAGTCAATGTGCTATGGTGCGTGAGCTTGCGTGGGTATAGACATGCTGCTTTTGTCTTACCTCGCCAATGATATTGACACGTCCAGGACTCCGGGAGACAAAGTCCGCCTGCTTTCCATAGAGCTCTTTGAACTTGGCCAGTAAGCTTTCCCATCGTTTTGTCTCTACTGGGACAGCGTCCTCGGGGTAGATGTCGCGCAGTGAAGTCGCAGTAGGAACCTGCATGTTGAATAAACCGATGAAGATGTCAAGGAATCGGTTGGAGAGAGCTTGAGAGATAAAACAGGCAGGATCTGGGGGAAGACGAGGAATGGAAGATTTAATACGCGTCTGCGCATCTCGTGAGCTTGGTGGAGTGTATGGCGGGGAGGCAGTCTTCGAGCGCCTTTCCCCTTCAAGAAGCGCTTCCGACGCCACGGGCCAATGCTGCAAGGTACGAATGTCGCGTCGCGATGGCGACGACGGATCACCTCCCGCCCATTGAACGACCCGACAATCTCGTCGGAACGCATGTCAAGCTACAAATATCTGGGTCGCGTGTCATTTGGATGTCACGTCGTATTGTTTTGTGATTTGTAGGTGAATCGTCGAGCCGACTGCGTATGAGCAGTCGCTCTTAGCCTAGTCCTCGGCCTCTGGCACGAAGGCCCCGCCCAATACCACTCCCAGCCCGAGTACTTGTTGATCCACTCCGACTGATACCCCGTCCTCCCTGTCCACCTACGCCAACATGCCCGCTCGAAGTGGTGGTTGTGGAAGCACCGCGTGACTTCCCTCTGCCCCTCCCCCTTGTCGTGGTCTTTGGCGGGGCCTCTGCTCTTCTTCGTTCCTCCTCCAATCTTCGGGCTGTTGCCTCTCTCTTCGCCTGTTCTTCGATAGCGCGGCGTTCAGCAGTGTGCTTGCGCTGCGCCTCCTCTTCTTCGATCTCGACCAGGTCCTGCGACGCGCCCTGCCATTGAGGGTTGAGTATGAGTCGCTGGTTGTGCTCGGTCTGTGAAAGAATCCGCGTCCAGGTTTGCAGAAGCATTGATGCGTTGTGAACTGTTCGTGAGACGGTCTGGTCAAAGATCAGCCAAAGCTGCTACGTACTGTACCAAGTGCATCAAAATACCTCCATGTTATCCTTGGCTTTTTGCAAGCTCTCCACAACCCCTTCAATGACCTTGTTCACATTCCGCACGCTCTCCAACTCCCTCCGTAATGCGGCTTCTCGAGCTTCTTCAGTGGTATAATGCGACTCTTTCGCACGCGTCTTTGTGCCTGCCGCGCCCTCGCCTGCATCTGCGTCTTTGTCATGCGCCTTCTTCTTGTTCTTTTTGGCGGCGGGGGTATCGAACAAGGCATCCGTGTCTGAGTCGGAAAGATTCAAGGCGTCCATGTCTGGCGGATCTATTGTGAAGTGCGACATGCAAGTCTGAGAACGGAATCAAGTTGCGAGACAACGGTGTCGATGTTTGGGTGGCATGTGTTGGCGTGTTTGACGTGTTTGGCGCTCGACCCCTGCAGCCGTTGTGCACCAGCCATCGCCAACCTCCTCTGTCGCAACAACGGGCTCGACCCTTTGTTATCGCAAGGCACCCTATCGTATCCACCCGTTCCTGTCCCCAACAACAACGTTATTCATCACAAACCGTGTCCCTCTTCACGTCGCATTAATAACCGGACGATTGGACTGCCTGCCGCCTAAGCGCCGTCATCTCCAGCTTGAATCTCCATTGTTTTGATTGTCGACATTCACTCTTCTTTCCCTATCGCCACGACGACACCTCCGCAACTGCCCCGGACTGTGAAAGAGAAAGCCGCCATCATCATGGAGCGCACCCCCTCTCCTAGTCGCCGCGTGCACACGCCGCCCGGGCCACTTCACGGTGATAACTGGCAGCCCTTCTCACCGCGCCGGTCCAGCAGAGTCGCGCAAAGAAGCCTTCACCACGAGCAAACAATAGCACGCACCAGGCGCGACGTGACCCCCACTTCGACTGCAAAACACGTCGCTCGAGCGCTCGCCTTCGACCTCTCCCCCCCGACCTCACCTGTCTCTCCACCCAAACACCGCACTCCCCGCTCAGTGCGACGCGCGCATCACGAACCAGCCCCATTTGATTCGGTATGTCAATCAACGCACACTCGCACGTAATGCGCGTATCGCATCGCATAACACTACAAACGGTGTAATCACGATGTTTGGTCTTTGCTAACTGCTCCAGGACTCTGATCACGCCGCACCAACACCTGCTAGACGCTTTCTATCGACCATGGCGCCCGGCATGCTACCTACTCCAGCCAAGACTCCCCGTAAGCGGACCCTGCAGGCAGAGGATTCACTGGGTCAAACTGCGCGTGTTCTGTTTCCGAATCGCCCCGCCACTATCGATGAGGTTATGCCAACTCCGCGCAAGTCGCGCAAACTCATGAAGAACTTCTCCACCCTCGAGAGCTTCGCTCAGGACCAGGACAAGAGCTCTGAAAAGATCGAAATCTTCACCGACTCCAAAGAGCGTGTTCCTATCAAGGACGACAGCGAAGAGAACCCGTTCGTCGTCAAGAAGAGCAAGCGAAAGGCAAAAGCAAAGACGACCCCGCAGAAATCCCGCAGGCTTGACCAGAGAACGCAGAAGATGAACGATGCCGTCGATCGCGATGCAGGAATGGTCTACATCTTCCGTGGAAGGAAGATCTTCCGCAAGTTCCACAGCGGTCCGCCATCAAATGCGTCAGAGGCAGAGGACGACACTGAAGACGGCGAAGACGTCGAGGATGACATGCATCAACAAGTGAAACGCTCCGCCGGTCACGAGGCTCACCGTCCCCTTACTCGCTCATCCATCAAGCCCCGCCTTCTCTTCCAGAAGGAGATTGAGCAGCGAAAGCGTGAGAACGGCGAAGACGACGACGACGAAGAGGCAGACACCGATATCGAAGTATCTGTCTCGACGCCGAGCCGACGCAAGGGCAAGAGCGTGGTGCACCTCACGCAACCGATCCAAGAAGCTTCGCCGCCGCCCACCGTCCGCAAACCCAAGCGAGGTATGTTTTAGCATCACGTGTTTTCCGATCGACTACTCACAACTTCGCAGAAATCTCTTTCGACTCTTGGTCGCGCGTCAAGTCCGCTCACAGCTCTAGCAGCTCTGCGCATGGGTCCAAGAAGCGCTCTGGCGAACCTCTTGAGCGGGACACCGACAAGCGACTTCGCAGCGAGCACTTCATCTCTTAGATCTTGTCCGACAGCAGCATTCTGGTTGTTGCGTATCTTCACCAGGCTTTTGCATAGCAGTAGGAGGCAGTCCACCTCAATGCTACCTACCCTCCACACCAAAGGAAGGGCATTTTGATTAGCGAAACAACTGGCGTTTTTGATCTTTTTGAGTTTTAAGCGATAGGGAATACCCACGACCACATGGTGCACTTGTAATCGAAGGGCTGTCGGCGGGGCGTCTTGGTGTTGCTTGTCATACCAAATACTTGCTTAGCTGGCTACTCTTCTGGGATGCGCATGGATTGCGCTTATTGTAGGTCTTGGGGCTGGGGAGTGGATCATAATTAGCCGTGGTAGTAGGGGTGTTGGGATGCAGTGGATACGTGCTGTGTGCGTTGTCAACAGTGTGATGTATATCTGCTAGCAGGTAGGTATAGGGAGGAGGGGGTACGAGTAGATAGATAATCAATCAAACAAATGAAACTATATAAACAAATCAAATACTCGAGTATATCATGCATCACCACGCCGTCAATACCTAGACTATCATCAAACTCACTTGACAAACCCACCCACCGCCCCGTCAATCCAACGAAAAACACACATATGCACATCTTCATACACCCAAACAGCCAAAAATTCCTATCCGTTCCCCCATGCGTGCCATACACATGTGATATATACATTGTATACACTCCACTGATGGAAACGCATATACTACATACACTTTATAACCTATACATTCCATGTGTTCTATGCACTCTACACACTCTACAGAAAACATATCCTCGTATAATCCTAATCTTCTACTCTTCTCTGTCTTAGCTCAATTCTACTCGTTTCGACCTACCTTCCTTCCTTCCTTTCGTTCTTTCTGCTCTGGATAGAATCTACGGGACAGGACTTAAGACAAGATTTAGGACATCATAGCATTGTATAAAATATTGGACTCTGAATGACTGTTTGTTTCCATTTCTCATATTCGAATTGAAGGTGAAGGTTAGGTGTGCGTGTCCACCTATCCATTTCTAGCACCAACGTCGAGTCAAGGAATGATGCGGGTAAGTAAGCAAATGTAAGGAGGCGATCAAGCACGTAGGTAGGCAGGCCGCGTATGTGAAAGTGCAAGGTCGAAGAAAAACACGGATCAAGCGGACAAACAACTACTGGGAATGGTATCATCACACCACGGGGAAGAGATGAGGAAAAAGAGGAGATATTGGCAAATAAAAAGTATATCTTATACAAGTTCCTTCCTCATCAATCGCCCATTGCATCGCATCAAGAAATGCAATCGTTGATACACCACGTTGTCCCGATCCCCAAGAACCCTCGATCTAAGCATACATACATACATCTCCAACTCCCCACGTCAAGTCTCCACATCCCTAACCCTCACACATCCAACCCCATCATATTCAAGCCACCCTCAGCAATTTCGCCGCATAATCCACAATCAGATTCTCAGTAGGGAACGCCATCTCCTCAAGCTTCTGCGCATACGGCGTAGGCACCTCCGCACCCGTGACACGCGCAGGCGGGGCCTCCAAAAAGTCAAACGCATACTCGCAAGTCAAGGCCATGATTTCCGCGCCGACGCCGAAGGATGGGAAACCAGATTCGACGCAGAGCATGTGTCCCGTCTTCTTGACGCTCTTGACAATAGCCTCGACGTCGAGGGGCTTGACGGAGCGCAGGTTGAGGACTTCTGCCTCGATGCCGTACTTTGATTTTAGTTGTTCGGCGGCGACGAGCGATTGGCCGACGCAGCGGGAGAGGGTGACGATGGTGAGGTCCTTGCCTGGGCGCTCGATCTTGGCTTTGCCGAACTGGGGGTGGGTGGGTTAGTGGGGGAGGTGGGGGAGTGTGTGGGTGGGTGGGGGAGACGTACGGGGATGACGAAGTCGTCTCGCTGGGCTTCTTCGCTCATGGGGAAGGAGAGACCGTACAGAAGCCTGGGGCGTGGTTAGTGCGTTTTATTTTATAGTTGACGGACGACTGACTCGTTCTCCAAGACGACAACGGGGTTGGGGTCGCGGATAGCAGCCTTCATCAGACCCTTTGCGTCCTCTGCGCTGTAGGGCGCAACGACTTTCAGTCCGGGAATGCTGCCGTACCAGGCGCTGTAGTCCTGCGAGTGCTGGGCGGCGACACCCATGGCGAAACCGTTGGGGCCGCGGAAGGTGATGTTGCAGGGCTGGATGCCACCGGACATGTAGTGTGTCTTTGCGGCCGAGTTGATGATCTGGTCAATGGCCTGCATGGCGAAGTTGAACGTCATGAACTCGCACTGGGGGTGGCGTTAGGGTCGTCTCACACGGCGGATCCACAGCTACTCACGATGGGGTGCAGGCCGGCGAGGGCAGCACCGACCGTCAGGCCGGCGAAGCCAGACTCGGTGATGGGACTGTCGATGACCCTCTTCTCGCCGAAGCGGTCGAGCAGGCCCTTGGTGACCTTGTATCTGCGCGGGCTGTCAGCACTGCTTCTCGGCTGCCCGCACAGCGCCATTGGCCCAGTCCAGCGACCACCTACGCTCCGTTGTATTGCGCGACCTCCTCTCCCAGCACGAAGACCTTGTCGTTCGCCTCCATCTCCTCGGCCATGGCCTCGTTGAGCGCCTCGCGCACCGTCATCTCCTTGGTGCCCGACGCATAGCCTCTCCGCGCAATCGACGGTGTCAGGGCGGCGGCGCGGAAGGCAGGGCGGAAGGCGGGCCTCGGGGCGGACACCAGGCGCGACGCCGGGCGGAGGAGCCTGGAAGCAGCCATTGCAGCGGTTACTCGGTGGGGTGGGGGGAGTAGGGGGAGGAGAGAATTGACCGTGGGCGAGTAAGGGCCGGGAGGCTGCTGTGGTGGTTGGAGAAATCTTTAAAGCGTAGCTATCGGAGAATCCACAATGTTGAGCAGCTTGGCCCGCGCGCTGAGGGCCCAACACGGCCTACCCACTACTGCAGCATCCCACCATGCCACTCATCGTGCGAACACCTCACATGCACATTTGCTTGATGGATCGCTCAGAATGCACTATTACTCGTTGTATTCCCCACTATGCTTTGTAACTAACTCGTATAGCCGTAACCAACACTCCACATGATGCCCGCCATCAGATATTATAGTCATATATAAACGCATCTCCATCGACGCATGCAGTTCAGAAGAAAGCACCAACAAGTCGTCGGCGCAAAAGGAGTCTAGAGAAATGAAACACGGCAGAAATAAATCCCTTATGCGTCGAGAGGCTTCCTTCCGACCATCAGGTACATGGGCGTGAACAGCTTCTCGCGGCCACCGGCAACCAGGTTGTCAGCACCGATAGCAAGACTGTCGGCCGTCTTCTGGGTGCCCTTGGGCGCAAGACCAATCATCTCGAGGGCGCCGACGAACTTGTGGACGCAGCCGCGACCGAACTTGGTCATACGCAGGATGGTTGGGATGTCGCCCAGGGTGCTGATGTACTTGAGCTGGCCAGAGAGCGGCCAGTACCAGGGGTAAGGGTCGTCCCGGTCAGCCATATCCTCGTGGTGCTCCAGGACAAAGCCTGCAGCCTTCATGGCCTGGAGCCCAACCTCGACCTTCTCCATGTTGGCGATGCCGTCACCAATCTCGATACCGAGACGGATCTCGCGGTGGCGGGGGTTGTCGTTGTCGTACGCGTCCGTCATCAGCCACTCGTAGACGCCGAAGACACCTCCAGGCTTGAGCACACGGAAGATTTCGCTGTAGACGCCCTCAAGAGAGGGGGCGTGGACGGTGGCCTCGATGGCGTAGACGGCGTCGAAGGACTTGTCAGGGAAAGACATTTGCTGGGCTGGAGTCAGCGACGCAACACATGCGATCAGGGGGTGGGTCGTACCATGAAGTCTCCCTTGGTGAACTTGAGCTTGTGCGAGAGACCCTCCTTCTCCGCGTACGCCGTAGCGCGCTCAATCTGGTAGTCGTTGTTGTTCAGGCCGACTACGTTGACATTGGCGAACTTGACAATCTGGCGCGCGGGGCCTCCGACACCGCACCCGACGTCGAGCACGCGCATGTTGTCCTGCAGGTTCATCTTGTGGGCGAGGTAGTGCTCATGGCGGGCAATGGCCTGGTGGAACGACTCGCCATAGGCGTAGCGGCAGAAGTGGAAGCTCTGGCCCCAGCCGTACTCGTACAAGTCGGTGGCCAGGTTGTAGTAGTGCCTTGTCAGGGTAGCATATTCGTCTCGTCGCTCCTGGGGGTTTGTTAGTTGGCGTCGCACTCGGGGGTAAGGGGCAGCTATGGCCTACCTTGCGTGTCTCCTCAGTCTCGTCGGCGGCCGTCTTGTTGTCCCAGTGCTTGAAGTACTCGTCGACGGCAGCCTTTTGCGCCGACTGGTCCTTCTGTAGCATGGCCGTCATGCCACCACGCGCCTTTGCAGATTGGCCGTGCATGGCCTTGTTGAATTCGGCATCGCGGGTGTGGTTCTCTTGCTCGAGGGCGGATGGAGACATGGTGATTGGTATAAAGAGGGTTCCTGTTGAAGAAGGGAAAGTAATTAAAAGCGAGATAGACAGACAAAGTCAATTGAAAGGGTGAAGAGGACAGAAAACAGCGGCAAGTCGCTTCTTATGGAAATAGCGGTGCATGAGATTTAGATTTCCCCTATGGAAATCGTCTCCTTCACCGCTGCCAATCACGGCACTGCAGGTCCTCAGCCAATCATGGCGCGCTGAGAGCGAGAGCCAAGACGTTGAACTGGCGACCCATCTCTAGGGCGGCAGTCATTTCACCGCGAACAACTAAATCCACGTTGAATACATAGCGCTGCGTCCCCACCACCGTATACACCGTATTGCCCGTCGCCAGTGCCGCACATAACAAGACGCGACTCAGCATCCAGCGCGCCGTGGGCTTCCGCCATGCCTCCGCAGATTAAGCAAGACCTGAATCGCTCGGGCTGGGAGACGACCGACTTCCCGTCCGTGTGCGAGAAATGCCTGCCGGACAACCCGTACGTGCAGATGCTGAAGGAGGACTATGGCGCTGTAAGTCCTGCTCCCCCTGCGAATGAACACGGTAAACTAATGCGACCAGGAATGCAAGATCTGCACGCGACCCTTCACCATCTTCCGCTGGAAAGCCGACCGCACCGCCCGCCAGAAGCGCACCAACATCTGCCTGACATGCGCCCGCCTCAAGAACTGCTGCCAGCACTGCATGCTGGATCTGTCCTTTGGCCTGCCCATCACTGTCCGTGACGCGGCGCTGAAGATGGTTGCGCCGGGCCCCAAGAGCGACATCAACCGCCAGTACTATGCGCAGGAGCACGAGAAGGAGATTGAGGAGGGTCGGGGTGCTATGGAAGCGTATGAGAAGACGGACGAGAAGGCGCGCGAGCTGCTGTCGCGCCTGGCCAAGAGCGAGCCGTACTACAAGAAGCAGCGGCGCATGGACGCTGAAGGAGAAGAGAGCGGGCAAAAGGCACTGCCTGCGCCTGGAGGAGGTGGTGATGGCAGCAGTGCGTATGGACATGTCACAGGGCCTATCAGGACGAGAGACTCGCGCGGTGGACGGGGAGGCATGCGCGGTGGACGAGGAGGTCGCGCGCCTGGCCCCGCAGCAGAACCCAGCCCCCAGGACTGGTTGCCGCCGTCAGACCCGAACATCGCGTCACTCTTCGTCACGGGTGTGGAGGATGACCTCCCCGAGCACGACCTCCGCACACATTTCGTACAATACGGCCAGCTCCGGTCGCTTGTCTGTTCGCATCGGGCGCATTGCGCGTATGTCAACTACGTCAAGAGGGCAGATGCCGAGACTGCTGCAGATGCACTCAAAGGGAAGGTGGTCATCAAGGGCTGTCCGATGAGGGTGACATGGGGAAGGCCAAAGCAGCTCGACAGTCTGGACCAGAACGTCAGGATGCAGTATGCACGGGAAGGGAGACAGGTGGCAGGACCCGCACGGCGAGGTGCTGGCTCCCAAGCTGCCATCGAGGACGCCCCACAGGACAGCGCGGACAACATGTCTGCGATTGCGCCTCCACCTGGTGCGGACGACGAGGTCAACTACGCTAGTCTGGCAGGCAACTAGCATGTATATGTTTTACAGGCATTCATTCGGCGTTCTGGACGGCATGGGTATCACGGTTTATTTTATTCCAGGCGGACACAAGATCAGGCCGAGCAGCACTTGACAGGTCCTCCCAACGTGTTCTTCCCTTGTGCTTTCTTGATATCCTCATTGTCTCCTCTTTCCGTCTCGTCGTGTATGCGGAGTTCTGTCGCGGGAATTAGACAAGATATTAATTACAAATGTTCAAGACATACTGTAGTTGCCCTGCTTGTCTGTCGCCTGTCCTTGCACAACGTTCTCGCGCAGGAACTTGGCCACCTCTTGTGCGTGTGCGACTTGGGCGGAGAGTTCTGTGCTTCCAGCGGCGAGGCTGCGGTTCTGCTCGAAGTTCTTGCGGGCTTCGGCGCGGGCGGCGGAGAGCATGTTCAAGTCGCCTGTCTTGTTGTGAGTATTTGCCGTCCATCCGCCCCATCGTCGTTTGGCGTACCTTGGAAGGCGATGCGCGCCGAGCGCAGGAGGCTTCTGTAGGCTACGAGTGCCATTTCGCGTGACATTGGCCTGTTCTGGGATTGTTGCTACAACCTCATCGACCACGCCAACGGCGCGGAAGAGAGAAGTTGACCGACACGTGACGCGGCTTTCCGCTTGAGACGTGAACCCTGCGTCGATCAACAGCCCGCTCTCGCTGACGTCGCACTTTCATCGTCCGACCTTGACAGCACCCCGAGCATGCTTCGTTGGCCTCGCCCTTGATTAGGGCTGCACTGTGACTGATCAGCCATCATGGGGTGGTTTTGGAAGGTGCGTCGAGTGCACCCTCTGCACGCCAGGGCCGCCGTTAACACAGCAATAGAATGGCACCGATGCTGCCGCGTTCGAGAGAACTCTCTCCACCCTCTCGGCGAAAATCAGCAGAGCCACCACCAGAAATGACAAAATGCGTCAGCTTTCCCGGCGTGCCCGCGTCATGTGGACGCTGTACGCTGGGTTTGCCTATATCCTGGCTGCCATGCTGCTTACTCTCGTCACGGGATGGCAGAACTGGGGGGTGACAGAGGGTTCAGTCGTCGCTGGTGGGCCGGTAGTGTAGGTCCAAAATAGTAGAATAAATGTTTTCAACAGACTCTGACTACCCGCAGCATCTACCTGATCCGCTACGCTCTCACCAGCTACTTCGACTACCGCATCCGCAACACGGACGTCTACCTCAAGAAACTCAACAAGGAACGAGACGCCACCATCGATAAACTGAAGGAGGCTACCAAGTACAACTCGACGCAGCAACTGCTCGAAAAGTACGGTGCGTCGCCAAAGAAGGAGCCGAGCCCTGGCCCGGGACGTAGGAAGTCCCAAGGCCCGCAGAAACCGGGCCAGCCGCAAGGTCCACGGACTGGCTTCGCTCCCCCACCCACGGCCAACATCCAGCGATCCCCTCAACAGCCCCAACAACAACAGCCGTCTACCCCGCAACGCCCGCCGCCTGCTGTCGCCTCACCACAAGCTCCACCTTCGATTCAGGTCCAAGCCCCACCAGAAGCTCCAGGCGCAGAGTTTGCACCAAATGCATTCGGCGCTCCAGATATCACCAAACAGTACTCCTCTGCGTCTCCCTCAACCCTCACGCAGACCCACTGGTATGACCGCATCCTCGACGCTCTCCTCGGCGAAGACGAAACACAAGCCAAGAACCGCATGGCGCTGATCTGTTCTGAATGCCGCCTCGTAAACGGCCAAGCACCCCCCGGGACGCGCTCCATCGAAGACGTCGGCCGCTGGCGATGCGGAGGCTGCCGGGCGTGGAACGGCAAGGAGAGGAGCGACGAGTTGCCCGAAGACGTGCAGGCCAACCTGGTGAAAGTGTGGGCTGCCGAGGCGGAGAAGGAGAGAAACGCTAGTACAGAGGGGGGAGTGGATTCAGATAATCGCGAGACGGAGGATCATAGCTCGGAGGTTGATGATGAGGAAGAGGAGGAGGAGGAGGTTAGGCCGTTGAGTAAGTCGTCGAAGGGGAAGGCGAGGGCGCGCGGGAGGAAGTGAGGTGGGGTTATCGCTGGACACGGCATGTGTTTCTGCGAGACAGTATTGCTCTTGAGCGTGTGGATTCAGTAGGCGGACTGACATATCATATTATATCATAGCGTAGCGTGGCATGGCATGGCATATACCTTGACGAGAATCCTTTTCGTGGTCACAATATATAGCGATATCTTCTTGTACCGATATCTGATCGCGTTTCTTGCACGTATGTGTGTTGTGGTGTTGCATCTGAAGCCTCATTCCGATCTTGTCTTATTGTTATTTTTGCGTTTTCTATCCTGCACATCCCATTTCATCCTTCCATCTAGTTCTCGTGAGCTCTCTCCTTCATGTCCCCTCCGAAATCGTGGTTCAATGACGCATGTTCTATATATCTCCCACCTCTCCCCACTTCTCTTCCCCACCATCTCATCCCCATCCCCATCCCCACCTCACCGCCTCCCCAAATCCAAATCCAGAACCTCCACCATATCCCCTCCCCCCTCCCCACCCACCCCAAAAAACCCCCCCACAGCAACCCCAACAACACTCCCCATAAGCCCGCCCACCACCCCCCTCAACCCCTCCCCCGTCTGCCCAAAATCCGGAAAAGCATTAACCTCCAACAACCACGCCCTCAGACTCCCATCCGCCTCAACACCGACCATGAAATCCAGCCCAAACACCTCAAACGCATTAGGCAGCGGCTGGAAGTGCGTGCCCATTCCGCGCGCGGCGGCGGTGAAAGTTTCACTAGTTATACTGCGGATCTGGGAGAATATGTCGTCCTTCCACGACGCGTTTGCGGTGATAGAGGGGGTATATGGGGGTTGGACGGGGAGAGTGGAAGGCAGGTCCCAGAACAGGGACACGGAGCCGGCGCGCGTGGTGCTGTTTTGGAGGCAGGTGTTTGTCAAGTGCGCGGATAGGTCGGGGGGCGTGGTTGTTGATGGGGGCGTGTAGGGCGATGCGGCGAAGAGGGCGAGCATGGGGCGGTAGATGTGGATTTTCAACGCGCCGGAGGCGAGGATGTAGGTTCTTATGTGGAATTTGCGGAGGTCTTGTTGGGGTGATGTTGAGGGGTAGAGGAGGAGAGGCGGGTGGATGTACGGCTGGGCTATGAAGTGGCGGAGTTGCGAGGTTATGATTCCGTCGGATAGGGATTTGTAGTCCTTGTCGTTGGTGTCGTCGTCGCTCCTCGCATCCTCCTCATCCTCCTCATCGCTATCCGGTTCCCACCCCTCAAAAATCCGCACAAGTTCCTCCTCACTAGAAAACAGCCGAACCCCCTGTCCCCTCTCACTCATCCCGGGTTTCAAAATCCACCACTCCCTCTCCCTCTCCCCCCCTCCCACCTCATTCCTCCCCCAACTCTCCCTCAACTCCCAAGCCTCCACCAACGCATCATCAAGAAACTCCACATAATCCACCTCAAACTCCACACTGGGCATGACATGCCTCCTCAGCACACTCTCAGGGTACTTAACGCACCAGTTCGCGACCGTGGTGCTGAGGTAGTGTTTGCGGATGAGGGCTTTGCGGATTATGTAGGCGTTTGCGAGGGAGGTTGTGGGGTGCGCGAGCAGGTGGTCCCAGGAGAGGGATTCGTATTGGAGGAATTGGAGGAGGGGGGAGGAGGGGGTGGGGAGGTCGGAGAGGGTGGTTATTAGCTTGTAGGTGTGGGCGGGGAGGTGGGTGGAGAGGGCTGTGAGGAGGAGGGGCTGGACGTAGGTGTCTTCGTAGTTTATTAGGCAGTAGATTGTGGGGTCTGGTGACTTGTCTGCGGGCGGATTTGTTGGTGACGCCATGGTTGGGGGTTGTTGTGTTGTTGGGCGGCCTGGGTGTGGGTTTGATTCTTGAGAGTGAGCGTAACTGGATTTTCGAATTGCAATTCCTCAGACGATGTACATGTGAAAACGCAACAAACCGACGAAGGAAAGCTCGACAAAGGAAAAAGCTACCAATCGCAGCTCAAAGCCAAATACACTAAGCACAATCGTTACTGTATAATGCGGGTATCCAAAAGCAGCGCCTCCAAAAAAAAAGTTCAAAACATCGCACTTGTTCTCGCTTAGTACAGCCAATCAGGGCAACCCCAAGTCGTGAAAGCCATATCGTACACCCATTTACCTTTGCTTTGAATCCCACCCATCAACCCCCCCAAGACCTCTATCAATGCCATGCATGCTGAGGGAATCAGTGATGTGTTGCTTAGAAAGAAAACAGTAATCCCGGAATATCATGTCCCGTCAAACAACCTCCAAATCATCATCGTCGTCCTCGTCCATGGCTGCTATCAACCCCACATCCAAACCCCCTAGGCTGTCTCTCCCCGGCTCACGAATGCCTTTCTCCGGTAGCAGGAGACGCGCTCGTTTCTTGGTCGGGGTGGATTCTTGACGCACTAGGGCTGGTCGTGGTGGAGGCATCTTCTTAGGCGAGAGCAGCACGCTGTGTTTGCTGGCGCCGCTCCAGCCGATCGGCGCACTGGAAGCTGTCGATTTGCTGGACAAGGTCCTCTTCCTCTTGTGAACCGGAGCGAGAGAGACGTCGTCTGCTTTCCGACCCAGCAGGCCGAGGAAGTCAGTGTTGGACTGCTTGTCCTGGTTCGCTGCTGACGCGTCTCGAGAAGAGGCCACTCCGCGCACGGGGAGGTTTTGTATATCAGCGCCCTTCAACTTCATGTAGTCGCCTCCAGTGCTGCCCTGACCCATGGTGCCGAGTCTTTTTGCGAGTTCGCGCTCTTTTTCCTTCTCGGCAAGTTGTTTGCGGAACTTTTCCTCTCGACTCGCACCGCGCTCCCACGATTGGTTGTCTCCGTCTAGAAGTCTTGCTGCGCCGCCAGGTCGGGGTGCGATGTAGACGGTTTCGTGGATTTCTCGGTCGTGGAATTTCCCTTCTCTTCTCAGCTCGTCGCCTTTTGAGCCGCCGCCTCTCCCGCCTCCGAACATGCCATGCTTGCCTCCGCCGGCGGGACCTCGTCCCATACCAGTCATTGTGTTGATTTCCATGCGCCCTCGCTTGCTCTTTTCGACTTGGAGCTGGACGTGGAACTCACAAACCTCTGTCTTGCGGCCATCGATCCACTGCCCGCAGTCCTTGCCATCCTTCCGTTTTGCATGACAGAAGTCGAGATCTCGCGCTGCGCCGATTTCAAGCACAGTGTCATCCGAGCTGGTGAGTTTGAGCGAGAACTTGCCCGTGTCCCGATTGCGAGGGGGCATGATATCTGGGTTGAGAATTGCGATCAATGTGCCCTCGGTCAGCTTCCAGAATTGAGAGAACCCAGTATCGAACAGATACAGATCGAGCTCCCACTTCAAGTCCGTCAGCCGAATAACCATGAACTTGCCCTGCTGGTCTGTGCCTCTTTCCTGGTTGCTGGTTGACTGATCTCGAGCGGCGTTCTTGGCATTGAGTGGGGATGATTTCGAACATACAACTCCCAGAACAACGTAGTCGTTCTCCCATTCAGGCGGTTCGTAGTCGGGTGCCTTGACGGTCTTCAGCAGCTGCGGTATCGTGAGTACGGTCTTGCCCTCCAGTGTGCGGGTGATGACATTGTGTTGCATCTGGCGCGACTTGAGGTGCAGACCGGACAGAGACTCAAAACTGGATGCTTCGGTGCTGTTGTCGCGTTGCGAGACCTCGGCATACTTTGACGTTGTCGATGTAGCAGTAAAGCTTTGCGAGTACGGTCGGATGGGAGAGGGTGGCGGACGCGAGCTTTCCGTCCTGAAGGAAAGAGATGTACCCGGTCGTGGTGTGGGTGGATCCTGTATATCGCTTCGCGTTCGGGTGTGTCCTCTGACCGGGGCTCTCGATGCTGGCGGTGGCATGTCCTGCGAACTTCTGGTGTCTGAGCTGAATGAAGAGTTCGAACGAGATATTGGCCGATCTCTCAAGCCCTCGATGTTCTGCAGACCGAACCCTCTGGATCGCCTCTTCTCGAGCTTTGTCTCGTTCTCTTCGCGCTGTTTTTCTCTGTTTCTGCTATCTGCCATGCGCTCGCTGAAGGACTTGATCCTGGGTACTTCTGCAGGCCGTGCACCCCCATCACGCCTATGCGACATGGCACTACCAGCGCGCTTAAGACTGACATCTTGGGCCCTCAGCCCCTTGTCGATACCCAGCATAACACGTGCTGGACTTCGCTGTTCTTCCGGGGCCCTTCGAATACGCACAGGTGAAGCAGGGACTTGGAGGTCAGCAGTTGGTCGTGATAGCTGTCTGCGGTGCATGCCGCCTGCGGTGCTCGGTCGCGCTGAAGAGGCATTGTCCCCAGTCTCTGCTGTTTTGCGTGCATTCTGCAGTTTCTTGAGCTTCAGTCGCGCCTCGATGGCCTGCAGCTTCAACTGCAGCGTCTCCTCGTCTTCCTCTTCCGTGTCGTCGCCGTCGTCCTGCGGCTGCCCTCGCGACATGGGGCGGCGCTTCGAGGGAGATGGTGACACCGAGGTGCGCTCGTGTTGTCGTTCGTACTTGCGGCGTCCAGAGGGCGAGCACAGGAGGGCTTCGTGCGGCGACTTGGGCGGCCAGTTCGGCTGATTGCTCGACACTACACGGCTGTCAGTGGAGCCCGCACGGCGCAGAGGGACTCGCCCACCTCCAGACTTGGGGCTGTCCCGCACAATCATGATTGTTGCAGCGCGCCTGGACGACCACTCTCCATATCCACGCCAAGACGCATGTAAAACAGTACTGCAGGCCAAAAAAAAGTAGGAAGCGTGAACGGTGGCTCTGTCACTATCTGCGGCCGTGTTGATGTTGCATTTGTTGTTAGTCTTCAAGCGCTCGGGAACGGGAAATGGGCTTTGCAGGGATGACGCGCAGCGTCGCGTCCCACGCGCTTTAGCAGCGCAGATCGCCCACGCCCGTACACACATGCAACATCTATTGTCAGACAGCCTCCCAACCACACGTCAACATGGTACGAAAGACACGCTCTCAACCTGCGTCTAAATCATCGCCGGCCGAAACATCCACAGAAGCCACAGCCACAGCCACAGCCACAAAATCACTCCCTCCCAGCACCTCCAACCCGCCGAAACTCTTCGTCCTGCCAAAAAACACGTCAAAAGATGCACGCATAGTCACCCTCGACAACCCTGCAACCGGCACACCATCACGATACTACTTCTGTCCTGAGCGGGGGTTCCACGAGTTCACGCGCATCGCAGCGCCCAAGAAGAGCTGTCGGAGCTGGCTGATCCATGCATCTGGTAATGAGGAGACCAAGCAAGAAGATGGAGACGGGATGCGAGTAGGAAGCGGATACATCACCAAAGACGCCGACCTGTTCATTGCCACACCCATTGATGTCTTGTTCCTGATCCTCCCCGCGCTGGCGCCCCAGTCTGCGAAAGACACAAAACAGCTATTCCTCGAACTGGACGACTACCTGGACATGCTATCGTCTACGTCGCAGCACTGGAAAGCACTGCTCTCGCAATATTTAACGCTAAAGGGTATGATGGAGAAGAAGGTGCGCCTAGTATGCGACACTGTCGACGCAGGCGAGCAGACCATGTACCGGCTCTCCACCCCCAAACTCCTGGACGTCCTCACAGCCAAAGCCACAAGAATGGTAGCGCACGGTCTCCCCCCCTCGCTCGAGGAAAAGCACATAAAAACCGCCCTCGAAGTCCCCGTAATGAGCATCCGCCGGGAAGAAAGCACACTAAGCGCCATATCAACAACAACGCCAGACGAACCCTCCACACCCACAGTCCCAGACTCCGAAACCACCGTGGAATCCAGCACCACCACCGTAACGACCACATCCACAGACCTACCTTCCCAAATACCCCCCCTCCTCCGCCTCCAAACCTCCCTAACCTACCTCTCAACCGCCTACCTCCCCCCAACCCTCCGCCAAACCCTAACAACCCACCTCACCACCTCACCTCACTTCCTCCCCCTAACCACACACCTCGCCCACATCGCAACTCTCAAGCGCGACGCCGCCGCCCTGCGCAACATCTCAGACAACATGTCGCGCAAGCGCGCTATCACAGAGGATGAGGATAAGATCGCCGAGCGCGAGGAGAAGAAGAGGAAGAAGGAGGAGGAGGAGAAGAGGAAGAAGAGTGAGGGGAGGGCGGTCAAGCAGCTTAAGAAGGTGGATACTAGTGGGATGAAGAAGATGAGTGCGTTTTTTACGAGGGTGGGGAAGAAGACGTAGGGGAGGGGTGTTGGGGAAAATACTATCAGCGTTAGATTAGCGAGAGGGGTGGGGGGTTTGTGTATGAGTATTGGAGTGTGGATATGATTCAATTGTATTAAATTCTACTATTCGTCATACGTTTTTTATGGCTCGGCCATTGACCGTCGATTTTGGCATTCTTGTCAAACATACTCATCATACCGAAGGCAGTTTTGGACTTGAAAATCCCGCTCTCATCCCGTATCGAAATTCATACGCACAACATTCATCTTCGCCTATTCACGCTATGATCGGTATTCCGCATAGATGTATATATATACACATCTGCGTACCCATTTTACACCGATGCATAGCTCTACATTTCACTGTTTCTCACAGCTGCATGTCGGTTGAACTCATGGCCAATAGTCCAAAATGCATGTATGTGCCTCACCAATCGCGGGGATAAAGTACGGTGAAGAAGGAGACGCTGGATTGATTGAACTAGCGAGTATGTGTATTTTTTGCGTGTGTTTGTTTATCTAGTGGCAACTTTATTCCATCTTGTTCTACTCACTTCAATTCGAGTCGATGCTAATTTACATCCGTTTGCCACGGCGTGGATGCCACATAGATGCGAATGATTCTTTAGGGTTGCAGAGTGAATAGGTTTAATGCAAGTACAGGGGTTAAAACTATTGCCATTATTTTCGGTTCATAATCATAATGGGTTCACAGCATATTCATGCTCGTTGCACAAGCAGATAGACGCAACACAGTAAGAATCTAATATAGTAACTCAGTGTAGAAGCTAATACCCAGCCCCTTGATACACAGTAACTATCAGCAAGAGTACACAATGACAGTAACAAAAAGCTAATCAACCGTCTCTTGACGACTTTCTGCTCAATGTACTGGTGCGGACGCGTGTTCGAGAGCCCAGGCAGCTGTTGGTTGAAGTTTGGTTCGGTCGATATGATTATGACTATTTTGGAGAGGGGAGATGTACACACGACTCTTTGCAGTGGAAAGAGGAGATGTTTTACTATCATCTTCGAGGCTCTGGGGAAATTTGCGTCCGTGTCTTGGAAGGTTCAAGCAGTGATATTTAAATGATAAAGATAAGTTGGGTTTTTGCTTGCACTTGTACCTATACTTGTATTTGTGTTTTGCGTCGTGACATGTGCGTTGAGGTATATATCGGCCTCCTACTTTGGACACTTGATTGTGTTTTGTGGGTGGGGTGCGTGTTGTTTCTATAGGGAAAAGTGGATATGTGGTGGCATATTGGGGGAGGGGTGTGGGGAGGTTGTGTCTGTCTGTCTTGTGTGTAAGTCGGCTGCCTCCATATGGTGGAGTGTTGAGCGGTGAGGTGATAAGTTGAGTTGCTCAAATGCATGTTTCAGTCAATATATGGAGTGATTTCAATGTTGTGAAACATGGTTCTGCGCGTTTAACGAAGAGTTCCTTGGATATAGGGCTATCTGCTACTTGCTTGTATGTAATTCCAAAAGCGGGATTAGTGAGCTTTTGTAGCTGGGGTCCCTACACAAGAAGTTGGTGGTAAAAGGTTGGTGGTGAGCATGGAACGAAACATCATCGAGAGCGCTGGGATTGCGAGGATTGAGGAGCAGGGTTCTGCAAGAGTGCGGCTCTTCGGAAATAGGATCAGACCACTAGAGCGGGTGATAGGGTTGCGGCGTTTTGATCGAGATCATATGTACGTGAGGTTACTCACACGCGTAGATGTACAGGACGGTCTCAGACGAGGCAGCTACTGCGAGCTGAAACCACAGCATTGTTGTGTAATCCGTGGTAGCGAGATGGCATACCGTAGCTGAACATCCACGGGAGACAGTTGGTCGATGGACATGAGACTAGAAACGTCCAGCTTGGAAATGCGCCATTCATGCTGTGCACTGTAGGCCATCGCGTGGGGCCGTTGACAAACTTGTCATGGTTGCTTAGACGCGTAGGATAGACTTGAATCCAATGAAAGCTCGCTTCAACTACTGGGTACTATAACGCGGATCAATAATACACGCACATAGAACAAACGTGGGGTAAGGATTGCGTCCCCGATCTGAGTGTAACATGAAGGTGTCTGTTCGCGTGCGGATTTGCACGGAGTGACTGCGTTCGACATGCGATCGCTATGCTGTGCAACTCAGCCGCCCTGTCAGAAAGCTTTTGGATTACTGATTTCGCTTTCGCTTCCAACGAGCTCAACGTCAACTTGGGCTGTTACGCATCGGTCAAAAAGTCCTTCGAACAAGCGCATGTGGCGTCTAAGTGCGTGGCCTGATTACCGGCAGTTTGAATCTGGGTTCTGGGATTCGAGATCGAGTCGGAGCAGGCGAAATGCGAACGACATCGAAAGATTATGGTACGAGAGTAATTCCTCATCGTGACGTGAATGAGCAATAAGCAAAAATTGTCGTGCCCTTTGGAGATTTTGATTGGCTGTAGATGAATCGCACGCTCGAGATTCCCGTTCTGAGGTACGTGCCCGATTTGTCACGGCGATGCCAAATCGAGGGTGCATATGCCATGTGGAAGCCATCGGAATGCTGTGTATGGAGTTCAATGAGTGATTGTTGGGCGTGGTACAGTCATATTAACCAGATTGAAGGGGTTGCGCATGTCGTCTTGATATACCAAAAATCGTCAAAGACAATGGCAGCTACCATGGCGACAAACAAGTAAGGTTAGATAACGTAACTTGTCTGCACAGCTGTTAGCTACCTTTGTCTCATCAGCGACCCGCTTCTTGTTCTGCTGCACTGTCATACATGGTAGCTCAGAGTACTTCGAGTCGGGCGGAGAGAAACTGTATATCCGATCTGCAAGGCGTCATGCTGGTCATCCGTCACTCCTATGCTGCATATGCTGTTGGCAGGAACGTGAGAGTCGTTTGTTCGTCGACGAAACTACCAGTCGAATTCATGTGGCTCGCAAAAGAAACTTTGGGGCTCGAACGTCGAAGCAGCGTAGAACACGGGGTGTTCCAGACTCGATCTATGCCAAGCCGGAGATGTCGATAATCAGCACGAGCAATCTTGCGTCCGCCCCTTGCCTAGCGTGATTGCAACCGTGCTTTGTTTGAACATCAACTTGTCCTTTGCCTATGGACCGCAAACTCCAATTACACCTTGGGGCAAATCCACCGTCATACGATGCTTGTATGCATATGGCTTACGGCCTAAGCCCCAAAAGTCTTACACGATGTCACCCTTCGTCAGCTGCTGAACTACCTCATTACCAGCATTTTGTCGACCTCAATTTTGAACGACCTAAAACGGGTGTCAGAACCACGAGGGTGGGCGGAAAGTTCGGTCATGTCAAACTTTGCTACACATCATTGATAGTATTCCTAAAGAACTTTCTTTATTATTCAATTTTGTCCAATCTCGGTTATACATCTTGAAAGCATATGCGATCCCGCTATCCATCAAGATGTTTAAACCCACTTCTGCTTCGTTTGGATGCTTGGTTTTAATCTCGCTTCCTTTTGGTCCTATTTTCAGTTGCAAGAATGGTCTAGCTTACCATCGCTTGCTCAAAACCGCTACCAGGTGGTTCGTTGTGAATTGTGGCTGAACGTCTGCGGCGAAAACGAACGTCTGCACCGTCTCGGAATGATCCGGACTATTCTCATTGGCCCTAAAAACTAAAAGATGGCGTATGCGGACATCAGACGATCCACTACGGAGCAGCCGCTCGCGAAAGATCAGTGAAACATCAACACCATGGCGTTTTGTCATTCTATTGTAGGTAGTGAGTGGCTGTGTATCGGGCTGTGGTCCCTCTTGAAAAAAGCTTTTCGTGTAAGTTGCCGTCTATAGGAACCATCATTCCGCGGACGGTCCCGATTTTCCCAACAACGAATCCAGATGTCAATCACGTACTGCATCAATGAGAATTCTACCCATGTTTCTAGGCAGGCTAATATTGAACTAGGTCGTGTTCAGCGTACATGTCCGCTGGGGTCAGGGTCGAGGTGGTGCTGTGGATGGACCATGTGCTAAGAGCTTTGGATTTCTTCTCTCACGTCGTACCTGACCAACTCCCACCCCGACCGAGCAGTTGCTCTGACACAAAAACAAACTCGACTCGTACCCCAGTCAACGCCATACTCAGGCACATATACAACAACTTGAACATGTCACTTTTACGTACAAGTTCTTGGAGTATCATCCAACCTTAAAGGTGTTTCCTTCCCACACATCAAGATCAACATCATTCTCACAAGATCTCGATAGTATAGGAAGAGCTCGGATTCTTTTCCAATCCACTTCTGCTATCCATATACTAAGACTGTTGTGTATACCCTAATCGACGCTTCATGAACCTTGGACAACCTCTACACCATGAATACATTCGGGTATACCGCGCCCATCTTCGCTTTGCCCTTGGAGCTTCGCGAGCAGATATACAGAGATGTGCTATCATCAACAGAGCAAGGATCCGACTTACTCCGGACATGCCGGGATATCTACACCGAAGCCCAGAAGTTTCTGTATCAACGAAATATCAACTTCTGCGGTCAGTCGGCTTTGTTTCAGTGGCTGGATCACGTTCCTGCCGAGTTTCTCTCATATGTTACGCAAATTTCCCTCAGTGTCTTGGATGTTGACCTCAGCCCGCTTCTCAAGTCAAAGTTCGAAGCCTATCGATCTATTTCTCCAACACGGCTCCATACATGGGAGTTGTACAATCGCGAGGTTGAGAGATTACGAGCAGCTCTTGAGAAGCTACCGAGAATACAAGCCATCACAATTCGAGCACTTCCAGGTCAGCGGTCATACTTCTACCAGGAGTTCCTATCCAAGGTTTTGGGCATGTTAAGCTCGTTACATTCCAATCTGTTAGATCTTCGATTGGGAGGGAACTTGAATCATCAGAATCTATCATTCTTATCCAAACTTAGACGACTGCAGTCTTTCTCTTTCAACGGGATTTCTTCGTCCTCGCCGATGGAAATGGCTGGCATACTAGCAAGTCTCGACCATTTGACGCACTTGTCACTGGTTTCGCAACATGGCATATCAGAATGTCTTCTACACCATGTATCCACAACGAAACAACGATCCTCCTCTCCCGACGTCATACGTACGATGGAGCAATTAGCGCCATTCTTCGGCACTGATCGCATCTCGGCCTCCTCGCCAGCGTTAGCCTTCACACCAGAAGTCCTTGGTGCGATCCACGACCACAAGACACTCAATGGCTTGTCGATTTCCTTATCACAGACTCCAGATCTTCAGACCCTAGGTTCCCTAGAGGAATATCTTGGGAAAGCTTCAATCGAAGAGCTAGAGCTCAATTGGCCTGATCTGGATCCAGATGTTCTGAAACAGTTCGACTTGTTGCCAGAAAGCCTCAAACACCTTTGCGTCAGGTCGAGAAGTAATGCAGACGCCTCTGCTATGTTGTGTTCGATTGTCGATTTTCAAAAAGCAGGTGGCTTGCTCCAGCTTCGAACGGTTGTGCTCGTGCGTTCAGCTCAGAGTTGCAAGAACTCACCGTCTGGTCGTAAGGACAACGAGATTGGGGAAGCAGAAGTTGGGGATGATGTTGTAAGTTTCCAAGTCCACGGAGAATGGAAAGGATAGCAGGTTAAATTCGGTTGTCTTTGATGTTCGCCGTTGCATTCCAGATACCGACTGACGAAACTATCTCCAGACATGTCCAGTACTCGATGCCACTGTCCAAGCCCAAATTGAACGCGCGAAGACGCATCTCCAAGCTCTTAGTGTTCGAGTATCGTGGTGTACGGAAAACCTCTGAGCTACCAGTTCCATATCTACTCGAGGAGTATCGGAGCAGATTGTACATATCACCTGCGCTTAGGTTGCGATTTCTCCCTGGCAAGGCTTCTCGCCGATTCTCTTCAAATCTATCCGAGCTATAATCTCGTAAGAGCTCTCCATACACATATTTTCACACCGAAATGACTCAATCGTTGCTTTATACACCGCCTCCTGACATATTCCAAATGCTACACTCGCAAAAGAACCCAGATTACTCAGGGAGCCAAGGTTCAGATTCACCCTGATACCATGTTACTAAAATCTTACAACGAGGTAGATAACGCGGTCGAAAACAATGAGCATATTTGAACTTCAGTCAAGCTACAAAAAGATAGAACTGGACACCAAAAACATACAACAGACTAGTCCATCAGTACATTGCCCAAATAGGACTCAGCCCACGGGAAGCCATGTTTTCAACGTACTATACCTAGTTCTATGTGAAACCCCGCCTGATGAATCTGTACACAATACGACATATCTTTTGCTTGCTGGATGGAGGCGTGCACCTCACTTTTATAGTAGTTGTTCAGCACGCTGGTTCATCGGCACGTCAAACAACGAAAATCTGTATGTATCCGTCAATTTTGTGTCTAAGAGAGACAAACAGCCTTCTTCTGATTGTATTGATCATCAGCCTATTGTGGACTTGATAAGTCTTCCTAAAATAGACCGACTACGGTCTTTAGAAATGTGATCACGCAACAGTTCAGCTACAACGTTATGTCTGTTCTTTACTGCCTGTGATAGCGGCGTTAGGCCATCCTGGTCTTTCGAGTCGGCCTGAACTTTGCCTGTCCCAAGCAGTGCTTGAACTACCCCTGCATGGCCTTCTCGTGCCGCCCACCATAACGGTGTCCGCTTATATTTGTCTTTCAAATCGGCTTTAGCATTACCTGTCTCAAGCAGAAGTTTGACTACAGCTTCATATCCGTACCATGCTGCTAGCAGTAGTGATGTCTGCTCGAACCAATCCTTCACGTCAACATCAATTTTGGGTGTTCCAAGCAGCAGCTTGACTACACCCTCGTGCCCGTATCGCGTTGCCCACCATAGCGGTGTGCCTCCGTCACGATCCTTCGAGTTGACGTCGACTTTTCTTGATTCAAGAAGCAGCTTCACTGTACCCTCGTGCCCATACCGTGCCGCCCACGATAACGGTGTTCGTCTCATCTTATCCTTCATGTCAACGTCGATCTTGCCTGTTTCAAGCAACAGCTGGACTATAGCCTCACGCCCATACTGAGCCATCCAAGACAGTAGTATCCGTCCGTCCGAATCCTTCAATCCAACGTCAATCTTTCCCGTATTGAGCAGCAGTCTCACTGCGGTCTCTTGCCCCTCCTCTTTCGGCCAAGACAGCAGCGCCTGTCCATTTTGATTTTCTCACCGAACATCGACCTTTCCGGTTTCGAGCAGCAGCTTAGCCACAGCATCGCGTCTGTACTCTACTGCCTTCGATAGCGGGGTATGACCTTCTTTGTCCACAAAATCAATGTCAACCATTTCTGTCTTGAGCAGTAGATCTACTATCGCCGCGTGCCCGTATCGTGATGCCCAGAATAGCGGTGTTCGTCCGTTCTCATCTTTCAGATTGACGTCAACATCAACCTTACTTGTCTCAAGTAGCAGCTTGATTACAACTGCGTGTCCGTTCTGTACTGCCCAGCTCAACACTACCTCCCCTAAAGAGTCCAAATTGTGCAAAAACTCCAGCATTGTCCATCGAGGTAGATGTAGGACACCATGTTCCTGATCCTGGATATTGAGAATGAATGCGACAGTATCTTGAATGACCTCGACCATGGATTTATCGTAATTTGGTACAAGAAAGTCGCTATCGTGTGCATCTGATAGGCCAAGCAAAGCATATATGGCATCCCTTGGTTCGGTTGACTTGCTTTCTTTGAATGCAAGTAGTAGTGTACGTAGGTCTTGGAAGCTCCAAGAACGTTCCCTTGTAGGACCAGGCATTATTGCCAGAATTGCTTGACAGTGGGGATCAGGTGTCATCCCCATCAAAGATGGAACGACTGCAAATATACCCGTTGAGACTGATTCAGCACCACAGACGATAATAGCTGACCGAGCTAGGGCAACTTCTTGTATTATCCACACTCTTTTAAACCAAGGATGATCTAAGAGAGTCTTTAGACCCTCATGTAGTCGCCACTGTTGCGTAGTCGACCAAAGGGTTTGCCATCGCCATCGCTCATCGAACACTTCCCAGTCCTTGTGCGTGCATCGCGAAACATCTTCCTCTAACTGATGCATGCAACGAAAGATTAGATCTGTCTCGGATGTAGCTTGACCCAACCAGATAACAACTCGTTCTGCTCGTTTGTATATAGATGCCATTTGTTGTACTTGATGGCCCCGCTCTTTGTTGTCTTCCTGGTTGATACAAATCGCGTCAATCCATAAAATGCGGTCTTGGCTTGGGTGACGTAGATACCGCAATGCTAGGAACAGGTTTTTCGTGACTGGCATCCTCGTGCCATTCATCACAATCTCGAACGCCTTATCTGGGTTTCCCCATGTATACGATAGAGCCTCGTATTCCATGGTACTGTCCGTGTGATAGAGCCAAGCGTCGAACAGCGTACACTGTATGGACTCATCCTTTCCGTGAAAAAGTTGGATAAGGCGAAAGGAGCAATCTCCATAATCCAATGGAGTGTATTGGAAGGTCTCCATCAATATCCACGACAATATGCCTCCAGAGAATCTTGATATATCTCCAGAAGTTTATAGACAGTGGTATGGGACTGGGACTGACTCATAGGAGTGTAGACATCTATCTTTGCCGAAAATAAGTGTGTTTGCCGTTGAAAGAAGAGTATTGTTCAAGCAACCGCAGCTTGACTGGAATCAGGGCCAAGATCGGAGGGATGAGCGAAAAGGTACCAAAAGCGAGTAGAATCAGTCTCTGAGCATGTTAGTAAACTTCTAGAATCGCAATATCGGGCTTTGATCTGACAAGTTCATCTGTCTGATCTATACGTCTCAGCACACAGAATGCCTATAATGCTACTTACAAGCAAAGGTTTTATTGACTTATAGCTGCCCGAACGCGCCTATAAGCTGAAAATACTGCATCGACGAATGTTAAACTAACAACAGGGTGATTTGATCTTCAGCCACGAGAACTTGACAAACTAGCAAAAGGTCGTGTTGAACATATCGGGTAGAAGAAAAGTGATGACAGCCTAAAACCCAAGGGGGCTGTGCATTTCAGCCTAACCCTATACCTTAGCTCTGCAGGGAGTGAAACAAGAATACTCTCACTGTGAGGAAGGGTTCTGGCTCTGCCGTGGATGCAGTGATACGATAAGGCGCATTGTTAAACTTGGTTGATGGTGGAGTATACATATGTGCGACGGGTGCTTGGTACAGTGTTCACCCACTCGTTAGGGAAGGGCCCAAGAGGTTGGGATCAAGGTTCGTAAACGACTGATATTGACTTTAGCGAATGCTCCGCGTTTCGACGCGTCTGGGCGCGACCCCGCCAAAAAACACCACAAAGATCAACCCCGCACGGCACTAACAACGTGTGTTCCCTGCAGACCAAGCAGTCTCAACAGTCGCAGCAATGGCTTCCACACAGACTGAACACTCAACGACAGGCACTTTGCCTCCGCCACAAACTCCGATTCCATTTACATTCGCCAATGGCCAACGCACCCCGCTATCTTCTATCCTTCCTCCCCTGGTTTTTGGTACTGCGACCTTCAACCACCAATACAACAATGATCCCTTTGCGCTTGATACTGTTGGCTTGGTGAACTCGGCACTCACACATGGCATCCGCGCTTTCGACACCTCACCGTACTATGGGCCCTCGGAACAACTACTCGGGGATGCGCTCGCGACGCCGTCCGTGAAGGAGGCTTTCCCAAGGAACTCGTACATGATCTTGACCAAGGTGGGACGAGTAGGAGGGGCGGAATTTGATTACAGCAAGGAATGGGTGCGGCAAAGTATAAAACGGAGCCTGGAGAGGCTGCATACAGACTATCTTGATTTGGTGTACTGCCACGACGTCGAGTTCGTGAGCCCCGCTGAAGTGCTCGAGGCAGTCAGGGAGCTGCGCAGAATACGAGACGAGGAAGGCACCATCCGCTATGTTGGCATCTCGGGATTTCCAATCGACGTCCTCGGCGACATGGCGGAAATGATTCTACGCGAGACTGGCGAGCCCCTCAACGCCGTGCAATCGTACGCCAACTTCACCCTGCAGAACCAGACACTCGCTGGTCCCCGTGGCGTACAACGTCTCCGTAATGCAGGCGTTGATGTTGTGCCCAACGCGTCTATCCTAGGCATGGGCCTCCTCCGTCGACAAGGCGTCCCCGTCGGCGCTCTAGGCGACTTCCACCCCGCACCCTCGGATCTACGGGCTGCTGTACGCAAAGCGAGTGATCTCTGCGATGCTCACGGTGAACGCATCGAAGTCATCGCCATCCGCTTCGCCCTCGAAGCCTGGATAAAAGCAGGCGCATTGTGTGGCTCAAAGGGCGATCCGGCCTCCGGTGTCACTTGGAAACATGAATCCATCGACGAAGTTGGTGGTACGAAAATCGGCGTCTCGGTCATCGGTGTGTCGCGCGCGCTTGAGCTCGAGAAGACGATGCTGGTCTGGCGATCTATAGTCGATGGACTGGAGGGGGGTGAGGACACGGCTGTACAGGCTGGAAGGTGGCATCGCGCGTGGGAGTGGAGTAGGAATCGTAGGCTGGCTGTGCAGATTCTTGCAGAAGGAGTGCAGGACATCTTGGGCGAGTGGTTTGACTTTGCGTGGCCGAGCCCGGATCCGGGGTTCGTGAATCAGAGGAAGAAGGACACGACAGTGGCGTAGGGGGGTGAGACGAGTAGTTGTAATGGGATCTTGCCCTCAAAAATAGAGTTTAGAATACAGTCGTGCGCTTAACAAGGCAAGTATTTGATGTCACTCAGGTGTTTCCCGCCATCATGTATGGTGTCCACGCTCAGCGACTTGAATGGCCTACACGCTCATCAACAGATCAGATCTCCAGACAAACGACCACAGCGCTATGACGCTTAGTAACAGTAGTATTTATGAAGCACCTCTCAGTCTCCCATCTTACACTCTACAACTCTCTTCTTTCCTCAACTAAGTCTAAAAGTAGTACGATGCCTGCAAATGTGGTGTCTCCTTTCAAAACTTGCAAAATCAGGGATCATGTTCTGCCAAAAACTCTGGTATGACCTCGCATGTGGTCCTTTCCCTTCCAAAATGTCCTAGATGACCCCCCCATGTCCTGAAAAATATTGGATATGCTGACGACATGTCCTGTTTTCCTTTCTCTTCTTTTCTAGAAAACCATGATCCCCGCTACTATGACCTGCCTCTCCGCGTCGAAACTAACATTATTACTTTTTTTCTTAATTTCAAAACGACATGGCTATCTTCACATGGTGGTCTGGCGTCGTCTCAAAAGTAACATCAACTTCGGGGATGTGTGGGCTTTTGCTTTGCCTGAGGTTCAACGCTGCACCACTGATGTTCTACAAATCCGTCTACCAACAACTCCAGACCACACCTTTTAGTTCAACAAAGTCTTGAGTTCTACTAAAGATCGGCCAACCTCACTTTCATGTCTGGTGCGGAGAACCGTACCCAAAATCCTGGAGGGCTAACGTTATTCCCTCTCGTGCATATGTCCTTCCACAAAATGCACATTCGAGAAGATGCACGTTCAAAATCCTGGAGAGTGAACGACATGTCCTGTCCTTTCTCGGGTCTGCCTTCTCACAAAAAGTCAACTTCTCCGGATATATGTGCTCCGTCTCGAAACACTTATCAACTACCAGTATGGTGCGCACAAAAGTCCAAAATCTGGCACATACAAGTGTATTGTATAACCCAGACCTTTGATACTCTTCCAAAAATCGCCCGCATTCACGCCATGTGCCGGTCTTCCTGTTCGCCCAAAACCTTCGAAAACCTCTTTGCATCCATGAAATCAGAGTCGGTCTTCTGCCTTACTTCATATAACAAGAACTACCCATAAACTGAAATACTTCGTCGTGTGCCGTATGTCCAAACATATATCCAATTGAAGAAATGGGCCGTTGGAGACTGCGTTCCATCAAAAACTCCAACTCCCTCACGCTCTTAGAAGCTCAACACTACATGCGCCATGGCTGGTTCTGTGCGTCGAAATCTACACACTCACCCCCTTTCTTATATCCTTTCCCAATCCTGGAACCAAAATACATTTCTCAAACTCGAAAATCGAGACAATGAAACAACATGTGGGATTTCCTTCCTTCGCCCGAAACATCATCACACTTCCTTTTATCGATCATCGAAAATACCTCAGCGTGCTATCAAAAGTAGTATACAGTCGTCGAATGTCTGGTTCTGATCTGAAACTCCTTGATCCCGATAGCATGTCCCCCGTCTGTTGCCCTACAAAAACAGTACATTGGGTATACATATGTTTCGGCCTAGACTTCTGTTCTGATAGTATTTGTGTTACTCGAAAACCGATCGCAGTTCATGCATGTGTGCTGTGCGGTGCTTGTCTCAACCCGCCCACTCCCTCCAAAATCTTCGGCGAGTACGTCCTCTTACAGTCATTTCGGTCTTTATATCTACTCGAAAGTTCTAAAGTTCAAAAGTTCAAAAGCGCAATACATGGCAGACATGAGAGTCTGTCCACCCCTTCGCCGAAGCAACAGAACTATACGCCCGTCCAAAAAGACTTGATCCCCAACTTATGGGCAGTTGGAGGGCTGGGATACCGCAGTAGGCTTTGTTTCCTTGCGCTACTGTATGATCGTCCTCGCCATACCCTCTCTCAAATCGACGTCTTGTCTCCGTCTCGGTCCGACTTTTCTACCTAGCTCCCAACGCAACCCGAAAAAAAACTTCCACCGAAACACAGGTCGCAAATCCACCATGTCTGCCTGGCCTTCTAAAACGCAGAACTTCGCACATCGCCCTCCCTAGAGAGAAAGTATTATTGTCATGTTGCCGGCTGCGCGCTGCCCAGAAGATATTCTATGTACACTCAAAAGTGATGAAGTCAATGTGCTGGGATTGCAAGCTACGTGTGATGCGCGACATAGATAAGCTTTGTGAAAAATTCGAGAGGAAAAGGAAGGATGGCTAGGATTAACTTTATTGCGCTGCTATGTTCTGTCTGACCCTCCGAGATGTGAAAAACGTGCTGAGGACTAGGTATAAAAATTTGGAGTTGGAACGAGTCTGAGTGTTTTGTGTAGGAATAGATTGTAATTTCAGATGAAATTCTCCGTTCACATACTCACATATCAGACATGCACACATCAATCACTCACCCCGGCTCGGTATCAGTTGCATAGGACGATCGTTGCAATGGAGCGTTGGCGCGTGGGTAATATATATCATATCTCCGCTCACGGGCGCACATTTCACATCACTGCGCTAAATCTAGCAAAAAAACTTACAAGGCTCGCAAGCCATCCCAGAAAAAGGGGACGAGACGCAGAAATCCAACATCGCTCTCCAACCCATAATAACTCACAACCTCTCCTTCTGCAGCCCCTTCCATCCCCACTCCTGCGCAATCAGCTCCGCGGCGCGCTCCCCGATCCCAAGAACAGTCAGCATGGGGTTGATAGTCGGCATTTCCGGGAAGACACCCGCGTCCGCGATGCGAACGCCCTTGAGGCCCCTGATCTTCAGCTCGGGGTCAACAACAGCCATTTCATCAGCCTTGACGTCGCCCATCTTCGTTGTGCCAGCGGGGTGGTACACGGTATGCGCGACGCGACGGCCGTACTCGGAGAGTTCCTCATCGGTCTGGACTTTGGGGCCGGGGGCGACTTCGCGCTTGATCCAGTCGGAGAAGGGGGCTTGCTTTGCGATTTCCCGCGCGGCTTTGAGGCCCGCGACGATGGTGGCCGCGTCGTAGCCTTCGGGGTCGGTGAAGTAGCGGAAGTCGAGCGCGGGCTTGACGTTGGGGTCCGAGGAGGTCAGGTAGATGCGGCCGCGGGAGCGGGGGCGGGGGATGTTGGGGGTCATGCAGAAAGCGTCGATGGGGGAGTCGTATCCCATACTATGTGTATGTTAGTATGATGAGTGGAGGAGGATGATTATAAGATGGAGACTTACCGAGCGGTATTTAAGCAGAAGGGAATCTGGTAGCAGTGCATCATGATATCGGCAATGTCGCCGTCGGAGCCTGCAGCGTTCTTGACCTCGCGGCGGAGGAAGATACCCGCGTCCGAGTCCATGGTGGTCTGATTTTGGGGAACAGGCTTGTTCAGCTCCCAGAGAATAATACTCTCGGGGTGATCGAGCAAGTTCTCACCAACACCTGGGAGGTCCTTGACGAGTGGGATGCCGAGCTCGGAAAGTTGTGTCTTGGGGCCGAGACCCGACAGAAGCATCAATCGTGGCGTATCGACCGCGCCCGCGCAGAGGATTGTCTCGCACTTGGGGTTGAGTGTGAGCTTCTCGCCGTTCTGGAGTGTGAGGTCCACACCAGTGACCTTGTCGCCCTGGACGTTGATTTTGCTGACCCATGCGTTTGTGAGCACAGTCAGGTTCTCCCTCTTCTCCTCTCCACGCAGGATGGGGTGGATGTAGGCAACGCTAGCACTGCTTCGGTGCCCGGTGTCTGGGTTGTACGAAACGGAAAAGAAGCCGACCGAGGGCTTCAAAGCACCTTTTGTCTTGATCTCCTTGTTGAAGTCGTGGATGATGGGGATATCCATGGCAGTCGAACACGAGTCAATCCAGTCCAGGCAGAGCTGGTTGCGATGCCTCTCGTGCACGGGCTGAACAGTGTTGCGGAGGTTGTCCAGGACGCGCATGAAGGTCTTGAAGCTCCAGCCGTTGCAACCTTGCGCTTCCCATCTCTTGCAGTCGTACTCGAATGGCCGGAAGGAGATAAGAGTGTTGTGCGACGAGCAGCCTCCCAAGACCTTTGCGCGGGAGTGTCGAATGTTCGAGTTACCCATGGGCTGCTCGGTTGTGCCATAGTCGTAGTCGAGCTCTCCTCCAAGAAGGTTCAACCAGTCTTTGAGAAGCAGGACACGATCATCCATGAAGTCGCTGGGCCCAGCCTCAATCAAGAGGACAGACTTGTTTGGCAGATATTCGGTGAGACGAGAGGCAATGACACAGCCAGCTGTCCCTCCTCCAACGATAACGAAATCGTAGGAGGCATTCTGGGGAAGGGTGGTGGTGGTGTTGAAGGCCATGATGGGTGGTAGTGATGGGAAATGCAACGCTGAACTATGATGCTGCCAGGGCTTGCTGATCCTCCTCCTGGGTGATTGCTCTATCAGGCGAGACGATAGTCTTCCTTAAGTAGTTGAGACAAGGCTGGGAAAATTTGTTGTCTATCTCAACGAAGTTGGGGCAAGGAAGGCGGAGATGGACGTATCAGCGCGGGTCAGGCGACTTTGATAACAGTGGTGAAGCTTGGACAATGCCGGGATGGATGATGACAGCTCTGCTGCAGAGAATGCAGTTCGCCTTCCTTGCTAAGCGGTGCTAAACGGCGGTTCTTCGGTTGGTTCGGCGAAGTGCACGTGCGCTGATGTGTTGAGGTTATGGGCCAGCCGTCAGCGATGCGCTTTGTCCGGCCTGGGATGCTGTCAAAGAGAAGGGCGAAAGACAGCAGTTGAGGTGTTGGCTGTGGACAGGTCGCTGGCCGCCGTTGACAGCTGGAAGAGCCATGATGGACTTTTCCAATTCGACGTCTGCGTCGCGCAACACGAGAAGACGCGTCGAAAATTCTGACCCACCTCCGGCCAAGATGCGATCGATGGAAGAGCCCCGCTCGCGTGCGTTCCCCGATGTATGGTCCCCCTGTCAGGCTAGCCGCGTTCGGCTGCGCCTTCCGGGCAAAGCAGAGCGGTGTCTATCTTTTTATCTTTTTGCTCGACCTTGAGAGGAAGTCTGATCCCGCGAAAAAGCGCCGAGCAACGTCACCAGCCCACCAGCATCCTGTCAGTCTTGGTGTTGGGACTGTCTTCGTATCTGGGACGACTTTCTTGCAATCGCAGTATCAAACGCGTGCCCGCCATCTTTCAGACTGCATCTTGAACACACTGCAAAGGCATTCCAGCAGACATAGCTGTTAGACCAAAGTGCTTCACTCGTCCACCATGTCCCTCCCATACGCCCCCCGCTACGCCTACTATGACGGCAAGAGCCAGTCCACAAGCCCGTCGTCGTCGTCCTTCCAGACCATCGATCCATCCAGCGCAACGCCCATAGCAGACATCCACTCCACATCCACCACCGCCATCGACTCTGCAGTCAAGTCGGCGCAGAAGGCTTTCCCAGCATGGTCAGCCACACCACCCATCGAACGCGCCCGAATCCTCCACCGCGCCGCGGCCATTCTGCGCGCACGCAACGATGAGCTTGCGCGCATCGAGACCAGCGACACAGGCAAACCCTTCTCCGAGACGTCAACCGTCGACGTGGTCACGGGCGCCGATGTGCTCGAATACTTTGCCAACCTCGTCGGAGGCGGCGGCATGAACGGGGAGACAGCACAACTGCGCCCAGATGCGTGGGTCTACACGACCAAGAACTCGCTGGGCGTGTGCGCAGGCATTGGAGCGTGGAACTACCCCATCCAGATCGCTCTCTGGAAGTCGGCGCCGTGCCTGGCCGCGGGAAACTGCATGGTCTACAAGCCGTCTGAGTTCACACCACTGCACGCCACTCCCCTGGCTGAAATCTACGCCGAGGCTGGAGTGCCACCGGGCGTCTTCAACGTCGTTCAGGGCGGCGGAGATGTCGGCGCATACCTCACAAAGCACCCCGACATCGCAAAGGTCAGCTTCACCGGGCAGGTCGCCACAGGTCGCAAGGTCGCCGGCAGCGCAGCGGGCGAGATGAAGTATGTCACAATGGAGCTGGGCGGGAAATCCGCCTGCGTCATCCTCCCCGACGCCGACATCGACCAGGCCGTCGACGGTGCCATGATGGCAAACTTCTTCTCCACCGGCCAGGTATGCACAAACGGGACACGCGTCTTTGTCCCCTCAGCCATGAAGTCCGAGTTCGAGAAGCGCCTCCTCGAGAAGATGGCGCACATCCGCCCAGGCAACCTCCACGACCCAGCCACAAACTTCGGGCCCCTCGTCTCAAAAGCCCACTACGACAAAGTCATCTCCTGCATCAATCACGGCATCAAATCAGACAAAGCCACCCTCCTCTGCGGCGGCCCGGAAACCCCCGCCTGGCTCGCCTCCCACACAGACAAATCCTACCAGAACGGCTACTGGGTCCAGCCCACCGTCTTCACAGACTGCACGGACGACATGAAGATTGTCCAGGACGAGATCTTCGGCCCCGTCATGTCTATCCTGGCTTACGATTCCGTCGACGAGGTCGTCCGCCGCGCAAACGCAACGGATGTCGGTCTCGCAGCGGGCGTCTTCACAAATGATCTCAATCTCGCGCACAAGGTTATCGCGAAGCTCGAGGCGGGTATCACATGGGTCAATACGTGGGGCGAGAGTCCGGCGGAGATGAGTGTTGGCGGGTGGAAGATGAGCGGTGTTGGGGTGGAGAACGGGAAGAAGGGGTTGGAGGCTTGGGTGCGGAATAAGAGTACGCTTGTTGAGATGGGGGGCGCGGTGCCGACTGTTTTCGCGAAGTTGTAGAGAGAAACTTGCGATATGAGGAAATCTATACCCTGTCTCCTCTCACTTGGAAGAACTCGTTCAAATCAGCCTCCGTCTCCGTCTATGGCACCTTACTAACTCCATAAAAGAAGTTCCTAACAACGCCCAACCCCATATCTCCCTTTGAGCATCAAATACTCTCATAACCTCCCCGTTCCGTTCACAGCACCAATTCACGTCCCCCCAACCTCCTTCGTCTCCCCCTCCTTCCCACCCACCACCCCCTCACCCTCACCCTCACCCCCCTCACTCTCCGCCTCCTCCAACCCACTCTCCATCCGATGTCTCCGCCGCACGCAGCACAACAGCACCACTATCGCGGATATAATGATCGCACCGCATGTCGCGCTGATACCGTATGCGATTCCGATTTTCGTGTTTTTGGAGAGGTGGTTGTTGATTTGCGGGGATGGCGAGGGCGAGGGCGAGGTTGTTTGCGCTGTGGTGAGGGGGAGGAGGGATGCTATTAGGATGATGGTGAGGGTGTGGGGGTGCGCCATGTTCGGTGGTTTGGTGGGGGTAGAAGGGAGTGGGCTTTGTAGTAATGTGTGCGACGAGAGTGTTGAACCTGAGGGGATATGTGGGTTAGTTGAGTGAGAGAGATTATCAGCCGCGGCGTAAGGCTGCATGCACGATGCTATTTGTAGCCTTTCTCTATCGTTTACTCTATGCACACCACTATTCAGGTTTATCCGTATATTGGGTGAAGGATACGCCAATGATAGTTGGATGTGTAATCTTACAGGTCAGCCTCGGTAAGCGCGATGAATTGCTCCTGCCAACTTGGTCGCTAGTCTGCCTGCGTTGCGTTTGGGTAGAACGGCAGATGCGTGGGTATATATTCGTCGCCATGCGCTGATGATTAAAATGTGCGCTTTGTTTCTTCTACGTCATTGGTGTGTATCATTTCTGTTCTAGTACCTTTCTATACTGTAGGTGGTTGAACTTGACTACAGCCTTGTCGGCTTCTGAGTGACGCTGTTTAGACTACACGTCGAGTAAGTTTGGAGAGGATTTCACACGGCGTGGAGACGTCTTCCTGGATAGAGAGCCATGTGAAAACGCATATTTTCTCGTTAACGATTGGCTGAGTCCAAGCTAGACAGTGATTAACATGCGGGACTCATGGAATACAGCGCATTTTGTGCCATGAATGGTAAGGACGATCAATACAACAAACCAGTACGAAATGTAAGTACAAGGAAACTTTTCTATTCTTTACAACTCGAACTGCCATCGTCTACTCAAATGTATCATCTCCTCTTCTATCAAACAAGTTTAAGCCGCCAATACGCCTTGAACAAATCACACCTTACATCGCACCCTATCCCATTTCGTCTCCTACTTCTCATATCCATCTTCAACTTAGAAAATCAACTTCCTGCCCCGTCCTTACAATCCCCTTCGTTCTGTTCTCGACCATCACACCGTTCACACCTTTGTCGCCGATGATGTGTTCCCCCCTGCCGCTCTTCCTCCCTCCCCATTCGGCGTTCAGCACTCTCCGTTCCACCCTTGCTTCCCTCCGCGAGGACGGTATGTCATGCATGGGGGTAGTGGTCTTGCTGTGATTGTGCCCACACCTGTTGCTGTGGGGTAGTATCCGGTACTAGCTGTGCCTGTGTAATGTGCGGTGCCGTTCGGGTATGGGTACGGATGAGGCGCCGTGCCGTTTGGGTATGGATAGTGCGCAGGACCGAACGCTGCTGTTGCGAAGACGGGAGTGAGGAGGAGGATGATTGTTTGGGGGAGCATTGCGGCAAAGAATTGTGGATTGGATTGTGGGAGTGAAGAACGAGCGATCAGAGAGTGGTGTGTTTGGAGGTGGAATCGAGATAGGTAATGGGGAGAAGGCGTGCGGCTCAAGGAGGTAGGGAGGTATTTATATATATATTCAAATCTGGATGTATGGAATACGTATATTTTGGATTTGAGTTGGAAATCGAGCATGTGTACGGGAACGGTGTTGTGTGGTGCGGTGAAACGGCCGTGGAGAGCCGAAACGACTGCATATGCAGGCACGTAGAAGAACATGCAAGATAAGAAGCGAAGATCACAGATAAGAAGAGCTGGAACGTGCTATACGCAATACTGATACGGAGATTATATTCTGTGGCTTTTTGCGGACTGTGTGTGGACTCTACATGTGGAAGATATTAAACATTATCACACTCACTGACCTCATGTTGATACAAAATCGCTATGAAAAACAGGAAAAAGACAGGAAAGAGACAATTACCGCCAACATATAAATACTCAGAACGTCTATTACTCGAACACCTGCCCCATCTCATCGTCATCCTCCTCGTCGACACGTATGCAGATGGGCATTTCGGCCCCGACGCCCGCTCGGAAGGTGATGCACGACAATGGCACGCCGATCTCGCCGTAGTATCCAAGCGATAGAGAAATTCGTAATGTACTGCACTTTGAAATAACAGTTCCCCGGTGTGGGCTTCTGCTGGACAATGCGCTCTGAGATCATGAGCGTGCGCGCTTGCGAACCGGCGAATTGTTCTCGTCTTCGGCTTCTGTTGGAGAGCGGGAGCGTTTGCGTGTTGGTGATGGAGGTAAAGTTGTCGAGGACGACGATGAGAACGTTGTGCTCGGGGTCTGAAATGATCGAGGGGAACTGAGAGTCGTTTCTTTGGGACACTGTGAGTGCGCTGCTTCCTGGGCGTTGGCCTGATATTGCGACTGTGTGGTGGCGACTGTGGCTTGTGTGAAGCCTTCGGGCTGAGTAAGGACTTCAGGTGAAGCGGTGGTGGTGGTGTTTTGAGTGGAGGTGTCTTCGATGTCAATGTCGATGGCGGTCTGGACGTCGCGACTGGCGGATGAGTTGGTAGTGCTCACCGGCCCATCAGGTGGCTCGTTCTGGGATATAAGGTCTTCTGTCTCGCAGTGTACATCGTTCGAACTATCATGGCCTTCATGGGAATGGTTGTACATTGTGGTGATTGTATCTTTATCGACAACGATGTTCTTCAGGACTTCAGTCTGCGGAGTGAGGTCGCCTGCAGCTCCGAACCTTACTTCCACGTTTTGTTCAGGTTCTCCATTCTCAATTCCTACTCTTAACTGCTGTGTGGTTTGGGCTTTCTGTTCGTCCATGTGGGTGAAGTCATGAGTGTCTTCGGTCGTCACAATCGGCGACGTGGCGCGCGTCTTGGGAGGCGTCGGAAGTCGAGATCGATTGCGCTCCTCGATCCCCGATGGCACTGCCCGATCTGGCTTCTCGTACGCGGAGCAGTCTACCTGCGGCAGCAAGTTCTTGAACTCATAATCGGTGTGGCTGAAGTAGAACGCCTGATCAATCGACTGTGGGGGCCCGTAGCCGCCGTTATCACCGACAGCAGTCGGCGAACGGTGACCGCAGGTCGATGTTGAGGAGTGGTCATGACTGGAAACTGGAGAGGACTTTGCGCGAGATGAAAACTCCAGGTGGTCATTCTCGGGGATGAACCTTGACTCGGTCCAAAAGGTTGGCCTAGGATCGATGATTGCCTCGTTCAACACGTCGCGTAACGCGTCGAGATGGGCTTTGTCGAGGCGATATGCAGGGTGGAGGATGTCCAAGATGTCGCAAAAGAGCTCGTCGGGTGTTTGCACAGCGACGTAGGTACCTGCGACGTGTCAGTGTATCGAAGGCTATGTCGAAGAATAGTGTACTTACGGTCATGAGGAGCCATGATTCGGTTCATGATCACCAATGTTCCAGGGTCGGATGAGGTGGTAGTGAAAAAGTAGAAAGTTGTTATAAAAGTCGATCGAGATACTGCGAAGATCTGTCGGTCGAACGTATGTTACGAAATGGCGGTCAAGCAAACACCTGGTTTGTGTTCGTTGTAATGACTGCGTTTGCAATGAACGGTAGCTAGAGTAGTAGTTTGGTTGAAGGTCTCAGTGTGTGGGAGACAGGAAGCGTGGAGGCGAGACATATTATATGCAGGGGTAGGGCCGGGCTCATTTGGTGGGTTCGTGTTATAGACTTGAGGGAAAGGACTTTGCATCGTTCAAAAGCGATGCTGCGCGCATAGGTTGCTATAGTGAATGTTTGCGGAAAACATTGATGACGCCCCCATCCGTCATGCGGCAACCCGCCATCGCCGATTATGCGTTAGGCTACAATATCTCGGAAGTCACCGTTTCTCAAACCAGAAAGTCGTCGTGTTAAGATACTTACATTCGCAAAGAAGGAAATCGGTGAGTGCACACATGGTGTCCCCACCTTTCGATCAACAGTGGCCTTTCGATTGATTTTATGTACAACCATTCTTATCCGTGTCAATTGGATTGCTTGATGATATCAATTTCGAAGCTTGACAACTGAATAATCGTCGCAATGTCTACACCAAACATAAATGAAGCCATTAACTGCGTGTCACATCATCACCTCCCACCACTACTTTCACTTGCCTACTTCACTGTGATAGTGTGACCACTTCTAAAATCATTGCCATAAACTGAACAAGAGCGCATACACCATTGAATTCTCCACACGCGCTTCGTCGTTGTCGCTGAAGTTGCATCACCGTCTTGAATATATCTTGGACATCGGCAGCAGCGTGAGATAAAGGTACACACCTCCGCTTGGTCTTGCGTTCTAGTCCCACAGATTTATTCACTGTCACTCATAAGCAACAGTAAATCCGACATAAAGAGTAGACATGATGTACAGTCAGATCAATGGATGGAAAGAGGCAGGGAGCGACGACAACCCGGGTGGCAGTATATCGCCTCCAAACTTAACCTCAAAGGAGCCGATCAGCGCCGACAATCGATATCACGATACGACCAGCCCGAGTAGACGTGAGTCAAAGAATGAGAGGCCATACAAAAGTAGCGATGGATGGGACCTCGTCGACCACGACGTTCAGGCACGTTCCCTCATAGACACCATCTCCTCCTTTCTTACACTGACATTACCCAGTCACCCACAGGTGGTACCAACACCTTTCTACCCTCTCAAGACTTTCCAGGCACCTGGGACGCCGCCTACAACTCCACTTCTCACGCGCTGCGCGAGGTAACAGCTGCCTCTTCTTCCTACATCACTTCACTTTCCAAATCCGGGATCTCGCAAGCAGGCTGGTCCATAGGAGCTGCTCTTACCTCCACAGCGAATAAGTCTGCTCTCTCGGTCGTAAGTTGGGCCGCGGAAAAAAGTGGCGTCGATACGACTGTGCTGCCTGGAGGGGTGAAGGACTGGCTGAAGGGCAAGGATAGATTGGACAAGGCACGTCAACGAGTAAGAAATGTCGATGGAAAAAGACTGGCTAGAAGGCTGAGCAGAGTCTCTGGTGAGACTGGGGAATTGCCAAACGAGGGTGTCCTGTGGGACAGACCCATCACATTTGGGGACGCAAGAGGGGCTTTTGTGTTGGATGTTCATGATGATGAGGAGAGCTTCCTCCACGCACGATCAGAGGGCGATGTGCAGAGTTTAGAGCCGGCAAGTGGGCTGAGACTTCCAATAGCGGGCTCGGCTGGTATGGAGTTGGAAGACCTTTGGATTGGTAGCGAGGAGGGATTGGATGAACATCCGGTCACGAAAACTCTCTCAATGTCGCCAAAAGATGTTCAGATTGTCGGGAATACGAGCGATGACTTGGAAGGAAAAGCAGTCGTGAGCTCATTCTCTTCGCCGAACAATGATGCACTGAAGTTAGTTGAACGATGGACGCCCTGCTTAACAGGCTTCGACGCGAACATGGTTACCTCCCCGCCCGAGGTACCTATCCCGCGCGCTACTGTGAAAGAGGACGAAGAAGAAGGAAACGTTAGCCCACATGCGTTAGTGGAAGATGATGAGACGCTGGACGTCTTCGGAGTGGTTGAATAGGTTACTTCTAGGCAGATTCGATGTCCGTATCGACCTTTGCGTTTGGATAGCATGTGGTGGAATGAGATCTCACTGTTTGTCTAGGTTTCAGGTTGCTCCCGAGTGAAAGATGTTTGATGCACACCGCTTCCTCATTTCCCTTCTTCCTATAGGTCTGTGCGACAAACACGGAAACATGCAGACGAATATTACCCGCTCGCTCCAACGTATCAATCACATCAAGCAACTTCTAACTTTCAACCTTCAACTACGACCACGATGTCGACGCCAGCTGACATCGCGCATGTGTTGCTCACGCTTTCAGTCGATCCACGTCTAGTCAAGACACTCATCAAAGGCCTCGACGAGGACAAGATCGCGAAGGTCACTGAAGAGATATCGAAGAGACTGCGTTCCCGAGATGATCACGAAGAGCACTTGTGTGCACTAGTGCAGGTTGCGGCGAAAAGCAAGGTTACGGAACTGGACGCGACCGGTTCATCGAGTGATCCAACGACGCAGACAACTGGGACCCGTAAGTGACTCACCATACCCGACGGAATGCATGGCCGATCTCATCATATACAGGAACGCGAGGAACTGCATCACAGTCGGGGAACACAAGGCTATTTGGGAACACTAACAAGCGCGCCGCTGCCCCAGCTTCCCAAGTTAACCTACCCAAACGCGCGAAGACAAGGCGAAATATCGACTTAGATCAAGACGACCACGATTCCGAAGAGTATGACTTGGGCTCACAACTGCTGGCAGCTGCAAATTCGGAAGATATTGAGGGTAGTGATGATAACGAGGATGAGATCAAGATAGAACCATTTCGACATGACTCATCACTAAGGGCCACTTCACTGCCAAAGATCATACATGTGACGGGGGCCGAGACGATTATTCCTGACTTGGAAGTAGCACTCTTCGTGCCAGACAGTGCCGGTTCTGGAGAATGGAAGACGATCGACCTTCTGACTGCGACAATGAACCACGCGATTCGAGCCAAATTTGTCGAAAACTTCATCTCCACAGCATCAAAGAAGAAAGACTACGAGAGAATGGTTAACAGTCCCAAGAGTTACCTATATGGCCGCTGCCTGAGCAATGTCACTGGGCGTCTCAATATCTCTCACCACACCTACACCAAGGCCAGGGGAAACAAAGACAGGGCGTGCGACTTTTGCATCAAGACACAAAGACTTTGTGTCAAACTTGTCGGGACGGCCAAAAACTTGAGGCTGGGCGTCTATCCGCTTCCAGAGAATCTGCGATACGATGCGACATGGATGGATATGGAATTTTGGATTTCGGATTAGAAGTTTCGAGCGTGTGTTTTCAAATTCCAATATCAGGTATGCAATGAGTGTCAGATCAGTTGTATACTTGGATATTGGAATGACGTTCTGCAACGGTTGGTTCGACAGATACAAGTTATGTTTCTTTCTAATGTCAAGATCAAACGGCAGTGGGCCAAAGTGTCTATACCGCAGATCCAACTCATGTAATGCAAACATCATACCTACGATCTGGACTGCTGCTGTCTCTGCTCAACCTTCCTCTTCTTTCTCTCTGCTTCCCTGGCCTGCCTCTTCTTCTTTTTGTTCGACACCTGCTCGGTTGGCACTTCAGCGCCCGCCGAAGTATATATCTCTTCTACCAGCGTCTTGAGCTCCTCATGCTCTGCAAGCACCTTCTTCCCTTGCCCTGAGACAGTGAACATATCTGGGATGCTCGGGAAGCTTGTCATATGATTGTGCAGGCTCTTGACAACCTCGTGGATCTTAGCGGTCTCGTTGATGGCCAGCCAGACTGCGACAACCTGTTTAAGCATACGCAGCGAGTACAAGACCGCCTGGATGCGAGCCGAGAACTGTATGAAGGCCCAATTATTGTCGAAGTCGCCGTTCAGCACGCGCAACACAAGAGGTATTGGAGGCGGCGTATTGAGATCTCCGAGAACGATGCTCAGCGCAAAGAGTGGCCAGACGAGCTCTGGACCAACTGATTTTGAACTCGCCCAAGTCATGAGCACGCTGATCTGTCTTTCGATGTCTGTGGCTGGGACTTGGAGATTGGCGTGCGAGTAAGGACTGATCTCCTGCACCGCTATGACTTGTGCTTTCCGCTTGTATTCGTGAACTGTGGAGCTATGTAGGAGTGAGTATGCGAGCGTGCGGATGTCTTGTCCCATGTTCCACGCGGATGCCTGGTTGGGATCTTCCAGGAGGAGTGGGAGGTAGACGAGTGGATGTTGAGATGGTTGTGACAGAGCCTGATGTACGAATTCAGAAACCCTGACATCTAGATCTTGCATGGGAAGTGATCGTCCGTTGTTTTTCGAGAGGTATGACGGCGTGGAAATCTCTTCATTATAACGTGCGCTGAAACTCAAGTACTCGCTCGACTCCAGTTTGATTTTTCGAGCGTTGTTAACGATAATGTCCGATGTAACAGATGGGTCCCTCAGGATTGCAAGTGCGAAAGGTAGCAGACTGGTCAGCTGAAGTTTCTGTCGTACCTGATGTGGTGAGTATGCCTTAGTGCCCCCTGTTGATGATACAGCGTCGTGGAAGAACACTATCAGTGTCTCTTGTGGATATTCGTACAGAGCCAAGTCGGAGTCGCTGGTGAAGATGAGGGAACGTGCAAGCTCTTTCGCGTGCAGTGCACACGAATCATCTGCCTCTCCAGGTACGATGCGTGTTCTAGATGCATAGGCCGAGGACTGGTTGCACAATGCTTCCATCAACGAAGGAGCAAGAAACGCGTACGATATTGCACCCAAGTATGTCGGTACAGGACATGTGGCATTTGGGTAGCTGGCCCTGAACTGATGAATTCTTCTGTTGTTTTGCTCGGTTCTGGACACTCTCTCGGCTCGTTTTGCTTGAGGGAGTGCTCCGTCGAAGACGATGTTTGACCTAGCATCAGTCAATAATTGTGAAGATTGTTGCACACACATTTCCGAGTGCGTATAGTTGCAGATTGCGCAAGACGATGAAGAACTGCGCGCACCTTACTTGTTGTTTGCAGGTCACCAGGTACGACAACGATTCATTCGTGAGGACATATCCATGTGTTGGGTTAAACGGCTGCTAATAGATATACAATCATCGACATGCAAAGTGCATGGAACATGATGGTGACATTTAGGTTATCTCCCAAATTGAGCAAAGAGCACAGTCTTTGTAAAGCAACCATCATCATTGTCGCACCTGATACATTCTAAACGCATGTGCACCCAAATACTGTTCACCGTGCGGAGGTTGGAATGCAGGAGGTAACGCCGTAGACTCACACTTTGATGTTGCTCTTCTCCAACGAGTCCAACCAGCGTATAGCTTCGGTGTTGATGTCTGCGTACGATGGGATCTTGAACTGACTCCCAGCGGTTGAGAGGGCTAGCTTATGAGCATAGTAGGCTAAAGAGGGACCATCGACAATGGCAGTGTACCCATCAAGCTGCTCAGACGAGTAATGACTTGCGTATGGCTCGAGTCGCCTGGCGAGACCTGGTATGCCCATGGTGCGAAGACTTCAGCCGCGCACACGTGCTGGCAGGGTCGTTGTGCTCAAGCGAGGTCAACGCTTCGAATGTGTACGAGCTGCTTGATCTTGGCGTGGTGTTGTTGGGAAAATGAGAGCTGATGTGCGGTGATCTTTCCGAAAATCGGGGCGCGCTAACGTCTTTACGCATAACTTAGTGGGGAGAAGGCGCGAGCTGCCCCTCCCCAGTGCGTGTCAAAAGTCGACAGCTGTCGCCCCAGCTCTCCACATCCCCAGTTTCTCTTCCCAACTACACCTCTAGAATTCTCCAAAATGAGCGTACGCACCGTCGAGATCAAGCCATACACTGACCAGAAACCTGGAACGTAAGTACCAAGCTCGTCGTTTGTAGCAAGGTAGCTTGGAGGTAGTCAATGCCTGCTTCAAGCTACAATTGAGCTCCACAACAGGAAACAACCTACTCCCAAGTCATGGCTGACATTCTTCAATAGCTCGGGTCTTCGTAAGAAGGTCAAGGTCTTCCAACAGGATCACTACTCAGAGGCCTTCGTGGCCAGCATCCTGCTGTCGATTCCTGAGGGCGTCGATGGCTCATTCCTCGTCATCGGTGGTGACGGACGTTTCTGGAACCCAGAAGTCACACAAGTGATCGCCAAGATCGGTGCGGCATACGGCGTGAAGAAGCTCCTTATCGGCCAGAATGGCATTCTCAGCACTCCAGCTGCCAGCCATGTCATCAGGATCAGGAAGGCGACAGGAGGTATCCTCTTGACCGCCAGTCACAACCCCGGAGGTACGTCGTCTCTTGGATCTAAGCCAATGCCTTAAGGGTCTCGGCGTTACTCGATGTACAGTGGAAGTTCAAAGGACTCGACACTGACCAAACCAGGTCCCACCGAAGACTTCGGTATCAAGTACAACCTCGCAAACGGCGCCCCAGCTCCCGAGAGCGTTACGAACAAGATCTACGAAACCTCGAAGACCCTCACTTCGTACAAGATCGCAGATATTCCTGACGTCGACCTTGCCACCATTGGTACACAAAAGGTTGGTGATCTCGAGGTTGAGATCATTCATTCCACGACCGACTACCTCGACATGCTGAAAGACATCTTCGACTTTGACCTCATCAAGTCATTCATCAAGCAGCACCCAGATTTCAAGGTGCTCTTCGATGGTTTGAGCGGTGTTACCGGATCGTACGGTGTGGATATCTTCGAGAAAGAGCTGGGAATCCCAAACAGCACACAGAACTGCGTTCCCCTGCCAGACTTCGGTGGCCACCACCCAGATCCTAACCTTGTCTACGCCAAGTCTCTCGTCGATGCTGTTGATAAGAACGGTATCCAGTTCGGTGCTGCAAGTGACGGCGATGGTGACCGCAACATGATCTACGGCGCCAAGTCTTTCGTCTCCCCAGGCGACAGCTTGGCCATCATTGCTCATCACGCCGAGCTTATCCCTTACTTCAAAAAGCAGGGTATCTACGGTCTCGCACGAAGCATGCCTACGTCAGGGGCTATCGACCTAGTTGCCAAGAAGAAGGGCGTCGAGTGCTACGAGGTGCCAACTGGCTGGAAATTCTTCTGTGGTCTCTTTGACTCGGACAAGATGAACATCTGCGGTGAGGAGAGTTTCGGCACAGGTAGCAACCATATCCGCGAGAAGGATGGCCTGTGGGCTGTCGTTGCCTGGCTCAACATTCTTGCTGGCGTTGGACAGCAGACCGGTACCACCCCCAGCATCGCCTCGGTTCAGAAAGATTTCTGGAAGACATACGGACGCACATTTTTCACCCGTTATGACTATGAGGGCTGTGAGACTGAAGGTGCCAACAAGGTTACAGCTCACATGACGGAGCTGATCACCACCAAGAAGGATGAGTTCGTCGGCTCTACCATCTCGGGCCGCAAGGTCATTGAGGCCGATGACTTCTCGTACACAGACCTCGATGGCAGCGTTAGCAAGAACCAGGGTATCTATGTCAAGTTCGATGATGGTAGCCGCATTGTTGTCCGTCTGTCGGGAACTGGCAGCAGCGGTGCTACTATCCGTCTATACGTTGAGAAGCACACCAGTGACGAGTCTACATACGACTTGGACGCCCAGGAATATCTCAAGGACCCAGTGCAACTGGCGACGGATCTTCTCAAGTTGCAGGAGTACATTGGCCGTACTGAGCCTGATGTCAAGACATAGGCATAGTCACGGACTGGGTGTGAGAAACGATGAATGATGTTTACAGCAGAGTGGGAGGAGAAAAGTAGTCGAGTAGCCTTATTAGCTTCAACAACGCCTGCATTCTCATTTAGTTTGTTCTTAATGCTTGTGATAGCAACACTCTTGCTCGATTTCTCACTTGATATACAATAGGTGTTACCAGATATGCCGTACCAAGCGGAAGAGAGCATTGTTCAAGTGAATTCGCAGTGTCTAAAGCTGTTCAGCGCCCGACTGCGGCGTGACGTTTGCCACAACATCTTGGAGATCGGCGGCGCTAGTAGTGGCTTAAACGCGCCGATGTCATTCCGTCGCCTCCCCGCCTTTTGCAGCCTCTCGCGGAACATAACACCGCTCACTTTACTCACAACTTCTCCTTCTAACGCATCCCTAAAAACAATACTACAAACATGGCCGAAAAAGAAGGGTCCGCCGTGCCTGCCCAATCAAAGGGCTCCTGGTCAAGCTTTCTGAAGGTACTGCCATCTCTTGAAATTCGCTCAACACCTTGGACACAGAGCGACTGGCTGACATGGAGATAGTCTATCGCGTCTTTCAATGGCGATCTCTCGTCCATGACTGCGCCTGCCTTCATCCTCTCCACCACGTCCCTGACCGAGTTCTCTTCCTACTGGACTGAACACCCCTCCATCTTCGTCGCGCCCGCCGCCGAGAAGGACCCCGCTAAGCGCGCTGTGCTTGTCTTGAAGTGGTTTCTCAGCACGCTGAAACAACAATATGCCAGCCGAAGCGAGAAGCTAGGAAGCGAGAAGAAGCCTCTGAACCCGTTCCTGGGCGAGTTGTTCCTAGGCAAGTGGGAAGACGCGGCAGGAACCACACAGCTCGTGAGCGAGCAAGTCAGGTACACACAGCGTTTTATTGGCGCGGTCCGATGAATACTAAGGCGACCAGTCATCATCCTCCCGTGACGGCTTACTCCATCTGGAACAACCAGCACGGCGTCCGGCTGCAGGGCTACAACGCGCAGAAAGCGTCTTTCAAGACCACGATCAACGTCAAGGTCAGCCGCTGTTCTCTCTTCTTGTCCCTGACTAGACTAACGTGCAACAGCAAATCGGTCACGCGATGCTTCACCTCGATGCATTCAACGAAGACTACCTGATCACTCTACCCTCCCTACATATCGAAGGCCTTATCTCCGGTTCTCCTTTCGTCGAGCTGAACGGCAGCACATACATCCAATCCTCATCTGGCTACACCTCGCGCATCGACTACAGCGGCAAAGGTTGGGTGTCTGGCAAGAAGAACACATTCTCCGCAGTCGTCTACCCAGACGGCAGGGAGAAGGAGAAGCTGTACACGGCTGAGGGACAATGGTCCGACGCTTTCCAGATCAAAGACCACAAGACAAAGACAGTCATTGCTGCGCATGACCACAAAGTCACAAAGCCCACTCAACTTTTCGTGGCCGCTGTTGAGCAACAAGATGACTTGGAGACACGGCGCGCCTGGAAAAAGGTAGCTGATGCTATTGTCAAGGGTGACATGGACAAAACGAGCTATGAAAAGACCATCATCGAAAACCGACAGCGTGAGATGCGCAAGCAGGAAAAGGAGGCTGGTCACGAGTGGGAGCGCACGTTCTTCACTCGATCAGCGAGCAACCCTTTGTTTGAGCGTCTAGCTGGCAAGGTCGGGGAGAAGGTCAACGACACCTTGACCAACGGGGTTTGGATATTCGACGAGAAGAAGGCAAGCACTGCGACGTCGCCTTTTCACCCTGAAGTCCAGCCGCCCATCTATGAGCTGAAGAAGTAGTTTAATGTGTAATGTCACGGTCGCGAGGTGGATTATTCGAAGAGACGTTTCACGATTGGGAGGATATATGGAAGCAGTGGGAATTACACGGTGGCTTGAAGAATCTCAACATGTTCCTAATTACAAGTCTTCGATCGTGCAGTGAATTGAAATACAGTCCTGTCCCTTGGCCACTTTTACTCTCTGATAATACACTTGATGATACAAGAATTACAGCTGCTACTTGGCATTCTTTGAATCTGTCCGCTTGTCGTTACCATGCCTCTGCCAACACTGCTTAAAAACCTCCATCTAAAAAGTGTTAGCGTGCTGGGTACTAAATCCAGCTCGTAGAAGGGTTCGGCAACATCTCGGTCTAAACTTTGAACTTCACGAAAGTGCCTTCAACGGACTCACCTCTATCTTGCACGCCCGCCAATCCTTCTTTTCGTAATAGCAGTCTGTTAACTTCATGTTTTCGTCTGTTTGCTATTAATCGAAGTGGCTTGGTGAAACAGCGACCGACTAACCTGCGCATCCTGTGCTGAAGATCCTCTTGTCCCTGGGTGTGGTCAGCTTGTACTTTTTTGCCGGGGCAACTGCGCGTACCACTCATCCGGTTCATCGTCGATCAGAAGCTGGGCGGCCGCAGCGCGGGATTTGTCATCACCAGACATCTTGAAAGAGCTTGGGAATTGTTGTTGTTGTAAGCGTCTAGTACAAACGATCGAAGTACCTAGTTCACACAGTACGGCCGGGGAATCTCGGTCCGGGTCACAACGTCGTATCACCCACCATGGCGACAAAAAAGATGAACGTGTTGGTGTACTCCGGTACGTCTCTTCTAAATACTCAAGTGTCGGTTGAGAGATTAACAAGCCAAAGGTAATGGCAGCACCACCGAATCCGTCCGCCACTGCCTCTACACTTTGCGCCGTCTCCTCTCCCCCTCTTACGCCGTGATCCCTATCTCAAGCGAAATCATCATCAAAGAACCCTGGTTCAGCACTTGCGCTCTACTCGTCTTCCCTGGCGGCGCGGATCTCGGGTACTGTCGTGCGCTCAACGGCGAGGGGAATCGACGCATCAGCCGGTATGTTAACGCAGGGGGCTCGTATCTGGGGTTCTGTGCCGGCGGGTACTATGGGAGCGCGAAATGCGAGTTCGAAGTAGATGATTCGAAGCTAGCAGTCGTGGGCGATAGGGAGCTGGGCTTCTTTCCAGGGATTTGTAGAGGCTTGGCTTTTGAGGGGTTTCAGTATGCGAGTGAAGCGGGCGCGAGGGCTGCGGATGTGAAAGTACATTTGAGAGCGTTCGAAGATGTGAAGGAAGGGATGAAGGAAGCTTTCAAAAGCTATTATAATGGCGGTGGCGTGTTTGTCGATGCGAAAAAGCTGGAGAATAGGGGCGTTCAGATCTTGGCCAGTTTCACGGAGGATCTACATGTTGAATCTGGAGAGAGTAAGGCGGCGGTGGTATATAGGAAGGTTGGTGATGGTCATGCGGTGATGACGGGGCCTCATCCAGAGTAAGTCTTTGCACGATATACACATGATGAGTTCGTTCGGCTTACGCACAACCCAGGTTTGCACCGCAAAACCTGAACAAGATTTCAAGCCTCCCTTCCTACACAAAGACCATCGACGCCATCACCACCACCGACAGTACTCGCGTGGCTTTCATGCGCCTGATTCTCCAGAAATTGGGCTTGACGGTCAATGAACACGAACAAACAGTACCGTCCCTATCCCGCCTACACCTCACGTCTCACAATATGGCAGACGTCTCCACCCTTGTTGCGAGCTTATCCGAAGCCCTCACTGTAATCGATGGCGAAGATTACATTCAAGGTGGACATGACGTTTTTCGTATCGAGAAGGAAGGGAGTGTGTGGGGTGTCCAAGGGTTGAAAAGAGCCGTGAGCGCAGTTTCAGAAAAGCTTCCCACGCTCATGACTGTGACAGGGAAGGAAGACGAACAAACAGGAGAATATACAGGTAACAATCAAGACAGGAAGAAGCCCAAAACAAAGGAGGAGGCGATACAGGAATGTATTGAATACACAGCCTACAACTCCACGTCGGACCAAATCCTCGACTATGAGAAACTCGTTAAAACCGTAATAACGCATGAAACTGCTCTGCCATCCGCAAAAGACACTCCATTCCACCATGACGCTTTCTATGAAAACCTCCTCCACTACCACACCAAACTCGGCAACCCCCGCCCCTCATTCGGCAGCACATTACTATACGGCGAAGTAGTGACCTCTACCAACTCACTTCTCGAAAAGAACCCCGCTTTACTCCGTCACCTGCCCACAGGCTTCACACTGACCGCCACAACACAGCTCGCAGCCCGGGGACGAGGAAGCAACGTCTGGGTCGCACCCCCCGGCGCACTCATGTTCTCGACCGTGATGCACCACGACATCGCCCTCAACGAGAGCGCACCCATAGTATTCATCCAATACCTCGCCGCGCTAGCCATCGTACAAGGTATCAAAGGCTACGCAAAAGGCTACGACAAAGTAGGTGTAAAGCTCAAATGGCCGAATGACATTTACGCGCAGCTACCCGGCAGCGCAGGCAACCCCGTGGTGAAAATCGGCGGCATCCTAGTAAACTCCAGCTATGACGGCGGCAGATTCGACGCTGTGTGCGGTATAGGCCTGAATCTCGACAACGCGCTACCAACGACAAGTCTGAATCAATTGACGAGTAGTCTGGGCCTCAACCCCTTTACACAAGAGAAGCTCCTCGCCAGCATCCTCGCGCACTTCGAAGCGCTGTACGCGACGTTCTGCCAGACGGGCTTCAATCGCGAGATGGAGGCGTTGTATTATGAGAACTGGCTGCATAAGGATCAGGTCATCACGCTGGAGACTGATGGGGTGCAGGCCGGTACGAAGGCGCAGATTCGGGGCATTACGCGGGATTGGGGACTTTTGCTTGCGGAGGAGTTGGGCTGGGAGGATCGGCCGACCGGGAAGATGATTGCGTTGCAGAGTGATAGCAATTCTTTTGATTTCTTTAGGGGGCTGGTTAGGCGGAAGATATAGATAACCTTGGATGGTAGCTCATTGAGGGTATGCTAGACCAGATTTGAAAAGTCAATATACGTAAGAGTATTTCACATATTTTTGATTGGCCATTTACCTTGTTCTTTGCTCCATTTTTGAGGTGGTTAGGGATGATGATTGCAAAATATAACTATCTTAATAACCCAGTCTGGGTCTGTCTGAAGGTTTTAACTGGAGTTTGAATGTGATCAAGGGTCAATATGAACTCGCTTTATGATGTCCTTTGCTCTCATCAACGAATCAACATTTTGACGATAGTTAAACATTGCATTCTAAATCTGGACGTTCATCGTCCTCCTTCAAGAACGACCGTTGCAGCCGAGAGCGGAATCGGCCCGCAACCGAGCATCTCGATGGATCTGCACGCCTATCCATCACCACACAACACCCAGCAACAAGACAACCACAATCCCCAACCATGCGTCGAAGTCGCACCCCCGAAGCCAACACAGCCTCCCATAGACGACGCTCCAGGTCTCCATACCGCCCATCACGCGACGACAAGAAACACGAAGCGCGTCGCTCGCGCTCTCCCCGACGCGACGATGATCGCAAGCACCGGCACAAGCGCCACAGGTCGCGCTCACCAGCTGCAAAGCCCGTAGTGCTCCCATACAAAGCGAAGCCGCTGTCGAAGCGCCAGTTCGACGAGTACAAGCCGCTGTTTCAGTCGTATCTGGACATACAGAAAAAGATACAGTTGGAGGAGCTGGAGGAGCGCGAAGTGAGGGGGCGGTGGAAGAGCTTTGTTAGCCGATGGTGTGTACCCACTGCGAGATGATATTGGTGAGGACTGTGCTGATGTTCACAGGAACCGTGGAGAGCTCGCGCGCAGCTGGTATGATCCGTCGATGCTGAAGACGGCGCAAGACACCGTGCAGGAATATAGCGAGAAATCGCCTGCTCGAGAGTCTACCAGACGTGCATCGCCGCAGTACGAGCAACGCAACGAGGAGGACGCTGAGAGCGACGACGATTTCGGACCTGCGCTACCTACGGAAATGGCTCGACATTCAGGTCATGGGCCGACGATACCGAAGCTCGATGACTTGACGTACCGCAATGAGATGCGCGACGAAGACCGCGCGCGTGATGGCTCGAATTACGTCGACGATATACGGTACGAGCGCAAAACGGATCGCAAGGCGCAGAAGGAGCGTCTTGAGGAGCTGGTGCCCCGCGCGGATCCGGGGTCGCGTGAGCGGCAGCTGGAGAAGAAGCGCGAGACGACGGGTACGCTGCAGTCTTTCCGCGACGCGAAGGAAGGGGGTGACGTTGAGGTTGGCGAGTCAGATCTGATGGGTGAAGATAGCATCGACGGGTACAAGAAGCAGAAGAAAGAGGCGGAGCGCAAGAAGAGCGAAAGGGAGATACGGCGAGAGGAGATTGCACGGGCAAGGGATGCGGAGAGGGACGAGAGGCTTGCGGAGAGGAGAGCTAAAGAGGGCAAGACCATGGACTTTCTGATGCAGATTGCGAAGGAGCGGTTTGGGTAGGGTGGTGAATACATTAGAATTAGACTATCGTGCGGCTCTATGCCGCTGTATATGATATTGATTCGGCAAATTGTGTGCAACATTGCAACCACCACGTCCTACTCATCGTCCAATATCGAGCTCGCCAGCGGGCCGAAAAAGGGAATCTCATACCGATCCAGTGTCGCAGCTACACAATTCATTAGCCCGCATCCCCAATAAATCTCCCCACTCGAAAAAAGAAAAGAAAAACTCACCATCCTGATACGCCTTCCACGTCAACCACGCAATCAGCCCAACATCCCCCACAAACAGCACCCAAGAAATAAACCCCGACCAGCTAAAAAACACATGCACCACAAACAAAAACGCAAACAGCAAACTGCTCTGCCACGCGTGAAACCGCACATAATCGCTCTGATGCTCCATGACCAGCAGGAACACGCCTCCCGCGGGTGGAAGCAAAAGGTACGCGAGACACGCCTCATAGTCTAGTCGCCAGCCCAGCGACGTGGTGAAGACGTCGACGTCTTCGCGCCGCCGGCTCGCCGTCCAAGACCGTTCGGTTTCGGGTAGGGGCGCGGGCGACGGCGGCTGCCCTTGGAAGTAATCGTGTTGCTCGTAGGCGCGGCCTGGCGTTGTGGTTTGTGGGGAAATTACGCGTGGGCGGTCGAGGGAAGCGCGGGGAGAGGCCAGGCGCGAGGCTTCCGGGCTGTCTTGGTAGGGGGCGAAGTTCGCTGCCATTTTTGCGGTGTTGGCGCGGGATTGGTTGTTGTGGTGGGTGATTGTGTTGAGTGGGTGTTTTTGGTAGGGCTGATGGACGAGCTTGGTAGCGTAATGATGTGACGTGATGCGCTGGCAGGGATGTGAGCTCGACTTTGACATGGATGGTGGCTCGCCTCGCCTCGGTCGGTTGATGCTAGGGGGATGTCAGGGCAACTCTGCAGGAACTCGCCTCGCCTCGCATGCTGTACGACGTGAGGGTTCAATCTGGTGTGACTGGTTGGAAAAGAATGTTCTAGCCGTCGTGGGGATATGATCAGCCATGTTTGAGATGCTTGACGGACAACAAACTTTATCACCAACTTCTCCCGCCTGACTACACTCTATCCAAATCACGACCTATCGTTCGACCTCACCCCACATGCTGCTCTACACCTCACATCTGCTGGATAGGAGACACGTGTATGAGTGACGACTCTGTTGGCTCGTACACCGCCTGCAGCCGTCCGGCAAACATGCCCTTCAACAAGCCGTTTGTTCCCGAGCTTTCGAACGCCTCTTCACATCACCTCCCATCACTTTCTCCCAGTTTCGAAAAAAGCATCCCAACTTAAATCCCCGAAAAAGACCAGTGAAAACAACCACCATGTGCATCGCCATCCTCACCACCGCGCACCCAGACTACCCCTTCATCCTGCTGAACAACAGAGACGTACACCACCCGCCCCAACGTCAATCCCAAAACCCACCCTAACAAAATCTCAGGAATACCTGCACCGCCCAACAGCCGAAGCAACATGGTGGCCATCCCCCGACTCCCAGGTCCTAGGCGGCTACGATCTGCACCGCCCCGTCCACGGGACCTGGCTCGGCGTAACACGCCAGGGCCGCATCGCCGTACTAACAAACTACCGTGAAGAAGACGAATCCATCGTCATCGGCGCCCGTAGCCGCGGCCTCATCCCAAACGCCTGGCTGAAAAGCAACCCCGAGGACCAGGAATCCACGCCCCAGTTCGCCCGCCGCATCATCGAAGAAGACGGCGTCAAGGGCGTGGGCGGCTTCTCGCTGTGCTACGGCTTCGTGCAGGATGTCGTCAAGAAGGGTGAAGGGTTAGCGATAGTCAGCAACCGCACGCCCAACGTCCAGGACGTGATCCGCCTCCTCCAGAACCCCGGGGAAACGCACGCCCTCAGCAACGCCGCATACGGCGACCGCTCGTGGCCCAAAGTCGTAAACGGCGAGTCCTGGACCGCAGCCGCTATCCAGCAATCCATCGAGGCGAACGATACCCGCGACCAGCTCGTCGAGCGCCTCCTCGCCGTCCTCTCAACAGATACCATGCCCCGCCAGAAAGAGAATGAGGAGTGGGACATGTACCTCAACCAGCTGCGGCACAGTATCCTCGTCCCAGCTATTGGTCGCGAGCATCTCGACGAGCATAAAATGCCTGCCCATGAGGTTGGTGATGTGGTGAAGCAGAAAGCTGCTGATGCGACGAGTGGGTGCTATGGCACGCAGAAGAATATCGTGTATTTGGTTGATCGGGAGGGGAGGGCGCTTTATTTCGAGAGGACGCTGTTTGATGGGGAGGCGAGGCCGGTTGCGAAGGGAGAGGGGGATAGGGTGTTTGAGTTTGGGATTGAGGGGTGGTAGTGGGCTGGTGGTATTGCGTGCTGTGCTTATTTGTGTGTTTTTCTTGCCAAGTTGTGGTTTCGCCTTTCTCGATGTGGCTGTTCTTTTTACTCTCCATGCCACTTCACTGCGATGTCCAATGCATCTACTCTATCCAGCTTGTCTCATCTCGCCTCAACTCCACACCTCACACACCATGTGCCTCATTCTCTCCACCATGCACCAAACCTGCTCACACAATGCAATGTGCGGAATCAATTACTATTCATATTCTAACCGTGTAGCACAACCATCGGCTCGAATCCCCCCTTTTCAGTGCAGTCAAGTCTCCAAGCATGATAAAGGCGGTCGATGATCTTGATCAAAAGAAGGAACTCAAGGGACAGTGAGGGCTAGACTATCTCATAGTGGGTGTTGAAGACTCACGAAAAGAGTCAAACGATGGAAGTTCATAGTGAGGCATTAGACAACGATGAGGGAGAAGCAAAACACGCACCCAAGCACTAACAACTCAAAGAATTGCCTGATTATCTAAACACGTAGAAGTTCTGCATAATCCACCTAGCAAAATTACTATCTGGATTCGACGAGCGATAATCCAGCAGATAGCTTGCCGTGAGTTAAGATTTAATGACCAGTTATTCAGCTTCGTTTTTCATCGATGTTAAGGTCGAATCTCCAAAACCCCACTACTCAGGTTGGGCGAGTGAAAGCATCCCGCGACTAACCTGAACACCAACATGTATGCCTTCCAAAAGAGGCATCCCGGACATCCGAAAAAACTGCGAGGAACGCGATAACATTGGCATGGAAGAAAATTTCGAGGACTACGTATTCCAGGTCCTACATCGGTGTCGAAGACACCGAAACTAATTCTACTAACCTGAATTCCATAAGTCCTGGCTTACTAGCACGCCAACACTACATGATTTTCTTCCTGATGCTGCGATGGAGCAAGCACTTGACCGCAAGTCGATCAACATTCAGTATGTTCTAGATTCTGTCAGAAGGAAAAAGACGACCTCACGAGTCAACTACTATCAGAAAATATATGTATAGTTCTTGTCGCGGCTCTGGTGCACCACAATCTTCAGTACAAAATGTGAGGTAAGACATAGATATTCAAGACACTTGCAGAAAAAAACATGCGGATATCGCCTGTATCAATGGGAACGGTAGTTTGAAGAAATGCCAGAGGTCTGTCAGTGTCAGAATGACGCGCTCGTCATTCATCACAAGATTGGTAATAGAACGCGAAGAATAATGGAACTGAGAGAATGGCCATGAGGAGACCGATGAGACGACAGTCACATGAGGTGGATTGTTGTGCATAGTCGAAATCAGGCTTTGGACGATGGCGGATATTGAGGAAGTTGTAGGGAAACTCAAATCAAGCGGTTTGAACCTCATCCGATATCACGACGACTTATCATTCAAGGTTCTGTGGAAGGATAGACAACTTCCTCGACTCATGCTACCCCCAAATAAATAAGACAATGGTATTCTACGGGTATCCGAGATCAAGGTTGGTTGTGGTGGGTCAGTCGCATGCTGATACGGAGGCGTGAGGAAAATTGTTGCGCAGGCATGCTGTTGATATCGAACTATCATGGAGCCCCCAAAGTGTGGGAGAAATCAGACTTGTTCTTTCTAGAACTTGTTTCGATGCTAGTCTCGTAAAGTCGAGATGTAAGAATTGTGTGGAGACATGATTTGTGGCGTTTTTGGTGTGGTCCAGGGCACGAGGTGACGTCTTCGTCGGCAACCCGACAGCAAGGGACCGAGCCGAGCGTCTACTAAACACGGTCACCACGCGACGAACCGTCCAGCAACTGTCCTTGTTCTTCTTGAGCTTTTCCACACAAGCCACACGTCTCCCGTGAGCTGTCGCACAAGTCTCACACATCCGTCAACCTCTCGTCGCAGCATGGCGTCTCTGCCACAACAGCGCCCCGCGTCCCAGCGCAGACGCTCGCCTTCGCCCCAGTCGTCTTCTCACCAACAAGAAGCAGCGCGGTCAAGCAGTGTCTCAGACCAATCCGTCGACTCGCAAACGCTCCTTCCCAACTCGCCACCTGCTCAGTCAGCAAAGCCCGCGCCCGAAGCGCAGCAAGAAGCGCCTCCACAACACCTTCCCCCACAAGAAGACGATGAGCCGCGCAGGTGCTGGATATGCTTCAACGACGAAACTGAGGATGATGCGACAACATCGGAATGGCGGTCGCCGTGTCCCTGCGTGCTGGTCGCACACGAGAAGTGCCTGCTGGACTGGATTGCAGACATGGAGGCGCCAAACTCGCGACGGCGCGCGGGGAATCGCGTCAATAAGGTGTTGTGTCCGCAGTGCAAGGCTGAGATCAAGTTGCAGCGGCCAACCAACTACATTGTTGAGGCAGTGCGACTGGGGGAGCGCTTCACAGGCTCCTTGCTGTTGCCTGGCTTCGCCTTCGTCACGGGAACGGCCCTGTATTCGACCTTGACGCTGGCAGGAACACATACCATATACCAGATATTTGGCCCCGGGGATGCCGCCCAAATACTGCGACCACTGTATGAAGTGCCAAATCCGCAGTTAACCACTGCGACCATGAGGCTGCTTGAACACGTGCGACAGCATTGGAGGTTGGACATTGGCCTGCCTCTTATACCAACCGTCCTTGTGGCAAGCAGAACAACACTCGCAGACTCCTTCCTACCCTTCCTACCTCTCATCTTTTTCGTCAGTTCTGGACAGCCGGGCGACGACATGCTGCAACTGCAATGGCCACCGAGCGCAGCCTTCTCCTTTGCCGCCCTGCCCTACCTACGAGGCTTATACAACGCCTTTTACGACCGTGTCTGTCTGCCACGCGAGCAAAAGTGGCTAAAAGAAATCCAGCCACGCGCCGGCACAGACGACGCCGCAGAACCCCAAGTCGTGATCGAAGACGAGCTCGGCCACGTACACGACCACCTCCCCGATGATGCACACATCGTAGACGTGGAAGTAGATTTCGACATCTTCGCAGACTGGAACGGCAACGCAGCAGACGACCACGACCACAATCACGACCACGATCACGACCACGATCATCCTCCCGTCGCACATCCGATCAACGCACCACCCATGGATGACGACGCTGAAGTCCCACAACCCCTGAACATCGATCACGTTGCACCCGCGCCCAACGTCCGCGTCCAACCACAACAGCGCCCTCGCCCTCGCGTCCGCCGCGAGCGCAACATGACATTCAGCACCACATCCGTCGCCGACACCATTCTTGGCGCCCTTATCTTCCCAAGCATCGCCGCTGCGATGGGCGAACTGCTCAGGTATACACTACCCACATCGTGGGTCTTGCCGCCATCAGGCGCGTCTGCGTCGTCATGGCTGGGCGGATGGGCACGTGTCGGCGGGAAAGCGGGCAAACCCACGGGTTTTCTGCAGACGAGGTGGGGGAGAAGTCTTGTTGGAGGGTGTTTGTTCGTCGGGCTGAAAGATGCGGTGCTGTTGTATGTGAGGTGGAAGGTTGCGCAGAATCATAGACGGAGGACGATCTTGAATTGTAAGGAGGGGGTTGGGAAGAAGGGGAGGGGGGCTGCGTGAGCCTGTGTGGTTGCGGAGATGAATGATTTGGGTGTCTGTTAGATTTCACTAACACATGGTTGAAGGCTTCAGGGCATTGGAGTCGATCGGATTAAAACCACACGATCTCAGCAATGTAACAGCATGCTCAACTCTCTCTAAATTTGGCTTGTCCTGTTCGTGCGAAAGTATGTGATCTCCCTTCTTCATCAACTGTCGTTGTCTCATGTTCTTTGTGTTGTTCCTACAGTCCAAATCATCCTACTCGATCTCATTTCGCGATTCAGTCTGAGTAGGTTCTAAGTCGCGCCTAAACCTTTTTGGGCAGGTGCCCCACCTGCCTCGACCCCATCTCACCGCAGTAGTGAATCCTTGACCTCGTTCAGAGAAAACCTTCATCCCGTCCCGATCACGCCAGGGAGGCTCTTAGGCAACCCGTTGACCTTTCGTTATGCAGGAACAACGCACTGCTAGTTATAGTCGATATCGTATTCGGAGTTAATCTTGCGCATGGTCAGTCTAGTATGACGGGGTCCTGCTGTCTCAAGAGCCGAAACCCGGAAACTGGGTTCAGCTCCATGCTTTGTTGCCCGCTGAGATAAATAACATGTTTACAACAGTGGACGCATGAGCGAGCGAGTAATCTTTGGTCTGACTTCTGCGATACGTGACAGGTAGTAGGTCGACCCGGTACCAATATGGACATTACAGGGTCCAAAGGGGATTAATCACGTTCATGCAGGCCTGGTACCCGGAAGAGACGGAGCGTGTATGGTTTTGACTAGTGTGGGAGGCCTGGCGACATTGACAACTCGGACACATATCTGAGAAGAAAACTTCTACCGCGGCATTATCCGATGCAAGCAGTTAGGACAGGAAACAGGGCCCGCTATAGGCTTACGGAACTACAGTAGTCACTACAACACCCCTGCGGTATTTGTGTTCCATCGCCTATACCTCACGGCCTAGGGCATGCCTAGTCAACTCTAGGTATACCCGTTAGATCTGACCGGTCTGGAAAATCGTTTAGCGGGCCGGAAATCCACTCTTTGACGGCACGAAATAGTCAATCTCGTGTCTATTCTGGTCTGAGGCCACCTGCGCTGACGACTCACTCAGTCGGTGAAAAGAAACTTAACTTACTCGACCTAGCAATTCTCGTGTCAAAGTCGCTCATTGAGTGTTTATAAGTACCTGACAGTTCAGTCTTCGCTCATTCAAAATCATCTCTCCATTCCCTCCACAACATACCATCATATTTATTCCGTATCTCTAAGCACCTACGTATACCTATCCTTACCAATCATGTACTCCAAATCGCTACCTCTTCTTGCCACGCTCACGTCGGTCCTCTCCCTACTTTCGCCAACACTCGCTGCTCCCAACGTCACAGTTGTACCAGTCTCCGGAAACTCCGCAGACTGCACTGTATACCCTGGGTACAACGCCACGTCAGGCATCGCCGGCCCATGGCTGCTTGAAGCCACCAGCACCGGAAACCCTGCTCTTGACGGCTTCAAGAACACTATATACTCAGAAGGATCTGGAAGAGATGGATACAGCATCGTAAGTCTTCTCCGTATCCTCTCCAATTTGAACCAAAGCGCAAGATTCTTTAAACCAAGACTAACACACGCGTCTCTCACAGGTCACGTTCCCTAAGACCAACAGCAACACCACAAAACCCACCGTACAATGCAACGACGGCTGGGGTCTACAGATCCTCAGCCCCCTTCAAAGCTTCGCTTACATCTACAACCCCAGCCTATCCTACTCGGCCGGCTCCTCTCAGTCACATCCAGCTATCTTGCTGTACCACCACTACATCGACGGCGTCCAGCAAGACGGCGTATTCCTCGGCTCCCAGGACTACTCGATAAACCAGGGATCCACGAGTTATGTATTTCGCTTCGCAGATAATTTGAGTGGCTGGACGGTAACGCTTGCGTCTCGCCCTGAGAGTGTTGTTCTGGGGGAGAACGAGTATTTGGGCTTTGTCAAGATTGCTGCGTAGGATCTTTTGCGTGGATGGGGTTGGAATTAGATGGGGGGGGGTTCTGAGTATACTCGTTTTGAGTTTCTCAATCCGGAATGGAACTTGTTGTATGTGTTAGTTACACTGAGGACGAAGAAGTCGTCGCCATAGTGCATGTTAACGCTTTATATAAGAGCACGACTTTTGGAGAAAACATGTGACTTATTGTGTATACTCTGAGATGTGTTCTTGGAAGCTAAATCTACCAATGATACTATAATCTTCATCGACGTAAACCAGAGCAGAGTGAGGTTATGCTTCTCACAGGATGTGCACACTTTGTCTTGCTCCGTTACAACTCTTTGTCCATCGCATGCTTGGACAATGCTTTTACACACTATCATAACCCCGGAAGCGGACTGACTCAATCTATCTAAGACATTTTGAAATAAAAGAATATGCATTAGCGAAGGAACGAGATGAGGCGCTGCAATACGACAGTTTTTCGAACATCTAATAGATCAGCTTAGAATTCTTTTGCCTAACATCCTTCTAGGAGGCTCGTTCGTCGATGTTTGAAACCGTTTAGCAGCTTAGCGTAGCTACAAGGAAATTCCTGTCTTTACATTTGATAAAGAGATGGTCGATTTTTGGTGTTTCAACGGAACGAATGCGCATGTTGTGATAAAATTCAAAGCAGCGAAATCGAAAGATACACAGGATGAAACACGGACCTAGAGAAAAGGAGTTCTAACGACGCGAGAGTCAAAACAAAGTATTCAGGAGTTCAACGTGTTCTGACGCATGGCAGAGAAACACGCTAAAATCTGACAAGTAGTTTCACATCGCCTATCTTAACAACAACACTAGCCTTAGGGCTGCAGTTGATAGGAGAGCTAGTCCGATCTGTATTTCTAGAATGAAACTCTGCAAATCAACAGTGATGATATGCAGCATGCTATCCCTGAATCGGTACAAGGTCAACATCGCGTAGCCGCTGTGGCTTGCGCAGAGTCTCAGCCTTGTGCACGCCGGAGGTGCTGAGACGATCTAGGGTCTGGGCGAAGGCTCGGGGCTTGGGCAGTAGGAACTTATGTTGAATCGTTCTCCGCAGTTGCGAACTTTAGAATGACCGTTGCTTACCACGCTCTTTGATCAAAACCAACTGCGTACCCTCGTTTCAGCGCCCAACGCTACAACCTAATCTGAAGTATCGATCTCGGGCAGTATAGAAGAAAAAAGAAACCAAATCTCCTGCAAGATGGCGGCAATGAGATTTCAAGCCCGATAGACCGCTTCCTCTACAATTCCCTCCTTCGTACAGCCCACAATCACATTAGCTTTGTCGACAACTTTCACACCTGCAGCATCATGCACAGCCAACAAGCTCACAATGCTGCCTCCACCAGGTTATCTGATATGGGCGAACGAGCCTGTACCATTCCCAGGCACAACAGTCACGAACTGCTATCCGCCCGAGTTTCTCAAGAGCTACACCCCAGTCTCGGCCGGTGTTACGGCGTCTTCCATTGTCCCCGTAATGAGCCCCTTGGTGTGCCCCTCAAACTTCTGCACACAACGTGTGGGAGAAGACAACTACATAGCGTGTTGTCCGTCGTAAGTAGTATCCAAACACGTTGAGATGCAAGCTGACCCTTTGCAGAGGGTACCAATTTCAAGCGCCCGCTACTCCTCAAATCAGAGACCGTCCGTTCTACGGAGGTACGTGCTATAGCGAGTTCTCCGTTTCAAAATCGGCTACAGTTCTGAAGTACGGCGAGGATGGGCAAACCGACGTGGAGCTTTGGGCAGCGACCACTACGGGCGCGAACGCTTATGCACACCCTATCGATGGCTTTGCCATAAGCTTTCCTACACTGGGTTGCGCTGCTCAGGTATCCTCCTTATCCCTCGCTAGTTCACCCTCAGGGTCAAACACCACATCTACTTCATCTTCTTCCCGCGATCCTCGCAGCAGTTCTTTCAGCAGCTCTTCGACAGCTGCTGCAGGCGTGACTGTCTCATCGTTAAACACCTCCAGCACCATTTCTCCTGGTACCATAGCCGGTGCCGTCATAGGCTCCGTAGTCGGACTCGCGACCATCATCGGTCTTGTGTTCTTCCTCCTTTACCGTCGCAAGCACGCGCAATCACAGTCCGACCCAAAAGCCCCCCAATTCGAGGACGACATGGCTGGCCTCCACCATGAGAAGAACTGCGATGTCGTTGCCCTCGAGATCGGCACGTCTGGACGTTCACTGAGCTATACGAATAGTGGCCGGCATACATACGAAATGGATGCTCAGTCGGTGCATGAGATGCCTGTGCGAAGGGAGTAGTGAGGCTTAATCGCGAGCTTGTTGTTATGAATGCTCTTCTGCTCGAAGGAGTTAGAATGTAGAAGATGTGTCAAGAACCTACAATTTTTTGTTATTTAACGGCTGTGTTTTTAATGACTTGAGGAAAACTATCGAATCTAACTTTCAAGAACTAGTGCGATGCTAAATTGGAGGTTTTCTTATTATTTATTTCATATCTCCTGTATACCTTCATTGTTATATCGACTTAATCATCGCCACACTTTGGCAACGTACCAAGGTGTATGCCATTGTAATCTCTGAAAATCTTTCAAAGTTTTGTCACTTCAAGTGTAACGAGTTTCGTTCCACGCTCTTCCGTCCACCACGGATTAACATTCTTTAACATTCTGATCCCGAATGACGTTATCAAGAATTCCGAGAAAGGATATTAGGAGAGCTCAATCCTTGAACTTCATTCGGTAGGTCAATGATTAACTTACATCATAAATTGAAGAATGGGACGATAGCCGATGTTGCAGACCAATCTTTCTTGCATTTTAGTCAATGCATTAACATATTTTACAAACCACACTTCAACGGTTACTTGTAGCAAGATATTATCAATTTCCTGCCTTGCACGTATGACGCTCTCGACTCAATATTGACTATTTAAATTGATTGGCACAGCGCAATATTATCAGATTTGGGCCGGACTGACGTTTGTCAACTCCAGGCGCGACACTCATAAGACAATGTATGTTAGCTTATTGTCTTCACGAGACCCTCTTTCGGAGATACCGAAGGAAGACGTTCCATTTTTTTGATTAACAAGTGGAGCTGGTCCGTGGATACCCAGTGGGACATTGAAAAAACCAGCGTGCTAAGCGGAGAACATATTTATTGAAAGTCCGAACATAAATGCCAATTTTATGTTCCACCACTAATCCTGCCATGCAAGTCGTCTAGTTAGACGCGTCATCTACGTACTCTCCTCAGAATAGTCCACCAACGATAGGACGAGAAGCTTGTGAAGTGTGATGCGAACTTGCAATACCTACCTCTTCTAGCAATTTGTCAGTTTCGGAGGAACAAGCCTGAGCGGTGTCACATTGTCAAAAGCTTGGCTTCAAAGAGACACTATGTGAGTGTGCATCCTTTCGGTCGTGTTGAGATAGCCAAGCATCGTTTTCCGGCTTGTGTGTGGATGTTGAGTTGATCGATTACTGGTGGAACGTGTTAGGGCTGTCACTTTGGTTAGCGGCATATCCTGATTGGTTACCCCGCATTCACGGAATAAGCTTCGTGCAGAAAAGCTTGTTTATTTTCTCCTTCGGTTGATCCTTCCGCCACGTCGATCTCCACCTCCTATGCATCTTCAGTCACACGGAGAGATGGAAACGCGTGATCTTGGAGAGATAGATGGTAATTGCGGGGCCCGGGATTTGTTTGTTGGTTTTTTCACCGCATTAGTATATGTACCATTTGTATAAGAGTTGGGAAAAATGCTCAATTTATTAGGAAGTCGTGCTATTTCGAATTTGCAATCCGGACATCTTAGCAGGCTGCGAAGACGGTAGTGAAAGAGGCTCAACCTTTTTATCCACGACGTTGAAGATTTTTGTGGATTGGTTCAAACGCTCACGGCCCGTCCCACTTCTCCCGTACCAGTAGCATTTCGAAATGTCTCCACGACCAAGCCTCGCTTTAGGGCTTCTAGCCATGGGCTCTCTTGGCGCAGCGGCTCCATGCGATCTTTACGCCACTGGAGGAACGCCTTGTATCGCTGCACACAGCACAACTCGAGCTCTGTACAGCGCGTTCACGGGTGCTCTCTATCAGGTCAAACGAGGCTCTGACAGTACTACGACCAACATCGCACCGCTTTCCGCAGGTGGTGTCGCCAACGCCGCTGCTCAGGACACGTTCTGCGCCAGCACGACTTGCCTCATCACCATCATCTACGACCAGTCTGGCCGCGGTAACCACCTTACCCAGGCGCCGCCCGGCGGCTTCAACGGTCCGGAGTCCAATGGCTACGACAACCTGGCAAGCGCAATTGGCGCACCAGTCACGTTGAACGGCCAAAAGGCGTACGGCGTCTTCGTCTCGCCCGGCACCGGCTACCGCAACGATGCCGTGAGCGGCTCCGCGACAGGGGACGCTGCCGAGGGAATGTACGCGGTCCTCGATGGGACGCATTACAACGGTGCCTGCTGCTTTGACTATGGCAACGCCGAGACCAACAATCTCGATACAGGGAATGGCCATATGGAGGCCATCTATTACGGTGACAGCACCGCCTGGGGATCTGGTGCAGGAAGCGGCCCGTGGCTCATGGCTGATCTTGAGAACGGCCTGTTCTCTGGTGTAAGCTCGGGCTACAACGCTGGTGATCCTTCCATCTCTTATCGCTTCTTTACTACCGTCCTCAAGGGGGGACCCAACAAGTGGGCGCTTCGTGGCGCCAACGCTGCATCTGGCTCGCTGTCGACATACTACAGCGGCGTACGCCCAACCGCGACCGGCTACAACCCCATGAGCAAAGAGGGCGCTATCATTCTCGGAATCGGCGGCGACAACAGCAATGGTGCTCAGGGGACCTTCTACGAAGGTGTCATGACCACTGGGTATCCAACGGACGCCACCGAGGCCGCAGTGCAGGCCAACATTGTCGCCGCCAAATACGCTACGACGTCGTTGACCAGCGGAACCGCAATCACCGTTGGTTCTTCCATCTCGCTGCGCGCAACCACGGCCGGCTATACGACACGCTTCCTGGCGCATACCGGATCGAATGTCACCACCCAGGTTGTCACGTCGTCCAGCAGCACCGCACTCAAGCAACAGGCCAGCTGGACAGTTCGCACAGGTCTTGGTAACAGCGCCTGCGTCTCGTTCGAGTCGAAGGACACCACTGGCAGCTATATTCGACACAACAACTTCGTTCTACAGCTCAACGCCAACGACGGCACTAAGCAGTTCCACGAGGACGCCACTTTCTGCCCTCAGACCGGTCTGAGCGGCTCGGGCACTTCGATTCGAGCCTGGGGCTATCCTACTCGTTATTTCCGCCATTACGACAACGTGACGTATGTCGCGAGCAACGGCGGTGTTCACACGTTTGACGCTGCTGCATCGTTCAATGCCGACGCGACATGGGCGGTTACCACCAGCTTTGCTTGAGGTATCGCTTGACCTTTCGCTAGGTGTATAAGGGTGGTATTTCCTGTATATATTCCAGTTGTTGAAGGGTGTTCGATAGCAATACAGAAGAGACAAGATGATGAGTCAATTTGCTTTGATGACTGAACTGCTTAATTCGATGTTCAATGTGAAGTAGGAGTTCTAGAATCCATGGAAAATCGGAACAGTAGATACCGACAACGCTAGTCTCAATTTAGTAGTAAATACCGAGGAAGCGGCATCGCCATTTCCAACGTCCGTGGGCGACCGCGATCAAAGACACACATAAGTTACTTACCTTCTTGAATCTTTCTGCGCTCTCTTTATATTCAATCCTTGGTTTCAATTGTCACGTAAAATATATAGGACTACTGGCTGAGTAGCTTTGTATTGGTTAATTGGTATTTCGCTGCTTGAGATCAATTCATTTAGCAATCGACATATTGAATTCGAGACATTATATCGTTGAATAGTTCCCACTCACATGCCACTCAAACGACTCATTCAGACTTGTAAAGTTATGATACTATATATGCTTCGACTTCCTCTTATCTGCTTCGCTTGTCGTCGCTTTGTAGCTGACTGTCATCATCCGCGGACTTGTATTATGTGTACTGGTGACTCACTAAACACCAAATATCCGAGTGACTCACATTTACTATCGGATATAAATGAAGTCAGTAGGTCTCTCTAAAGTTTTTCCATATGATCCTGACAACATCTCTTTTTATATACAGACACTTTTGCTACATCCATAGGAACATCTTTCCTCTTACAATGGCCGAACATACCACTCAATCACCGGAGTTCAGTTCTCACTCTGATCCTCCCAGTGATCTCAAAACGCGCCTGAAAGACTCCTACGACGCAATCGCCTCACAGTATAACGAATGGACAATCCCGCACTCGACCACTCGGCTCCACTTCCTAGACCAACTGCTCAACCGCCTGCCCATCACCACCACCTCGGTGCTCGAGCTCGGCTGCGGCCACGGCGTCCCGGTCACGCAGAAACTGCTCTCCCACCCTAACTTCACCGTCACGGCCAACGACTTGTCCAGCGCCCAGATCGCGCTTGCCCGCAATACCTTACTGCCAAACCACCGCCTTACCCTCCTCGAAGGCGACATGCTCGCCCTGAACTTTCCGCTCGCGACCTTTGACGCTATCGTCGCTATGTACTCTATCATCCACCTCCCGCGCGGCGAGCAAGTCGAGATGCTGCGCAAGATAGTAGCGTGGCTGAAGCCCGGCGGGTGGTTGCTGGCGAACTTCGGGGCGGAAGAGGTGGTGGGCGCGGAGGCGCGGGAATGGTTGGGAGAGGAGAAAGGGTGGATGTTTTGGAGTGGATGGGGGGAAGAGGGAACGTTGAATAAGATTAAAGAGGCAGGGCTGGAGGTCTTTGTGCGGGAGACCAGAGATGATGAGGTGGATGATGCGCGATTCTTGTGGGTTTTGGCTCAGAAAAGTGATGAGTAGACGTGATAAGAATGAAAAGGTAATAGGTGATGATAGGGGCTCTGAAATGAAGATGCAACTCATGAGCCTGTGTCTTGACTCATCATGTGCTTGATTTTGACCAACAGACTGGAAAACTAGGCTACTTTTGTATTTCACCGCTGCCGATGTTTGTCTGAAAGATACTTACTGGGTATCTGGCAAGGGGATGAGAGAACCACACTGCTCAATCGCAACACAGACTATACATGTAGGTAACACGATCTCTCTTTTATAATCACACATCAAGCCGAGCGCAAACGCAGTCTGTGCATAGTAGAGGAGTATTGATCCAATCTCTTGGTGATGGACAGTGCTGATTCCATACGTACCCACCCCCTGATAGCTACATTCTGGTCCACTGATCTACCAGAAGGTACATATCGTTTCTCGATTGCTTTTTCCGTCACATTGCAACGAGCACAAACGTTTGATTCGGAGTATCTCTCAGTCTCTCGCCAGCATTTCATTTTGTAGAGTGGATTCGTCGTCGCGAGGGAGCAGCTTGTGGACGGAGACATGCGACTTATGTCATATTATCGGTCCACTTGATCAACACTAATATCCTCAGATGTTACCATAATCATGGTTTCAAAGTGGACATACAAGTCAATTGTTCTTGCACACCCGCAGGTTCGCCAGTATCATCATCTTTCGAGTAAGCCATCTTGCGCGAAGAAACGCACTGTGAAAAGCTGTTGCTCTGACGCTCTAGGTAAACGATTCTCGAAAGTCCCCATCGCCACATATGTACGAATGATCCTCGTCGAGTTTGGCACTATGTGGGGAAGGTCTAAGGCGTAGGTATAGGACCAACTGATAAGGAATGTTCGATCTATGAGCTATCGATTCGACATGGATCTGCTAATGACGAAAGGAGAGGCCGATTGATCAAGATCAATGTCGAAGCTCAGCTTTTCATGTGAGATCGACAAAAGCAGATGCCAGTGTAGATTTGCTTGTCATTTCCTAAGCGATCAAGATGGTCAGATTCAGTCCGCCTTCTTCCCAAGCCTTTCGACCATCTCCTTCTGAAACATCTTGCTTAGATGCACCGAATTGACCTCTCCAGGAGGAAACAACTGCGTCGCAAAAATCCCACAGGTTCCACTCCCCCGGTCTATCCACCACTTCAGATTAGGTCCACCAACCCACTGCAGCCAGCCCGGCTTGAAACCGTCCTCGCTTTCATGAAGACCTATTAACCCACCGAGTCCATGGTTCCAGGTGCCAGCGTCGGGGCTGCCAACGGCAGGCTCACCTGGAATCATGAGCGTCGCCAGATTAGGGATGGATAGGCAATTGTGTAAGGAAATTTCAGCATTGCCCTCAAGAGAGGGTGTGAACATGCGCTGCACGGTTTGCGATGTGAGTAGTTTACCATCATCGCGAAGGATCGACTTCAGCAATTTGATGTAGTCTTCAGCTGTTCCGAATAGTCCTGCACCACCGAAGTCGTCCTTTGCATCCACGGGCTGCCTGAGTATAGGATTGGTTCCATCGCTGTTGACAAGAGGTTCGTTGGGGGAAGGACGGCTTGTAACAGGCATAAGTCGATCTCCAATGTTGTTGTGTGAGACATGGAACGACGTGTCGTGCATGCCGAGCACGTCGAAGATGTTGCGTCGCAGGTAAGTCTCGAAATCACACTTGTTTGCGCGCGCGACCATGAGACCAGCGACGTCCAGACCTGGTCCATACGCAAATCCTGCGCCAGGTTCGAATATCAACGGATGAGTGAAGCATTCCGCAATGGGACTACGCATAGACTGCCATTCCTCGCCACGCGACATCCTCCACTGCAGCAAGGGAGGCATGAAGTCGTACGTCAGGCCGCTTGTGTGGTTGAGAAGACGTCTTAGAGTGATTCTTTCCTTCGCAGGCGTCAGGATAGGCGAACCTGTGTCCTCCTCTTTGAAAGAGAGGACTTGCGGATTTGCCCATTCAGGTAGAAGGCGTTCAACGTCAGCAGTGGATTCTAGCGAGAATAATCCGCGCTCGACACACTGTAGTGCTGCAATTGTTGTTGCCAATTTCGTGCAAGACGCTATCCACATTACTGTCTTACTTGATACTGCTGGTGACGGTACCACCTTCAGCGTACCGTATGAAGCGACGAAGTCTGGAACATCTGTGAAAAACATTAGCCGTGTCTCGAAGGAAACACCGTGCAATATCTGGCCGGGGCTTTGTCAGAGTTTAGATGCACGCGATTGTAGGATTGCATTGCTACGTAGTGAGGGACAGAACCCAGAGATCTGGTATTCTTGCTCGCTCGTCACCTTGCGCTGGGCCGCTCAGCCATTCCTTGGCAGTGAAGACCACCATGGACTTACTTTCGTTCGCCGATGCTGCAGCGAGCGATACACCAGGTAGCAGACGACCGGGACCAGGCTTGACAGCTCTATGGAATGCCTCCTCAAAGCTTGATGCAGACATGATGATCTTGGGAAGTGAGCAGCGAAAGACTTCTAAAATTTGGTGTCCATGCAGTATTGACGAAAACAGCATGTGACTCGTAGGCAAGGAATATGGTGAAAGTTGATTGTTGCTTACGGGTGTCGCTGGCTACATGTATGTGCTTGCTCGGACCCGCCAGCTGACCCGGCGAACAGTTGTCGTGGCTGTGTAAGCAGAGTTTCTTGAGTCGCGTCGAAGCTACCTATTGCATGATCCTGATGATAGCTGCTGACGTGAGATGACGTGAGATTGAGGATCGGCGGTTAGGAACGCATTGCGTGCAGGGGTCTGCAATCTGAGAAGTCATTGCATACGACCAATACTACATATCAGATCGACGCATGACCAAGTGGGTCACTTCATACTATCAACAATTTGGTAAGATTCCTCTCTCATTCTGCAGACAGGCAGCTAACCCCGGCGTGAGTTGTAGATTTTGATCATCGCGGCTGAGTTGTTGGACATCGTCCGCCTAATTGTACTATGCCCAAAGTAGACGAAGAAGATATTTCCCCGCTATGGACCATTTGAACACAAAATCACCAGGTACACTGACCTAGCGAGTTTGCATTCTCAACAACATTTTGTGAGTTATTGGAAAAAGAACTCTATAGGCTCAACACCTTGTTTACAACCTTCTGTTTTTTTACTCACCTACCTTGCAACCTTGCAGATTCGTTGTCCAACCACTGCTGCCTGGAAACTGTAGGCCTTCATGTCCGTTCCGTTGATGATTCAACATGCTTATCATGCTATCACAGAAATTCAGCGGGATTACGCAGCATTTGATGCTTAAAGCATCAGTGCCTAAAGAGTTGCTTTTGAGAGGTGACTAAGGTTATTGATTGCAAAAGCTATTGTCCACACTATTCAGGCGAACGCAACCGTCATCAGAACGTTTGTCCGAGAGCTTTTGGTTATGAGTCTTAATCACGATAATCTGGTGGTCAAACCTCCCACCACAGCAAATTTGATCAGAAATTTCGATCCAGAGGTTATTCGCGCCGACGCCGAAAGTACTCGTATCATAGTTCATCCCAGATTTCCGCAACTTGTCGAACAGTTCCTGGATCACAAGCGCGCCAGAGGATCAAAGTATGAAAAAGCGCTATACTCTCGAATGTCCGATTGGAAAGAGGAAGTGTCTCGCCTCGTTGAAAAGCGTCCTTTGACCTTCATGAATGGAAATGATTTTACCGTCTTACGTAACGGCGTTATGATCACTGACGGGACAGACGAGTGGGACCGCAATGGCACGGCTGTGCAAGATAAAAATGAGTACCTGACACTGGAAGAATACTTATCGTACGATGAGATCATGTTGTCCTCGCTCATTGGCGTGAGCGGCTATAGCTATTTGATCAACGACGGAAACAGGTACAACAAAGCAGTTCCTGGTCGACCAGGGACATTTGAAGAGCGTGCCGTTATTGTAGGGTTGGTGGGTCCGCGATTTGAGAGGCCAAATAGGATGGATTCGATTTTCATACTACCTTGCGAGTCGAAAGGTCAGGATCCACAACTAAGTACACTCTTCCGATCGTTCTTCGGCGTTGTGAGGAACGAGGTAACGACGTTCGACAAAGAAATGTACATGGCCCGCGTACGGATCACTGTTGAGATATTCCTTCTCGAAGCCAACGATCGCGCAAAGAACGCACATCGAAAGGCTTACGGCTACGTCGTAGGCCTCGGACTTGGTGTTTGGCAACACCATAATGACCAGCCAACCATGTATATCGATACCTTTACCTCCGTTCTTGATTCACTCCATCTCACCAATATCTCAACACTGGAGTTTTCTTGGATCGAAGTTCCACCAACATGCGCCAAGAATCTCGCTGATAGTGCTCAGAGACAAGGCATACGAGCCATCTTTAGCAAGCGCAATCCTGCTGAGAAACTCGACACTGATGAGCTACTCACGTTGAGCTATGCTTGGGATGGGAACGCATTTCCGGGAAATGAGTACTGGTGTGGTTATCTAGCTATGAGTGGCGACCCTGCTGCGGCGTGTATGAGCACGATACCCGAGTTACACAATGCTCTCGTCAATCCTTTTACCGACAGAGTAACTGTTCTCGAGTTTGAGATGACAACATGATGCTCGCATTGACAGTCACAAGGCCAAAGTTGCTCTCGTCCCTTGTGTGTTCTACTGGTGCTGTGATGTTGGACGTGATTGGTTGGAGTGGCCAGATTATGCACTTGACCAAGCGGATCTGCTCGTAGGTAACCCTGGTTGTTGGCAATCCTGACACTTCACGTCGCTAACCATCGTTCTCAAGCGTATCATAAGACGACCTAGCATGGCGACACTAGATTGCAAGGAGCGCAGATGCGAGCGATTCCTTCAAAAATGGGCCAACCGACATGGGGCTTTTACGTCTCCGGCACCTATACGCTCCCGCAAGGACTTAGACATGCGGGCAAAGGAAACGATGAGGACCAGGCCCATGAGGGGACTGCGGGTGAGGAATAACATTGAGCCCGGAGAGAGCAATCTCCGATAGCTGCCTATGGTCCTGCATGTCCCAGTGTCGACTGATCACGACGTACTTGGTAGATGACGCCCGCTTCCAAGCCGTGATGAGCAAGCTGTACGCCCAATTTGCTGACTGCCTGCGCTACAGCCAGCCAGCGCCGTACGGTCAGCAGCTCATCGATACGTTGCGCCTCCAGCCCGCTGAGCGCCTTCCCGGCGGCGCTTCGCTCGCTGACGTCTGCACGCATTACCGCGAATACTACGCTGCCATCATCGACCCGGATAGAATGTACGACCCCAATTATTGGGACGCCCCTGAACACCAGAAATACGGTGCGAAGTACGACTGGTGTCTTGTTATCAACGATGAAGTGTTCTAGAGCATTGAAAGCGGGCCTGAACCAATCGGTCATGTGCCGCCAGCAGGCGTGGAGTCTTACATGCTAGCCTACCAAGCTATGAATGTATTCGTCAAGCTGCTGAGTAAGAATTACACAATGATGGAGAAACCTGAAGTCCTTGCAATAAAGTCTCGTGACAACAGTGAAGTTTTCGCTTGTGAACCTTATGCGCCTTTCCGATGAGTCGGATATTGAGACTTACTACAGCGGAACTGATATAATTGTTGACTATGGTCAGATGTAGAGTAGATTTGGTCATAAGCACTTGCTATAGAACTGGTTCTTGTCTGTTCTTTATACCAGCAAAAGCTTTCCAGGATAGTCATCAGTTGTTCTTTTGACATGTTGCTCAGCATCGACACAATTGCAATTGGGGGTTATAGACTCCGGCCTAGAAAACGCGGCGCTCAAGCGCGCAACAACAGTGCAGAGGTCGGGTTGTCTGTAACCAACAAGACTTATGGACTCCAACCATTATTTCTTTACTTCGAACCGACGCGAATCTATTAGACCATGCTTAATCTAGACCTTCCCCCATCTCCTCTACCTGAGGGCGACGGCCACTTCAAGTGGTGTTCGAAGCTGAAGGCCATGTCTTGTTTTCTAAGTGCACGTCGTAATTTCTTACATCGGAACAAGTGCCCCAGAAGGTAGGTAAAAACCGATACAGATGATGTTCTGCAGGAGAAGAACACGTCACGAAATTGAAGTGTGACGTCTACAAGTTTAATCCACAGGACTACGTTCAGCTCTCCTACAGGTCGCATTTCCTGAAATCTGAAACGTCCATCAAGTCCGACGCGTAAGGTGCTAACTATGATGAGAATGGCGCGTAAGATTGTATGAAGCATTGTCCTCAGCAGGCAACATGTCGTCAATGTACCAAACTCGAAAGTACATCTCGTCGCCTTCATTTCAAGACATCAGTAAAGGATATGATTTAGGTTTTTCCTGTAACAGCTGCATCTGCTACAGCGGCGACGTGCAAAGGCTCTTTAAGGAATTAGTCGATCTTTTTAGTATCATGGCTACCTAGACGAGAAATGTTCGTGAATTAGAAAATGACAAGTTAGATAAGCCTTTATATCCAATTCGATCCACTAACGGTTGCTGTCAAGTATAAATCATGCACTCAAAAAAAAAGATAATCTAGGAGTTGCTGTCTCCAAAGCTCGATTTGGCTTTGTGGGCAGTAGAAGATACGGCTGGAAATTAATTGGTTTATAACGCTTACATCTCTAAGAAATCTCATGATCACAGATACTACAAGACTTGGAGCAAGTAAGACAGTCTTTACCAAACAAATGTAGTGTTTGATCTCTAACAGCAGCTATATATGTAAAATCGATATTGCTATCTCAACCCATATCCATCCCCTAGATGCTCATTGCTCAGTGCACTTCTCGAACTTTCCGTCCTTCCTGCCAGCATGGGTCCAGACTCCGATGAATGTAGCTTCGTCGGACTCAATGGTATGCTGGTAAACGACACGCGCATCGCTTGTGGGCGAGCCACCAGTAAACACTGTCGAATCGTCGTAGTTGAGGGGGAAATGATCAACATTCGTCTGGCCCTTGTAGTCTTCTAGGCCCGAGATACTCTCTGGGTTGGTGAAGAACTGAGGGTACTTGCTGCCTCCCGCTGGGTTGTTGCCATTGTCGCGCAGACGAAGACCGGCTTCAGTGCTTTGCTTGATGTAGTCGGCGGAAAATTTACGGGCTGAAATCCTGTTAGCGCGCTGTGTGATGGCGGAAATTAAGTGGCCCTATCGAAAGACACGCCACAAGCTACGAAAATGTTCAGGCCTGTTTTTGAGACCCTAGACGCAAATGGTTCTTGGGTAGGAATATAGCTTGGGAGAGACGGGTGGTTGGAGCAGCTTACTTGTGTCCTTCGTTTGGCTGGTTTTGCAAACCCAGTCCTTGGGCGGAAACCCGTGAATTGTAGAGGGGATGTCGGTTGGGGGCGATCTGGCGTCTAGTGGGGTTGGGATCGCAGAAACTGCGGCGGCCGTTGCGAGGACGTAGTAGAAGAGGTTGCTGAGCTGCATGATGGGGAAATGCGGGAAGTAGTCTTGCGAAAATGGTGATGTAAAAGGAAGTAGCGATGTGTTAGTGAAGATTATTCTAGTTATCCTTTCGAGCATGTTATATACTGCCGAAGAGATCCTGGACTTGCCATCATAATCAGATCCTCTCACTGCCTCAACCTAGCTGTAAGGTATACCGTGAGATTTCGTCACACGAACAATTATTTGAAGCCCTCAAAGTATATTAAAAGGCATTCTGCCGTCAGCAGTCTCCATAACCGTAGTTCAAGAGGGTTATCTTGGGGTTTTGTCATGTCAGAGCCTCACGAAAGCTGGTTCAGATACTGAGTTTGGACTGCATTCCACGCTCCACAGTCCTAACAGTATTTGCCTCCCTGCTTGGTGCAGCACGCCTGAATGAATGATCTACAATCGGTTTATCCGTACGGCGGTGAAGCTACTGATATATCCTGGGTCAGCCTAGAAAGCCTTGTGGGGGCCAAGCTGTACAAGCATCGCTGGTTGCCCGACACAGCGCCGCGAGTCGCATTATGAATGGAATGCGAGCGATGTTCTACCCTCATTCAGGGATCAGATGAGGTTACATGACAAGTCGTTCGTTTGTTTCTCGCTTGTTCTGACTCGATTGACGTAAGATCCGGTCCGCGACGTTTTAACACTCATACCGCATTCGAAGGCTATATGATAATCAGCGATGACAGCGAAATGGGCATTAGCATTGAGGTTAGGTGCTACCAACCCTCATCTTTCCATAGTGGACGCCAGCAACGAGGCATTCTAGGTGGGACTGATGTCTATAACCGGGACCATTGCACAAACGTACCGCAGATGCCTGCGAATGGGATGCAGCCAAGAATCAAATCCCGGCCACCTTTGAGGTTGCTAAAAACGGAGCATTCATTTATCCGACCTCTCTATTTACGATCGTTGTGCCTGCACGCTCGGTTGTTGCGTGACTGTGCCTTACGTTTGTCCGCCTCACGTAAGAACTAGCTGCGCATCCACACTGTACCCCACAGATCCTTCGAGATGTCTCTCACTTAGCCCCAAGGCTGACCTTTATTACTTGTCATACTTGCGCGGCCTGAACTCTATCGCCATCAGTCATGCACAGCGGCATCTTCCAAGGCGTAGTTTTTGAAGGGCTCAGGTTAGTACTTCATCACCTCACAAGACCATCCGCTTTCCTGCTTACTCTCTCTTCTACCAAAGTCACAACTACTATTGTAGCTTAATTTTTCCATTATGGCGACCGAATTTTTCAACACCGCAGACTCGACCTTCGCGGGCTACGATATCACAGATACTCAGATCAAGACGCTCAGAGACTATCTCGAGAGCAACACCATCGCTGAAGAAGCTGTCAAGCAGCTGACTGTGCACCCCGAGGAATCTTCGACGCCCGTTGAGATGAAAAAGAGACTCGGTGGCCTCTGGACACTCCTGAACGATACAGCAGTCAGGCTGCCAAGTGCGCAACCAAAGATCATATCAATCTTGCGGACGATACGAAAATTGCCCAAAGCTCAAGAGCCGAAGGGCGCAGGAGAGGAATACATCGATCTCGACGACGGCTTTTACTGGAAAGAGCTCACGGATTGGGCTAACAACTGGGCGGACGCCTTCAACAGCCACGCCTCACGTTTCCTCGTAGAGCAGCCTGCAGACGGCCAGGATAAAGCGAACAGAAGAGTTGCTTGGACGAGCGCATGTGAATATACTGGCCGCCTCGCTGCAACAGGCGACGATGCACTTTCGTCGTATGGGGCTGGTCTTGAGCGCGCTACACGCGCTATTGCTGAAGCATTGGAAGTCGACACAGGCAATGAAGAGCCTGATAGTGTGGAAGCTGCCGCAGAACTGTTTCTCTACGCGGGGTCTGAGCTGTATCGTTGCTGCCAGGAAGGTCAGAAGTATGGCATGTTGAACAGCCCGGCTAGCATGTGGAAGGGCGACGAGGGGTTTTCGCAAGACCGCTGGAGGTTCTGGGGAGAGAGATGGAACGCCTTGTCGAAGGCGGAGAGCCTATCTGCTGATACTCGTAGAATCGCAAAGCAGTCTGTCGAAGCAATGAAACAGGTCGAATACATGAAGTAGAGATATTCCAGAAAAGACTTAAGATCAAAACAGATAGTTTTATGTTGATGCTCTTTCCTGATTCCGGATATACCGAGTTTTGAAAAGTTGAGACATGAGGTAGATAGTATAACTTATAGAATTGATATACCAATTAATACAGCAGTCCTTCCTAGAAGCGACGTCTAAGGCGTATAATAAACTGTTCGCTCTCGAGCACTCTTGGCTGTGAAGGCACTGTTCCCACTTGCTGTCGCCTCTTCTTTGTTATTATCTAACTCGCCAACGAATTCCCATGCTCCAGCCACTTGTACCAGCCTTACAACAGCCCGGTCTACCTTCTTCTCAATACTTTTCATGTCGTTCGGTGCGCCAATTGTGCCCAGGCCGTTTCCAGTCAATAGTAGTGGCAGTAAAGAAGATTTCCAAATTGGTATCCCTTGCTTGTCAAACAGCGTCTTGACCCCCATCATAAATAGTGATATTGTGGTAAGAGCAAGTAGCATGAACGGGAAAGCCAGCCATACCCAGTTGAACTGCGTGCATACTGTAGTTCTCATGACGAGGCCTTGCACAAAGTCAGTGCTGTGATCCCATGAAGTGCCTTGTCTGCGCATCATATTGGTTATAGCAGATGCGACAGCTTCAATGTTGGCGTCGATAGTGTCGAAAGTGGCATTGCCTTTGTTGTAAAGACTTGTCAGCCACCACTGGTCGCACAGAACGTTGTTCCAGTCGTCCGGTCCTGATTGTGCAGAGAACGGAGGGGTGGTAGAAGCTCCAATCTGGTAACAGCTACCTTTGAGAGTGTCAAATACAAACTTCGAAAGTGCTTGAACGTACATTCCCGGAAAATAGAAGTAACATTCTTGCGGAACTGTTATGTTGTTACCATTAACGAGAGTCTTGTTGCCGCCAGGGACAAACGAAGCATTGTCCGCCGTATAGTTGATGCCATCAACTACACATGGTGTGTTGAACAATTCGTAACTGGGAAAGGATTCAGTTTGATTGCGAATGGCAGGCGTTTCGCTGACAAGAGTTTCCGAGAAGACGCCATCATCAATTGATCCATGATAGTTCTTAACGCACGGGTAGAACGCGCAGGTTGATGCAACGACATCAAAGACGTCCCAGTAAGACGTAAGGTTCATTTCTTGTGCTTCCGAACGTGTACATGTGACATTGTAAAGCTGTGAATTCGAAGCTGAGCTTTGATCTGGAGTTGCGACAAATTTGCAGCCGTTGAGCGTGAGAGTCAAGACATTGACGTTCATAAAAGCCGACTCTAATGCCTCTGCGGATGTGTCGCTGAAATATGTTTCCACGATATCAGATGACCATCCCCATCCAGTAGTAGAGTTGAACCAAATCCTTGGACCCCCACCGGCAGTAAAAAGTGTCATCCTGTGCGCCAGGGCCACGACCAGTATAATTGAAGGTCGCTAGGCCACCACCTACGTTGATCTGATCATCGCCATTAGTAAGGGTCAGGAGATACTCTCTGTATCCATCGGGAAGAGGCTCGTCATCGAAAATGGAAACGGAAGTCGGTTGAGGTTCGTATACGGATCGAGTCAGGTCAACACACTTCTTGCAAAGTGCTATAGACGAGTGCGTCACCCCGTAGTTGAAGGTGAACGACCAGTTGCCAGTGCTGCAAGTCGCCTGTATCGCAGAGCTCTTTCCGGTCGGGTTAGCTAGCCCAGCTACAATTGCTGCCTTAGTGTCTGAATCCAACTCGTAGTCTCCAGGACCTAGGCGCCGTATGTGTGTGTTGTTGATTACGTGAGCTATCTGAATTGAGGAGTTCGATTGAACGAGAGGGAGGTTGCAGGGTATTGACTTGAGGGCTTGCTGCGTGAAAGGACCTATACCAACTGATAGGATTATAATTACGCAACCAAGAAGAATTGAATCACTTCGAAGATGTCAGCCACTGTTCTATGAGCAAAACCTGGCTGCCTCATACAGTCTTCGTAGTTTGAAAAGAAGCAGCAAAGATGCCCAAGGTCCCCGGGCTGCTTCGTCGAATCGAGCTATATGTCGAAGTGAATGCGGGCGACGGTACCACAACCACTTGGCTTGGCTGATGGCTTGTCCTGGGTCAGCAACATAGAGAGTTTTAGGCTGACGCACTCACTTTCTTCGACCCCGAACAACATACACACCCTTAAAAATGTAGAAAGTATGGCAATTAAGGTGTTAAGGTTGATGCTGTATTTCCAGGCTGGTTGCTCTTTGCCGTTGAACATCACGAGCGTAATGATAATCGCGACTAAAGCACCCATACTTAGCAACAACGATAGTATCTCGGACCACCAAGCTGTCCATAACACTCTGGGGCAGCGCTGGGTCGCGGGAAATGCGTCGTCCGTGGAAGACGCCATATCCGAGGCTACAGCAAGAAAACCCTGCTGCTCTGGCTTCCCCGGGGTATCCGTATCTACAGAAAGCGGTCGGATTTGCGACTCGAGCTCGTAAGAATGCACGTTGTCAGTTGGCGCACCGCTAGTTGTTGACATCGCTACAAGCGGGGCCTGAGAGTCGTGTAGCGATGACGTCGTCGAGGAAGCTCTGGATCGCAACGTCGTGGGAGGATAATGCGCGCTTATCGTGGGTATGTGTAAAAGACGGTTCGGCAGTATAACTAATAAACGTCCGAAGAAGAAAAGTGTTTAAACCAGAAGCTATTTAATAAATAAATCTACTTATACTTAGCGTTATAACTACGCTACTAACCTAATAGTAAACCGTAGAATAACTCTAGAAGGACTTATATAATATAGTTAGCGTACTAGAAAAGAATAGATTAAATAACGTAAGTCTAGACCTATTAGAATAGCTAAACTATATTACTACTATAGATATTAACTAACTAGTGTTTATATATAAGGTATATACCTAAATTATATTATAGTATTAAGCTTAAAAATAGTAAATAAGAAATACCTACTCTATAGTTTAGCCTAGAGCTTTAGTTAAAAAGGTTTCTAGCTTAATTATAATTAATATATAAACTTATAATTAAATATATAAGAAGTTAACTCTAAGAGTAGTTACTAGTATAAAGTAAATAAATCTACTATAAACCTATAATACTAGCTCTTTTCTACTTAAAGTTCTTTTTATAAATCCTAGTAGTTAAAGTAACTATACTTTAAAGCTTTACTTAGTAAAGTTCTACTAGATCTAACTAATTATATAAGCTCTTTTTTAGTAAAAATTAATTATATTTTTAATTTACTATTATAATAGGCTAGGCCTAGTAGAACCTTAATAAGTAAAGCTTTAGAGCTTAGTAGGCCTAACTACTAATACCTATACTACTACCTATATACTAGAAATACTTAGTATACTACTAAAAGAACTATAAGTAAAGAAAAACTAGTATTATAAATTCTTAGTAAATTTATTTAATTTATACTAGTAACTACTTTTAAAGTTAACTTCTTATATTTAAATTTACTTATAAAAATACTTCTAGGTATTAAAATTACCTTAGAAATTACTAGTAGTATATCTATTAAAAGAAATACTATAGTTACTAAGTTAAAAGTAAAAGCTTTATAGCTAGTAAAAATAGGCTTTATATAGAAAGTAATTAAAATATACTTATAAATAATAGTAGAAGAAAATCTAGATTAATAGAAAGTTCTATTAAAACTCTAGAAATATTAGGTTATTAATTATTAACCTAAAAGTATATAAAAATAGGTATATATACACTAAGCTAGTACCTAAAATCTAAAACTAAAAATTAGATAAATATAATATCTAGATATAAAAACTACCTAGATATAATATACTAACTTAAAAATTAATTAGATATAAAAATTAACTAGATTTAAAAATTATATAGACCTAATATATAGACTTAAAGATTAACTAGATATAAAAATTAACTAAATTTAATAATTACCTAGACCTAATATATAGACTTAAAAATTAACTAGACATAAAAATTAACTAGACTTAAAAACTACCTAGATATAATATACTAACTTAAAAATTAACTAGACGTAAAAATTAATTAGATTTAAAAATTATATAGACCTAATATATAGACTTAAAAATTAACTAGATATAAAAATTATCTAGATATAATATATACCTTCTATACTAACCTAGATAACTATAGAGTATCTAATAACTTTTAAAATAGTTAAATAAATCTAGAATAGCTCTAGAAGAGTAGGCTATCTTAATAATAAAACTACGTAGTAGTTAAAAACTAGAAGTATATAATAAGAACTATTACTATACTATTATTTACTACTTAATACCTAATCTATATAATAGGCTAGGCCTAGTAGAACCTTAGTAAGTAAAGTCTTAGAGCTTAGTAGGCCTAACTACTAATACCTATACTACTACTTATACTTTAGAAACTCTTAGTATACTACTAGAAGAACTATAAGTAGAGGAAAACTAGTACTATAGATCTTTAGTAAATTTATTTAATTTATACTAGTAACTACCTTTAGAGTTAGCCTCTTATATTTAAATTTACTTATAAAAATACTCCTAGGTATTAGAAGTACCTTAAGAACTACTAGTAGTATATCTATTAAAAGAAATACTATAGTTACTAAGCTAAAAGTAGAAACTTTATAGCTAGTAGAAATAGGCTTTATATAGAAAGTAATTAAAATACGCCTATAAACTATAGTAAGATAGAACCTAAATAAATAAAAAGTTCTACTAAAACTTTAGCTAGTTTCCTAGAGTCTCTAAGAGGATAAATAATAAATAATAAAGTTTATAAATATACTAATCTTAATAGCTAGCCTATTATTAGTAGTAGCTAGAAAATAACTAATTAAAGAATCTAATAAAGAGTTCTCCTTAGAAGAACTATATAATACGCTATAGATACTAACCTAGGAAATTAACCTCTTTAAAAATAATATACTACTAGTACCTACTTCTTTTAAATAAAGAGTTTAATAATTAGAGAAAGAGGTATATAAACTAAGAGTAGTTCTAGAACTAACCTTTCTTATAGTAACTACTAAGACCTATATAAAAAACTTTAAGATACTAGATTCTAACTACTTTAAAGGTAACTAGAAGAACTATTAAAGGTTCTAAACTTAGATAAACTATAAGCTAGAACGTAATATTAAAAGACTAGAATTAGGCTCTAGGTATATCTTTAACTAATTAAAAAGACCTATAGCTAGTATTACCTTATTATAGATAGATTATAATAAGATAGGTACTATAGAAGGCCTATAAATATTTCTAAATAAATAATTTATAGATAACTTATATACTAAAAGAGCTAGGTAGAAACTTTAAACCTTTTAGTAAAGAAAGCTTTCTTTATAATACTTTAATATAAAATTAATAAGGCTAGCCTTTAAAGTAGAAAAAGAGAGTAATACTAATAACTTAAAAATAAGGTATCTTAGTATACTACAGCCTAACCTATAAGACTAAATAATATCTATAAAAGTGCTAAGTAACTAGACTATCTAGTTACTAATAACTTAAGTAGTTACTATTAAGAAAAATCTTTTTAGGGCTAAGATTAGGTCTACTTTCTTATATATAAGGTTTCTTTAGAATAACCTTATAGATTAGAAACTCTTAAAAGCTTACTTTAGTTAAGTAATTAAAGTAATAGGTAGAACTTAGAATAGAGCTAAATAAGCTAATAAAAAAAAGTACTTTCTCTATAGAAAAAAGAACCTATATCTATATTATAAAAAACCTAGGTACTATACTAATAAGAACTTTCTAGTACTAGCTAATTATCTAGCTTAAGCTACCTTTATAGTAACCTAAAACCTAAAAGAGTTCTTAAATAAGGAAATAGTAAGTTTAGAAAACTAAAAACTCCTATATATAAATATAAGTAGAGGTATAAGAAACTAGATTAAGAAGAAAAGTAGTTTTTATTATTTTAGTAAAACTAGCTAGATATAAGACTTAGTTATAGTAGTAACATAGTATAGTAAAGATAGAATAATAGTATTTAAATATATAATAAGATAAATTACTAAGGTATAAGAAGCTAACCCTAAGGGTAGTTACTAGTATAAATTAGATAAATTTACTAAGGATCTATAGTACTAGTTTTCCTCTACTTATAGTTCTTCTAGTAGCGTACTAGCTATTTCTAGTAGGTGTTAATAGTTAGAGCAGCTAAGCTCTAAGGCTTTACTTACTAAGGTTCTACTAGGCCTAGCCTATTATATAAGCCCTTTTCTAGTAAAAAAATTTTGTATTTTAACCCTACTATAATATAACACGTTAACCTACCTCTATACGTAATTTTTACTGCAGCTATACTAACTTTACCTACCTTAACTTCTACTTTACCTACTACTATAATAGTAGGTTTAATTAAGAAGCCTTACTTATTTTCTAAGTTCTTCTCTACAGCTACTAGCTTTCTAAGGAAGTTTCTAGTAAGAAAGTAGACTTATTCTACTACTAAGAGTAATAAGAAGGCCTTACCTTTACCTATAAGTTTATTTAGTTTACTAGATTTACTCTTCTCCTTACTAACTTCTTATTTTATTAGCTTTATACCCTACTACTTACTTATCTATTACTACTAGCGTTATCTCTACCTCTACTTCTACCTCTATTACTAAGAGCTATATATAACGGGCTAGGCCTAGTAGAACCTTAGCAAGTAAAGCCTTAGAGCTTAGTAGGCCTAACTACTAATACCTACCCTACTACCTATACTTTAGAAACTCTTGGTATACTACTAGAAGGACTATAAGTAGAGGAAAATATTACGGGTATTTCTATCTAAGCTCCTGTTAGCCTACCTTTAGTAGACCTCTAGGCTAAGGGCGTAAGGCCCTTAGAGCTCTAGTATATAGTACTTATAAATCCCTAGGGCTTATACCCTAAGGATTTATCTAATCTTTTAATAAATACCTATTTATTCTATATCTTAATTACCTATTTATAGTGCCCTTATAATTTAAATTCTTTATACTCCTCCTTAGAAAGAGCAGTTAATTTAAGATAAATAGGAGCTATTTTCTTTAATAGAAAAATAATACCTCCTTAAAGAGAACAAAATATTACGCCTAAGAAGGGCCTAATAGTATTCTTATCTAGAACTAAAAGTAACTTAGCCCTAGAGTAAGGCCTAGCTGCCTATGTTAAAGATATAGAGAACTTAGATAAAGAAGAAGAAACTTCTAAGTAAGAAGTAACTTACTTCCTAATAAAGAACTAGCTACTTAAGGAAATATATAAAAGCTCCTTAGGATAACCCTTAATTAAGAAAATAAGCTACGCACTTCCTTCTAGAATATAGCTAGAAAGTAGTATTAATAGAGTTCTAGAGGTAATC